GGACGGGAAGTCGGTGGTAGGGTATCGGGTGGGTTTGCCGGGGGTACGGGGTAAGTTTTTAGTGGAGGAAGCTGCTCGGGCGGGTGTAAAGACGAAGCAGGAAATTGCGCAGTTGCATAGGGAGGGCTGGTTGGCAGTGGATGGTCGGGTGGTGCATTTGGCGGAGTATTTAGGCCGGGAGAAGAAGTATCGGGGGATTTGGGTTATATCTTTGGTTGGGGCTGTGGTGGATGTATTGGAAGTTAAGGCATTGGTGGCGGAGATGACGGGAGTGGTGGATGTGTACGTACGAGCGAGTGCAGAAGTATTTAGGGATGATCGGGTGGAGATGCGAGGAATTGGGTTGGTCTGTCGGTTGGTTAAGGAATTGCATCCGGAGGCGGAAGTACGGGCGGTCGTGCGTAAGGAGGAAGAGGTAGAAGCAAGTTTAGATTTGAACCGGCGGTTAAATAAGGTTTATGCGCCTATTTTAGCTCCAGTTGAGTATAAGGTGCGGTATAGGAAGTATTTGCGTGGGATTGAGGTAGTTAGTGATGGGGATACAATTGATTGTCCGCTAGAAGAAGTAGTTAGCAATGTTATAGGTATAAGTAGTGATAAGAATGGTATAAGTGGTGATAAGAATGGTATGAGTAATGATAAGAATGGTATAAGTGGTATAAGTAATAGTAATGGTATAAATAATAGTAATAGTAAGAGTTTAGGTGATATAAGCAAAGACAACACTATTAATCATACTAACACTACTCATAGCAATACTAATACTATTACTCATATTGACACCACTCATAACACTACTAATACTAACTCGATATATACGGTGTTTTTAGGAACGGGGGCGGCAGTGCCGACACCTTTGCGGAATGTTTCGGCTATTTTGGTAACGGGCGGATACGGATCAGTACTGTTGGATTGTGGTGAAGATACAATTGGACAATTGCAGAAGATATCGATGGGGAATCGGTTTTATTATTCGCATTTGGAAATGGTTGTGCTGACGCATCGGCATGCTGATCATATTTTGGGTGTGTTTTCAGTAATAAGACGGGCTAATGTGGCTGGGAATAAGACAGTAGTGGTAGTGGGTGATTTGTGTATGCTGGATGCTTTGAAATACTTTGGGCTGTCTTGTATATTTGTTCGTGCTAAAGCTCGTTATGCCTTGAATATATACCGGGAAAAGACCTTAAGTACAACTAAGAGTTACTTGGTGATTGGGCCGGTTTCAGATGTAAGTAGTCGAGTTAATCCGGTTAGTTCGGTGGTTTTGGGTATTACGAAAGGATTAGGTGCTGAGGAAGGAGTGGTGGATCCTTATGCTTATCGGCCTTCTTTTAAGCGGCCGGCGAGTGAACTGGCCGTGCACTATTGGCCGGGTGAGAAAGGTTTGGATTTGGTTGTGCCGGTGGGATTAGATACAGTGTTAATGCGTGGTGCTTGGAATTCTTTGGTTAGTCTGCCCTTACTGGTCTATGGAATTGAACTCTGTTCGGCCCAGCATATTGCTAATAGTTATAGTGTTCGTTTGAATAAGTATGCTTTGAATGAGTTAGAGTTTGCTTTGAGTTATACGGGTGATACAGTGCCTAATCAGGAGTTTATTAGGTTGTCAAATAAGGTAGATTTAATGATTCATGAAGCTACATTTGAAACGGAAGAGAAGAAGAATGCTGAACAGACGAGACATTCAACTGTCCAAGATGCCATTGATTCGTTTAAGGCATCACAAGCTAAATGGCTTATCTTTACTCACATTAGCCAACGGTATAAGTCGCTGCCTAGAAACTTGCCGGTCGGTTCATTTGCCTTTGACTTTATGGTTTACAGTCCACTCGGCCTGCCCTCCCAAGATGCCCTACTAATGGAACTCCACCGATGGGCCCAAGAAGACCGTAGATCGGGTAACAAATAAAGCAAGATAATAGAAGTGAGTTATGCTATGTTAAAGTGTGTTAAGATGTAGTAATTGATTTATTAGGGTTTACGGGCAAAGGGGTTTGTATAAGCTACTTTGGTTTTCTTGATAGGCGTGCTCGGAGTGGTGGAGGTAGAGGGGGTGGATGGTTGCTTGGTGGGTGTAGCTGGAGTGGAAGTGGACTTGGTTGGTGTAGAGAAAGAATTGTTAGGTGGGCTGGGAGAGTCAAGGTTAGAGATTCGGTTGAACTCCTCATATAAAGCAATTGATTTGGTGCTCGATCGAGTCGTTGGGGCATTTTCTTTGGGAGTGCTGCTCTGAACACTGGGTATATCCAGGGACATAGCAATAGAAGGAATTACTTCTTTGGCTAAAAGTGTCATGATATCTGGATTGGCGTGGTTAAAGAGACTTTCTCGAATTAGATTTACGTACTTAACATTCTCGGGGAAGAGACATGGAGTGCCATTACTGTCCCGGGGGGCATAAACTAAGTAGCTGCCAGAAATACCCAAGGGAATGCCTTGGGGCTCGCCATTAAGTCGGACTAGTCGTTGGTGGCCAACTGCATAAAGGGTCTTTTGGGATTCTACTACCATAACCCCGGCATTGTTAATACCTAGCCAGTCTAAAGAAGTCAATTCAGGCATAAATTGCCAAAGCCGCTTGATTTGGCCGTCTTGCCAACGGAATAGTGATAGTTTGAAGAGGTTATGGTGTCTGGTGGCTAGACCAACAAAACTACCGGAGACACAAGCAGCTACTACGGGACCCACTTCACTATACACCTCAGTTAAATCATCCGCAAAGAAAGCTGTTTCAGTTGTCCCATTCTGGTCATAAATCAGCACCAAGAAATGAGTGCCACAAAGAAGCCTTTTGATCTCGTGTTTAGAAGAGCAAGTTACTTTTTGAGGCTTACTATCAAATAGGCCAGCACTACCTAGTCTAACTTTTAGCTGGCCTCCGGTTACTAAGCCAAGAATGCGTTCAGAACAGGATGCCAAATCAATTGAACTTTCCTCTTCCAATAGAGTAACCTTGCCGGCTTGTAACCTATTAACAACTTCAATCTTCCATTTCTCGGTATCGGATGATCCAACTACTTTACACTCGGGTGACCAGTGCAACAGAACACTCTGACCAGCTGCAGCATAAATTGAACCTATAACCCCATTTTGAGTACATTCTGAATAAAGATTAGATAACAGACGAGTATTAGGAACTGCTTCAAACTCTTCCCTAGACTGAGCTAGCGTTTCTTGCACTACTTTACACTCCTGGGCCATTTCGCCATCCGATACACCCTCATCATCGCTTTCAAATAACTCCATTAGCGCACTATCGGCAATTTGCTTGCTCTTAGCACGATCGCTCTCTTCTGAGACCCAAAGGGCCCGGGGCTGTGCTGATGTCTTACGGGATTTAGGTGCTGGTATGTCAAAGTATTCCTGACGCTCTTCTTCTTCGGCTTCTTCCTCTGGAGCAATCACAGTTTCAATGATACTTTCTCTAATCTTAAGATCAACCATAGGCCGGTCAATCCACACATACTGCAAGTCCAATCGAGTAATGTTCATCGCTGATTTGGATAAAGTACTCCATTCAACACCATAAACTATTGATCTTTCCGAATCAACTACTAAGTGCTGGATATCTTTAGCTACACTAATCGTATGCATCTTTTGGCCGCCCGTACTAGTAATTCTCACAATCTCAACATGAGCTTTAGTCAAGAGAAAAAGATACTCACCCAATGCACTACTAGTCATGGCTCTAATCCCCGAACCAGCAAAATAGATAGAAGCTAAACTCTCGCCTATCTCAGCAAACAAAGCATTCTCCTCAGCACACAACAAGTATTTCTTAAAGAAGGCTAAACTAACATGGTCATACACCACTCGTGAAGGAAAGATCTTAATCCTACCCCGCATATCTAGAATATAGATCTTTTGGCCGTGTACACATATACTTTCAATCGGTGTTGTATGTTTAATCTCCCTAATAACACTAAACTCATACCGACCCGATCCTTGAAGAGACTTATCAGTCCATAAAGAGTCGCCGGCTTTGGTTGCTTCTTCTGTCTCCTCTTCACTTTCCATGGTTCGCATCCAGGCATCGCCACTTTCAGGCAACGACTCGCCTGTTTGATTGGCTAGACCACTAATACTACCTACTGCACTGCCCCTTTCTATTCTCACTACTCTCACCACTCCATTCTCAGAACCAAGATAAGCCACATCATCTACCATAAAGATAGAGGTTACTCTTAGCCCCAGCTTACTTACTTCAACTAAATCCTCTAAGATGACTTCACTATTGGGTTGAATCTCTCCCAGACGCACGCTTCCATTAGCACAACCGATCAAAACATAGGATTCTTTAGGACTCAGTCCAACGGATGAAACCTCCATTCTTCCCCTAACTAGCATAATCCGCTCCATTCCTTTCGCCAGACTAAATACACATACTTCATCAGTTCTTCCCACCACTACAATATCTCTTCCCTGTGCTAGCATAAAACTAAAAAACTCACCTACTGCTATACTCCACTCCTCCTCGTCCCCACACTGCCCAACTACTCTTCTAAATGCCAATCTATCCTCTAACTAATTAGACTTAAATTCAAATAGTAACAGTCTAAATCTAAAAATCAAATGCTACCCTAACAAAAACCAATTCCAGTACCCATATTATTCTTTTAATATCTTAATTAGACTACTATTTTGGCTTAATTTACATTGTATTATTGAGTTGGTTTGGGTTCAATTTATTGATTGTGAGGGCAAAGTGGCTTGCCGTAGACAGAATGTTCGCAAGGTTTGGCCGATTTTGAGATCAAACTTCGGCAAAAACAGATTTCAAAATCATCACGAATTTCTCGCATCCGGCGCATAAAGTAAGCTAGTCAACGACCACGTCCCTAGTATACTTCACCCTATCACCTCTCGTGCACAACAAATTTGGTCAACAGCGATGCCACACGTTCTTTGACCCGAACAGAATAGGATTCTCCCATTGATAGGCCGCTTGTAGTCCTTAATTCATCATCACCTTACTAAAAGTATATCAGGACTCCTCCCTTTACACTTTTAATCCGACTAGATCCTTCTTGGAACAATTAGAGATGCTAACGGTGTTGCTCAGAACCCAGTCCAGGCTCTGCACGAAAGCATCTAATACGTTATCCAGTCCTCTCACAAACAGGCGGTCAGGCCGACTCAACTTCTCTGACGCCCGCTGTAAGTAACTATCTCTTTAGCACTCCTCATGTCATACAGTAGTTGTGAGATAATAACGCTTCTTCTAGACTCACAAGCCTTTCGCAACTATAACCGGTACTCGAGCCGTGCCAGCACCAGGCATTAAAATCATCAACAACCACTATTTGACTAGTTAAACTTACTTCACTAACCCAATAGGTACTTAAACCAACTTGTCTCAGTTAACCTCTTATTCGACGATAATACACACTTACAATGTATGCATCGCCTGCCGTCCAGTGCACTCCTCGGTGGTAGATCTCATGAGTAGCTATCTGTCTGACCCAGGGGCTCGTCGGTTTGTATTAAACCAGTGTGCTGTAGTGCGCACGTTCTCCCATCGTCATCGGCGAATCAGCCCGCGCTAACACCTTGTTACACAGCAAAGAATTCTTCAAGTTCAGCCATGTTTCGTGGAAGATGGCTAGATTGAGTTCGTTACGCTCCATAAAGCCATCCGGTAAAGCCAGGTGCTTCGCAAATCCACCCACATCCAAGTAGGTGATGCGTAAGCCACAATGAGTAGAGAGTATTGGCGGCACACCCTCGCCCATCTTATTCATTAAGGCATTGGCTGTTTCACACACCATCTACCTTCAATCATTGCCTGGCGTCCCTTATCTTCAACGTTCGGTATCACTGAATTAATACTAGGATCGAATCAAGATGTGGATTTTGAGGGCGTTGCAGAGTCATCCGCTGCGACGTTCTCCTTTTCCTTGGCTAACAGATCATAATATAGCTCCCTATCTTCGAGTATTATACTCCCGTAGAACTCAACCGGGGACTTTGCACAACAGATGCGTTTTGCCAGATCGATCGCCCTAGTGTACATCGCATGTCCATATTTCACCAGATCATGGGCAGCCTGTTGCATCGCTGCAAGCACTCGCTCCCTTCCTTTCACACCCCTCCTTGGGTGGCTAAGTGGATCATAGACTTCGATTTCCACTTCAATCTTCACATTCTTTTCGTAGAGCTGCTTAAGAGTGGATAGCTTCTCAGCATGTTTCCTAGTAACGCACATTTGCCAGATGTTTTTATCGATGGCATGCAGTAGTACTAGGTCAGATCGGGGAATCCCGCACCATTTCGCCCATAATCTATTAAGAGTTAGGATGTTTACTTCGGTGCACACGTTCTTGATTCTTGCGAATACAAATAGTCTCTGATAGTATCTCGTGTTCCCGCTGTCCTCACCCCACAGCATCTCTTCCAGTTGTTTGACTGTAAGTTTGGAGTAATCCGGGTAACGTCTTGTGCGTTTAGGTGGAGTGGTGGGGGTGGGGGCAGAATTGATAGAGGCGGGGGTAGGGTGAAATGGTATGGGGTTGGGGATGGATTTGTGAGAATTAACGCAGTTTGGGTTAGAGGGCGTTGACTGGTATTTAGAGTGGTGAGTAGGTGGTTTGTCATTGGTATTGGCAGGGTTGGTATTGGAATAAGATTCACTTTTCATGAGTGCCTTCGCGGCCTTCTGCCTGGCTTTCTTCTGTTGCTTTTTGGTCAAAACTGCCGTCTGGCCATCTCCATCAACATTGGTTTGAGTTGGGATTTGGGTGGTGTTATTAGTGGTGTTGGGTAGTTGGGCTAATAATTCGCTTACTTTTTGAGCAACTAGATTGCTCTCCGAATTTGCGGACTTTTGGGCAGTTATGACTATTGCCTTGAGCTGTTCTTCTAGTGATACGGGGGTAGAGTTTGGTGATGTTAGCATGTGGTTAGGCACAGTGGGTGCGGATATAAGTGGGGTAAGTGCTGGCATGTGTTTAGGGAGTGCTGTGTATGCTATTTTGGTGAGGAGTATTATGGCTTTCTTTAAATCGGACACGGATTCTTTGAGTTCTTCCATTTCTGTATGCATTTTTTAGATAGAATCGATAAGAGCTCTTAAAGGAAGCTTCTTTTCGTGGAGTATCGGTTTTGGGAGGAACGTCTGAAACTTTGTCTAAAGCATCGATAGGTGGTGTAGGAGCGGTAGGTGGCTTTTCAGCCAGTTTGGCAGATAACTTCTTTTCCACTTTCAAGATGGTCGGCTTATTCTTCTCCAACTCATCATGAAGTAACGGTTGTTCATTTTTTAAGGTAGACATGACTTGTTAGTTGTCTAATAAGTGTTCATCTTGTAATCGTTCAATTTGAGTCATCAGTTCGCTTACTGATTATATACGCACTTTTAAGCTCACAACAGTTTGAGATAAGCTAGAATTGAGTTAGTATCCGGTTGGTATTGTATTGGGTTGACTGGCATTACAACATAAGATAGCATAACTTAACTTAATATAACAAAAACATAAGATAAGATAATTTAACAAAAACAAAAACAAAACTTTACTTATCCAACGGCCGATAGTTCTCTTTTCCGGCCACGTTGTCTCACACTCTCCAGTCTTTTTAAGGTCTGAGCTGAACCAGATTTAGCATAGCCTTGCTCAATGGCCAAAGACAAATCTTCACCTGTAGCTGAACGAACTGCTCTTTCAAATAAATAGAGATCTACCGCTCGATCTTCATCTTTACCCGTGAAACTACTTAGTCCAAAATCAATAAGAGTGATTCTTACTGGCTGTCCGTCCACCCGTTCAGCAATAATATTGTTTAAAGTAATATCACCATGTACAATTCCTAAAGAATGTACTCGACCCACAGCCTCAGCTGCAGCGACAACTAGTTCTGTTAATTCGGTTGTGCTAATTGAGCTAGCTAGTTCATAAAGACTTAAACCAAGTGCTTCTTTCATTACAACTGAATCATTTAAATCTACACCAGCTGCAGTTGCTATCTCTGCTGCTTTACTCTCATCCGCTAATTTGGGAGTAACTCCAGTCTTTTCTAATCGGCCTAAAACATTCTTCTCACGGCGTGTTCTTTCCCGGCGTAAGCGCTCATCTATCGCAGCCAAACGATACCCTTTCTTTATACGAGTTTTTACTATCCAGCCTAAACACCGTCCTACTATTGCCTCAGCCCCCCGGCCAATCACTACCCAAGCCATACAGTCACTAGTCATTCCAAAAATAAATTGAACCCATACAATCTCCCACTAGTCCAGTTCAACCGCCACCTACACCTACACCAAGTTAAGTTAAGTTTGAGTAAGTATAATGTTGTCATACGACCACTACTACTACCAACCCAGTACTAACCTGATTACTAGTCCATCACACACTACTTACTAACACCAATACTAACACTAACCCAAGATGACGTCATCTTATTTCAACTCAACCAATACGTACTCAATAAAAGGCATTCCTTGAGATAAGTGGAGCCTTTTATTGAGTTTGGTTGAGTTAGGATTGAGTTAAGATTGGGTTTGGTTGAGGTAGTATAAGTTATGTGTGATATTAAGTTAAGTTGAGTTAAGTTTAGTATTGAGTTTAGTTTAGTGTGGTATTGAATTGAATTGAATTTAGTGTGATATTAAATTAAGTTAAGTTAAGTTAAGATTTGGGATAATAAGTTCAATACACAATACTAAACCAACCCCACTCAATACACAACTCAACTCAATACTAAACCCATACTAAACCAACTCAATACACAACCCAATACTAACTCAACCCATACCATACACAACCCACCCCATACCCAACTTAACTCAACTTAATACTATACTAAACCCAATTTATTCATCCCTTTCCTCCTCAGAAGACTCACTACTACTGTTTTCCTCAGCTAGTTTTTGGCGCATTCTTAGGTATCCCTCTTCACTGCGGGGCATAGCTGAGGGGGTATAGAGCGTTTGGGCGGCGGGTGATAAAGGGGCTACGGGAGCATAAGCACGGTTGTAGTTCGGGGCTGGACTACTGGGAGTGTAAAGAGGCGGGGGTGAACTGGCACCTCGCGGCGGCAAGAAGTTAGGACTACTTGGGGCAAAACTATAAACCGGACTAGCTGGCGAGTAGACAAACCCAGCTCCAGTCGGTGAATAACTCGGACTACTAGGGGCATAAGTAGGACTAGAAGGCGAATAGGTCGGACTAGCCGGAGCATAAGTAGGACTAGCCGGCGAGTAAGTAGGACTAGCCGGCGAGTAGCCAGGTGTAACCCCAGGCATACCCCAGTGCGATGAAGAAGAATCAGAACCAGGAGCAGATAGAGGAGACATTAAACCCGGCGGTGTTTCTCCACCACTTTCATCCTCCTCAAACTCGTACTTCTCTAAAGCAGCCACACCCTGCTCTAAAGCATCCTTATCTATGATCACTTCAGTCGTACCCGTACCAATCGCTGCCACTCGACCCAACATAACACTCTCAACTACACCCCGACACCTATCCGTCTCAGCCGAAGCAGCTGCATCCAGTAAAATCTCAACTGTCTCTTCAAACGAACAACGCATCAAAGCCCCAGCTTCACCACGGTTTGTACCATGCCGAGTAATACCGGATAAAGTACCACGTTGAGTCATAATATCGGCTAGAATAGATAAGTGCCGGAAGTTAACGTAAGAACCATCACTTTCAATCACTGCTCTGATTTCTCTTAGCACAGCTGCTCGGGCCGCTTCAATCCCCAGCACTCGTAGGACTTCTAAAGGATCATTAGAAGTAGATCTGTGCGGATCAACCATAGGATGAGTTAAAACTTCAGCTAAACCAGCACCTTCTGTATGCAAAACGTACTCAACTCGACCATCGCCACCACTAACTGGACTTTCATTAATGAAGGCCCGTTTAATCCCAGATAAACCCTTAAGCATAATAGCAGCTACAGTTGCTTCTATCTTCCGCAATCTTTCTTCTGTATCGGGTAAAGCACAACGAATAATCTGGGTAGCTGCATTTTCATCACTATGCATGCACTTATACCCAGTACTAACCTCAATAACTTGGGCAACCACCTCAATACTCAAACCACGATCAACTAAGGCCCGTCGGTTTAAAGTCAGTCTTAGTACCCAAGGCGAACTAGGCGTATAAACACTAGGATCTAAGATAGCATAAGCCTCAATAAAATCAGCATCGGCCTTAATAGCCGTTAATAATGGATCATAAACCACCTCAGAACAAGCTAAAACATCACGAACATAACACCTTTCTATCTCCTGTTGCGCTTTTTTAGCACCTTCAGGCGTATACCTTAAATCATCACGTAAGTAAAGGATCAAAGAGGGTGTTTTGATTGTCTTAGCAACATTAATGATTTCCTTCAAACGAGGAACACCTCTAGTTACCGTACTAGCTACTCCAGCCAAGTGAAAAGTATTCAAAGTCATCTGAGTAGCCGGTTCACCTATACTCTGAGCGGCTAAAGTCCCAACCATTTCTCCCGGTGCTACTATGGCCTTCAAGAACACACTACGTACCTCATCTACCGCCCATTCAAAAGCAGCTCCACTTAATCTAAACTCACAAAGAACCCGTTTAACCGCTAAATACCCTCTTAAATGGGCCATAAACAATCTAAAAGCCGGTTTAGCCACCTCTTCAATCGCACAAATAGCCGTAACTAAAGCTGTTTCCAAAGCTTCTCGAGCTCGGACAATTCGTTCCGGGAGAACATCACCGACCACTAGACCACTACGACCTGTCTCTGCACTACGAATAACTCCTGGAGCAGCCGTTGGACTTTGTGACATACGTTGAGCCCGTTCAAATATGCGTGCTAAAGGTACCGGTAAAGGTTGTCGGCCCTTCACTCCAGCCGCTAGTAACTCATTCCGTTCATCACGTAGCATAAGTATTTCCGTCCGGACTAAACTCTTCCCCCGTGGACTTCTTAGGGCCGCCGCCACCCGAGCACTAAGCGGATACTCAGCTAAACCGGATAAATCAAGCACAAACTTACTAGTAAACTCACTTTCCGAACCCAACAACACTAAATCTTGCATTTCAATAAAGGTGGCATCCAAACAATCTCCACCATAAGCCCCTTGAATCACCTGGCCCTCACCACTCCTTACACTACGATCAGCCCTTACCTGGGCATCTTCTAAGGCCTTAACTAGTCGTCTTTGAATATATCCCGTTTCTGCCGTCTTAACTGCCGTATCAATGAGACCTTCTCGACCACCCATGGCATGGAAGAAGAACTCAACTGGAGTTAAACCCGTTATATAAGAACTACTCACAAACCCACGAGCTTCCGCTCCAAAATCATCCTTAGTAAAATGGGGTAGAGCCCGATCACGAAATCCCAGTAAAATACGCCGACCTTCCACTACCTGCTGTCCGACACAGGCCGACATCTGCGAAACATTAATACTTGATCCTTTTGAACCGGCGGCGGCCATTTGCTTAATACTATTCTGGGCGAGTAAAGTCCGTTGGGCCGCCGTCCCACTCGTATCACGAGCCCGATTCAAAGCCAAAGTAATAACTGATTCTAAAGATTCACGCATAGACATACCCGGGAGTCTTTCTAATTCACCATGAGCTGCTCGCCAGATTAACTTCTCAGTCTCTGACTTAGCCCGATCAATTGCCTCCCGAATAGCATCGGCTGTAGCTGCATCCGGAACCGTATCACCAATTCCAACTGTAAACCCTTCAAAGGCCGCCAGCCAAGCAGCTACAGCCCGTTGTAAAGCATCAATAAAATCAACACAAACCCGCCGGGGTAAGTCATTAGCAATAACATGAATTAAACCACCAGAAGCCGTTCCAACCGTCCGTTTACAAATAATCCCAGCTAATAATTCACCATTCCTAATCACTACACAACTATCATCCTCATTAGCCCAAAAAGGAGCATCAGGAACATGGGCACTATGTAAGCCGTTATAAGATACGGGTGGTAAGGCATGAGAGAAGATTTGCTTCCCAGTATAAAGTCTAATCGGTCTTAAAAGAACTGGCGGGTCTAAAGATCGCCCATTATCCATTGCATAGACTAAATGCTGAGCCTGAGCTGGAGTTAAGAACAGATCTCGCTTAGTTAACTTATAAAGACCTAAAAGTGTATCCTGAACAATCCCCATAACCGGCCGATTACTTTGGGGTGAAACAATGTTCTTCTCTACTAAAGCTAATTCTCGCAACTCAGTCTGAGCCGGTAAAGATTGTGGTAAATGCAAGTTCATTTCATCCCCATCAAAATCAGCATTATAAGGTGAAGTCACACTTAAGTTCAGCCGAAAGGTAGAAAAGCGCATAACTCGAGCCCGATGGGCCATCATCGACATTTTGTGCAAAGAAGGCTGACGATTGAACAGAACTGTATCGCCATTTTTAAGGTGGCGTTCCACAATGTACCCAACTTGTACGTTCATCTCCCCCCGATGAAAGCGCAAGTCAATCCGCTGTCCATCATCACGAATGACGTAATTAGCCCCAGGATGAGTATGTGGACCCCGAAAAACAGCCGCTCTAGCTTCAGCTAAGTTATACTCAGTAACTCGTTCTGGGAAGGTCAACATCTTAGCAATCTCTTCTGGAACTCCTACTTCATTCATACCTATGTTAGGATCGGCTGTAATAACCGTTCGGGCGGAAAAGTCCACTCGTTTACCCATTAAATTACCACGTACTCGTCCTTCTTTCCCTCTTAAACGAGCTCTTAAAGACTTTAAAGGCCGCCCGTTCTTCTGAAGAGATTGAGGTTGACCAGAGATATCATTATTCATAAGAGTAGCTACATGAAATTGTAATAACTGTTCGTAATCTCGGGTAATATGTCCTGGAGCTCCTTCTTGCTCGTATCTTTTTAAGTTATTACTGGCCTTAATGATATCAGCTAGTTTATGCGTTAAATCATCTTCACAACGCAAAGATCCCTCCATAGTAATTGAAGGACGGACTTGAGGAGGAGGAACAGGTAAAACACGAATAATCATCCATTCAGGTCGAGCTCTTTCTAAATCAAAACCAAGAGCTTCAATATCTACTTCACTAATTCTTCTCAGTATCTCTAAAGCCTTCTCAGCCGATAGAACTGTTTTACCTTCAGCTAGTTCTTCTCCTTTTTGGAAGGCAAGTAAATGCAGACCTTCACGACGAATTGTTGGCTGCCGATTACCACACCCACTACGAACCTTCTCTCCTGGTGTTTCTTCTAGACCGGGTAAGACTTCTCCTAAACAGACAGCTCTATTCTTAGCTAAACCCCAAACTAGATTTAAACGACGTTTACGTTCCTTTTGATTACGTGGTTTTAAAGATGGCAATTGTTGCTTCTCAATTCTGAGTTTAGAACAGAAGAAACAAACAGATTCTAAGATCTTCTTTACTTTGGCTAAGAATCCGATATGAAAGACTGGTTTTGATAATTCAATGTAGCCAAAATGACCTGTACATTGGTCAAAACGATGTCCACACGTACTACAAAGAAATCCACGTTCAGAAGTACCAAGCCGTAAATCAGCTAGTCCTCCTTCTTTAGGTACCCCATTTTCAACGGTTTCTGGATGCTCAATTTTACACACACTTATAGCCACTACATCTTCAGGTGAAAGTATGCCAAATTCGATACTTTCGACCTTTCTTAGAGGAATTTCACTGCCCATAGTCCTAAAATTTTATAAAATTATATGTATTTGGTTGTTTTAGATAAGATTTGAGTTGGTTTGAGTTGGTATTGAGTTGAGTTAGTATTGGGTTGAGTTGGTATTGGGTTGAGTTGAGTTAGTATTGGTATTGGATTGAGTTGGGTTGGGTTGAGTTGGTGTTAGGGTTAGTATTGAGTTGAGTTGGTATTGGTATACACAAGTTAGTATCTGATTAGTACATAAACAGGTTAGTATATAAACAAGTTAGTATCTGATTAGTACATAAACAGATTAGTATCTGGTTGGTATCTTATTAGTATAGACAAGTTGGTATCTGATTAGTACATACACAAGTTAGCACTGGTTAGTATACACAACTTAGTCTCATATTAGCATCTGGTTGGTATACACAAGTTAGCACTGATTAGTACATAAACAGATTAGTACATAAACAAGTTGGTATCTGATTAGTATCTGGCTAGTATACACAACTTAGTGTCTGGTTGGTATACACAACTTGGCACTGATTAGTATACACAACTTAGTCTCATATTAGCATCTGGTTGGTATACACAACTTGGCATCTGATTAGTACATAAACAGATTAGTAGATACACAACTTAGTATCTGTTTGATATACATAAGAGTTTGAATTAAAGAGATAGATTGATAAAGATGGCCCTATTTGTTTTTGTGAATATAAAATGATTAAATAATGTGAACAAATTTGGGTTAGTGTTGAGTTTGCTTTTTTTTTGATTTTTTAGCGGTTTAATTTCCTAATTAGGAAATTTAAAAGCATAAATATCAAAAATTCGTTGTTTTTTATGCCCGGCGAAATTAAAGAAACAATTGATGCAACTCTCTCTAACTCTGAGGTGATAAACACTAAACTAAGAGATATTTTATACGGCCGAAGTGATCTTAGTGGTATCATACATGGCGTGGTGATTGGTTTGATTGTTGGATTAGTACTCGCAACTGTTATTCTAATGGGCTTTATGATGTGGGAATTATGGAAGTATATCAAGAATAGGCCGGAGAATAGCGACCCCTTGTATGAAATGGAAGAGGGTAGTGTTGACTCAAGATCAGAAAGGTTCGAGGGTGAATTGAGTCGTGAAGGGTCCGAGGATGATTTGAGTCGTGGTTTCTCAGACCGAGATTCATGGTTTAGTCGATCCGAATATGATGATGCTTATTTTACAGACAAAAGACCACGAACTACCGGGCAGACACCGCGGTTTAATGCTTGATATACTCAGAAAGAAGACTTATTGTTGGGTAAGGCGACTACAATATAACCAATATAACCAATACTAACCAAATACTACATCTTCTAAATAAGACCGGCCAAACTAACAATTTAGATAAACCCTTTGCTATTTGGCTAATTAATTGATCTATGCATACAATAAATATGGCACACCGGGTTTGAAAACAATCTTATTTCTTGTTGATTAACTTAATCGAACTAAACATAAACTATCTTGTTCTATTCAATACAACTTCTGTTAAAAGTTGGGATGGCGCACAATATACGCCATTCTTTGCTGTGGGCGCATTCCTCGCGTTATGTCAGTTGCATGGTAATATGCTTCCAGGAAATAAACACAAGTCAAGATATCTTGTTAATCCGCATCAATAGTTCTGAGAACGAAGGCAGCAATTAAATTGAGTTAGTGTAATGCCTAATGAGGGAAGCCCTTCTTAGCCAGTACATAGTACTCTATTAAAGATATTCCTTAGACGAGTGGTGTGTCTTTTATTATATAAATATGGTTGTGTTGAGTTAGTATTGAGTTGAGTTAGTATTAGGTTAGTAGTAGTGGCCAAATTGATCGGGTGGAATGAATGGCGGTCGTATGGACAGTATAATAGTTAGTATTGGGATGGTGCCTTACTTGTTTTTGTGGTATAAAATGGCCGCTTTGGGAAAGAAAAGATCCAGAAAAATCTGATTTTTTTCAACGACTTAATTTCCTAATTAGGAAATTTAAAAGCATAAATATCAAAAATTCGTTGTTTTTTTATGGCCATTGATTTAAAAGACTTAGTCAAAGATTCCCAACAAACTATAACTTCTTTATGCGATAAGATAGTGGACTTTCTGAGCAACCCAAACAACCTTAGTTCGACTATCACACGCATAGCTTGTCTTGCTATTTGTATAATCGCAGTAATCATAATGGTTGTTCTGGCCTACGTTAATGTCTGGCGATTGCGAACGCATAATAAGCGTATGTCTAAACTAAGGTCTCAAGATAGCCGGTCGACTTACCGCTCAAGTCCAGATCACAGCGATTGGTACATTAACGATGGTTTATGGATAAGTAGCCCTCCCCAAGACAATAGACAATCCTTAAGGGGCCAAGATCCTACAATTAACATGTCCCTAGATGATAAGCTCAACCCAAAATCATCGTCTAGTTCAACAACATCAATCCATGCTTCTTCGGAATACTTTAAACAGATGACCGCCACAGCATAGCACAACCAAGCTGTAGCATTTTCTTCTCCACTAATCAATTTATTCCACCGGAATCCATCAGAAAACACAATAAATCATCTAGATTGACAAGACCCTATTTGTTACTTTAACGACATCACAAGTTAGCATCAAACGTTGCTGGACTGGCACACTCAAAACACAGACTATATCTCTTAAGTCTGATGCCGTGCCAAACCCAAACACTCTCTTTCTCTCCAAACAACTTGGCTCTGGAGACAAACGAAGTTGCTAGATGGGCACATAATAATATATCAAGAGAAAAGATTCAAACATAGCTGTTCGGTACCTAACTTCGGCATTAGATCGTTGCATTTATTTATTCGTACACGTATTTATAGATAACGGCTTGTCGTAGGCAGCGATACATCTATTAAATCTACTTCTTAATTGAGTTACTGTTGGGTTGAGTTAGTATTAGATTGGGTTAGGAGTAGACAACAATAGGTGTAAAGATTTACATAGCCGGGTGTATACTCTTATTCTTATTGGCAACTATTTACAAAGATCAGCTAATTTCCATATCTATTATGCGATAGATGCAGCTAAATAGGAAGTTATTTTGAGAGGCCAAGCATGAACTGTCCTTTTTATTCTTGGTTTCGAGTTAGTACTGGTTTAGTACTCGGATACTAGTCCAAATGACTATAAAGGATTAGTATTGTTGTAAGAGTATCAATTAATTTGATTTTTATAATATAAAAGATCCAGAAAAATCTGATTTTTTTTCAACGACTTAATTTCCTAATTAGGAAAATTAAAAAACATAAATATCAAAAATTCGTTGTTTTTTTATGGCCATTGATTTAAAAGACTTAGTCAAAGATTCCCAACAAACTATAACTTCTTTATGCGATAAGATAGTGGACTTTCTGAGCAACCCAAACAGCCTTAGTTATTCTCTTGTGATGATAGGTTGTGCTCTGTTATGCATAGTCCTTGTAATAATAGGAATTATCCTAACCGTCGTTACTTGCCGGCAATTGAAGAAACAAGAGTTGGATGCTCAAGCTCTTTATACTCCCAATAAAGCCAAGCCAACCAGGTCCGATGCTTTATCTTCCACGCATACGACAATCCCGATGTTTAATGACAACGACAAGTTTGATCAAAGTCATTGGTATGATGAGTACACAGACAAACAATGCACGACGACCACATTTAAGCCCCGGGGCCCAAGACGAGAGACATTCGTATAATCTATTTAAATCCCATTCTATGCGCTCTGACTAAGAGTAGCCAAACCAACAGCTGAGGTAACTTCATGACTAAATCATCAGCACACCAGATAGCATATACAATAAACATCTATTTTGGAAAGACAATAATCTAATTTGGCAAACCAAATACTAACTCAAAAACCCTCTTGCTTTATTCAAAGTAACTTCTATTTAGACCAGTAACTCACTACCAATACAATACAAACACACTACTAATACAATACTAATACAATACCAACTTATACCAACTCACTACCAATACAATGATATATAGATTGGGTCTGGTTTTCTGTGTAAATAATGTGAGTATGTGCACGGGATGATCTTAGGTGAGGTAGGACGGCCCCCAAAGAAGATAGTCCGGATCAAGTCGCGGGGCATTCTGGGACTTAGCAAGCTTCTGCAAGGCCTCATCACGAAGAATGAAGGCTGGCACTCCGTTATAAAACATCAACATTTTGTGGGTTTGCAAGGTGTGAAGAATATCCTCAGTCGTAATACTTGACATATCGCGAATATCATTAATTGAAATAGACTTAGAGTGTTGCAGGATTTCAGTGACCTTTTCAGCCCAATACTGCCGATAACTAAGCAGGCCAAGATCTGAAAGAGGCTTCTCAGGCGAAGCAGCGACTCTTTCACGTTTACTAAGCAGATAAGAGAAATCAATCAGCAGTCGGCCATACCCTTTTCTTTGGTACTGAGGAAGAATAAGAACACAAGCAACATTATAGCCATGCTGAGACTCTTTTTCTTTAGAGAAGTACCCAACTAGCTTATACTGCCGATCCTCTTCTGAATCAGCCGGATTATAAATACACATAACATAGAAGAAGAAGACATCAATATCGTAGTAGAGAGTTTTGTGGTCAAGAAAGAGTTTAGACAGAAGAGAAAGATTCCGGGCATAATTAACATGAATTTGACCATCTAGTTCAAAGAAAGCAATTCCGTCTTTACGGTAGATCTGTGCCCCAGGAGGTCTATTAAGACGACAGGTCTGGCGGTGCTGAGTAAGGTGCTCAGGAGTACTAAAGTAGAAGAGACAGTATTCACAGAGAATAATGTGTTTGTTCTCAGCAAGTGTATGGGGATAGGGCGAAAAGTACCAGGCATTAAGAGTATACTCACCCATTTCAATGGTTTCAATGTTTTTGACCTTATAGATATCTTCAGTAGTTAGAGCAGTTTTAGAATGTGTTGGTGCTTGGAGTGCCTCTGCTTCTTCTTTCTTAGACACATACTTCTTCTTTCGTGGATACTCTATTTTAGAAGGATCTTTACAGTCAATGCGAGTTTCGGGGATCCATTCATCAAGACGTTTGTTAAATCCGACATAATGAACATAGTATTCAGGGTTACCGATTGAGTTTTGGCGAATAGCAACTATTTCAGCCAATCTGTGGGTCTTTTCTTTACCAACTAGAACGGCAACAGGGGCTTTACAGCCAATGACAAGCTCTTTCTTATGCATAAAAATAAAGGGGTTAGTATTGTCTTACGTCATGTTATATTGAGTTGAGTTGTGTTATGTTAAGTTATGTTCTAGTGGTGTTTTGTATCGTCTTACGCTATGATATATTGAGTTGAGTTGAGTTAAGTTGTATTGTAGTAAGTTGAGTTAAGTTGTATTGTAGTAAGTTGAGTTGAGTTATGATATGTTCTGGTGATGATTTGTATCGTCTTACTTTATGATATATTGAGTTGAGTTATGTTAAGTTGTATTGTAGTAAGTTGAGTTGGGTTCTGGTGATTTGTATTGTCTTACGTTATAATATGTTCTGGTGGTGATTTGTATTGTATTGTATTAAGTGGAGTTAATTGGGTTAAGCCATCTTATCTTATCTTATCTTGAGTTATAGTGATAGGTTATGCATTTAGTTGGCTTAAGGTGGAGTGGAGTTAGTAGTACGCCGCCCAATACTTAAATAACACTCAGCTTATCTTATCCCAACCAAACCCAACTCAACCAAACCCAACCCAATACTAACTCAATACGAACACAACACAACTTAACACAACTTAACACAACTTGAACTAAACATTAAATCATAACTCATAACCTTTATTGAGTGGGAATCGTTGAAAGAACCCGGGCGAAGACGGATTCATCTTCACGAACAAACTTGCGCATTTTCTTGATATAAGATAAGATAATCGCTGAACTGGGCGCGGCTTCATGAAGAGTGTAAAGGAAGGCAGCAATAAGAGGAGGAGTACCGGCAGCAACAATATTAATGGGCAAAGTATGCGGAGCACCGGTTTCTTCCGTGGCTTTAATGGCCGAACGTAGACACATGTCAGCATAGGAGTAAGCCGATGCTTCCGTACAAGGCGTTTCGCTAGGAGTCGTACTAAACGTTTGTGGAGGCGTGCCTGGGAAGGGCAGACTAATCGCCGGACCACCTTCTTGCACTGATCCGGACAGGAAAAGAGCCCGATAGATCTGGTTGACAAAAAGAAGTCTTTCTTTATCACCAACACCCGTTAGGTCCAGATTAGCAAAGAGATCAGCCGCCGGGCTTTTATAACCAGCATTCTCCGAAGAAAGACCCAGTAAAGCAATATACTTCAGAGCATTAGTTGAGAAAGGATTGTTTACTTCGGCCAGAATTTCATGACCAGCAATCTTCTCATCACTAACTAAAGCCCCACTAAGACCCGCACTGACAAAGTGGTAGAAGAAAAAGCACTCAGAAACCATCTTACTCGGACTACGATAGATAAGAGAAGCATTTGGTTTACGCGGATCAATATCAGCCGTAGATATTTGTGCCTTCATAATCAAGTAAAGAAGGTCCTTAACATTCAAAGCAATCTCAGTACTCAGTAAAGCCGCCGCCTTAAAGAAGTACCCAAATTCCGGCGTATCAACCAAGTGCGGCACAATATTCGCATGGGACTTCAAAGAACGAATGACTTCATCAAACAAACCGACTAAACTCCGGTTAATCGCTTCATTCTTAAGCTTCGGGTCATCAGCATAGTAGTAAACCATAAGAGTGGCCAGTAAAGCATAAAGAGACTCCATTTCTTTGAACAAACTCACCGATCGTGGTGTCACTACCTGGTTCCGGAAGAAACTATGATAAATCCGCTGATTAGCCGCTAGAATATCCAAAACCGTATCTAACTCTCCCAGGGAAACCAAAGCCGCCATCAAATAAAAGAACCGACTGTTAATTGCATTCGAGATCTTCTGAACCACCGACTTATTCTTAAAGAACTCCCGAATAAAGTACAAAGTACTACAACTCAAAGAAGACTCCTCCTCAGCCAAAACCCGGAAGAGAATACCCATCAAGTGCCGAGAAGCCACCGTTATTTGCAAGGCCGGCGGCAAGAAAAGACACAACCTAAAGACCGAATGGGCCCCTTGCAAGATAGCTCCCTGCCCCATAACCACCGGCAACAACTCGTCCGGTAAGGCACTAATTGGACATTCCGTATACAAAGTCTCCTTCTGAATCGAGTAGGCACAAACTTGCCGAACCGTTGCAATAATACCCGTAATACTCTTAGCCAAGACTAAATTACGCTGAATACTACTAGCAAATCCCGACTGATTAGTGGCCGACTCCTCTAAATTAGTCAGAGTTGAAAGTAAGGCTAAATAACCCGTTGTAATCAAAGGATTACTCGTATTCTGCACTAGTGTATTGTAAGCATCCAAAACCGGCCCCGCAATATACTTCTGAAAATGATAAGAATTCTCACTTACTTCCACCACGTACCGCCGCATCATCTCATTAATAAAGTCCAAAACCAATACCGGATTGTGTTCCCGGGCACTCAATTCCATCTCATCTTCATTCTCAGCCTCAACCACATCTAACTCCAACGCATTAATAATATTAGCCAGTACAGCTTCCGTCCCCCGATGTTGCAAGGCATACCGGGCTAAAGGATAGATATTACTCGGCGTAACGGCCATTGTATCTGCCTTATGCAAAATCACCTCTCCCTCCACTAAAATGTTCAGAATCTCCGCTTGAATATAAGCCGGCATCTCTTTCTCCACCAACTTAACCATCATCTCTACCTCATCTTCATCAAAGATCTCTTCCAAGATACTCTTCCCAGCAATTTGAGGTTCTTCCGCCTTACGCATCCGCAAGTACTTCACTACTACCTTTAAAACTAACTTGTACAACGCATAACTCTTCTCACGTTCTTCACCCGATTTCTCACTATCTTCATGGCCTGATAAGCGGACCAAAATATTCTTCGGATTCAACAACGCATTCTTGTACATCTCCTGAGAAGTGTACATATTAGCAAATATCAACTGTACTAAGAATGCCTTATTATTAGTCGCAATAATTCCTTCTACTATCTCACAAATCTTCTCATAAGCCGTCTGCCGACTAATAGGAATCATCGTCTCAATACTCTGATCAATAATAGCTTCTACCGTCCGTAAGATATAAGTCGTAATCCGATCCATCCGTCCAATTAATCTAGCCTTAGCCCTAGCTTTTAATCCTATTATCCGAGCTACTTCTACCTTACGTAATAATGATCCACTTCCTATCTGTAAGATATGCAAGAAAAGACTCTCCAGTAAAATACCTTTACCCCTATCTAACTCACCCGCACATACTTTTAAATTCCTTGATAACATATCCCAATTATACTTAGACTCAATCCTCTCTATCGCCGTACTAATCACTCCCTCCCCCGTACTCCCTTGACCAGCCATCTTAGCTAAAAGTATCCCCCGGACAATTAAAGCACCTAATGCATGTCTTTCTACTATATTATACTCTGAAACTGACTCAATCTTCCCCACTCGACCCAATAACTCCCCCAGTCGTTCTAAACTCCCTAAAACTTCCCTTTCCTTAACCTCTCCATCACGCATTACTAACTCTTCCAATAAACCAAAACTTTCCCGTATCTCCTCCCGAATCCCTTGAATTTCACTCTTCCCCTTTTCCTCGGTCTTATTCTTACTAGTCTCTACATCTGTAATCGTCTGGTTACTCTGCATATTTTATTTTTACGACTGACCAATCTATACCTCCTCTCCTCCACCCCTTCCTAACCCCACTTCCACCTAATCCCTTCCCTAAACCTACTCAATCCCTTCTACCCTTCCTAACTCCAACCCAATACCAACCCAATACTAAACACTATCTCTAACTATTACAACGGCTTTTCTACTTTTTTATTTTACTATCCCTGCAAAGTATGAAGTACAACCCCAACACTATTCAGCCTATTAACGGAGAACTTAAAGGAAATGGAACGATTTTCGGAAGAGAAAGAGGACATCCAGTTAAGAAGATCATTTCTCGAAATCAGCACAAAAAAGAAGTAAGGAAGAATCCATCTGCCGTAGCTAAGATGTGCATGGAAAGAGCTGAAGTAGCTAGAAACATTGCAAAGGAGATCTGTGGTATGGCTCCGTATGAGAAGAAGGCCTTAGATTTTGCAAAGAAGGGGGAGGAGAAGAAGATGAAGAAGTTCCTTAAGAAGAGACTTGGGTCTCTTAAGATGGCCAAGCGTAAGCAAGACCGTTTAATGGCTACTTTAAGGCCTCGGCTTTAAAGCACTCTACTTATTGCCTACTGCGTATTAGTTTATGTACTTCGGCTGGGTGTTTAGATGGTATTTAGATAGTGTTTAGATAGTATCTAGATAGTATTTAGATAGTATTAAGATGGCTGGCCAATTAATAAAGACGTTTTGGGTTTAGATTGAGTTGGTTTTGAGTTGGGTTGGTTTGGTTTTGATTTTGATTTGGTATTGATTTGGTGTTTAGATAGGGTTTAGATAGTATTAAGATGGTATTGTGTTGGTTGTGGGTTGGTTTGGTTAGTGTTAGTGTTGGTATTAGTGTTAGGTTGGGTTAGTACAGACTTAACTTAACTTAACTTAACCCAATCCAAACCTAACCTAACACAAACCCAAACAAAACCTAACTTATCTTAACTTAATTAGAGATGTAATTATATATGTATTTGTTATCTTTATCTATCCTAGCCCAAATGGGTTACTTGTGGGTGGCTTCATTTTGGTCGTGGGCGGTTAGTACTTCGGCCATGATGGCATAGAGGGCAAGAGAGATTGTATTGGCTGTGGCGGGTGTAATGGAATTGTCAACTATTAGTAGTAGGGCGGGTTCGGGGAATTGAGTTGTACGGACGAAGATACCTTGGGCTAGTAGGAGTGTGTAGGCGTGCTGAATAAGGAATGACTTCTCGGCTGTTTCTTCTTGAATAACTAGTCGAACAATTGGCGTAAATGAATCATTACGAGCTCTAATACTAACTCCGGTCTTTTTGGCACATTGGTTGAAATTACGAACTAGTGCCGCAACGGCTGGACTGTTGATTAGTGTGTTCTTCTCGCGGCAGAACCGTCGGGCGAATTTAGGTGAGCGGGAAGGTCTTCGTACTGGGAATTCTATCTCTGGGGCATAAGAGAACTCACACTCACTGGAACTTTCTTCCTCACTACTTACCACTAAACCGGGATCTGCTGCAGCCTCCCAGGCGGCAACTGTTTCAATATTAGCCAGACCAAAACAAGTTAGGGCGGCTGGTAAAGAAGCCGAGAAACAGTAAGCTAAACTGCACAGTCTTTGCTGATCAGAATTGACCCGAGTACTGCCACAAAATCCACCGGCTGATTCGTACCCACCAGCTAAAGATCCAATCCATAAATCAATCTCAGCCGGATCAATCCCAAAGAAACCCACTGAACCGCGTGTGCCCAGCATAGGAATAGAAATAGACTCGTCCAAAATCAAAAAGGCCTTATGAGCCTGTTTGGTTCGTACAACAGCTCCTAAATCGGCCGTTTCACCCGTTTCTTCAAAGATACCTTCCGTAATGATAAACATCCGGCTAGCTTTCTCCAAAGACAATTTCGCATTCAAATCAGAGGGAGTTGTATAAGAAATAGCTTTCGCCTTAGAAGCATAAATGCCCCGTCTAATACTAACGGAAGACCGATAATCATAAAAGATTACATCACTTCGTTTACAAAAACACTTAATCACACTTGCAATCGCTAATAAAGCATGAGCATACAACACAACCCCTTCCACACCCAAAGATTGTGCTAAAGCTGCCTCTAAATCCAACTGTACATCCAAAGTCCCATAAAACCCACGCGGCCCACACGTACCAACCCCGTACTTATCCACTACCGCCTTAATCTCTTTCTTCTTCCGCATCCGATTCTCAACCGTCTCACCAGGTAAACCCGCCACCGGTTCATCTCCTAGACTTCCCCCATTGAACAAGAACGGCGTAAAAGAAGATAGAACATACTTCACCTTACCTATCTCCGGCTCAGCCACTTCCTCCCCCAGCTCTTTCGGCTCCCATTCCGCAATCAATTGTTCCGCCTCACCATCCGACAAAACTATCTCCGAATCAACACCATTCCCCCGCCGCGAAAATGCATACCGCAGAACTACCCCCAACAATAAGATCTCCAACACAATCCTAATTGGGTTGTTCTGGTAGGGGTCCTTAAGCGCACAAAGCACCGTCCATACCATTGACATCATTGTTTTCCTTAAATTCTCCCAATTAATCCCATCCCCTCCCCTTCTAGACCTACGACCATTCCCTTCTAGACCCAGTCCATTCCACATACTATCTCAACTTATACTATCTCAACTTATACTATCTAAACCTAACCCACTCCAACCTAAACCTACCTCAACCCTACCCAATACTAACACACCCCTATCATTCCCTGTAAGGAAGTCCCTCCTAACCAGCACCAACTCAAGCAAAGACAACGAAACAAGCCGGACTCTCTATTCTTTATTCATATAACATTGAGTTGAGTTGCGTTGGTATTGTATTAAGTTAGTATTAAGTTGAGTATCACACTTAGGTATCAAAAAGATGTAACGTTTGGAACACCTCTCTTAGATTTCTCAGACAAGCACATATCTTTCTCAGCAAAGTTCTAATTCTTATCTTTCAAAATGATGCCTATCTTAATACCCATAACTTCTCTACCAAATACTAACCACCAACCCAAATACTTATCTCGTATTGCCTAATTGGGAACTAAAACATCACATAAAACAGATGATATCGCATAATAAATACCAACTTAGCACTACCTAAAGAGTATTGATAGCTTTTATACACAACCCGCATCCCTACTTAGATTAACATCAGTTAACCCAATACTAACACCATAACTCAACAAACTCAATATAACCTAATCTAACACCACCATAACTCTACTATCACCATAACTCTACTCTACTCTACTCAACCCAACCCAACACCACCTCAACCCTACTCAACACCACCACAACCCAATACTAACTCAACCCTATTGAACGTTCGGTACTATTTATTATTGCCCATACCCCGGCGCGGGCGATGGCACTGCTGCGACTGTCTATGCTAGTAGCACACACACGCTCGCTGACTCTCTGCCCACTCGCTTATAAGTAGTAGTAAAAGGACTTCTCCCGATAAGACATCTCCGCTGGATCAATAAAGTAAAGATCTTGCGGTAACTCGGTCCCGCCCATTGACTCGCCACTTCCACCCATTAGACTCGTTTCCTCATAAGCTTTCTTAGCCTTATAAGCTTCCACAGCCTTACGCAACATTGTTACCTTATCAGTACCCTTAACGGCATTCCAGAATGAAGTATTCTCTACGTTTAAGAATGCTATCTTAACCGCCAGTAAGTTATCTTCATTCATGTTCTCCCAACGGCCTAATCCGAAAGATTGCTCATCAAAATCACTACTAAAGACCGAATACTTAAGTTTAAACTCCGCGTCAATCTTATCATAATCAATCGTTTCAATATCCACTCGAACTTTGCACTTCTTAGCTACTCCTTTTTGCGTCCAGGTCACTGTAGCTGTAGTCGGTGAGTTCTCAATATGACGTTTACGCAAAGTCCCTTCACTCATCTTCTTCATCCGTACAACTCGTCGTGAACTAGTCGATCGATGTAAATTACGATAGGAATCGACTGCTCTTTGCACAATACCTTTCTTACCGTAAAGAAGGCCCGGATTAAGAGCGGCTAATTTCCAAGCTAGTTTGTTAACTTCAGTTTCGTACTCCCAGCGATTACCCATATACTTCTCTGGATCAACATTAGCCCTGGGATAGACACTGTTATCCATTTTGAACTTTTCAGTCATCTTGTCGATATCAACATTTTCGATATCAAACTTGATTGAGAATTCAGTCTCTTCAAAACTCTTATCTATCTGAGGGTCATCGCACATTTTAGTTGGATACTTGAAACAAAGTCGATTCTCGCCATTCACTGGTTTAATGTACGGCTGTGAAGCTGGACGATTTACTACCTTTCTGGGACCTTTGGACTCCTTAGGCCTTTTTAACTCACTTGAGTCATCTTCACCGATCTCTTCAGTGAAATTTGTATCATTATAACTTTCTCGGTCTAAACTACTATCACCATAAACACTTTCTCCGATTTTGGACCTAAATTCACTATGTATTTGAGATTTGATATCCCATTCCTTATCAACTATTCTTTGTCTTCCCATCCCCTGTCTAATACCCCTGTATAACCCAATACTAAAAAATTTAAAAACGTTGGTGCAACGGCTGAGATTAAGTTAATATTATTGTGTGATTTTGAGTGGTTTAGATGTGGTTTAGTAGTGGATGGTCTGGGGTGAAGTGGGGTTTGTTTATGTGAAGTGTGATTTGTTTAAGTTTTAGTTGTTTTGGATTAGGTTTTAGTTAAGTTAAGTAAAGTTGAGTTGAGTTGAGTTAAGTTGGGTTGGGTTGAGTTAAGTTGAGTTAAGTTGGGTTGAGTTGAGTTAAGTTGAGTAAAGTTAATGATACTAATTGGGTGCTTAAATAAAGAAGACTGCTTCATTAATAGGTTTAGATTGAGTTGGTATTGGGTGGGGTTTGTGGAGTTGTGTAGTGTAGAGTAATGTATTGTAGAGTAGAGTATAGTTATGTTGAGTTATGTGGAGTTGTGTAGTGTAGTGTAGTGTAGTGTAAGTGAGTAAGCTGAGTGAAGTTCAGTATTGGGTTAATTAATTAAGTTGAATTAAGTTAGATAGCAATTGAATTAGATAGCAATTGAATTAGATAGCAATTGAATTAGCTACTAACTCAATTAGATACCAACCCAATACCAATCCAATTAGATAGTAATTATAGTGTTTTGTGGTCTATATGTATTTGAAGGATGTTGAGAAGAAGTCTTGTTTATTGTGTTGAGTAGATATGTAATTGGACTTGAATATCTTAAAGTGGGATTATCTGAGTATTACAATAGTATTATCTGAGTATTATCTGAATATTATTTGAGTTTATAATCTAAAGTAAAACAAAAACGAAATTGAACTGAGTTAGTATTGGGTTGGGTTTAATTTATTATTTAAGTTATAATTAGGTTGAGTTGAATTGAATTGAATTGAGATAAGTTGAGATAAGTTGAGTTGACGTTTTCTGGTCTTATCTTGTCTGTTTTGGTTGGTATGGGGTGTGTGTTGAGTTAGTTTGCGTTAGTATTAGGTTGGTATTATTGTGTGCGGCTGGGAGTATAGAGATATGGTATCTACTCATCCTCAAAAAGAAGCAACTTCAAAATACAAACTCAATCTAACAAACAGTTTCAACTTACTCATCTCCAGGCCAAAGACCCATTTATATTTCTAGAGAGTCCACCATTAAACTACAGGTCACGTGCTAAACCAAACTTAACCCACAAGTATTAAGCCAACCAACACACCAAACCTACACCGATTAGACAGCCCAGAAACAAAAGCAAGCAAAGATAAACGCAAGCACAGATGAAATAAACCGACCCGTTAAAACTCACATCTATGATTACTTCGACTACACCACCTAATTAGTACTAAACTGGATAGTATTAAGATAGTATTAGGATAGTATTAGGATAGTATTAACTTGTATCTTTAGTTAAACACTAATTGAACACTAATTGAACACTAAACAAGTCCTAAGTTAAACACTAAGCAGCAGCAAATAGAATGCCAAACCAAGATGTAGTAAATAGCAAAATAAGCAGTAAGAAGTGACACTAACTCAACCTAATCATTGGCGCCTGGGTGGACCAACAATTGAGCTACTATTTATTTTGGGAACCAGCTTGAGTATGGAGTCTCAGAAGGAATGCATTAGACCAGAAGTCCCTCCTAGTAGTCCCGTCCTCGTCGAAAGAACCCTATCAGTCAAGATAGTTTACAATTACACCGAACAACTCCTCTCCCTCGCTTTCAACGAAGACATCATCGCTAGTCTAAAAAAGAAAGCCCACGAACTCTTCGGACTCTCCTGCATTCGCCTCGAGATAGACCATAAACCACTCACCAGTCCATCCCAACTCCTCTCAGCCCCTCTTCCTTCCGTCCTAGTCCTAGGCATCCGCCGCAAATGCTCGCACTCTTCCTGTACTAACCCCATTCTTACCTCTTCCCTCGCCTGTAAGTACTGCACTAAAGCCTTCTGTGCTAAACACTCAGTCCCAGAAGAACATCTTTGTGATAGTCTTGATAGATGCCGTGAAGCAGCTGCCCAGGATAACTCAGAAAGACTACTTAGTGGCGCTAAAACCCGGCGTTGATCGATAGGCCTATTTATGCTTCTTTTTTTTGCTTAGCCATGAAGAACTGGAAGGTACAAGCAAAGACTAATAAGCCTAATAAGACCCCAAAACGAACTAGGTCCCTCTTTCGGCCAATTACGGCCCTAGCTGTCTTAGCCGTTCTTATCGCCATTTATTTAGCCGGCGGTGCCAAAGTAATAGGCGACCGTTTAGCTGCCATTGTCTGGGTGCGTAAGATGCAAAGCTCTCCCTACTGGTCAGGAGCTGTTCGTTGTACTTCCGTTGTTATCCAACACTTAAGAGCTCTTTGGCAATATCTTAAGCAAATGTTATGCAGTGTAGTAGAAAGAGTGCCGGTTTTGAAGAACGGTTTAGCGAAGATGTGCTGTCTGAGCAAATGTCTTTCGGCATGGATTCACCAAAACATCTGCCAGCGCATATCAGCTGTTATATCCTGTGGAAAGTCAATGGCTGATAAGGCGCAGGAACGAGTTAAGTCGGTTAAACAGTCTTTATAGGTCGGATGGTCTTTAAGTCTTGCAGCCGGTTATGGTAAAGCAATAAAGTCTGCTAGCTTCGGCGGCACTATCTAATTTGCTATTCAGTTGGTGTTAAGTTATGATTGAGTTGAGTTATGATTGAGTTGAGTTATGATTGAGTTGAGTTAAGTGGAGTTAAGTTATGATTACGTTGGGTTAAGTTATGATTGGGTTGAGTTATGATTAAGTTGAGTTATGATTGAGTTAAGTTATGATTGAGTTATGTTGAGTTATGTTATGTTATGTTATGATTAAGTTAAGTTATTGTTATGTCCATAGGAAGAAAGATCCCTCTTAATCCTAAACCAACTCAATACTAACTCACTACTAACTCAATCAAAGATAAAGAAACGTATTGTATTGGGTTACTCAGATAGTAAGTATGGTATTAAGGTGGTATTAAGGTGATTGTCAAGAATATGCAACGTTTTGGATGTGTTCTTTAGATTTATCAGTTAGAGACTCACCTCTTCCATCAGACATCTAACACTCGCTTATCTCGTTGAGATCTAGATGAATCCCTTTGAAAAATCTCTCTCATATCTTAATCTCAATCTTTATCTAATACTTGTAAATTTACTACCAACCACCAACCTAATACCAACCTAATACTAACTTAGATGATGTCGAACAATAAATGCTTACTTAATACCATCTTAATACACTACACTAACCCAATACCAACCCAATACCAACCCAATACCAACTTAATACTATCTTAATTTAACTCAAGTTGACTAAAACAAGTACGTTAAACCTATTTATTGCTGGGGAGGAGAGAACGCTCGGTGGGGTTGAGGAGAGAGTCGGGGAGGAACATAATAGTGACGGGCTTATCTTGATCAGTGGTGAGATCAAATCGGCTGTGAAGATAGAAGAGAGGAATTCGCTTCTCTTGGCAAAGGCCTGGGAAGTGAGCAACGAGATCAGCTGGTGAGACATCATTTGCTAGAAGAACTAAACCAGTTGGATTAGTACGAAGAATCTTTTGAACGGCTTTAATACCTCTCTTGCATCCGGACTCATTTATTTTAGGACGGACCATAGCAAGAACATCGGTTGAAACATAGAGCTTCTTAAAGTGGTCGGACATGTATCTGTAAAAAAAACAGTTACTGGGTTATGGTGGGTTAGTGTTAGTTTTGATTGTAGGATAGAGTTGTAGAGGGTTAGGTTGTGATGGGTAGTGTGATGGGTAGTATTGGGTTAGGATGGGTTGGGTGGGGTAGAGTTGAGTGGGATAGAAGAGAGGTTAGTATTGGGATAGTAATGCTGATAACAGGTAATAATAAAGGAATGACTGGGTTAGGCCCAACTTAATAATTAGATGTAATGAGTGATAGTGGTGGGTTAATTAAACAAATCTACAAATGAAATGGAAGAGTAGAGATAGTGCTGTTACAGAAACTACTCCTTCTTTTACACGAAACCCTTTATTCATTGATTGGTAAGCTCTTACATATTTGTTCATAATTCTACAATACTATCGTAGCCGTATTGGTTAGTAAAGAACTCGCATGATATCAAATCTTATCCAATATCAACTCGAAGTTACTAAAATTTGAATATGACGTCATCATTACATCTACCATTGTGTACTTGTAAGAAAAACACGATTATATTATATTGAGCTATGTCACTGATGCAATTTGTATTAGTTACAGGAACCGTTCCTACCCAAGGACATTATAAAAGCCCAGTTAGGAAAGGATTAAAACAGTCAACAAAATCAAAAGATCAAAATCAGCAATAATTGCTATTTATAAATACTCATAGATAAAAAAGCGTTATTTCCTTTTTAGGAAATTTGATGACGGATAAATCTGTTTTTTAGTGATATAATAATGTACTCAAAACCACAAGATAAGAAAGCAAATAGTGAAACAATGAGTAGCCCCAACAATGTCTTTGAGGAGTATGTTTATTCTGCCAAAAAGCAAGCTGATAAATTCAAGAAGCTCATTCCACTAAATGGATTCTATCTCTTCCGATTTTTGTTATCTCCCATTATCACCGTCATAACTATCTTCTTTATTAATCTTGCTTGCATCACTGTGATGGACGCGAGTGGCAGTAGGTTCATCTTAGTTATAGTAGCTCTAATAGTTTTGGCGCTTTGCTTCTTAATTCAGCTTATACTAACTATCGGTAGTACTATCGTTAGATATACCCTGCAGAACAAGTTAAATGAGATAACCCCGCCCAGTGCATACGTACTCTCAAGAATATTTAAAGCGGTAGTGATGTTGCTTCTGGGATGCGCTGTTCTTGTCGGACTAATGTTCAGTCCTAGCGTGGTAAGCCCAGTCATTTGCTTTACTTCTGTTGTGGTCTACATCTTGATACGGTCCTTCCAGACATATTCCATTTGGAGGAGCATGCGAAAGGAGAAGGCCGATGGCATTCAGTTGTCTCCAGCCCAAAGAAAAGCCGCGCTCTTAGCGATGCTTTTCCAAATAACTAAAGTCGTAGTTGTTTGCTTGGTTCTGGTGGGAATGATCATTGCTATAACTCAACCTAATGGTCTTAACTACTTCCGGCTTAGTGATGAAGTAAAACAAGAGATTTATCGCAGCTGCGAACAAATTCGCAAGAGGATAGGCAACTAAGTAGAGCTAACAACAAGTGCGCTTTTTCATAGATATAATAGGGGTTATCGCGAGCCGGTCGAAACAAATTAACGTATTTGTTATATATTCTGTTAAGAACATGTTCGGTCTGAAAAGATGGGAACAAAGGTACCAAATAAGGAAATTCGCCTATCTATAAACAGACTTACGAATAAATAAACCCGGGAATTTAAAGACTGTCTGGGCCATATAAAACAACAGTGCTAACGATCTTCTTTTATTAGATTAAAGGGCTTGCTAGGACTATTAAACCTTACCTCTATTTATATTCATTGTAACTTAGCTGCCAGATAACACTTCCAAATTTAGAGATGGTTTGGCTAGTATACTAACCCAATAGTAAGTCCATCATTTCCTGATAAGCACAGCAATTGTGTTACCCCATCTTAAGTAACAAACAGGATCTTAAGTACTAACTGGTTGTCTTTATTTAACTGTCCAGATGTCTGAAGGCTTGCTATTGTACTAAGAATCAAAGGCAAAGGCCATATTTAGCACAGCTTATGAATAAGAATTAAAAGAAGGAAGATAATGATTGTGGTGGTTAGAAAGACTGCGGCTTTTTTGGCCTTTTGAACGCGAATACGAGAGATGGCTATCTTCTCAAGAGACTTTTCCGTAATCTGTGCTTGGTTGCTGGTGCTTTTAACATCAACATGAATACGATCGACCTCACAACCGTTAGTTGAAATGTAATCAACCAGATCACTTGAAACCTCCTTAATCTCTTCGATTCCATGAAGAAGCCCTTCGATAGAGAGTCTTCTCTGCTCGGCCTGGAGAATAGTTTCTTTGGTGCGGCGGTTGCCAATGGTGAAAAGTGATTGAAGAATAGGGCGGCCCCGTATTTTATCTTCTAGATCTGCGAGTTCGTCTGGAGTGGCCTCTGGCTTAGCAACTAAGTACTGAGCATGCAAGCGCTCTCTTTGGGCCCGAGTAAATCCTTCTTGAATGCGTCGAAAGTCTTCAATGGCATGCGTCAGCCGGCGAACTAGAGTTTGAAAATGCGTGTTTCGAGTGGTGAAAGTACGGTCAAGGCCGTGGGTTAATAGATGGGCTTCGTTGGTCTCTTTGAGCTGAGCAAGAAAGCGACGAATCTCTTCTGTGCGCGTTTTAAAGTCTTGCTGAATGCTTTGCATGGCCTCGGCTGTGTCGGGGGTGGGCGTGGTGCCGGCGGTGTTTGTGTGAATGCGTAACGCCTCGGCGGCCTGAACGCACTCGGTGAGCTCGATGATGCGGTCGCTTGCTTCTTTGGCCTGGTTGAGGAACGTAAGAAGATTTGCCATTGTGCTGAGCAGGAGGCTTCTCTTGTAGAGTCTTCGTCCAATGAGACGAATCAGAAGGGACCCAATTGGCCGGTGTTCTGGGCATCAAAATATCCGGTATGTGACTGTCGATTTCTAGCTCCGCATCCTGAATGGCTGTTGTGCACAGTTTAAATGATACGAGCAGTGCCACGCCAGACAAAACACCTAAGACCAAACTACTCCAGCGAAGACCTCTAGGTTTCTCTAACAGAGCCAGCACACTATAAGCAGCCGTATACGCCAATTGCACCAGGATTCCCAAAATAAGCAGCAGATAAAACCGCGTGTTCAAATAAAAGACCAAATGATCTGCACTATTATGAATCTTAGGTGTCACCATCTCAACAATCACCATCGCGCCGGCCAATAAGCTAGTTCCCAACAAGCTAAGCCAGTCTTCCTCAGTCAGCCCACTACTAATCACCAATAACAAATGAGCACTAACAATCAAGGCCAAAACCCAAAAAGATCGATCTACATGGTATTCCACAACAACTAAATCCAACCCCAAACCCAATAAAGGCAGCGAACGAGCCAAAGCCATAGCCCACCGCCGATAAGAAAGACACTCTACTATAAAGGAGACAAAGACAAACCGGGCATACCAGCTAAGTATTGTTGATCCTCCTTTTGACAGCAGTAAGGCCACCAGACCGGCCGAGGCCTTATAAGGATTAGCTACCAGCGTCGGCGGCCTTATTTCCAGTAATAGCCGCCAAAACCAATGCCGATTTCGCTTCTCCCCTCCACCGCCCTTAACCTCACAACTTTTAGCCCCGCCACCAGCATCATTCTGTAAGGTCTTAACTTCGGCCCCTTTGTTTTCCAGTTCCTTCCTGGACTGTCCGACCGCTTGCTTCATTTGAAACACCAACGATAGACCTCTTTACACCATTCCAAGACGTTTCCATGGTAATACCAGAGACAAGAGCCACCTCGCACTAGTCCAACAACCAAATACAACGGCCAGATTTCCAAAATAAACGAAGCCGCCTCAACAGCATCACAAACCAAAATAGCACCAGCCCGAGTATACATCTTAGCCAACTCACCACCCACACTACCTCCAGCCTTCCCTTCCTGTAAATTCATCCGCCGCTGATAAGCTCGGTAAATTCTATAAAAGACCTGGGCAGACAGGCCAAGTTCACCCAGCAAATAAAGCGACTCACATCCCCGAAACAAAAGCGACGATCCACTTGCCACCATTACACCCGAAGAGACTAATTTTAACCCCCGAACCAAACACTCAGCTACTTCTGACCCACTATCCACTCGCACGCCTCGTTCCCGAATCTCATCCAAGGTCAAGAAGATCCGTGCCGAATGCATCTGTGCCAAAGCTCGTCCAGAAGCACACCCCAGAACCAACCCCACCGAAGCACACGTTCTACCCAACAAATACCGAGTAAATTCACTACCAACCAAACCACCCGGTTCTTTACTCATCCCAAGCATCACACTAATAAAATCAAAGCAATCCAGATATACTCAATCTCATCTCATCCACACCCCACCCAATACTATTCCCATATTATTTTCAGTCCATTCCAATCCAATCCATTATTTCCAATCCAATCCAGCCACCATTAACGACTACCCACCCAACTCAACCCCTACACCAATCCAGCAGCCTCACTTTACACCACACTACTTCGCTTCACACCACACCACCAACTTAACCTAACCCAATCAACTATAACTTAGCAATCCAATAGATCAATACCAATTTAATATTTAACTTCATCTTAACTCAATCCAACTCAATTCGACTTAATCCAACCTATAATATAAGACACTACAAATTAACTCAACTCAACTCAATTCAACTCAACCCAATAGAAACAAACTCAATAGAAACAAACTCAATAGAAACATTACACACCTTAAGCATTACACACCTTAAACGCTACACAACCTAAACATTACACAACGCAACCTAAACTAAACTCAATCCAGATATCACTAACGGTCAAAAAATTTAGAAAATGACTGAAACTACTCGGGAAGTTTCTAAACGCACTAGAACTTCTGAAAAGCATCTCAGTCGCTTTGCTACAATGAAGAAGCTCAAATACGAGGAGAGCAAGTACCAGACGCCTATTCCAATGCGTACTTATGGTATTGAACCAGCTCCGCCTCTAGTTGTGGTATTTGGTCCCAAAGATTCGGGCAAGTCTTTATTACTATCTTCGGTCATTCGCAAGTATACGCGGCAAAAAATAGATAAGATTACAGGTATTGTATCTTTAATGGTCGGTAAAGCCAAGAGAATTTCCTTATTTGAATGTCCAGCCGATTTAGTTTCTATGGTTGATGCGTCTAAAGTAGCTGATTTAGTTATTTTAACTATTGATGCTTCAGTGGGTTTAGAGATTGAAACTTTTGAAATGTTGAATCTTCTGAAGACGCATGGGTTTCCTAAGATAACTTGTGTGATAACTAAGTTGGATTTAATCAAGGATGTAAGTCAGCAAAGAGCTTTGGTCAAGAAGATCAAAAAGCGAATGTGGACTGAGATTTGTGATGGCATTAAGATCTTTACAATGTCAAAAATCCTAGGAGGTAGATATCTTGATCGGGAAGTAAGTAATTTAGCTCGATTTGTTGCCCAAATGAAGTACAGACCTATTCTTTGGCGGTCAATGCATCCTTATATTGTGACTGATCGGTTCCAACTTGATGAAGACTTAGCTGTACCTAGTGATAGTAAGGATATGCGGTTGTTTACTTTATTTGGATACGTTAGAGGCGGAGTGGCTTTAAAAAAGACAACTACCTTCCATTTACCAGGCATTGGCAACTATTCGGCCGAATCAATCGAAATAATGGATGATCCTTGTCCTTTAGTTACATCTCAGAAGAAGCGGTTGAGTGAAAGGAAGAAACCTCTTTATGCGCCCATGAGTGATCTACGTGGTATGCGGGTTGATCAGGATGCAGTGTATCTCCAAACCACGCAAGCCATTGCCCCGCCTCTTCCTGAGTACCAACTAACCCCTACCTCTTTCTCCCTCTTCAGCAATCCCCAGCAAGCCTTGATTCTGGACAGTCCAGCCACTGAAAACTCAGCTGATTTTAAAGAGAACTTAGACTTAAGCAATAACCAGTCTGGTTTATCTAAAGATAAGACGGATGGCGATAGAATGAGTGAGAGTGAAGATGAAGGTGAAGGTGATATGAGTGATTTTGATGATGAAAGTAATTTAGATAGTGAGAGGGGTGAAGAAAGTAATTGTGATGAAGAAAATGATAGTAATGTATCAGAATCAAGTGATGGTCTGACTGAAGAGGCCGTTCGTCGCATGTTTAAGCAGAAAGAAGTCACGGAAGAAGATTATATCAACAAATTCAATGAAGAGTACCACGAGGAAGAAAAAGATACTCGTGATATCTTTACTCAAGAAAAAGATAAGGTCAAAGAAGCCGTTGAAACGTCTATGGCCCTTTTAGCTAGTCATACAGAAGATAAGCGTGTGCATATTGAAGGTGTTCCACCAGGTAAATATGTTAAACTAACCATTCTTCTACCTTCAGACACAATGCAGGCATATCGACCCACCAATCTCTTTATCTTAGGTGCTAACAAAGAAGAAGAACTTTCCTTAGCTTTTGCCCAGGGCCGAATTAAACGTCATAAGTGGTTTAAGAAAACGCTTAAAACCAAAGAAGCCCACTATGTTTCCATGGGCTGGCAAAGGTTCCAAACAGTTCCTCTTTTCTTTAACAAGGATCCTATTCGTAATCGGCTGCTTAAGTACATTCCAGATAGTGCAACTTGCCACATTACTTTCTACGGGCCGGTTCATCCGCCTGGAACTGGTTTCTGTCTTCTGCGTAAGCTTGGTGAGAATAAGAACTTCCGGATTGCAGCTAATGGCCTGGAAACAGAAGTTGGCGAGCAGCCTAAAATCATGAAGAAGCTCAAACTAGTTGGGTATCCGCACCAGATCAAAAATCATACTGTTTTTGTTAAAGATATGTTCCATACGATCGATGAAGCCGCACAGTATGAGGGAGCTATGCTAAAAACAGTTAGTGGACTTCGGGGCCAGATTAAAAAGGCGGGTGAGAATGGAGTTTTCCGAGCTAGTTTTGAAGGTGAAATCAAAATGAGTGAAATTATCTTCCTTCCCTGCTTTGTGCCTTTGCCTTGTCCTAAGATTTATCAAAATGCCAGTATCTTTGCTAATTTCCAGGAAATTCGCTTGCTTAAAGAGATCAGAGAAGCGAAAGGTCTTTCCCTCCCAGTTGCTCCTAATAGTGAGTATACGACTGTTGCCGAGCCCGTGCTTAAAAAACCCCGACCTCTTCCCCAATGGCTCCTTGCCCAAGCCCCACTTTCCATGCTTACTCTTCCCAACCCAACACCAAGCACAGATCAGCCAGTCACTCCCCAGGACATTCAACTTAAAGCCCTAGAAGCCATCACCGCAAAGGCCCGAGCTATTCGCCAAGAAAAGCAAGACCAACGTAATGCCCGCATCGCCGAAATCCTCCAAGAAAGAGCTGAAACTCGTAAACGCAAAGAGGACAAGATGCGCGATGAAGCCAAGACCGCCCAACGTCAAAAGAGTAACAAGAAGCACAAGCCCTCCAAAAAAGCCAAGGCCAAGAAGTAAGTATCCACTCACCACTTACTACCTTCTATCATCTCTTTACTACTAGTATCTATTCAATAAACCACCAATAAACCATAACTACAATCAACCACTAATAAATGATTACCACTTGCAATACTTAATTCACCCCATCCTAACCTAATACCACCTTAACCTAACTCAACCTAACCCACTCCAATACACACCTCATCTTACCTTATCACAACTCAACTCAACCCAATACCAACTCAACCCAATACCAACTCACCTTATCACAACTCAACACCAACCCAACCCAATACACACCTCATCTTACCTTACCTTACCTCACCTCACCACAACTCAACTCAACTCAACTCAATACCACCCCAACCCAATACCAACTCAACTCAATAGTAAATGTACACTTATCTTTATTTAGTTCTGTTCTGCTGCAAATACCCGAGTGTCCTGCTGATCTCCTCTTCAAGAGCTTTCTCTCGCTTTTCATCCTCATCCAGATAGAAGTGTATTTTACGCAGATTCTCTTTGCAGATGTCATTCCCTACATCGCTGTTCAAGCTAAGAATGCGATTGGTCTGGGTATCCATCTCTGAAAGTCCTACACCACCTCGAACATGACTTTTCCGACCAGGTCCTCTAATCCTCTCAATCTCATCTTCACTCATGGCTAGCTCATTTTCGTATATCTTGTTTTCATCTAAATCATCAATACTTCCATCTGAGCTCATCTTTAAGTTTTTGAAGAGTTCGTCATCCTTCAATCCGTAATCAATTAGTTGAATATTGTCTATATCAAAAGCCCCTTCTATCTCTTCAAATTCCCGGGGTATTTCGGCTATTTTAGTTACTGGTTGGCCATCGGCCCCTCGAGCTGGCATTTAAAAAAACACTTGGTCCATCGCCCACTTATTTCCTGATTTAGTCTGTTTATTGGACGATTGCTGGTCCCTGATCTCTATAAATGGCAGAAGCAAGCATCATCTATGCCCGAAGAGAAAGCACCCACTGTACTAAACCCCCCCGAAAGTACCACTACGCTTCCACCTACCATAGAGAAGCCCGACACAAAACCAGAGCCCAATAAGCCAGCTGAACCAGCACCTGCACCCAGCACCAACCAGCCTAAGCCAGTTCCAGTTGCCCATCTTACTAAGACTCTTTCCCAAAAGGAAGGTATGAAGCGCAAGAAGGTCAAACTAGGTGAAAAAGACTACTACGTAGTTACTCTAGAAGAAGTCGAAAGATACAAAGACCTCCAGCCCAAATACAAATCCGATGCCATGTCTGCCTACATCCTCTATATGCATACTGAGTTCATCGATGACCTTCTACGTCTACGCAATCCCAGTAAGCTCAAATCTCTAGCCCATGGTGTCGGCATCTTCATCGTTGTCCTAGTTATTTTAGGCATCCTCGGCTTGATCGCATATGCCCTTCTCTCCGGATACTTTAGCAAATAAACAACCACCCTAAAGCAATTCATTATCCATTAAGTTAAGTTAGTATTAGTTAAGTATTGAGTTGAGTTGGGTTGAGTGAGGTTGGTTTGGGTGAGGTTGGGTTGAGTTTGAATTAGATTGAGTTGAGTTAAGTTGAGTTGAGTTGAGTTTGAATTAGACTGAGTTGAGTTGAGTTTGAATTAGACTGAGACTTGATTGACTTAGCATAGTGTTTACTTGGACTATAACCCAATACTAAGCCAAATCAACCCAATACTAAGACAATACTAAGCCAATATTAAACTAATCCTAAACCAACACAACCCAAACTAAACTAATACTAAACCAACCCAATCCAATTCAACACAACACAACCCAAACTAAACCAACCCAAACCAACCTATACTAAACCAACCCAACTCAAACTAATCTTAAAATAAATTACCCAATTCGGATATCAAGTTGTTATAAAAGGAAAAGATCAAACACCATTAAATAAACAAATATAAAATGTACTTCTTAAGATAAACCCTTCCGTTTTGATATGCAGTTGGGCTTTTGATTACTTTTACTTTATGCTAGCCCATTTTATTTTTAATGAAAGGGCCTTTTAGTACGCTAACAGAGCGCTATTTAGACCGATTATTCGAGAATAGAAAGAGTTTGACTATTGAGAAGCTAATTTTAAGCTTAGAGGATATTTCTTCTACTCTTCCCGTTCCAATTAAGAGTGAATTATTAGGCCAAGTAAAGAAGAACTTCTTTGCCCATCGTGGCATCTATATCAATCGCGAGCAAATGAAGAAGATCCTTGAAGTAATAATTAAAGCTAATGCCGGGAACAGTCCAATTACTAAGAGTGTAATTGATGATACAATTAGAGGTCCACCAGATTATGGCTTAGAAACAAACAATACAATCATTGTTGGAGATAAGGATGGCAAAGATGAATCACAATTGGAATTCAAAAGTATTATCAATGATATTGATAAGGGGGTGGAAAAGTTAGAGGAGCAGACTGTTACGGGGATGGGTATTCATTTGGGCAACCAATTAAAGGAGCTGGGGCGTAATGAACTGCGTCGGGAAGATAAGGACAGTTTTTTGGAGAAGCGTATTAGAGACAGGAACAGACGCACTGAAGAACTAAGAGCGATTAAAGAGACGGATATTTGCTCTAAAAGGTACTTAGATACAACTATGTCCCAAATGGGTAACAATCAGCACTTTTCAGAGGTGATAGGTAAGATATCGGATATTTTAGCAAAGAAGGAGCCTGTGACTGAGTCTTATTCGGCTTTACGCGGTCTTAAAGAGTATGAGACCAACTTTAATAATAAGATGATCACTTTATTGAACGAATTATCTGATAAAATACCAGCACCAAGTACACCCAGTCCTAAACCGGCTAATCCTAGTGATATTCTGGCTAAATACGACTCTATCTTTTCACACAGCACACAGCCAGTTAATCCGCCTACTAGTGATATGGCCACTAGTACTACTCCTATTACTCCTCTAAGTAGTCCATTGGAAGAGGTAGTTAGTCCTTCCCAGCGAAATACTATCCCTATGCTTGGTATTGCTGGGGTACTTGGGGGTGTTTTAGGACTGGTCTTAGGACTAGTTTTGAAAAGTAGTTCTTCGCCCTACTGATAGATGCTAAGCACATTGTCTTTGGTAGATGTCTTTGTTTGATTATTAAACGATATCATTTGTAGATTTAGTATTAGATTGAGTTGTGTTTAGTATTGTGTTAGAATGGGGTGGGGTGGGTTTAGTATTGGGTTTGGATGGGGTGGTTAGTATTAGCGATTGAGTAGACGTTCTTTCTTATCTAGGACGACTTGGAGTGAGGCGAGGAGATGGTCTTGAGAAATGCGTGGGCTGTCAGTAGAAGGACACTCCTCTAGACAGATTAGCCCGGCTTCGCGAACAAGTAGGTCTACTTCGGCTCCTGTTAGCCCGGACATAGGTAGCTTGCTTGGATCGACTGTTTCATCAGTGGCTAGTTTGGTTAACTTCTTAGCAAGAATCTCGACTAAATCGTCATCAGAAGGGGCCTCTACTTCAACTACCCGATCAAATCGACCTGGCCGAAGTAAAGCCCGATCAATAATATCTATACGGTTTGTGGCTCCAATTAAGTAGACTGCTCCTCTCTCCTCTAAACCATCCATTTCAACTAGGATCTGATTGACTAGCGTATCGGTGTACCGGCTAGAATTACCACCTCGTCGGCCACAAATAGAGTCAATTTCATCAAAGAAGATCACACACGGTTGTGAAGCTCGGGCTCGAGCGAAGAGTTTTCTTATGGCACGTTCACTCTCTCCGTAGTACATGTTGATTAGTTCTGGTCCTTTAACGGAAATGAAGTTACAATGGGACTTACTGGCAATGGCTCGAGCTAGCATGGTTTTGCCTGTTCCGGGTGGCCCATACAGAAGTACTCCGGCCGGTCGTTTAATTCCTACCTGGATAAATCGATCGGGATAGAGAGACGGTTGAACAATTGCCATGTCTAGAACCTTCTTCACTCGATTTAGTGCCCCAATATCATCAAAGTTAGCATCGGAAGTAACCACAAATCCTTCCTTTAACGCACTTGGCTGTACTCGCCCTAAAGCCATCTGAACGTCTTCTTGTGCAATAGCAAAGTTCTCTAGATTCTCTGCTAGGCCCGCTGCAAACACTCGTTGTAGGCACAAATTACCGGCTTCAGTGATTAAAGACCGTAAGTCTGCGCCAACAAATCCTGGTGTGCCCTTAGCAATTGCATAATAGTCTAAATAAGCATGCCTTACTCCCCGCAAGATCTTCTTAACAATATCAAGTCGCTCTAACTCTGAAGGCACACATAGAGCCACCTCCTTCTCTAATCGTCCACTTCGGCGTAAAGCCGGGTCTATCTCACCAATAGTAGTGGCTGTGGCTACTATAATCACTCCTTTTGGCAAACTGTCCATTATCTCAATCATACGGCAGACCACCCGTTTATCTCCTTCACTCTCTAAAGACTCTCGTGGCTGGCAAAATGTATCTATCTCATCAATGAACACAATTGAAGGCGACATTGTTTCGGCTTTTTTCAACAAGTCCTTAGCGGCATCTTCGGGTGGATTTCCTTTGGCTACTAAATCGGCTCGGTTTAACCGAATAATTGGCAGCCGACACTCATTGGCTGCTGCCTTAGCAAAGACTGTCTTTCCACACCCGCTTGGTCCATGGACAATAATTCCAACGGCCGGTTTAATACCAATATACTCATAATACTTCTGTTTCTCTAATGGCAACCGAATGCTTTTGACTATTTCCTCTTGTTGCAGAGAAACACCCCCTAAATCCGCAAACTGTACTGTATTTTGCGCTATCATTCGCTCTCGTTCGCCTAACTCTTGTTTTTGCAGATAAGTCTCTCTTAATCGCTTATTGTATTCAGACATCAAAACGTAGGCAAAAAAAGAGGCTACTTGCTATAGTCTTGATCTGGTTACTCTAACTGCTGACTTATTCTTATCGGATTGCAGTTCGGCTTGTTGCTGTCCTACTTCGAACATAATGCCTACACAATGTATCCTAATATTTCCTTATTGCTGGCCGGTTTGCCGCAAAAGATCGACCCCATTCCCTTGTCACAATTGTCCAGCAACTTATAATATTGATAGCCCATTCGGCCACGATCAGATTGACTCAAAACAGTCCTATTGTAGCACTAACTCAAATGATTTATTGGGTTAAACTTAAATGATATGGATGGGGCGAGTGTGATCGTACACTATTTCGCTGCTGATTGTAGTGGCAAAATCAGACCTGTCTCTATAAGCGACGTATAAAAGCACTTGTTCACTCCAGCAACTCATGGTTCTCAGCCATTCGCGGTCAACTGTGACATTGCTAATACTGTCCTCAGCAAAAACCAATGTAGTTAATGGAACACTCATAAGCTGATGAGCATTCTTGTACACTACTGGCTGCCGGCAAGTCGGGCAGTTGTTGTTCTGCATATTCATAACGCCAATTGCACATTTACTATGCAATGGATGCCCACACTTGAAATAACATATCATTACGGGGTGTCCTTGTGGATTTTCATCTTGGCTTTCGGAACCCATACTGGGGCGTGGTTTCTTAGTGGGTGGCTCGTCATCATTATCATTTCCATCTTCTTGGTCTTGTTCTTTAGGTTCGACTTTTAGCCCATCAAGCGCCTCAAGGCAAACTGCGCACTCATAAGGGGGCTGCTGGTGCATGATATAGTTTATAATCTTTCGAATGGATGTCTCAGTATTGGGATAGCTGGGAATATGGTTATTAAGCTCTTCTTGATGACAAATAAATTGGGTTAACAAGGTAGGTTGCATTGTAACAATCGCATGGACGGGATTAGAGACACCCGCTACTAAGATAATGCGGTGTAGTCGGGTTAGTAGGTTTAGAGGGGGTTCATCTGGTGCCGCTCTCTCTACTAGAATTCTATTGAGCATATCTAAATCCTTGAACAAATAGTTGCGCGAGGTTATAACAGCCCGCTCTTCATCAGACACTTTAACATTTGCTAGCCAGATAGTGGCTACGTCCTTAAAGTGGCAGGCCACCCATCGAACAATAGTTACAAAATCAGTATCGGTTAAGAAGAAGGTGTCACTAAATTGCAAAAGTAACTCCACAACGGACTGTCTTTGGTTAGAAGGTGCTTGAGACTGCTGAGAATGTTCTGACTGGCTTGTGTTTAATTGAAACGATCCTTTAATGCCATACTTGGCAAGATCTGTTTTTAAAGCCTCTATAGTAGTGCCAGAAAGCGTAAATTTAGCCCGGTGTATTGGGTTAGTAGCATGCTTTGTTGACGTCCATTTTGTGTAATGCCCAAATGACATGGCCAGAGGCAGAATGCTATAAACTCCAAGCGCGTCTAAGACATCACTATACAAGCTAGTGTTAGCATCAGCTAGTTGCAAGCATAGTTTGTGCAGACCAAGACTCTCTATTGGAGTGTCCTTGGCTACTTCTTCCTCAATATACTTGAACAAGGAGAATGTTGTGATTTTGTCTTGCTGATTGAAGTACTTGACCTCGTCTAGTTCGGGGAAGCCATTAACCACAAGCATCGTTATGTTTTGGGCTTCAGGGAGTGAGAGAATTTGAGCAACGGCTAGATTGCTAAAGTGAAGGTTCAGAAGATGTAGGTGCATTGACTCCGAAAAGATGTACCGTTGTAACACCCAGTAGACAATGGATTCATCAACGTTATCTAGTACTAAAGTACCAACATATAGAGGCCATTTGGGATGGTTGGTAGTGGGGGTTTTTAGCTTGTCCATAACAAAGTTGATGGGGGTTTGGTCATTATCACGAGCATTTGAGATCTTAAGCTTTTGGGCCGTAATGGAACGAAAGGCATTAAGAAGGCGTATGCAGCTGCCTATTTGATTCTCGCATGGAACTCTCCCGCCCTTAATTTCAAGGGTTTTATAGTTTATGTGTTGACAAAAGCACATGTGCTGATGTTCTGTGTAGTTAGTGAGACTGTGATCTAAACTAGCGTGGTTAAGTCGGATGCTAACTGTTTCTTGAAGCTTCCAATCGGGTCCGTCGAGATCCTTGCCATAACATTGCACGTCCCCTAACCAAATAGATTCTGGTATGCGTTTTAAAGCATTGATACCACGAAGCGTATCTAGGGTCTCGAATAAATCAGTACGGTTGTCCTCATAAGCAATATTGATTGTTTCAACCATGATACCGAATTTAGCGTAGGCCTCTCGAGTATAGATTTGTTTATAGTAATCCATGGATTTACACGGGACATCGGCTGAGATGAGGGTCTTGGCCGTAGTAGCAATGATTTTTGGCTCAGTAGGCGCCTCTTTTTGATCGGCATCAAGCATAGGTTGAATCGTTTGGGGTTGAACATCAACTCCCAAAAGCGTATGAACTCGAATCTGAGCCTCGTTGTTATTGCATAGATAAGTTAAAATATCCCAATCAGCCTCCAGAACGAGCCCAGTATGTTTATCAACAGCATTTTCAAGGCCTGTTAGAGTTAGTTTTGCTTCACTAGAAGTTTCAAGAGTGATATAGCTGCATTTGGCCGCTGATGTTTGCAGAACGCCAAGGTCAATATTGATGTCACTAGGAATGTCCAAAAGGTAGATCGAATATCCATCTACTAATGGCAAATGATAAAGAAGAGGGGCATCATGTACTTCATTATCTACTAAGAAAACACCTAAAATCGGCCGCAACAAAACAATACCACGATCTATCAAAGCAGGAAGTCCCAGACTCCTATTAGATGAAAACCTAAGTTGACACTGCGATTTATAAATAGCCCGGTCAATTGTCTTCTGAGCTTCGTCCCGGCAAGCCCCCAAATCTAACTCTCTATTATACGACACAAGATCAGGCTTCAAGCAAAGTTCTAGAGTTGTACAGTCAAATAGATTGACAACTCTTGATAGTATTTGCATATTGATCTGATGGCAATCAAGATTGGACGTCGTGTAAGTAACATAAGCGCATTTACCCCAGAACAACTTAATAACGGCAATCGTTCTTAGCAACTCTAAAGCAGCCGTAGCAGCCCCCACATCTGAATATTCAGGTAGTGCAAAGTAAATATTCGAGTTCAAGGCTACCTCAACCACGTAACTGGCAACATGTGGTGCTCGATTAGCATCCACTTCCAACTCCTCGGGCTGATCAGGATCATTTGGCCTAGCTACTACCCTCGTGTTCTCATTATCAAAGCTAAACCCAATCAATTTCATATTCTCAACCATCTTATTCGAATCCGGCAACCCTATCACATTTGCCGCATCTAACCCAATACTAACCACCCGTGTCTCTACAGTTATTCCACTGGCCGCAACCCAATGCAACCGCACCAGCAAAGTACATAACCCAATAAGCCAACATCTAATCAAACTCAGAGATCGAGTTTTAACTAATTTAATACCAACTTGTTTCTGATTAATCATAACTCCTAAAAAGCAAAATAGCCAACCCAATTTAAGAACCCAAAAAGGAAATTGGGTTACTGATTGGGTAAAAATCACCCCACATCTAAACCCCAACAATAACCCAACCACGGCCCAATACTAACACCACTACTACATATTATGCCTTTATACATGGGAATTCCCATCCCCTCTTTAATTATCCAATCAAGCACTACACTACTGCAACTAAACCCAATATCACCATAAGTCACCATAGCTACAGAATAAGTCATCTTAACTTAACTCAACTAAATCACAACTCGACTAAACCCAATGCTATCTTAACTAAACTAAATCATAAGTCATCTTAACTAAATCATAACCAAATCACAACATAACCAAATCATAACATAACACAACCAAATCATAACTAATTCCATAAAGCTGCTTTATTTCATCTTTGTTCCTTTTCCGGGCGTATCTAAGACTTCACAATCACTCGACTTCCCACCCAAAAGCAACCTAAGCCAAAGACGGACTGACATACTACTCGGCCAAGATGAACTCAACTCGCACAACTACGCTAACCACCCGCCATACTCACTAGTACTTACTTTTGGACAGCTCGCTTCTTCCTCTTCTCAGATCCCTTGGAGATAACTCGAGGTCGAGCTGGTCGGTGCCGATCTCCTGGAACTCCAAAGTACTGATAAGCCTTTCTAGCCTTCAATGGACCTTGGAAGATAACAAACTGATCGGGCGTTGGTGCAACTGAAAACAACTCATCCAACTTAAACACTTGTCCTCCGTACTTCTCAATACGAGCCTTAGCTGCCCGTGAGATATCTAAACAGGCTACTTTAATAGGATGAGGTACCGCAACAATAGAGTCTTCTCCAACAATTTTAGCAACAACTACAGCTATCTTATCTTGGCAAGGAGCAGTATACTCAACAAGCTTCTTTAGATTAACAATTGATCGATGAACTCTAGGCTTCTTTAAAAAGTTAGCGATTTTTTGGTACTCGGCATGAGTAGTTCGCTTAGCAACTGTTGAGAAGAGTTTAAAAAGACTTTGAAGTTCATCATTGTGACTAGTTGGGGCCTTTCGACCACTTCTTACTTTAGAGGGGCGTCCTAACATAACTGGGGCTAAAAAATAAAAGTAAAAAAAGGCATATTGAATGGTTTGGCAGTTAAGATTAGATTAGATTGGGTTTGGTATTGAGTTGGGTTTGGTATTGAGTTTGGTATTGAGTTGGGTTAAGATTGGGTTAAGATTGGGTTTGGTTGGGTTTGAGTTAGATTAGATTAGGTTGGTATTGAGTTGAGTTGAGTTAAGTTAAGTTAGTAGTAAGTTAGTATTTAGTTATGGTTTATTAAGTTAATAGTGAGTAAGTAGTGAGTAAGTAGTGAGTGAGTACTAAGTTAGTATTTAGTTATAGTATGCTGAGATGGTCTGATGGTACTAAGTGGGAATGTTAGTGGCTGAAGTTAATAATGCTAAACTAGTCCTACTTAAACTATCCGTACTTAAACTATCCCTACTTAAACCACTTAAACCATCTGAATATTGGATTGGTCTAAAATAAACGGATTATGGTATCTCTATTTAGTATTGAGTTGGTGGGAAGTGAATTGGTGGGGGCTGAATTGGTCGACAGAATTAGTGAAGGTTTTGTTGATGATGAAACGTTGGTGTCTTTCTTCTTTGCCGGAAAGAAGGTAGAGATTGGAGTTGGTGTTGGTGGGGGTTTGAGTGGCGGTTTCTTGGACTTGGAGGAGGTCGTTGGGGATGGCGTGGTGCTGGTACTGGCCGGTGATTTTGAGTTTGTGGTTGGTGGTGGTGGTGAGGGCAAAGAGATGGCCGGTAGAGAAACCAAGGATAAAGTGGGTGGAATTAGTGCTTGTCGTGCTTGGGTTAGTACTGGGGTGGTAGGACTTAAGCAGAACTGGAGTGGCCTCAGTAGTGGGAAGGAAAGCACTGGCTTTGAGTTTATGAAGGGGAGTGACTTGATCAGTATTGAAAAGATAGAGAGTATTACTAGCTGAAACAACGGCAAAAGTATTAGCTGAGAGGAAAAGAGTAAGTAGGGCCTGGTCTGAATGAGGGAGTTTGAAGAGAAGTTGCGTCTCTTTCTCCAGACGGAAAGCCCGGACTGTATCAGAGAGAGCGGCCGTACAGAGAAAGAGAGTGGGTGGATTAGCTAGTGATGCGGACGTAATGGGTGTATCTGGACCGTAAAGTCCTTTAATAAAGACAAGAGAAAGAGTACGACTGGGAGTTGTAGTAGTGCTAGGCGTAGGACTTTCAGAATTAGTAGTAAGGATGACTTTCCAAATGTAAATACGACTATCAGCTGAGGCAGTGATTAGATCTATTTCGCCTTCGGGCGTTTCAAAGAAGGCAAAATGGACAATACTGGAAGTATGTCGGGTAGCTACTCGACAAATACGATTATCAATAAGAGCTTTAATATGGCCTTTGCGGGTGCCATAGAGGACAAAATCTTGGATGGCAATGATGGCAGTTATAGCGACCTTTTCTTTAGCATGCCTTTGCTTCTTTTTGGTGATTAGATTAAAGGAGAGTAATTCACCGGACTTTTCAGCAATATAGAGAAGATTATCGGCCAGGGCTCCAGAAGTAGGTGGAGATTTGAGGGCAAGAAGTTTAATTGGTGGCTGACAGTTAGTGAGTTCTGAATCCATTCTAAAAAAAAGAGGGTTAGTATTGGGTATATGGCAATTCTTCTTTGTTTGGAATGATGGGGATGAAGGAAGTATTTAAGCAGGAGCGGGGGAAGAGGTATGTTGGTGCTTTGTTGGGTTTAGGGTCGTTGGGAGTGGCTTGGTTGTTGGGATGGGGGTTTTTGGTTTTATCGGGGACATTTGGCGCTTATTTAGGGACTCAGGTTAAGGGGAAGTATTTATGGCTGGGTGAGGGATGGAGGCGGGTTTTGGTAGCGATAGAAGGTTTATCTTCTGTTTTGGTTTTGTTGTTTTACTTTGTAATTCTGAATACGATCTTGTTCTTGCGGGTGGGGGAGCGGCTTAATCAGGAGTACGTGGTGATGGAGTGGTTGGATATTGGGTTTCTTTATGGATATATGGGAGTTTATACTCTTTTTGTGGTGATGCTAGTTGTTCAGACCTTTGCCCAACGGCGCGGTAGTAATCATGAAACGGCCAGTTGTTTTATCAGAGAAAATCAGTTGGCTACCATCGATGTATTATAACTATGGAGTTGGTATTGGGGTGGGTTAGGTTGAGTTGAGTTAGTGATGGGGTGGGTTAAGTTGAGTTAGTATTGGGATAATAAAGATGAAATATAGTGGTTTTTAATGATGTGGTGATTGTTGTGGTAGTTAATGAGGCTTATGTTTGCTTTTTAAATGGATTGGTAGTGTAAACTTTAATCGGTGGTTGTTGGGAAGTTTAATAGTATCAAGTTGTGATATAATGCGCTAATACATATATGGTTGTAAAGAATTGGGTTAGGATCGTAGTGGTTCAGATTATTAGTGTGAAAAGTATTGAGTCTTTTTGGGTTAAATTGATCTGGTGTAATTATGGCCTTTTGGAGTCACTGGCTCTTTCCGGTAGGAGTAGCTTGATAGTAGTAATGGTGAGGTGCTTTGTTAGAGGAAGGTGGCTGGGTGGATGTAATAGTGTGGGCTTTAGATTATAATTAGATAAATATATGGTTGTTAGATAAGGCGTGATTTTTTGAAGAATCACTAACTGAATTTCCTTATTAGGATATTAACTAGGTGAGGTAATTTTACTTTTTAAGACCTATGATTAATCAGAGAAAAGTTTGGATTAGATCAGTTAAAGTTTGGGTTAGATCAGTTGATGTTTGGGGTTTAAATTGGATGAAAGGTTGGGCTGTTGGGCTGTGCGTTTTGTTAATGGGACTGAGTTGTGTTAGGGCCGGTGGGAGGGATGTGGGTGTGGAAGTAAATGGAATTAGTGTGCCACCTTTGGAATTACCGGGTTTGGCTGATATGACGGCAGACTTGACCTGGATTGGGTTTGCTTGGGATACTGATAGTGAACCTATGGAGATTAATCCGTATACCCCTCCTGCTCAGTCGCTAGAACCTATTTCGGAGCTTAACCCGACACTAAACCCCATTAATCGTATGCTAGAACTGGTATTTAGCACACACGTTCACTTTGCACTACCTGAATATTCAGATGTGGAGGCTGCTACGGCTGCTTTAGAGTTGCTAAGAAAGATTGCTGTTATTAGGTTGTTCTGGGGTAAATGCGCTTATGTTACTTACACGACGTCCAATCTTGATTGCCATCAGATCAATATGGAAATACTATCAAGAGTTGTCAATCTGTTTGACTGTACAACTCTAGAACTTTGCTTGAAGCCTCATTTTGTGTCGCATATTAGAGAGTTAGATTTGGGGGCTTGCCAGAACGAAGCTCAGAAGACGGTTGATCAGGCTACTTATAATTTGCTGTGTCGACTTAAGTTTTCAACCGAATTGAACAATGGGCTCCTCGCTCTGATAAACTCTAATGTTGTTTTGTTGCGGCCGATTTCAGGTGTTTTCTTAGTAGATAATGAAATAGATGATGCCCCTCTTCTTAGCCGTTTGCCGCTGAAAGATGGTTATATGCTCTACTTTATGTCTTTGCCTAGCTTTGTCGTTATTGATTTGAGAACTCTTCAATCCTCTCAAAGTACTTGTAGCCAGATCACGATTGAAGGTTTTGATGGCACTGATTTAACGATAGTCGGCCTGGAAAATGCTGCTGATGAACACCCTGGGATAGTTCTGGAAGCCGAATGGCATTCTCTTATGCATCTGTGCAGTAGCGATAATATATCTCGAATTCGAGTTCATACTCTTGTAGGTATTGATGTTGAGCCCGCTAATATATCGGCGATGCTTTCTGCCGGTCAAAGAGAAACGCCTCAAGAACTGCGAATTAGAGCTATCGATGCTATCACCATAATTCTACCCTGTGTTTCTTGTCAAACCTTGGAGTACTATAAACATATCTATACCCGAGAAGCCTACGAGAAATTTGGCATCTGGGTTAGCGAGGTCAATATCAGGTATGCGAGTGAGCGAACTGATTTGTATGACACCCTAGATACATTAGTCAAAATTGGCGCTTTGTCAGAAGTACCAACAAGTATTCTAGAGGCAGATATTGTATGCTGTGGCCACGCTCTCAATGACTCAGACTGGGAAGTTCACGAAACAGTTCGCATCCAAGTTAATTATCCCGACTTACATGTTCATTTCAAGAATTACCAAAGCCAGCACTATGTCTGTTTTTGCCAGAACATACGCTATACAACCATTGAACTCAACGGCGCCGAAACGCCATGCAAGGAGCAGGTAGAGAAATGCGCGCACATTTTAACTCAATTCTGGTGCATCAGGGCCAAAACGCTTAAGCTCATAAATATCCGAAATGGCAATCAAATCATCGCCAGCTTTAGCCCGGAGACTCTAAACACGGCCGATGCCCAGGCCCCCAAATGGGGTCTCTATGCTGATACTTTGGTCTTTGACAATGTTGATGACCAGATTGTCTACTGGGTATTGGGACGTTATTTCTTTGGCAAGCATATCAAAATAGTCTTTATGAGCCAGCACTTTACCAACATGGCTATTGCCCAATATCTTTCTCATCCATGCAGTCACATGGTCTCATCACTTGTGATTACTGACTTAACTGAACTAGACGAGGTCAAGTACTTCAATCAGCAAGACAAAATCAAAACATTCTCCTTGTTCAAGTATATTGAGGAAGAACTAGCCAAGGGCACTCCAATAGAGAGTCTCGGTCTGCACAAACTACTTGTGCGACTGAATAATATAGACGTTAGCCTATATAACGATGTTTTACGCGCATTTTGGGGCTATGGTATTATGCCTCTGGCCATCCCACTCGATGCCTACATTGCATTGTCTTCAACCAATCCCAAGATTAGTCCTATGTGCAAGGATGAGTTTACGCTTTATGGTGCCACCCTAAAATCCATCAAGGCTGATCTAAGTAACTGTCGCGCCAGAAGACAGACGCAGTCAATCCCCGACCAGTCTCAACAGTCGCAATTACTTCCCTTCCAAAAACAATCCGTTAAGGCACTGATCCTTCGGTTTAATGAGATCCATTCCTTAGTCGAAGCGGATTTTGTGACCATTATACGATGGATATCCTGTCGATTTAAGGATATTGCCAGTATCTGGCTAGAAAATGTTGAAATGTTACCCGAAGTACGGGCTGCTATAACCGCCCGCGATTACTTGTTCAGTAGCTTGACTTCCCTTACTAGCATTCGAATGGAGTCAGCCGTACCGGGTGAGGCCTCCATCGAGCTACTAGTCCGGTCGCACCATCTTAGTTTGGTAGCAAGTACTTCTAATCCAGTCGATGCGGTTATTGCCATGCAATCTACTTTGTTGTCCCAACTTGCTTGCCATCTTACTGAGCTTAATAACTACATTTCCAACCGCCCTACCACCGAGATAACCATTCGAAGAATTATAAACTATATCACCCACCAGCCACCTCCGCTGGAATGTGTAGTGTGCCTCCAACCCTTTATTAAGCCACAAGACGAAGACAAAAAGCAAGATGACGACGAGCCGCCTGCAAAGAAACCCTGCTTCGTTGCCAATCCAGAAATGCTGGCGTTAAGTTCACATCTTACTGTGAATTCAGAGATATATCTCTCAAGAGCTTGCTGGTTCGCATGTGGGCATCCACTATGCAATGGCTGTGCAATTGCCAATAAGGCGCTGCCTGATAACAGATGCCCCTCTTGTCGCCAGTCAGTTATCTATGAGAGTATTCGTCAGCTTGTGAGTGCTCCTCAATCTATCGTTGTCTTTGCCACGGACAGTCTTGGCAACACCAATGTTGATTGCGAATGGCCTACGTCGATGACGTATTGGGATGACCAAGTGTTGCTCTATGTTACTTATAGAGATGGAGCTAACTTTGATATCTCGGCTAATACTGAAATCGCTTACAACAATACCCACTCAATCCATATCATTTGAGTTAAGTTGAATTGAGTTGAGGTGAGGTGAGGTGAGTTGAATAAAACTAGGTTAAGACTGCAACATTGTTCTGTGTAGAGTAATATGATCTTGCAAGTATATTGCCGATCTGGAGATATTAAGCTATTGCCACGGCCTCTTCTATAACCATTACTGCTGGCCTTGCCATAATTCTACTATAATTTAAAGGGCCAAGATAAGAATGCCTTAAGAATACGAATACCATAAGAATACAGATACCGTAAGAATTAAACTGAGGCAACTATCTTTGAATAACTGCAAAGAGTACAATGATTCTTTTGTTGTTGTTTAGTCAGGACAATTTTGACATAACGAATTCTTTAGTTCTTCCACACATATTGGTGTAACTGGGAATGAGCGGAAAAGAAGGGAAGGGAGTAGAAAGGGCTAGGAGATGATGAAAAGAGAAGGAGGAAAGAGTATGAAGATCTAATAAAGTGGTGTTTAGTAAAAAATTATGAGGGATCTCCAATGGACTGAAAAGTATCGGCCTGTAACGGCAGAGGGACTCTCTTTACCGGCGGATGTTAGAGGATTATTAGGAGGTTTATTACAGGGAAACGGATCCTTGCCTAATTTATTACTCTACGGGCCGCCTGGGAGTGGAAAGACAAGTTTGGCGCTGATTTTGAGTCGCGGGTTAACCAGTCGGGAGAATACGTTGGAGTTGAATGCTTCAAGCGATCGAGAAATTAGTGTGATTAGAGGAAAGTTGAAGCAATTTGCAATGACACGAGCCCATTCAGGGGAGATGAAGGTTGTTATTATGGATGAGTGCGAGTACTTGACCGTGGATGCCCAACACTGTTTGCGACGAATCTTAGAAGATACACAGCGCAATACACGATTTATCTTTATTACTAACTATGTGAATCGCGTGATTGATCCAATTAAGAGTCGGTTGGTGGCGGTGGCTGTACCGGCTGCGAGTAAGGAAGAGTGTTTGCGAGTGCTACAGGACATTAAAGAGAAAGAAGGACTGGGTTTAGCCGTGAAGGATTTGGAGTATATAATTGAAGTGAGTGGTGGGGACATGCGGCGAGCGATTACTTTGTTGCAAACAGTGGGGATGGCCCGAGTAGAGACAGGGAGTTACCGAGCACTGATTAGGGAGTTGGCCGGAGTAGTGCCTAGCGAAATGGTTGATCATGCCTTTCAAGTGCGAAATGTTAAGGACATTATCGCTGTAACTGAACAGCTGGAGAGATCGGGTTACTCGGCCTTGAGTTTAGTGCAGGCCTTTGCCCAACGGGCTTTGTTGCTACCTGAAAAGCGCCGGGAAGTACTAGAACTATTCCAAAGCCTAGCAGGACTAGAAGAGAATATCATTCGGGGTGGTTTTGATTGGATCCAGATCGCAGCAGCGTTGGCGCAAGTAGCACAAATGAATGCTGCTCTCTTATAATAAATATTGCTGTATTGGGTTAGTATTGGATTGGGTTGAGTTGTGATGTGATGGTGTGGTGTGTTATAGTTGAACTTAGATTTGATTTTGAGATGGGTATACTAACCCAATAAATGAACAAAAAGACAATCTTTTGAATTTCCGAATGGGTTGCTTTTATTTTGAGAAAAGACCTATTAGATAAAGAATGGTAGTATTTGGTTGATATTTGGTTGGCATTGGATTGAGTTGTGTGGATTTAAGATTCAGGTTTAGTTTCAAACTCTGATGTTGATTCCGACTGAGGGTCTTTTTCAATTGCAGCTAATGCTTTATTGGTAACTTCGACTAGGTGTGTAAGGAGGTGGCTCTTTTGTAAGGCAGAAAAGCATGCGTTGGTGTTGGTGATTAAGGTCTTGGAAGTTATTTCAGTGATATGCGGGTTTTGTGGTGGGATATCGTCACTGAGATTGGGGTTGAGATGTTGGGTTAGGGCGGTAGGAGTGGAGGCAATGACTTGGTGGTTTTGAATGGCTTTTAGAAGATTAGCAAAGATAGTCGGGTAGGATCTGTCGGCATTTAGTGAGGCAAGTACGAGGGTGGAGAAGTTGTCCAGGAAAGTTTTGTAGGGGCCAATCGGCTGGGTAAGATACTTAAGGTTCTGACCATCTTCAAATCCAGTGAAAACCATTGTAATGTTGAGCAAGTCGTAGATTGATAGAGTCGTTGGCAGGGAGACGGGATGGGGACTAGGGCCAATAGTTGAAGAAGCACATGATTTATAGTAGCTAGGATCAAAGAGGGCATACATGTGCTGAGCGGCAGCTAGAACCGTATCTTGGGGTTTGGTGGGGAATAAAAGATAGTAGAACTGTGTGTCTAGAAACTCTTGACTATTAACGACATAACCAGTGAGTGTTGGGTTAGTATTGAAGTAACCAGCGAACTTTTTGTAGTGAGCTAGTACTTCGTTATTTATACGATCCCCTGAATTGCCTGGTTCTTCTGTCTCTGCTATTATCGCTAGTAATGTTTTTGGCCAATGAAAATCGAGCTTGGCTAGATTAGTGAGGTTAGGGACCTCGCTTCGATTAAGTGGGGTGTATTGTGGTTCATTTAGGACATCGGATTCAATTGAAGGGCTGCTTGGTCGCGAGGCTGAACCGTGGTCAGAATCGGCCGAGAAGTCAGAATAGGACCCTTGTGATGTATTGTTCGATTTATCTAAGATTTCAACTGGCTCTTCTTGCGAGCCGTATACTCCATAGAATACACACAGCAATACTAATAATGTGTTTAGTAATGTCAAATTTCGGATCTTCATGTTTTGATTAAAAAGCTAAGATAAAATAGTCGAATGCCTTCCTAAAAAGGAAACTAGGGGATACCCTCAAAGATGTTTATTGGCTGATTTGTTGACGCATTAGATTGTCACGCATATCCTAAGCTTTGCTGATCAGAGGAGCTAGCCTTCTTCTGCTCCCAACCGTCTTGGATAGTTGCCACTACAATTGTCAGTGGGGGCTTTGCTTGAATAGCTTAAGTAGGGTGTGCACAAACCACCCGACGGCCAGCATAGGTTCTGATTGGGCTAGTAATCAGTATTGCCCTAAAAACACTATCTATCTGAAGCACAATACTAACCCAACCCAGTGCCACCACAAAACTTTGCGATGTTCCAGAAGGAGTATGCAATCCTTAAGCAACTCCTTTACAAATCCAAAAATGCGCACCATTCCACACTATACTATCGAAAACTTGTCCATGTTTATCGGTTGAGCCGTAGTTTAATTGAGAAGTCCAAGGCCCAACTCAACCATACTCCTCAATTCCACGAGCAAGCCAAGAAACTACAAGACGAGCTCACTGCCGCCTACATTGCAGTCAGTAGCAATCTAGGACTAGGCCACTACTTAGGATTTACAATTGTAACTTTATCCATCTTAGCCAAACTCTTTACTGCATCTTTTAGTCTACTCAGCCCATCTAACCCAAACACAAGCACATCTAAATCTCAAGTAGTTACTCTACCCGACTCTGATTCTGACGAAATAAGCGATATATTTGGCTAACCCAATACTAATTCGACCAACCCAAGTTAGTGTCTATATTTTGAACAGCATCACGTTAGATTGTCAGCTGTCCATTTATTAAAGAATCATTGCCACCTGTTGTTGCCGGTCTAATTAGTTTGGGTTAGTATTTGGATGGGTTGGTATTTTGTTGGTATTAGTACTGGATATGCCGTTTGGAGAGATAAACCAGTCCGAATGGAATCGCAATAAATGTGTTCAAATGCTATGTTTAGTAGAGTAATATCTGATCTAATCTAATCCAATTTGTTGGTAACTTAAATAGTTAACTGGAATTGATATTTTCAAATTATAGAAACTAACTCTATCATTACCAGTATGTTCTACTAAAAGTACTAACTCAACACGATCTAAATATTAACAAAATCCCAACCTAACCCCCTTATCTCATCTGGTGTTTTGAAATATTCATACTAACACAACCCAACTCAAATACCATCTAAATATTAACAAAATTGCCAAAAAAGGAAATTCTCACATTCAGTCCCATTACACTCCATCCTAACAAAATACTAACACAACCTCACCTTTACCAACTTAATAATAACCCAATACTAATCAAACATGCTCAATAGCCAATTTATTGCTTCGGTAGAAAAAAAGGAAGCCTGATAAGCTTACAGGTCTTCTCTGGGCACAAACTCTTCCTCGGGAGTGGGAGCTTTCTCCTCCTCCTTGGGGGCAGTGGCTTCGTCAGTACTGGACATAATGAGATCAAAGGTGGATTGAACATCCTTGTGTTTGGTAGTAATGAGCTCGAGTGCTTCGGCATTGTCGAGAGTTGCCTCCTTGTCCTTGATGTTTCGGTTGTACCAGACTTGGGTTTCGTTGGCCAAAACAGTGCACTCCTCCTTGCGCGAGCCATCGGGGAGTTGGTCCTTGCGGGCCAGGATCTCGGCAATAAAGTCTTCCAACTTCTTGCCAGCCTCGCACCGGGCAAACCAGACATCTTCCTCTTCGCGCGTCTCTTCGTACTGCTTGTTCATACGCTCGATCTCCTTCTCGTCCATCAAGGTGGCTTCCTTCTTGATAACAATCTTCTGCTCGTTACCCTTCTCTTCTCCAAGTTCCTTGGCCGTTACTTCAATGTCTCCACCGTTTCCAAAGTCAAAGGTAACTTCAATAAGCTTCTTGCCTTTAGGAAGGTTGTTGTGGGGCATGTCAAGCTTGAAGCGACCGACAATCTTAGTGTTAGAGAACTTCTTGGTTTCGGTCGAGGCCTGACCGATCTCTATTTGCACACTCTTCTGGGCATCGGAAGTGGTGGCAAAGATCTTAGTAATAGTGTTGGGCACTTGCATGCCAGCCTTAGCCATTACTTCATAGATATTGTTCACCAGACCTAAACCGACATTCATCGGCAAAGCATCGACCAGAGCCACGTAATTGTCCGCACTAATAAGGTTCTCATGAGCAGCTGCATGGTAAGCTGCACCTACAGACACACACGTATCGGCATTTAGCTCAAAGCAGTGGTCCGCATTAGGGAACTGCTCCATAAGCAAGCGCCGTACACCGGAGATACGACTACTACCACCAACGTACAAAACGTTCTTGATATCAGCAGAAGTCAAAGAGATCTTGTTCAGAAGACCATCAGTGTCTTCAGCCTCAGCAGAAGCCTTGTTAACAATCAGCTGAATAATCTCTTGGAAAAGATCATCACAAAGATCGTTCAAAACACTAGTAGATAGTTGTAGTTCCATTTCACCACACTCATCAGAGATAAAGAATTTCTTAGCAACAGAGCAGTCCTGCACATTAGCATAAGAAGGTTTGCGGTTCTCAGAAGCAGCCAACTCTCGCTCAGCCCGATCATGGTCGTTCTGTTCTTCACACAGAGAGATCTTAAGCTCTTCAACCATGTTACGCAATCGTAGGGTTGCATTAATATTCAAAGCCCCGCGGCTCTTAATATGTCCCTTCTTGACCATCTGGCCCACGAAGTAGTTGTAGATGCGGTCGTTGACATTCTCTCCTCCTGAGAAGTTGTTCCCAGTATGAGCCTTTACAATTAGTGTTTGGTCCGCATAGTTTAAGTAGGATAGATCGAGAGTACCACCTCCCCAGTCAAAAACTAAGAACTCTTTCTCCGCTAAGTCTTTAACACCGCCCTTGTTAGCACAGGTGTAAGCATAGGCAATAGCAGCACTAGTCGGCTCGTTGATGATTCCTTCGTCCAAAACTTCAAGATTAGCCATTGAAGCAGCTGCTCTTGTCTCTTTCTTTTGCTGGTCATCAAAGTAGGCCGGTACTGTTACGACACACTTCTTACGGCTGTTGTCATTTAACAACTTATTAACACTATCTCTTAAAGTGCTTAAAACCATAGTACTTAGATCGCGAGGAGTTGTCCATCCGATTTCTTCGGTGCCGTCCCGGATAAGAATACCAATGACTCTGTTACCAGTAGCTGGATCCCGGCGGTCAGCAATCTCGTACTTAACTTGGTTTAAAGTATCATTGATGACTTTCTTGTCCTTCTGCTCGGCAAAACTACGGGCTAACAATGGCTTGAATCGGTAGAGATAACTCCCTACGGACTCTTTTTCACTCTTGGTCTTCTCCAGAGCTTCCCATCCTACAATAGGCTTAACTAGCTTACGCATGCCTTTCTTCATCCAGATGCCTTTGTAGAAGAAGTAGTCGGACTTCTCGTACTTCTTCTGTGACATCATCATATCGTCTAGAATTCGCTGGGGAGGCGCCTCTTGCATAACTTCCATTTTGATAAAGGAAGGCATTGTGTTACGGCCAAGACCATAAGATACGATCTCTACTGAAGATTTGCTTGGGTTGTACATAGATACTACTGAGAAAGTAGTTCCTAAGTCAATTCCTAAAACGATGTCATCTCGTTTAGTGGGTACTCCACTGGCATCTTGCTCAACAATCGGTTCATCGGTCCGGGGTGCTTCCGCGAATACAAAAGTAACTAACTGAACTAACGCTAGTATAGCTAAACCTATACTAAACCTACTTGCTTTCAGTCGTCGCAATCTAGGAATATTCATATTTTCTAAAAAAAAGTTTCTTTATATAGGCTGTAAATTGATTAATGTATAATTTATTAATATTTACTAATTGGTAGGTCGTAAATTGATTTTAAATTCTTTAAAATTGCGTTATTATGGATAATGGTGAGATAAGTAGTAATTTAAAAAGTAATGTATGTGGTGATATGGGTAATGATATATGTAGTGATATGGGTAGTGATAGTAAAGGTGTAGTTGGTGCTAGTGCTGGTGGTAGTAGTGCTAGTAGTGGCAATAATAATGATGTCCTTGGTAGTAGTAATATTGCAGCAGATACTGGCAATCTGTCTAATAGTGGCAATATTGTGGCTGGTTGCAGTAATATGTCTAATAGTGGTAATATTGCGGCTGGTGGTATTAATATACCCGATAGTGGTAATATTGCTCGAAGTGGTAATGAAAATGGTATGTGTAGTGGTACTCCGGCTGAGGGTGGTATGGCTGGTGGTGCTAATGAAAGTGCTGCTAGTTCGGCGCTGAGACAACTGGAGCAGATTGGGCTGGAAGTTAAGCGACAGATTGAGGAAGAGCGAGGGAAGCAAGAGAGTTTTAATAGTTGGTTGTTGTCTATTCATGATCGGAGTGGCTTAATGACGGCGGGTGAGAGTTTGAAGGAGTACTTGAAACGAACGTTGTTGATGGAGTATCCGCGGCGCATGGGCGAACAGTATAGTACAACGATTGAAATTGAGATTAATGAGCGAGGTAAGGCTAGAGTTCAGCTGGTGAATGAAACACTGTATGTGGCTGGACGATACCGCAAAACAATCCGTGGAATTTCTAATACGCCGATGATCATTGTGCGGCGGAGTCAAGAGAAGAAAGGAAAACGAGCGGGACAGAAACGAAGGACAAAAGGCGGCTCTAATGGCGATAATAGAGAGACGTATGAAAGTGAAAGTACAGCTATTTCACCGTTGCTGGGTGGATTGCAAAGTGTGTATGAGTCGGAAAACAGTGAAGCTGGCTCTGTTTCTAGTTTTAGTGATGCCGTCGGACAGTGTGCTACCGCGGAAATAAGAATGCGAGCTGTTTCTGACTGGATTGAACCGATCAAGCAGTACTTTGATGGAAAAGAAGCTGTGTTTATGTCAAGTGGCCGAGAAGATATAGATGTACGAATGCTGGGTAAAGGCCGGCCATTTATTGTGCGTATTGAAAAGCCGCGGCGTAATTTACCTCGGGCGCTAGAGTCCTTGGTAGTAGCAGTAAGTGCGACGGGTGAAGAAGTTGAGGAGCAGTGTGTTAGCAACCAAGAGATTCGCATTAACTACCAGATGAGTGCAGCAGTTGAGTTGCTCGATTTAGCACTGGTTAAAGGAAAAGAGGCTTGCCGGCAGATGAAAGAGATAGAGCAGACAAAGAAGAAGGAGTACCAAGTTTCAGTCATGACAAAACTAGCACCAGAAGCAGTTAGAGCATCTTTAGTCCATCAAGGCTGGCTAGTATCTCGGGCGGAAACGCCTAATATTTTATCTAAAGACTTACTTACACTCCGGCAAAAGACGCCTATTCGGGTGGTACACCGTCGAGCCAATTTAGAAAGAGCTAGACAGGTTTACAACTGCGTGATAGAAATTCGACCATCTGATGATCTACCCGACTGGCCAGATAATGGCACCCAACTAGTAGTTCACTTGGTGGCAGATGCCGGCACGTACATCAAAGAGTTTGTAAATGGCGATTTAGGCCGGACTACTCCCTCCTTAACTGAGCTACTCGGCGGTTATTGCGATGTCGTTGAACTAGATGTCCTTAATATTGAAGCCAACTTCCCAGTACCCGAGACCATTCTCACCCCCATTAGACTAGTTTAAATTGGATTAAGTTGTGTTAAGTTGTTATTAAGTTGTTATTAAGTTGTTATTTGATAGTGGTTGGAGTTGTTGAATTGTTAAAAGTAAACTTGTTAAAGATGATAAATAAATCACGTTATTTGTTAGTATATACCAACCCAATACTACCCTACTTTAGTATCTGCTACTTTAGTATGCACTATTTCCTCTTTATTATACTTTAGCTGCCTTGAGTTATTGCAATCCTAACCCAATTTAATTCTTATCTAACTCTATTAAAAACTAAAATTGTAGTCTTCCGAAACAGAATTTGGTTGGGTTTCAAATCGTTTTTATTTAAGTGTGTTTTTTTGAGTACTAACATGGACTGGAATAGGGAAATATCCCAACGGTTGTTATTATTTCATCAGGGAGCAATTGAAGAATACCGGAAATTGCTAAACCCATTCAATTTGTATGTTTATGGTTACGGTTACAAAACTGATTTGTTAAAGGAGATATTTCCTGATAGTATAATAGTAGACTTTAGTGAGAAAGATAATGTCCTAATATCTCGAGATATTTACAGCCACTACAATATCACACCATCTGAATGCGATTTAAAACCCACATTATCCGATATAAACCAACATATTAAAAGAGATAAGGTTGAGAAGGTTTTGATTCTGATCAATGCTAGGAAGGATATTTTAGAACATATCACTAACTTTCGAGTAGTACTGGTTCAGAACCGAGATTTGTATATTTCTTTTGATGAGTTATTACAGTACAACTTTATTATGCGTGATTTAACTACCTTTGTTTTTGAAGTAGATAAGCGACCAGGACTTTCTTCTCGAATTGAAGAAGTCTTTAATATTTATGATTGCGTTGGTCCACTTAGCAAAACAGTTTTCCGTCTAGTCCTACGCCGCGCAGCATCAAAGGCCGAATTCTCTCTACGCGATCTCTTTAACAAGGAAAAGAAGAAACTCCTAATTGTAAACTATGGCACCTTTAGAGAATCCCTAGCTGGATTCTTTGACGCCGGGATCTTGGTGGAAACCAACAACATCTGCCGCCTCAACATCAGCAAGAAGGACCTTAGCGAAATTCTCGACATCATTGATAAGACCGAATAATTCAAGCACTTCAAAACACAAGCACTCCAACCATCCTAGTACGTTGGCCTAGGACATAACAGGCAGTAAATCATCTTAATTATAACAACTTCTAATTCTAATTCTATCTCGGCTACAGCTTGCTTAAGTTAAGTTTGAGTTAAGTTAGGTTGTATTGGGTTAAGTTAGCATTACGTTAAGTTAGTATTACGTTAGTAGTAAGTGGCAAGTAGTAAATCGTGATCGTATGACAGCGACACAATAACCTAATACAATATAATCAAAATCACAACTTAACTTAACCCAATACAACCTCACATAAACCCAACCCAACCCAACCCAACACAATACTAACTCAAATTCAACTTAAGTAGATGTTTATTGTTCTTTACACGGCGGGCATCGTTTCAAAAAGGTCCTAATACTATCTACTAGAGCGGGCGACCTGCTTTTTAGCCCCCGAGCTATTTCTGGCTCTAACTTCTTTCTGAGTGCGGCTGCCTCGGCCGTGCTTACACCTTTAATCATAGCTACTAATAACTGCCAAACTAAATGAACGGCAATACTTCCTAAAAAGAGCCGGTTTAAAGTAGACGGAGTTAACAAGAGAAGAACGTCATTAGCTAAGCGTTGGTACTGCTTCTCATCTTTCTCTTTCAAGATCAAAAAGACCAAACATCCCACCAGTACTCCAGCTGTATTTCCTAAAATCGGACCAGCTAAGCCGTTCAAACGTCCTTGCCAGTCCCGCGGATTACGGCGCATATAAGGCACTAGAGCCGGCAACAACTGACAAAATTCCGGATTAGCCGCCACATAAACCAGCCGCTCAAACAAAATAAGCACAATTGCTCGACCATACGCCTCACTATTCGCTCCATTCTCATTCCCAGATGCTTCTTTACCAACCAACCGTCGTACTAAACTCACCCCCTTATCTAAGTTAAATAAATCTTCCTTTATCTCCCCAAGCAGCTCAATCACTAGTTTACTACTATCTAAACCATCTAAACTCTTCCCAGCCACCCCAAGAACTTCCGATCTATGCAATACATCGTAAATCTCTTCTATTTTAGCCCGGGACTGAATCTTCTTCTTCACCATAAATACCCGATCGGACTTCTCAACCACCAAAGTCCCTTTCTTACTAGACTTTCTAATTGCCTTCCCTAAAGCCCCTTCAAAGAACGGCTTCGCATTCTTCTCCCCACTTACAGTACTTACGTTGCTACTACTTGCATTATTGCTTAAACTACTATTTATATCACCAGTACTTATACCACTACTACTTATATTTATACCATTTATAGTATTATTTGTGTCGCTGATGACGTCATTACTAATTGCCGAATTAGTAGGTAGATAAAAATCAGGCGTTTGGGCCTCTCTTTTCTTATTAGTACGCTCAAAAAGGAAAGCAACAAAGTCCTTTTCTTTAGGAGTCATAAAGTTCTTAAATCCTCTAAGTAGATTAGTGCGATTTTCAACTTCAGTAGAAGAATTAGCATTGCGCCGTCTATCCCGCATAAAAATAAATTACGGCGTAGTTGGCCTATTTCTGGTGCGTAAGATCTGATTATACTCTAATTCGGCTAAATCATAGTTAAGTTCTGGAACAAGAGGGGGAGTGGCTTGTTTTCGTTTGGTTTGTTGTATCAGAGTATCTAAAGAGACCTTTCCATCTTGATTTCGGCCTAAACCGGTATTTATGTTCCAACCCATTCGCAAGAGAATTTGGTATCCGATGCTCTCTTTAAGTCCGGTTGAAATATTATCTTTAATGGCCATTTCTCTGGCTCTTTTCTTCTCTTGGCTTCTACGAACGAAGCGCATGTAGAACGGTTCGGGCGGTGCCATGCAAATTTTGCCGGAATGGGGTTTAGCTTGCTGCGAAATGGCTTAGTATTGGGTGGGGAGGGGCATGAATGGCGGTTAAGTAGAGAGAGGGAGGCAGAAATGATGTTGGCTCAAGGCCAGTTAGTCACAGTTGTTCCTTTGGTAGGAATAGAGAGGTTTGAATTAATAGAAGGGCCGATTGGACCTTTAGTTCCGATGGCACCAGCCCAGGTGCCTTTGTATGCGGCTTTGTTATTGAAACATAGTGGGCAGTGTGTAATTCAGGCGCCAGAATGGTTGAGTTTAAGCTACTTAAAACGAGCGGTCGAAAGAGAGGAAGAGTTGAAGGATGAGTTTACAGAAACAGATATGTACTTGTTTGAGAATGCGAGTGTGTGTCTTGAAAACTGTGAGATTATCGAGGATATAGCTGAAATTCGCATACAGTTGAAGAAGTTGCGAGAAGTACGTATGCAGAAGTTGCTGAAGGGGATAGAGTATATTGATACACCAATTATAGGTACAAACAACCTGACATTTTTTGAGTTTCGCAAGATCAAAGAGTATCTTTTACCCCATTTGGAAATTCAAAAGAACTTACAATAAATTGCGATCAAGTTAGTATTGAGTTGAGTTTAGTTTAGTTTGGTATTGAGTTGGGTTGGGTTGCGATTAAGTATGTTTGGTTTAGTATTGAGTTTAGTATTGTGTTGAGTTGAGTCTAGTTAGTATTTAAGTTAAGTTTGTGTTAAGTTGGCATTGAGTTAGTATTTAAGTTGCTATTAAGTTAATGTTAAGTTGATATTAAGTTGCTGTTAAGTTAGTGTTAGCACTGAGATGGATAACAATCATTTTACATTTAATGAGATAAGTGCGTATTGGGTTAGTAGTGGTAGGTAGTGGTTAGTAGTGGCATTAGTATTAAGAATAGTCACATTACTATGTAGGTGCTAAGTGCGTATTTAACCATATAAGATGGGGTAATGAGTAGGTGCTGTCTTATATAATGAAGGCATTAGATAAGATGCCATTAAACAAACAGATAAGAAAACAAGAACAACTAGTGCACTATCAACTTAACACAATCCAAACTTAACTCAACTCAACTTAACACAAACCTAACTTAACACAACCTAACTTAACTTAACCCAATCCAAACTTAACTCAATCTAAACTTAACTTAATGAAATGCTAAAGTATATCTTTCTAGAATAGTTTATTGTACAGATTAGTCTTGGTTTAGTCTTTGTCCTGACCTTCGGGCTCGTAATCAGAAAACGAAAGGTTGGCAAAGAATGAAGATGCCTCTGGCTTTCCAGAAAAGATGCCTTTGGACTGGGGTTTGCTAAAGAGCTTACTGAAATCCTTCTTTTCGGTGGCGGGCTCGTCTTTAGGAGACTCGGGTGTGGATTGGGCGGGTGTAACTGTGCGGCTAGGTGACTTCTTGGCGCTTCGCTTGGAAAGCTCTTTCTTGAAGTCCATAATCGGGCCTTTCTTCTTCTGGGCCGGTAGACCAGTCGAGTCCGGGCGCTTTTTCTCCGGGGCCGAAGTCGTACTGCTCTTCTTAGCCGCCGCCCTAGGTTGAGTTGGTCCGGAGTTAGCTGGAGTTGAACTAGTAAGTGGATTGGCCGTTGACTTGCCTAGAGAAGGAGTAGTAGTGGTGGCTTGGGGAGAAAGAAGAGGAGATCGGACTTGAGCAATAGGAGCATGCTGGGCCGGAGGCTGGTTGAGAGAAGGACGAGGACCGGGTAGAGTAGGTCGATCAGGCTCAGGCCGGTTCTCTTTAGCCAGAAGTAATTGTGAGAAGAACTCAGGCGGTGGATAAGAGATAGGACTACGCTCCGAAACACACTGCATTTGCTTAGCCAGTAAATCTTCTAACCGCTGAATCGTACCCTGAAGAATAGCAATAGTTTTATCCTTCTCTTCTACCTTAGCCTTACTAATCTCATTCTCGATCCTAATTTGAGCTAATTCTTCAGTAGTAGCCGGTGTATTAGTAGGATGGCGGGCAATTTGACTTTCAAGTTCTTCAATACGACGTTTAAGATCTCTTTCTTGGCGGTAGAGAGCTTCTTCTTGTTCCGTTTGAATTTGTTTGGCCTGGGCTAGTGAGTGTTCAAGAGTGGCAATATGCTCTTCCTTTTTAAGCAGGCTGGTTTGCTTACCTTCTAAATCTTGAGTTTTTGTTTGGATGAGTTGAGTCAATCGCTCGGTTTCTAATTGAATTTGAGTCTTAGCTTCCTTTTCAAGACGAAGTGATTGTAAAGTCTCTTCGAGTTTAGCTTGAGTTTCGGTTAGAGTTTGGAGAAGAGAAGATCTAGCTTGGGCTTCAGCTTGACTTTGCTGAGTTATTTGTGCCTTTGTTTCCTCTAGTTGTGAGGTTTTAGTCCTTTCTAAACTGACTTCTTGTTGGGCCTGATTGATTGCTAAGTTAAGTCGGTCAATTTCAGCTTGGGTCTTAGTGATGGTTGTTTCAAGGTCCTTTTGGCGCCGGAGGTACTCTTTAGCTTCTTTTTCTTTAATAGAGATAGCTAGATCTCGGTCTTTTAAGATCTTTTCCTGATCGGCTAGTGTTTGGTTGAGTTCTTCAATCTCAGTTTGGGCTTGAGTTAATTCGGCTGTACTACGCTCCATCTCTTCTCTTTCTTCATCTAGGGTTGCACACTCATTCAAAAGCAAAGTAATAATCTCATTATTAATCTTTTGGTCAATCTCGTTATACTTACTCTCTTCGGTCAGAGTCTGCTTAAGTAAAGTCAAATAGGCATCTGGCAAACCGGACAAACTAAAAGACGCATCGATCTCCTTCATTTGTTTTCGCAAAAATTAATGCTTATTTGAGGGTATGCTAGGGTATATAGAGGGCGATTGGGTGGGAATTGGGGTCGGAATTAGTCAGTGCGAGTATCGGATCAAAGACCCCGATTTTCCTTATGAGATAGAGATTGTTAAAATGAGGTATAATTATAACCGAGATATGGTAGAGATAGTAGAGATAGATAATGCAACGATAAAACAAAATGTAGCAGCTGGGTATGTGCGGGTTCGGGATCGAATGGGGTATCAGGAATACGGTCGTTTAGTGATGCAACAAATTGAAGAAGTATTTAGTGGCAAGGTAGTTAATGTAAATGTGCCGGTTAAGGTAGGATTAGCTGCGGTGGATGAAGGGATGGGGTTGGGAGGACTTGATTTAGTAGGTGGAGTTGATTTGTTGGGTGAGGTTGATTTATTAGGGGGTGGGAGTGATCGGATAGATTTAGATATTGAGGAGCGGGAGATACGGGGGAGTGATCGGTTTATTAGGTTTAAGTACCGGGCGCAGAACGTACGGGCGTTTAAGTTGGGATGGGTGGGGTTATCTTTTCGGTGCCAACGGTGTGGAACTGGGGATACGAAAGTAGTTGGTCGGGGGAAGGAGATAGAGAAAGATACTGAGAGTGTGCAGGCTTGTCGGAATTGTGGGATTTATATTAAGATAGAGACGACTTTTCATTTGATTGTAGTTGATGGTGATAACAAGCATAATTTGATGAGGATAGATAGTTTTTGCTTAGTTGATTTGTATGTATCTGATTTGAGCTTTAACTGTGTATGTGATATGTGTGGGCGGGTGCAGGAGATAGGGGCTAGTCGGAAGGTGAAGTGTGGATGTGGGTATGTTTTGGAGATTAGACCGGATAAGGTAGGGGCATTTGCGGATGTGCAGCCGGTGTTGGGTAGTAGTAGGAAAGGAGGGTTGAAGAGTGATTTACAGTCGTTGTTTAAGACGAATGGGACTTGTGTGCACTATAAGAAATCAACGCGTATTTTTGTCTTTCCGTGTTGTGGTGAGCGGTATCCTTGTGATATTTGTCATAATGATAAAGAGGAGCATTTGGCAGAACTGGCTAAACGGATGATTTGTGGGATTTGTCGGACTGAAGCACCGGTGGCACCTACCTGTCCTAATCCTAATTGCCGGGCGAAACTAACTGGATCGCACTCGGCGCACTGGGAGGGCGGGAAAGGATCCCGGGATAAAGCAACTATGTCTAAGAAAGACCGCAAGAAGTATACTAAATGAGCCAGTAAGACATAAAGGGATTTCAATAAATAAGCCACTATAGATGTGTTATTTTACTTTAGTCCATTTAACTCATCTCATACAGATCTTGTGCCTATCTAAGACAACAGACAGATCTAATATACAACGTACAACAACCAATAGCTTACTTAACTCATTTCAATCTAATACCACCTTAGCATAACCTAATACCAACTTAACATAACCTAATACCACCCCATTATAACCTAATACCAACATAACACCAACACCAACTTAACATAACCCAATACCGACTTAATTCAACTTAATACCACCACAATACATACTCAATACATACTCAATACACACTTAATTCAACTTAACACAATACTAAACTATACTAAACTAACTTAACCTAACACAATACTAAACTAAACCAACTTAACATAACTTAACATAACAATACATATCTATTTGCTTTATTAGGACGTTGCTCAAACTTAACTGCTGTCTTTGAAAAGGATCTTTCTGGACGGCTTGTTTACAGGCAGAATTTGGCTCATTCGCCCGGATAGAGGAGATAGAATGTACTTTTGACCTTGAAGGTCTTTGCGCTTGGGTGTGGTGATGGAGCTGGGCGTGCTTGGCTCGGCAGGTCTTTTGGGAACCCGAATATTTCGGATAATTGAAGGCAGCAGACTATTGTAGGTCTTAATAATTGCCTGGTTGGTCAGGTCTTCAATTGTTACCGTATAGTTGCGGTCTTTCACCAAACAAAAAGGAACGACAAACCCAATCTCTTGATAAACAGAAAAGACTTTGGTCAGGGATACTTTGCGGCGGCTGGCATGTAAAGCAATGTACGAGAATGCGATTAGCATAATCTCTGCAGAGTAGTCGGCAAAGTAGCCGAGAAGTCGCTCTTTCAACAAAAAGGTCCGTAAGATAGAGAGAAGTAGTGCTTCAGCACTTCGGGAGAAGCCCATTCGCTTTATAAACTCCATTACTGCGACGTGTAGAATAATCACAAACTTGCGATCGGTTACTCGTACTTCATAGGTTCCAGGTGACGCATTGGCGGGTAGAATTCCTTCATCTCTATCTCGTTTCTTTTGGACAAACTGAATGTCTTCATCAGCAAACATTCGATCCGTTCGTTTCTCGCGATGTCGACAATACAGATTCATGAAATAGACCGTTTCGTACTTCAAATAGAATTGGTAAACAATCTGGTTTTGTTTCATCTTAACCATTTGTTTAAAGACGTCCTGGATCGTGTCTAAATTAAACCCGTCTTCGCGGAACAGGCCAATGCCCAATGTTTCTTCCCCACGCAATGCTCGAGTTAACACGGCCTGGTAGCACAAAATAGCCGGCGGTTTTTCTTTTCCTCCTCCAAGATTGGCTAGTTCTTTTGCAATCTCTTTGATGTTTGCAATATGCTCATCTGGGACTGTCAAAACCGGGACTTTCGAAAAGACAAACGCCTTTGGCATCTTCTTTGTGACTTGCCAAAAGAGCTCCTGCGGGCGCAGCTCTAGGATACGCAGCTCTTCTGAGGAGAGAGGCTTCTTGGAATCGATGTGGTCTTTGATCTGCTTTTGAATTATGAGAAAGATGATCAAATGCAGCGATATTCGGTAGTAGCGACGAATGTCTTTCCCCCTATCTATATGCATAACACCATCAAAAAACTCGTTAAAGCTTTCCTTGACCCCAAGATGGTCATATATCATTGTGTTGTCTCCACTTCGAAATACTTCAATCCAGGCATATCTCTTCTTTTTGTCCATAGTTTCTCTTTGTTTACAAAGTATTTATGTGATTCTATTGATCAAATGAATTTTAAATTAAGTTATCTAGAAGTGACTTAATATCTCCCATATTGGCGGTTCATATTACCCGATTTGGTCAAAAGCAATTGTAAATGACACTCTTCTATTGATTTATTTACTTACAAACACAGACTCATCTTAACATGCCTGCAATCTGCCCATTTTGGGAATAATGCCAGACGTCATTGACCGACATAAACATACAACTTGGCGCGTATTTGCACTCAATCCTCTGCTAATACATTCTCCTGCAACCATAGCAACATTTGCACTCTTCTCCTGGCCTGATTCAACTTAACAACACCTTGCTGCTACTACCAGCCAATCTAAAACACATTTCCGCTAAAATCAAAATTATGATCTGTCAAGACAAAAATCAGATTGCTATTAAAATGACATTAAAATAGTGTTAAAATGACACTAAATTAACTTGAATTAAAATGAGTTAAGTTAAGATAAGATAAGTTAAGTTAAGATGAGTTAGTGCTAAGATGAGTTAAGATAAGATGAGTTAATATTAAGATGAGTTAAGATAAGCTGGAGTGTGTTGACACTTTGCCATTGAATTAACTTAACCCAACTTAACCCAACTTAATATTAACTTGACCAACCAACCAACTCAACCAACCATATAATACAACCACACCACTTAACCCAACTTAATATCAACTCAGCTCAATATAACATATTACCATTAAGATAGTATAAATTAGCAATTAAGATAGTACAATACTACCCCAATTAAGATAGTACAATACTACCCCAATTAAGATAGTATAAATTAACAATTAAGATAGTATAAATTAGCAATTAAGATAACATAAAACAGTAATAAAGTAACGACTAGTTAATCATGTGCTAATAATGAGCTAGTAGATAGCCAGAATATCAAAAAGAATCCTCGGTTTATTAGAACCAGCACGTACATTGTGCCAAATTAGCCCTGTTGAGTTTAACTATCCCACTTAACTGCCTCCATCTAGTAGTGCTTGTTTGCACTGGAGAGAGCAGACAATAAGCTCAAAGGGAATGAGCGTATCTCGGAAGGAAAGAACTTTATAAATCGGTTGTCCCGTGGCCGTATATGCCCGACAGCTCCGACACTGATCATAGTCCGTGCGAATCGGTAGGATATCCAAAGGCTTCAAAGCGCCCATTTCATTAATACATATCTCTTTTAGACTCTTAAGTCCACTAAATTCACTGGCCGAATTAGCCCGTTCTATCTCGTCTGCGGTCATAAAATGGTTAGGACTAATCGTAAACTGGGTTAAAGGCAAGTCAAATAACTCAATCGGCAGATACTTAATCGGGTTATTCGCTAAAGTTAACATAGTTAAGTTGGTTAGTTTCGCTATTTTATGCGATAGCTTTGTCAACTTATTAGTGCGCAGAAATAGTCCTTTAATGGGTAATAAAGAATACAACTCAACTGGAATTGCTTCGATCAGATTTCCTTCTAAATTGATAATAACGGGCAGATCTGCTTGCATTAGCATTTGTTCGTAGTCCGGCTTGTCTAAAGCTGAAAATGGATGTTCTCCTCGGACAGTTTGAGAAATGGCGACAATTGGTAAGTTTTTGATTGATAAGCAGCACAGATTGATTGTTTTGAGTCCAGATTGGGCTATACGGGCGCATTCGAGCGAAGTTTTGATTTCGCGGGCTTGATCTTCCTCGGAGATTGATTCAAAAAACAGGGGGAGGGAATGGTTTCTTTGGAGGCCACCAGTTCGCCTTCTAGACCATTGGGACATACGCCTAAAAAATATTTGAGCTATGAAGCCATCTACTACTGTTAGTACAGGTGTTCCAGTCGCAGATTCTGAGATTGATGTTATTAATGTTGTTGGTGATGAGATTGGTGATGTGGACGAATTAGCTGAAGGGGGAGAGTTGAGTGGTGGTATTGAGCTGAGTAAATCTGTAAAAGAAGTCTTGGTTGGCGAACTCATATCGAATGTAGTTCTTCCTGAAGTTCCTAAGCTCTATTTTGATGCAGATTTAATTGTCAGTGAGAGTATAGGTACGAGTAGTTGGGAATCAGGTGAGCAGAAGGAAGGGGAGGAAGAGGAGGAGGAAAGTTCTTGGGCCAATGCTCGGGTGGTTGAAGTGGAGATGGGGGTAGTGCCAGAGGATTATGAACTGTTTGCCATTAGGTATCCGCTAGTAAGTTTTGAGCTAGACACTTTTCAAAAGCAGTGTCTTTACTATCTATCGCGAGGACAGAGTATTTTTGTAACGGCCCATACGAGTTCTGGTAAGACTCTGATTGCGGAGTTTGCTGCTTACATAGCTGAGGTTCACCAAACCAAAATGGTGTACACTTCGCCTATTAAAGCCCTGAGTAACCAAAAGTACCGCGAATTTGCTGAGAAGTTTGGTAGTGTTGGTATTCTTACGGGAGATGCCCAGATTAACAATGGAGCTAAGTGTGTTGTAATGACAACTGAGATCTTGCGGAATATGCTTTACCGCGGCAGCAATATCTTAGATAATGTTGAGTTTATTGTGTTCGATGAGATTCACTACTTGGGCGATCGAGAAAGAGGAGTGGTCTGGGAAGAGGTTATTATTATGCTGCCCAAACACATTGTGCTTATCTTTCTAAGTGCCACCAGTCCTAATGCCAAAGACATGGCCCAGTGGATTTCAACCACCAAAGAGAAGGACATCTACTTAATAGGCACCGAAAAACGAGCCGTGGAGTTAGAGCATGCTATTTATTTCCGGCGCGAACTCTACACGCTCTGCCAAGAAGGCAAATTCTCACACGAAGAGTACATTCGCGCTATGAAAGCCGGGGCCACCAATGTCTATAAAGAGAAGCACAAAGAGCGTTTGGAGCAAGCCAAACAAAAAGCGCCTATCCCCAAAAGCAAGCAAAAACCCGTTAATGTTCTAGAATCGCCCATTCATATTGCCCGCGATCTTATTAGCCGTAACCTAGCTCCTATTGTCTTCTTTGACTTCTCTAAGTCCCGTATTGAGCAATCCTTTTCGATGTGCGAAAGCCTCGATCTCACCACCTCCGAAGAAAAGCAGCTAATCAAAGCATTCATTCATGATGCGCTGCAAAAGCTACCAACGGCCGATCGAGAGCTTCCACAGCTAACCTTTGTCATTCCAGGGCTTTTAAAAGGAGTTGGGCTGCACCATTCCGGACTCTTACCCATTCTTAAAGAGATCATTGAAATGCTCTTTACTACTGGGGCTTTGCGTGTGATCTTTGCCACCGAGACTCTAGCTATGGGTCTAAACATGCCAGCTCGCACAGTTGTACTTCGCACCCACAAAAAGTACAGCACCGAAACACACACGTATATTGACGTTAACACCAACGAATACACCCAGATGGCTGGTCGAGCCGGCCGACGAGGCTACGATATCAAAGGCACTGCTATACTTGAAATCACTGGCCAGGAGATTCTTCCCGAAGAAACTCTCATTCGTCTGCACACCGGCAAACCCTTTAAGATAGAAAGCAAGTTCTATATCACGCCGCGCATGATTCTTAAACTCCTACGTGTTAAAGGCCTTTCCGTTGAAGAGATGGTCCGGCTAAGTTTCAGTAAGTCTAAGATCGAGTGCCAGCTCCGACAGCTCTTACAACAACAAAAGTCCCTACAGAAAGCAGCCAGCTGCCTGCTCAATACTTGCGAGCACTGCACGACCCACCTCTACCCCTACTTCCATGCTTACTTATCCCATCGCAAATCACTCGCGTCCATCTACCAAGCATATCTCCTTAGCAAATACCCGGCCACCTCTAACTCCGCACCCTCTACTTCTTCAGCCAGCACCACTCCACCTTATCTTGTCTTAACCCAAACTGGCTTTCTCTCCCAGCTAATTACGCTCAACCATTCCCGGCAACCAACTGCCCAGACTTTTATGGTCCTTCAACCTCGCTACAAAGCCTTTACTCCACCCACTACCTCCCAAGCTTTCTCTTTAGACCGGCCCATTGCAGCACTACTACAAGACCTAGAGCCCCTCCCTGACTCCACTCCTAGCCAAGAAGTTCCAATTGACCAGCTTATACTTCTTACCCAAGACATGCATACTCCATTCTTAATCAAGTTCCAAAACCCAACCCAAGCCGAAGAAATGTCCCAAGTCCTCAGCCAATGGACACTACTAACCACCACCCATCCGGCCAACCATTGTCCTAATTTCAACCAGCACTACCACTCTTTCCTGCAAGAATTCTACCTCCGCCTTCAAGTTGAACAAATTGATCGAGCTCTGCACAACGCCAACAGCACCAACTTAGCCGGCAACAATTACTTTGGCTATCTACTCTTCCTACAACATCTTGATTATATCGATGAACTCAAGAACCTCAAGCTCAAAGGCAAAATAGCCTGTGAATTCAACACTATTGATTGCATTCTAGCCACCGAAATCCTCTTCTCCCCCGAAGTCACTTCTCTCCCCGCCGCCCATCTCATTATTGCCGCTCTTTCCCTAACTTTCCATGAGAAACACCAACTAGAAGAAGATCCCCTCTATCCATCCGAGCTACCCCGCACAACACGAGTCAAGCTCCTTAAACCCGCCCTAGGTATAATCGACCAAATCGTCTACTCGCTTACCCATCTTTTCAAACAATACCGAGTTCCCTTCCAAGCCCCCAATCATGCTTCCGCCGGCGAAATACTCATGTGGCTAGAAGGTTACTCCCTCAAAGAAATCCTAGCAGCTTCACCCCTCTCCGAAGGTGTCATTGTCAAGTACATCAAAAAGGCCTCCGAAATCTGCAGCGAGTTCTCCATCGCAGCCAAAATACTCGGTTCCACCGCCCTCGCTCAAGAAATAGAGCAAGTCGAGGAAGGTCTCAAACGAGGCATCGTTTTCACACCCAGTCTCTATTATGGCTAACCCAACAGAGTTAAGTTATGATGTGGTGTTGTATTGTGTTGTGTGTGATGTGATGTGTATTGTGCTGTGAAATAAGATGAGATAAGGCGTGCTATGACGACACCTAAACTAACAGCAACTTGATAAGCATCTAAGTTCTATCTACATATTATCCAAATAAAGAGCCTCTACAACTCAATCTACCTTTACTAAACCCACTCCACTACCCCACTAAACACCATACAATACTAAACTCATCCCACCACCCAATACTAAACTCAACCCCACCTAACCCCACTCACCACTAAACTAAATACTATCTTACTACTATATTTATTGGGTTAATCACCAGCCACATCTCCCACCACTACAGGGCAATAATCAATACTAAACCACACTAACAATAACAATAACAATAACACATCCTAGACCAACCACTTACTCTTCTTCTAGTTCTTTTAGCTCTTTCTCTAGCACGGCAATTTGTTCGGTGTTATGCTCATCCCGGGCTCGATCCAGCAGTGCTTTAAGCTCTATTTTCCGCCGTGTCACTACTTTGCTATACCTTAAAAACCGCCGCCGTTGTGATAAAGAGTAGTTCAACTCCTCCTCACTTAAATCCGCCTCAACCTCCCGTGATATCTTCTTCCACATCTTTAAAGCTTCCTTATCCCCCGGCACAACATTCTCACGCAAATACTCCCGATACTCCTCTTCCGTCGCCAGAACATTACTGATACTCTGAATATTAATCTCTTTCCGGTCCTTCTTCCGTTGTACTACCATCCACTTATTAGTCACTATACCACCCAATTCATACTTCTTCCCCTCATAAACATCCGATATCTTATAAATTGAGTACCCAGTAGGCAGTCTTATCTTGATATAGTACCCTTTTAGCTTATCAATCGCCCGCCGATAAACTATCTTTAACAAAGTATCTCTACTAAGCACAATACACTTAAACACCTCATAAGTACTCTTAGCACTCGACTGAGGAAAGACTTTCTCACTCTCCCGACTAAAACTATCCGACTCACTCTCCTCACCAAAACTCCGCACGCGTTGTTCAATCTCTTTCCTTTCATTAGCCCTCACCCTTTCAATATACCTCTCATAAAGAATCTTCTCTCTTTCTACTTCAGGCAAAGCTTCTAATTGTTTTTGGTCTTCCCAATCTAAATAAAGGTCCTCTTCTTCATGACGTTGTCGCTGTAGTTTAGGGGACATATAGGCCTTTATAAATAAATTCTTTGTTATTGTGAGATGGACTCTACTCAGATTGATGATTGTCAGTATATTGGAGGTGCCTTAGATACGGATGCATTGATTGAAGTGTATAAAGGCACTCCTTTTCAGGGTGCAATGGAAAAGTTAGCCTTATCCAATCCAAAGATAAGAAAAGTAAGAAGAGATGGAAATTGTTTCTATTCAGCCTTAGTCTTTCTATTACTGGAAAGGTATTTGGAAAGGCCTTCTTATGCGGAAGAGTTATTAGGGAGGTTGAGTCGAATGAATGAGTGGTTGCGTGATGGGGGGTTGGAAGAATCTTTGGTGGCTGAGTTTACTGATCCGATTTTTGCGGTGTTGAGGTCGGCTACGGCTGGGAATCCTAGTCAGTTAGAGGCCTTGGATAATGTGTTTTGGGGGTATACGTTGTTGTACTTTAGGATGATAACTTCGTCGTATATTAAAAGGAACTTGGGAGAGTTTAATGGGTTCTTGGCGGAAGAGTCGTGGGAGACTTACTGTCGGGACCAGGTGGAAATGCCTGGGAGTTATGCGGGAGAGATAGAGATGACTGCTTTAGGGGCGGCTTTAGGTGTATCTTTTGATGTGATTACTTTGCAGGGGGTGGAAGTACATCGGTATACCAAAGGAAATGGCGAGAAAATAGGAAGTCTCTTGTACATGCCCGACCATTTTGATATCATATACTATGCATCTTAAACCAAATAAATTACTGCTTACTGCATTATCGCTTTCTTTAATTGAGTTACTGATAGAGTTGAGTTAAGTTTGAGTTGGGTTAGTATTGTGTTTGGATTATTGATAGGGTTGAGTTAGTATTGGGTTAGGTTGTGTTTGAGTTATTGATAGGGTTGAGTTATGTTAAGTTTGGATTATTGATTGAGTTAGTATTGGATTATTGATAGGTTGTGTTTAGATTATTGATAGGATTGAGTTGAGCCATATTAATATTGAATTAAGTCATGTTGGTATGAGTACTAGTATCTTTTTGGCAACTAAGATACCAACTCAATACTAACATAACATAACATAACATAACTCGATAAATCAGATTGGTATTGGGTTAGTATTGATTTAGTACTGAGATGGTCTAGATTTAACTTGATAGAGTAAGTCTCGCCTGTACGGCAATTGTATTGTACTCACCCAATACAATCAATCAATTGAACCCAAACTAGCCCTATTCGAACCTAACCTACCCTAATTAGTGGTAACGAAGAAGATACAAACAGAACTAACCTACTGCCAATCCAATCCAAACTTAACCTAACCCAAACCAACCCAACCCAACACCAAACACAACCCAATACAATGCCAAGACAGCCCACCATCTTAGCACATCTGCACTACCAATACAATACTAACTAAATACTATCTTAATCACCTGTGAATCTAGGCAATCAAGAGGCCCTTTATTAATACTTTGTTTGTTTGCCTGTTATGACACAGGAGAGTTCTGAGGAAGACCAGTTAGTATTGGAAGAAAAGAAGTGCGCTGAGAAGTATGTGGCAAGTTTGGCGAGCTACGAGAACTCTTTGGCTTTGGATCGGCCTTCTTCTATTTGGGCTATACTTAAGGTGCCGGGAATAGTCTTCTTTGCAGGTGTGGGTGGATATTTGCTGGGCTGGTTGAAGTTTCAGCCTTGGGTGCTAGTGCCTTTACTGTACACGATTGGGTTTGTCTTTGTTAGACGGATAAAAGAGTTTAAACGGGGGTTAGAGGCCTTTATTTACTTCTCGATTCGGAAACAGAGCGTATCTAAGTTTGAAAAGGTAGATTGGCTGAATGAAGTCATGGAAAAGTCTTGGCGGTATGTTGAGTCAACGGCATCTCGGATTCTGTTGCTGCGGGTGAGTGCTATTCTGCGGCATATAAAGGTGCCAATGATCAATGACATTCGCTTGGATAGGTTTACACTGGGCGGACAGCCACCAGTTATTGAAGGTATTCGCATTCGCAAATCGGATAAGGAGTCTTTAATCGTTGATGTGGCTTTGCATTTCATTCCGGCTGTAATGGAGAACCAGCAGAATATCTTTGAGATGGCCGGGATTGAAGGACGGGAAACCGATTGGAATTCAAACATTACCTTGATTGTCCGAGTAGGTGGAGCTGCTGCTGGGTTGGACATTCCTTTGACCTTGAAGAATGTTTCATTCCGAGGAAGTGCGCGCATTAAACTGAACTTGACTTATAATACGAATGTGGTGGAAGGCGTGGAGTTTTCCTTCTTGAAGCAGCCCGTGGTTAGTTTCAATATTGTGCCTTTGAAGATGGTTGATATTATGGATATTCCGGGTCTGGCCACGGCCATTAAGAAAGTGATTGAGCTGGGAATTGAGAAAGAAGCTTTGTATCCTAAACGGATCTCAGTGGCTTTGCATCCCAAATCGGTTTATTATGTTGGTGTGATTGGCATCCATATCCACCAGGTAGTTTCCAATATTGTTGGGGCCTACTACATTGGTGTTGGCGTAAATGGGCGTAAGAACCAGTGCATTGCCCGAAGCGTTGGCTCAGACCGATGTAACTTTATTGCCTACATTCCCATTAAGAACATGGACGAGTTTATTAGTATCAATATTCAAAAGCAAGAAGAAGGAGCGCCAGTATGTCGAGCTACCATCCCTATTGATAGGTCCTGCATGCAATCAAGGACCCAGATGTTTGTCTCATTGACTAGCCAGGCCGGCTACATAGATCTTTCGACTATTTACATTCCTAAGTTTGATGTTGTTAAGGTCAATGAAGAAGAAAAGCCCAGATCCGCTATTGTTACAGTTAAGCTTGCCCAGCTAATTGATATAGTCGATCAACTTGGCCATCCTTACAAGAACTTGCATGCTAAAGCAACTGTCTATCTTAAAGAGAAAAAGCAGCGCCGGAAAGATCCCGCTAGCATGTCAGCAGCTGAATTAATGATTCCTGAAGGTAAAAGTCCGGCGCCTTCGGCTACAAATGAGTCTTCAACCGATTCTGATGAAGCTGATCTTAAGACCAAAGAAGAAACCGTTCTTACCGACGAAGTTTTAGGTATGTTCACCACCAAGACCTCTCGTGATGTTATTAGCCCGGCCTTCGACGAGAACTTCGTCTTCTTCACGCGTGACACCAAAAGAACTGTTATTGTAGTAGAAGCCTACGAAGGCACTAAACAGCTCGGTAGTTTTAGTGTTAATATTCGACGGGGAATCTCTATTTCTTACGGCACCTTTGATTTTTGGCATCTTCAGGCCGCCCGGGCTAAGCTTCTCTTTGCTGCCGAGTACGTTTGTATGAACAAGATCAAAATGCCCAAGTATACCCACATTCGTCGTATTACAATTGAAGAAATCGGCCATCCCGGCGCTTACACCGGCTACATCGTTACTAGTGGCCGAGTTGTTCCAATTAAAGGCATCTACTCACATGGTACTGGCCAGCACCATGCTACTATTCTAGTGCCCATCCTTTCTACCGATGAACTATCTAAATTCGTCGCCTACCACCAAGATGAACTCTTTGGTGGCTGTGATGTCATTACCGGAGAAACCTTCCTAGGCGAAACTCCCATTCGCCTCACCGTAACTGAGTATCCTCTCCACGAGTGCAAAGAGTTTGCCTCTAAGATCAAAATACCGACCACCGAAACTTCCCCTCTCTCATCCCCCGATAGTGCCAACGAACCAGAACCAGAACCAGAACCAATCCTACATTCACAGCCAGATGCCATCACAGATAACAGCACCGATGCAACTGATGGTAATGATGCCAACACTGACACCACCGATGCCAACACCAATACTACCGACGATACCGCCGATACTGGTACTAACGCCGTCGATGTCAACACCACAACTGAAACTACCGCCACAACTAACGCATCCCCAACAGATACTACTCCTAATATAACTTCTCCCTTTACTCAAATGCGAGTGATTGTCTGCCGAGTTGACCATCCCATCTTCCTTGAGTTCTCTAAAGATGATGTTGTTCTTGATCGTAGTTCGCCTAGTACGGGCAAGAAACTCTTTGGTGAATTCTTCTTCTTTACTGACGTCAATGTTTCTGTCTATACGGTTAAAGAAGGTTTCCTAATTGGTAAGTTTGTACTAGCTAAGAGCAACGGTCGCCACGAAATCAAACTAGCCCACAACCAACTCTTTGTCATTGATCTGTACAACCGCTGGTTCCCCTCCTATAGCACCCTCCCCATCAACCGCGGCACACTTACTCTTACCATCCCGACCATGACCGCTCTAGACCTTCCAGAGATTGAAATCTACCACTCAGTCTTCCTAGAACTTTCTGTCAAAGATACACAGTACTCCACTAAACCCACCATCCAACTTGAATCCCCAGCTTTCACCGAATCTTTCACCTTCAATGTCTTTACTCCCCTCGACATTCTTTACATTCAAGTCTGGACCTGGACTCTACTCAAAGAAAAGAAATCCATCGGCGAAATATCCCTTCCTCTCTACGCCATCCCACCCGGTCAATCCAATCTTTCCCTCATCGCCGAAATTCTCTACATTGATACCAAAAAGTCCACATACAAACTCAATTCTCTGCTAACCCTCGCATAAAAATGGAGTCCTCCGAAGAGTGGCAAATCGATAGCAGTAACCCAGAAGAACCCATCACTCGTTTCTACCTCACCCCAGCCGATATTTCCAAGTACTCTTTCCTCCAGTACTAATCACCACTATTACTAATCACCACCACCACTAATCACCATCACTAATACTAAACCCAATCTCCCAGTCCTATTTAACTACTCACTACGCATTACGTGCACACACTACTTACTATATATCCTAATTAAATAACAACTTGCTATCTTATTACATATCTAATACACACTACTTACTATCTTATCACATATCTAATTCACACTACTTACTATATATCCTAATTAAATAACAACTTACTATCTTATCACATATCTAACCCAAATACCAACTAAATACCAGCTAAATACTAACCCAATGCTACTTCAATGAAGACCTTCTTTATTCTCGCCTAACCCACCAGCACAATCTAATACGCAAACACCAACCAAGTACTAATACTAACTCAACCAAGTACTAACTCAATTCAACGCAATCTAATACTAATACCAACCCAAACTTAACTCAACCCAATCTAATCTAATACTAATCTAATCAAAAATCAAAACAAAACCCAAATTAAATCAATTTAATAGTACTTAATTGGCTTACCCTGAGTAGATTTAACGTGCACCGACTTAATGTTCTGCATGCCCTTCTTAGCAAATCCAAGAATAGCAGACATAGCAGTAGAGAAGTTTTGTGCTACCTCTTCTACAGGCATAGTAGTTGTGCCAATTGAGAAGCCCAAAAGAAGATCAGCCTTAAGATTCAACTGAACCTTTCGCTTAACATCTTCATAAAAGTTCCTAATGTCATTGATGTTCTTAATCATAAAGACTGGCTTCTTCTTACCTGAGAAGACATTAGCCTTAATAACCTTATAAACTGATGCAACAGAAATAAAAGCATGATAGCTCTTCACTAACTTCTTCTTCATCTTCTTCATCTCTTTAGTTTCACCCTTATAGTTCTCCATCATAACAAAAGGAATGTCTGTTCCTTCTAATACTCGGGCTAAAGCATTGTCAGCAATAACTAAGACCTTCTCTGTTCTACGCTTAGGGAAGGGTAGAGTGACTTCTCCTCTAAGTCTTTGCTCTTTAGCATCGTAGCCCTTGAATCCAATACGTAATTCAATGGTTTCTCCAGTTTCTTTCTTTTTTTCTCTAACGCCTTCAGTAATCTTTCTAATTACTGGGATGACGTCATCAGCTCCAAAGATTTTCGAACTCATCTGCTAGGCCTAAAAAAATAAAGAAAATATCTCATTAGATTGAGTTGAGTTAAGTTTGGATTGAGTTGTGTTAGGATAGGATTGAGTTAGTACTTGGTTTGAGTTTGGTTATCTTGGTAGGGATTGTATTATAATGCGTTACTTACTAAATTGTATTGAGTTAAGTTAAGTTAAGTTGTGTATTGAGTTGAGTTACTATTGAGTTACTAGTTATTAAGTTAAGTACTGATTAGGTTAAGATTAGGTTGAGTAGTGGTGAGTAATGGTGAGTAATGTTGTTATAATACTCTACTCATAATCAAACAACCCACCCCAAACTAAACCAACTTAATACAATCCTGATAATAATATGTTGGTGGGTGGTGGTTGGGTTAGTGGGTGCGCTTTTCGGAGTAGGAGAGGTTGGTGGGGCCGGTGAGCTTTTTGATGGAGACTTTCTTTTCTAGTTTATCAATGGGGTCGTCTTCGGATTCGGTTTCTATGTCGCGATCGGAGGCTATAAGGATTGAGGCGAGGAGTTCGGCTTGCTCGGTTTTGGTGCGGTAGGCTTCTGGGGGGTGGTGGGCCATTTCGGGGATACTTTCAATGATCTTGAAGGAGTAGCCTTGGTCAATGAGGAATTGGCGACGGCGGGTGGAGTACGGGACTTCTTCGGTATCCATGCTGACAAGAGTGTAGAAATAAGCGGTGAAGCCTTCGGTGGATCTTCTTTTGGCCCGGAGAATTCGGCCAAGTCGTTGGGTTTCCTGGCGACGGGAGCCGAAATGGCCGGAAATTTGGATGAGGCAGGTGGCTTCTGGGAGATCAATAGAAGTATCTCCAACTTTGGAAAGGAAGATTGTGTTGATTTTGGGGTTGGTTCGGAATTGCTTAAGGATGTTCATTCTTTCGACTTGGCCGGTGGGACCGTAGATGAAAGGTTTGCCGAATTTGAGAGCATAGGCTTTGAGGGCATAGACATTGTCGGAGAAAACAATGATTTTGTCTCCGAGGGCTTCGTGTTTCTTGATGATGTACTCGCACATTTGGATTTTAGTGGGGTTCATGGTGGCTAAGATACGTTTCTTGCGAACATCGGTGGAGAGGTACTGTTTGTAGAACTCACCGGTCATTTTGCACCAGACTTCGGTGCAGTTAACGCGTGAGATGAAGCCTTGGGCGCTGAGGTTGAGCCAGTCGGCTTCATAGAGTTTGGGGCCGATAAGGAAGTTGAGGTCTTCTATCTTTTCATCTTCACGTACTAAGGTAGCAGTCAGTCCTAATTTGCAATGGGAAATAATGATTGAAACAACACGACGGAACATATTAGCTGGAACAACATGAACTTCATCGAAAATGACGAGACCCCATTCGGTACGGGTTAGGAAGTCCATGATCTTTTGGGTTTCAAATGAACGTTTGCCGGTATACGAGACCATGGTGTACGTGCTAATGACTACACCGGCTTGACCTGTGAACTTCTCTTTTGTTTCGGACGTTAAGCGAGCAATAGATTCGTCTTTGATATTGGTGAATGCCTTGATCTGCTGCTTCCATTGCTCAACGGAGACTGAAGTTGTACAAAGAATTAGGCAAGAGCGCTTTAGGGTGCATAAGGCGACAATACCAACTAAAGTCTTGCCGGCACCACAGGGAAGAACAATAATCCCGGAACGGGCCCGGCCGTTTCCAAACATTTTGTTCAGACTCACTTCCTGGTACGTTCGAATTGAAGTTGTTGGCTTTAAATCAACATCCAGTAGAGGCAATGTGTTTTCGGTTCGAAAATCGTACTCTTCAATTAGTGGGTAGTCTAGTTCAATGCATCGTTTCTTAGCTAACTCAACTTTACTCTGGTCGATTTCAAAGCGGACGATCTCTTTCTTCTCCTCTTCAATGGGCAAACAGAGTTCCTGCATAGCTGAGTCCCGGTAAAGGAAGGAGATGTTCTGGTTTTCTTGCGACTCAATAAAGTATCTTCCTTGCCTAATTACTAATTTGATCTTTCCATAACTAGTTGTACAGGAACGAATGAAGTTCAAAATACTAAGTGGTACTTTGTTCTTGCTAAACCGATCCATTGTATCGATAATATCATCGGTCTTGAGACCGACACTAGCGGCAGCATAAAGAGAGTAGGCGGTTATTTTGTACTCATGAATATTGGCTGGTCGACTAATTGGCTCAGCGATAGCAATTAGAAAGTCTTGAGCCTGTCTACTCTGCTCTGAAAACATCTCTAGAATAATCACTCCGTCTGAAGAAACCCACATTGGCCTATTTGCGTGGTTTTCTTTCATTATAATACGTTCTTTCGTCCCTTCCAACGAATTTGCCGCCTGTTTAGGAAGCATACCATCCATCAGCCAAATAATAAAAATCGCATATTGCTGCTACTACAGCTGGTTGTCTATCTATCCAATACTGCTTATTGTTTACTAGTCTGCCAACTTACTTTCCTTCGGCCTTACTTAACTTGTCCATCTGATTGCTTGGTGGTGAGAATTAAGCAGATGTAGAGTAATTGGTGTGGAAGAACCAGAAAACCACCGCCGCCATAATTATTCAAGTTGTGTGCCGAAATCACTCGAGTTGTGTGCCGAAGAATAGATCATTTCGTCATAATTGTCCGAGCCAAACCCATCTTGATCAACATATTAATCCAACAACAATTCAAGTAGGGCTAGAGATAAGAAAGATTTCCAAAACCATCTTGATTCTGAGCTATAGTTTCAATAAATTTTGATATTTAGTTAAGCTCAAGTTAAGTTAAGTTAGTATTGGGTTGGGTTAAGTTGGTGTAGTGTAGTGTAGTGTAATACCAAATACCAACTCAATACTTAACTAATACATACTCTATTACAGACATGCCTTGAGATAAGGATGGATGTCATTTATTGTGGCACGCCGAGCATGAAGCTCGTCCAGTTTGAAATACAAAAGCCCTCAGCATGTGAGACTTGGAAATTATCTTTATTGAGCCAAAGTACCAAATGAGTCTCTTTTCTGTCTCTAGGACCAGGAATACAACCTTTCATCCCTAAGGGTAGATTTAGAAGTGGATGGTGCTAGATTTTATTCGACTATACTTACTCGAGAGTTTTAGATAAGCTGTTATAGATTAGATGGTGTTAATGTTAGGTTGGGTTGGATAGGGTTCATTGGCCAACGCCGACTCTATTAAAGACATTCCTTGAGACGAGTATCGATGTGATTTGTTAAATAAATATGGTTGTGTGAGGATGACGTCATATTGAATTGTAGGGTAGATATGTAAAACTAAATTAGTCGAATCAGATTGACTCTATTAAAGTTGCAAGGCGTAATTAGCTTGCCAATCATCAGGTTGATCTTTGGGTTGGGTTAGTAGTGGTCGTATTGGTTTGGTATTGAGTTGGTATGATGTTGGTAGTGGTCGTATGACAGCACTACAGTTAGATTAAATTATAATTAAGCCATGAACTGAACTGCCCTCCTAAATACTATAACCCCAACTTAGCTACATACTAATACCAACGTAACTTAACTTAACTCAACTTAACTTGAACTTAAACCTAGCTTAACTCAACTCATCTTAACTCAACTCAAACTTAACTCAACTCAACTCAAACTTAACTTAACTCAACTTAAACTCAACTCAAACTTAACATAACCCATCTTAACATAACTAAACTAAACTCATCTTAACTTAAACTCAACTAAATACTAATACCAATTCAATTTACTTAAAGGAGCTCTTGTTGAAAAAGATGGATATCTTCATCGGTAAGGGCCTCTTGGAGAACAGCCCGAGCGGCCAAGTACTTCTCAGTCAGGGAGGAACCCTCGGGCATTTTTTCAAAAAGTGCGTCTAATTGTTGCGTTAATCGTTGATGGGTCTTGGTACTTTTAAGAATTTCAATGGCTCGATTGGCGAGTTGGGAGAGTTGAGCAGAAGTGTATTCCCTGGGAAGAGAGTTAGAATGAGGAGGAGGATGCATAAGACTCGATTTTATTTTTCGGGCATGTCTAAGAGTAAAAGAGTCTTCTTTCTTGAAACATTTGGTGAGATAGCGGCTAGAGTGGGTTATTACTTATTAGAACACCGGGAGACCAGCTTAATCGGTTTATGTGGCGTATTAAAGCTTAGCAAGAAAGAAGTTGCTAAGGCTCTTTCTTTGTTAATTCATTTTGGAATAGTTGGGTTTAACAACTTTCGAGGAAATATGGTTAGATACTATGTGCAAAAAGACTTATCAGAAATGGTGAATAGACCGGTTTATTTGGACTGGGCAGAAAGGACTTATGGAATGGCTGGACTAGCTTTAGTGATGGAAACTTCTCTTAAGGGTGTACTACGTAGTGAAGAAGTGCCAGTGGAGTATATTGAAATGTACCGGCGATTACTAGTTGATGGAATTTTAGTGGATAAGAAGGTAGTTGATAATTCGGCTGGTATTGGTACTGCTGGATTGGGCATTGGTGATGGTTTGGTTAAACGGGCTAAAGTCAGTGAGAAACAGGAGGAGAAGTCGGGCGAGAAGGAAAAAAGGTGCCTGGTCTTATCTAAGGAGAAGATTAAAGCCCGGATTGTAGCTGATTTATTTGAGGCCGAGATAGAGAGACGATTTACCAAGGGTACACGGGTGGTCTTTGCCGTGATCAATAACCAGCATCCTGTCCCGGCTACTTTACGAACAGTTCTGCAGAAGTTAGAGGGTGTAGAATTGGGTAAGGATGGGTGTATCATAGATGGAGAGAAGATGGAACGAGAAGAATGGGTACAGGAACATCTGCACTACTTAAAGGCTTTTGGGGTTATTAGTGGGCCATTTGAGAAGTACTCGGTGAATTATGACTGGTTTCTGCAGCAGATAAAGATAGGTTTAGTTACGAACTATGTTCAAACAGTTTCTGGTGAGAGTGTCTCAACGGTCTTATCGATGCTTCTATCCCGTGGGTATGTTGAGGACCGCTTTGTGCAGAAGTACACTCTAATGGATGCTTCCGTCTGTAAAAAGGCTCTGTTTACTTTACTAACTGAGAATATAGTAGTGGCGCAAATGGTGCCACGAACTCCCGACTGTCTTCCCTCTAAGAGTTTTCACTTTTGGCGAGCAGATCCCGATAAGGTCCTTTCATCAGCCCACCATATAGTTTACGAAAAGATAAACCATCTTTATTTTGAAATCGAACATAGCCGGGAAAGTAAGTATTTACTAAGTCGGGCAGATTATAAGCACAAGCAAGAGACTCTACTAGGCCAGTTAGAACGGCTGCATACGATGTACTTTGTGTTGGGTCTCTAGTCCTGACGTTGGCTCTGAAACGGCTGTTTTAAAGCGAGTATTAGTAGGCTGGATAATAGATATGAATGCATTGGCGGCGCGTATTAGTAGGGTGGCTGGCCCTGGAAGTCGTTTATGTCATGGCTCTAGCTAAATACCAGGATACTTCTGAGTTTGATAGGAAAATCAAGTGCATGCAAAAGTTAATAGGCGGACTATCGGCTCACAAACTACGTTCAACAAGACTCAAAGAACTAGCCGATGCCCTTAAAGTTCGAGTGGAAGAATGCATGTCCATTGAAAGCATAATCGATCGCAACCGCTGTCTTAAGAAATACAGTAAGAGCCCAATTCTTTCCCGCCGATCTGCAGCCAAGAAGGACAGCACTGGCGGCCGTAAGAAAAGGTCGTCTCTGGATGAGAACCAAGAAGATAATCAGACTCTCTCAGATACCGATTCTCCTTATTCACAGAAACAAGCCGACTCACCACGTTCATCTAGAACCAGGCGTAGTGTAGATTCGGACCTTGAAGAAACCTCCGATGCCATTGTTGAGGATGAATATACCGACACCGGTGATAAGACCTACTCAGATGACCAATTCTCTGAGCCATCTGGTCCCCCACGAACATTTAGACGTTCCGAGTACCGACCATCCGGTAAAGATAGGGCTGTAAAGAAGAGATACAGACGCCCATCCTCCTACCGTAACGAAGAGTCTACCGATGACGACGACTATATCTATAGTGAAGCCCGATCTCGCAAATAAATACCATAGACATATACAAAGCTGTTCTTTTATTTTAGTACTACTACACTAGTCTTCTCTATCTCAGTAACTATGCCAATCTTTCCTTAAAACAAAACTAACCCAAAACATTTAGCAACTCAGTAGGGATCTCTTTCAGATTTTACAAACTAAATTCAGATTAAGTTATGTTATAATTAAGTTAAGTTATGTGATGAGTATGACATAATACCAGTGGAATAAAACCAAATATAACTTAGACTAACTCAATACTTACCTAAGACACCCTCTATTAAAGATAGTTCTTGAGATAACATGGGATAAGTATGGGTACCATTTATTGAGTAAATACAGTTGAGTTGGAATAAGATGACGTCATCTTGGGTTGGTATTAGTATTGGTGTTAGTAAGTAGTGTGTACTGAGTAGTGAGTAGCTTATCAGTAATCATATTGGTATTGTATTGGTATTGGATAGTCGTATGGCAACACTACACTAACTAAACTCAATTTGGACGATAGCAGCTAGTTATATTGACTAAACACACCGAAGGTTGCATTTATTTCGATTACTCTGTTGCAAGGGGCTGGGTGTTGTACCGGAGCCATTGCAGACCTTCTGGACTAGACTGAAGTCGGGGCGAGACTGTCTTGTAGACCTCTTGCGACCAGCTATTGAGATGCGCAAGTTCTTCTGGTAGTAGCATAGAAGTATCAACCAAGTCATGGTGGATAGGCACTGGTGTAATGTTCTTCAGAATAAAGAAACCGGCTGCTTCTTGGTCGGACTGAACAAGCATAAGGTTTTCGTGTCGAATGCCATAGGCGCCTTCGATATAGATACCCGGCTCATTGGTAACGACCATTCCTTCTTTAGTCTGGCCTTTAGCGGCAGTTTCCAAAACAGGAGGTGACTCATGAACATTAAGTCCAAACCCAACACCATGGCCCGTACTATGGGCATAATCCAAACCAAGTGCCCAAACATGCTGCCTAACTAGTGGGGCTAAGTGCCCAATTGGAATCTTACTCGGGAATCTTTGCCGTTCAATGGACACGTGGCCTTTAAGAAGCGCAGTATAGTGCTTCTTTTGATCAGCAGTTGGCTGGCCAAAACAAACAGTTCGAGTGATATCCGTCGTGCCCATTTGGTACTGCGACCCCGAGTCAATAAGGTACAGATTATCCGCACCAATTTTAACATCATTACTCTCAGCCGTGTAATGGATAATTGCTCCATTCTCGCCGTAACCAGAGATAGTTTCAAAACTTGGTACAATAAAGGCCGAATCGGCCTGTTTGATAGCCAACAACATTTCAGCCGCTTCAACTTCGCCAACTAAATCGTTTGCCTCAATTCGAGCTTGTATTCGACCAAACAAAGTACACAATGCAGCCGCATCCCGAATATTAGCCTCCTTAAACCCCTGAATCTCCAAATCACTCTTAACTGCCTTTAGTTGTGCTATCTCGTCAAACAACTCCACCGCCTCGTTATTATCATGTAAAGTCCTTTCAATTCTGGCATTCACATTTGATGTAACTCCAACGTGCTGGTCTTTGATCGTGAGAATGTCCTCGTAGAACTGAGCGTAGGGCAAGACCTTAATGTTACCTACTAAGTCTTTTGGGACTACTGCATCAGTATAAACTTTAACTACCTCAGACTTGGCCTCTATCCACATAAAGGCATAGAACAGGCGGGACATAGGAATATCCAGACCACGCCAATTGGTTAGCCAGGCAATCTCGTCCAAGTCACCTACCAAGACTATCTCTAGCGCCCTCTTCCTTCCCGGCTTACCAACACTAGGTACCATTGCTTCCTTAACCAGCTGCAACTTCTCCTTAAAGGTACGCCCGGTCTCCATGCCAACTAACTCCTGTGCGACTATTTGGGGACGTTCAGGCCATAGTTGCGCAATAAAGGCCTCAGACAAGTAAACTAGCTCAAAGTTCTGTTCATGCGGGCCAAACACTCTTTCTATTTCCTGGCTGGTCACATACTCCATAATCACACCAACTTTCTTGGCACCTCGTTCAATTATTCGTTCTAGAGCACTTGGATACTCGCCCATTTTCCCTAACTCAATACCCGCCAGCAATTGCTTCTTAGCCTGTAAGAAGTAACGACCATCCGTATAAAGATAAGCACTATCGGGGAAAACAAGCAAAACCGCATTAGAACCGGTAAATCCAGAAAAGTAAGCGACATGTTCATAACGATCGTGCAAGTATTCACTCAAGTGCGGGTCCCTACGGTGTAAAAGCAGAGCATCAACACCATGTTCAGACATTGCCTTTCTTATATACTCTAAGGCCATGACGTGCAAAACAAAAATCACTAGAAATACCCCCCATCCTCGCATAAACAAACAACCACTAAACCAACACTAACCTTCTTTATTTATAGACCAAAAGCCTTCCTAATCTTCTTTCTATCCAATTTAATTCGCGTCTGTTCTATCATTTTGACAACATTTTTAATCTCTTTGATATAAGACTTAATGTAAGTAAGCGTCTCGGCATTACTACTCTCAATCAAAGACAAATTGATCCATTTAATCTCTTTTATCTCATTTCGGGTCTGGGTGACAAACTTAGTACTCTCGGGAACATTCAGAATTACAAACAGTTTGGAGTCCCTTAGTTTAGTATGCATATTAAGCGATAACCCGCGAATTATCTTATCAGAAATATCAAAACCAACCTCTTCATAAACTTCTCTAATTGCACAATCTATTTCATTCTCAGACTTACAGATCTTGCCTCTGGGAAAAGTAAAGGTCTTTCTAGGCCCAAAGCCTCTTACCATTAGTATTTTAGTCATAGGCCCGTTAAAGATTAAGGCACCAAAGACGGGAACCGCCTTTTTGTATTTCAAAAACTTCTTAAACTCATCTTCTAGTTCACCTGGTGTCTTTAGGTACTGACTGTGTCCCATAAGTAGAATAAAGAACTCTTTAAGATTTAGATAGGGAAAGTTATACTTCCGACGATAGTAATCTTCATAAAACCAGTGGGCCTCTTCCACTTGAAACAAGAACCGTTCAGCATTCTTCTCTTCACAGGCCGGAAGATGCATTAAAAACCTCCCCGCCAAGTCATCCAGTACGTCCTCTAACTTCATACAACTAATAGCAAAAATTGGGTTAAGTCATCGACTCATTCGTGCACAGTACAGCCAGATCTAACTTAGCCAACCGGCCAGACAACCCCACGGCCTTATTGTGTTGAGTTAAGTTGTGTTGAATTAAGTTAAGATTGGGTTAAGTTGAGTTAGGTTGAGTTGAGTTGAATTAAGTAAGTTAAGTTAAGATAAGTTAAGATAAAGTCAAGATAAAGTCAAGATAAAGATAAAGTTAAGATAAGTTTATATTAGATTGTCTACTAAGTCTACCAAATGTACTAAGTCTACCAAGTCTACCAAATGTACTAAGTCTACTAAGTCTACCAAGTCTAACATTGGGTTAGTACGAAGCTATATTGTGGTGAGAAAAGATAAGATAAGAAGAGCAGCAATGTGAAAGAAGCAAATCAATAGGACGTCAAGATAGTATAAGCATTAAGATAAAATAGAGTTAGTCTTGTACTGAGTTAGATTGGCAGTAAATAAACAACGAAGTAAGATACGCAATAAGCCAACAATAATATAATATAAGCAATAACCCCCTAGCAATCTCTCCCAACAATCCTCAGCAACTAAATAACAACTAAACATTAACTAAACTATTGCTCGACTTCGATCTTGCTTTCAATTTTGAGAACCACAAACTTAAGATGCTTTTTCAGCTTTACTATCACGTGTCTTTGCTCAGTCGACTCCTTAAGCTGGGGGCGCAGTCCTAATTTCCTAATGTGCTTCTTAATCGCCTGTTCTTCTAAGCCTTTTCTATCACCATAAATACTCACTTCTAAATCGCGCAATCGATTGTTAGTCAAAAGATCTTGTAATAGCAGTTCATCTAATGGTAAAACTGAAATTGGACTTTTGACTGAACTAGTAACTCGTTTCGTTTCTCTTCTTTTCATCTACGGCAAATGTTCTGAAAATAAAAAAGACCCTCCACCAATCATTGCTTATCTTTTCCCCCTATCCAATACCATCACAACTATCTCAAACACGACTTTTGGTATCCGATTGGGCTATCTAGCGATAATTTTCAAATTTTATTAGCGGTGATGCACCGAAAGGAAAGAGTTAGAGTCTTTCCAGCCCATGCTTTGGAATGGGTCGCCAAACACTTAACACTTAAGGAGTTAAAAAAGGTCATGTGTGTGTCTGAGGAGGTTAAAAGAGCAATTGAAGGAAATCCAGTCATTTGGATGCGCTATCTACAAGGGGAAGAAGTCCTAAGAACTCCTAAGTACTTAGAAAGAGTCAAACAAGAGCACTTATTATCACAACGTTGGCGAGATAAGAAAGAAGAGTATAAAGGTCGAGTAAAGCATCCTTTGCCCGTTGAAATCACTAAACTAAAGATGTTTGGTGATATTTTGATTGTATCTAGTAATTCGGCTTTGATTAGTGTTTTTGATATTAAGTTGAATCTATTAGCCCGTTTATCTGGACATAAGGGAAGTATTTGGGCCTTTGATTATCGGGCGGGTTTACTCCTAACCGGTAGTACTGATCGGACGGCTAAAGTTTGGGACTGTTTTTTAGGCGTATGTATTCGTACTTTAGTTGGTCATACTTCTACTATTAGGTGTGTTTTATGGGCGGATGAGTATGTTATTACTGGATCAAGAGATAGTACGTTGCGTGTTTGGGCAGTACGTACTGGTCAGTGTTTGCGTGTTTTATCTGGTCATAGAGATAGTATTAGAGATGTTAAACGAGTTGAAGGGAAGCCTTTAGTTGTATCTGGGTCGTATGATGGGAGTTGTATTCTTTGGAATTATGAAACGGGAGCTGGGCTTCGGTACTTGTTGAGTATGCCACGGCGGCTGTACAGTGTACTGGTCTTTGGGAGTTATGTTTGCCTGGGGGGTATGGACCAGGTCTTAAATGTAGTGGACTTAGAAGGGAAGGTAGTATTTAGGAGTAAAGGACAGACGGGTACTATTTTTAAGATAAGGAAGGATAGATTTAATGTTTATGCCCTGACAACGGATGGATCTTTATCTAAATGGGTAGAGGGGACGAGTTCTTTAGCCTATTTGATTGAAACGGCTACTAAAGCCATTGATTTTGTGGTTTTGAACCATTATTTAGTGATTGGGTTATTAGATCGGGTGGATTTGTACTGTAAGGAGACGGGGAAGTACGCAAGGACTATTTGTGTGGTTGAGCAGCTCTATGCTCTTTGGGCTAATGAAGAGATGTTATTCTATAGTGCTCGGAGTAAGGGAACCACCGAAATATACACTGTACATTATGTAGCCAAAAGATCCACTTAAGTTTGAGTTAAGATAGGGTTGAGTTGAGTTGAGTTAGGATAGGATTGAGTTGGATTAGGACAAGGTTGGGTTTGAGTTGAGTTAGTATTGGGTTCAATTAAGCCATCTAAATCAAAGGATAACCCATCTAAACCACAACTTAACCTATCTAAATCAAAAATAAGCTATCTAAATCTAAATCTAAATCAAAAACCAAAGCAAATAAACAAGCACATTGTTAGTTGTTAAAGTACGGAACAGTTTATTCCAGGGTAGATACAAAGCAGCAGGCACATACTTTGACTGCTTTGGAACTCCAGGCGTGGCATATGCCGCACTTAGAGGCACTTTCCAAATACTCGCCCTTATCAATGCAGAAAGGCAGGGAAGTATCAATAAAGAAAGTATCTTCCATTGGCTTAGTGCTATTAGCTAGCAGTTTGATTCGAGAATCGTCGCAGTTCATGGTTTCGACTAACTCGCGGGCTAGTTCCAACGCTGTATGGCGGTTGCCTTTCTTATAGCAGAAAGCAATGGCTGCTCGTAGTGCCTTCTCCTTATGCTCAGTCTTAAGACCGGCTGATGCGAAGAAAATAGAGCAAGAGATAGCCGTCTTATCAGAAGTAGTCTTTTTGCGTATGCGCTCAGCTAATAGACATTGAAGATAGGTAGAACAAAGAGAGATATCTTGATCAATTGTAGGATAAGAAGCACCCGTCTTAATTAAGCGAATCAAACTATGTAAAGAAATAAGCAGTCCAGCAATAGCTAGAGAAAACTTGCCATCTGTAACTAAACCAAGAGACCGTTGGATTTCACTTTGAGTATCAAACGAGGCGGGTGTGTTCTTCAAACACAGATCCAGACGAGAAGTAATGAGAGTACGAATTCGTGGTGGTAAAGTATCTAGATCTTCTGATTCCTCCGATTTTGATGAACTAAAAGAAGCCTCAATCTCCTCTTCATTCTTATCTTTTAAGTCACTATTGCCTAAGTCTTTATCAAGCAAGTCATCTAAATCAGAGCTTTCCTGCTTTTCCGAGGAACTGAAGTTAATGGTGGCATCCTCATCATCTTCCATGGCGTTAGGTAAGTGAGATGAGTTGGTAGAAGTGGAGTTAGTAGAAGTAGAGTTAGATTTAGGTGGAGTAGTGGTTTGATGCTCTTTCAAAGGCTTGGCTGGAGTGGATGGCGATTCTTTTGATTTTGATTTTGATAAGGATTGATCATTGGATTCAGAATGATCAGGAAGTTGGGCCTGATTAGTATCTAGCGTTGAAGCAGACTCACTACTTAGCTCAGCCGGGGCCGGAGCAATAGTCGGACTGTCTGGGGCCGTGTGCGGAGCAATCAAACTGTGCAGTCTTTCATTGTTTCCCGTTATAATGGCCGCCAAAGCAATGTACATTTCATCCTGGCAATCAAAAAGAATCGAATCAAGCTTATCTACTCGCTGGGCAGCTACACATAAAAGAATCAAAGAGTGAATATCATTAGCTGCTTTAAAGGCCTGCTCAGCCAGATCTAAATCATAGTTGATAGCTGCCATACCTACTTGGGAAAGAAGAGAATTACTACCTGTTTTTAAGGCATGACCTAATGCTCCTTTAAAGTCCTTTGTTTTCAGACAAAGTTCCGCACTAACGGCTGGATCATCAACATACTCCTGTGCTTCCTGATAAGCACCTTTTTTGATTAAACAAGCTAAAGGCGCTTGGCCAATCAAGGCGTCTTTCTCAATACAATCACGTAAAACTTGACTATCCTTCTTCTCTAAGGCATACTTAAACCGCCACTCAATTAGATCTACTTCCAGCTCAGATACAACTCCGGCCCGATTAAGCATGATAAACCGGTCGTTTTTGATCTGAGCCACCCATAAAGACTCTTCAGTTGATAACAAAGCCGAAGCTTCACCACTACTAAAAGCAAACTTAAGATGCATAGCCGTCGTATAGAAAAGAGTCTCACCATAAGCCACAGCACTGTTAATGCTCAGGACTTCGTCAATTACGGCTAATTGGTTCATGGCCATATCTAACATAACAATACTCTTCTCAGTTATAGCGGCTATAAATCCCTCGCCAGCACAGATACTACGACAGGCCTCCGGTAGAAGTACTTTCTCTTCCGGCCTATCTAAACAAAAGATATGCATACCCCGGGCTCCAATCACTCCTAAAGGACTCAAAAACAAACGATCTGTCTCTAGAGCTTCTGTTCGTTTCTCCACTCCACCTAAAGTCTTCTCTAGTACTTCTGCCCCAGTACTTACCCAGAGACTGTCTTCGCCTAAGACGGCCTTGCCAGGCCCACGAATAGTCTCATGGGGAGCCACTAAACTATAGCAATTACCGTAATTCAATAAAATATACCCATTACGCGCCATTAAAGATTTAAGCCCGCCTTTAGCTTCGCAAACTCTTATCTCAGTTTTTGTATCTGTTTTGATTATCTCCATTCCTCGTTGTAAATAGATATAATCATCAGCTGTAGCAAAGAGAGAAGACTCTTTCTCTAAGGTATAAACACAAAAGCCCGTATCATGACCAGCCGCAAGAACCTTTTCGGAAGGATCCATGGCAATACACCAAAACCGGCTGTTATCAATGTTTAGTGTCTTAATGGCTTTGCGCTTCTTGACATCCCAGAGTTTTAAAGTCCCATCCTCACTATTGCTAATTAGAATATCAGTCGCAGTAAAGTAAAGAGAACTTACATGACTGTGATGGCCATGTAAAGTATCTGTTTCAAAAACACTATCAGTAGAAGCATCCCAAAGTCTAATGCTACTATCATCTCCACCTGTAGCAAAAATACAAGAATCAGGTTTGGCTGAAATCCAGTTGATCCCTCGATCATGGCCATCAATAATGTGCTTAACAAGTACTTCTGGTACGCCTAGCATATCCATGACAGTTGCTTGACTCTTTACTGTTAGGGCGGAATAGTCCCAAATACGAATAGTCTGGTCTAAAGATACACTAGCAAATAAAGATTCAGATAAGAAACGGGCGCCCATTACATAATGCGTATGGCCAGTTAAGCAGGCAATTTGCTTCTTAGATTGAAAGTTCCAAATCCGAATGGTTTGGTCATCAGACGCACTTAGAATCCAAGGCAAGTGCTTGTGAAACTCCAAAGACCGAATGTAATCTGTGTGGCCTTTAAAGACCATCTCAACACTACGAGTCTTGTAGTTCCAAACACGAATTAAACAATCATCTCCTGCACTAGCAAATCGCTCAATTAAGTGGTGAAAGACTACAACACGGACTGGCCCTTCATGCTCTTCTAACTCGAATACCTTAGTCTTATACAAGTAATTCCAGGCTTGAATCTTGCCATTATGCAAACCAACAATAAGAACCTTTTTACAAGGATGAAAGGCAACACTCTTTACTCGCTCAGTCTTTTCCTCCATAACACTACGACAATGCTCAATAGAATGCCATTTACTCATAATAGAGGACTGCAAAATATTAATATTAAATAGATAGTGTAATCTTGGGTTAGTATTAGGATTAGGGTTAGTATTGGCATTTGGATTAGGTTAGAGTTGAGCTTTGTATGGTTAGGTTGAGTTTTGTGAGGTTTTGTGGGGTTTTGTGAGTTTTGGTGAGGTTTAGATAGGGTTTAGTATTGGATTGGGTTTGGTGAGTTATGTTGGGTTGGCATTTAGATAGAGTTACGTTGTGCAGGGTTGGTATTTGGATTAGGTTATGTTGTGTTAGTATTGGATTGGATTGGTATTAGTGTACTAACCTAATAGAAATTGGTGTACTAACCTAATAGACATAGGAGTATTATATAAGGATATGGTAGATACAATAAGGTACTGCGGGTGAATTAACATAAGATTGGGTTGGTGGCGAAACAATGTAATAGTAGTGTAGTAATAGTAGTAAAAGTATGACAAACTAACGTTTATTCAGAGATACAAGGGGACTTAGAAGAGGAGAGCAACTAAAGGAAGAATTGCTAAGGCGGCTAGAGTGGAAACTCCGGCTACTCCGTTCTTCTTCTTGTTGGCAGCCGCGGCCTTTGTCTTCTTGCTAGCCTTGGATTTCTTGCCGGTCTTCTTGCAGTTCTTGCTGTCCTTGGCGGCCTCTTGCTCCTTCTTGAGCTGGGCGGCAGTAACACTTTCCTGGCCTTCAAGAGCAACAATTGGAATTGCGGCTCCGGCTGCGAGTTCTTCAGGAGTGAAGAGAGGCTCTACAGTGGTAGTGCTGGGGATGAAAGAAGCTGCGCCTGCTGCAGAAGCTGCGGATGCTGAACTGACAATGGGGTAAGTGTTCTCACCAACAGTGATTGAGCTGGGTTGGACATTAACAGGGATGTTTCCATTGAGAAGGACTGAGAATTGCTGGTCACCTCCGTTGATGGCTGGCTGGGAAAGCTCTTGGTAAAGAGGAGTCACAGTTGGGGCAAAGGAAGATGAAGAGGCAAATCCAGTTGAGGAAGCACTGGCTGAGGCATTGGATGCGCATGGGGCTGCAACTGAGCTGAAGTCAGAAGCTGAGGAAGCAACACCTGAGGCAGATGAGGCAGATGAAGCAAAGCCGGAAGCAGAGGGAGCAGATGAAGCAACACCGGCAGATCCAGATGGTGTGTATTGGGCACTTGAAGTGTCTAAGACAATTGACTGGTACTCAGCTGGGCTGTAGAATTGACCGCCTTGTTGACCACCAAATTGACCGCCCTGTTGACCTACGAATTGGCCGCCTTGTTGACCACCGATTTGTCCACTGAATTGCCCTTCAAATTGTCCTCCGAACTGGCCACCTTGTTGACCTGGGAATTGCGAAATACCGGCTCCTCCTCCGATTGCTGGCTCATCACCACCAATTGAGCAAGATCCACTGGAACATCCACCCATTCCATTTCCAACACCTTCTCCGTATCCAGTTAAGTCGTAGTAGATGGAATCATCCAAAGTTGGCATGGGCTGTCCAGGAGAGCAAGGGTTGTAGCACGGGTTGTAGCAGTTCATGTTAGACATTCCATCCATCATTTCATAGCCACCAAAGTATCCAGCAGCTGAAATGTGAGATGCTAGTAAGACTACCTTTGCGAGCGATGTGATTATATGCATTGTTGTCAATGTGCGTCTCTATTTATTGATTAGAGATCTTCTGGGTTGGGTCTAGACCCTTGCCATTTGGGGAAACATTGCGGGCCGAGGACCATGGTCTTTGTAATTATTACCATAAAATGCCTACTATTCTCATATACGCCCCCAAAAGACCGCATATATTACGGTCTTTTTAATTAGCAACCTGAAATTACAATTATTGTGAAATTAGTGTTTGGAGCGGTCTAGATCTTTTTAGGCAAAAAGTGGCCTGGGGTAGGGGCAAAGTAAGGGTAGGCATCAGATGGTGCTGGGTTGGGTTTTGGTCTGCTGGATTAAGTTTGGTTTGGTTGTGCTGGCTTGAGATATATCAGTTGCTTATAGGAAGGTGATTTGGTTGAAATGGAATATTTGGGTATTATTGGGCCAACTAGGCTGGGGGTCGGGTTGGTAAGGAAGAACTGTAATGTCGCTAGAATCTTCAATTGAAACGCCGGTTTTGCTGTAGACATAAAGAGTTAGGTGCTGGCAGCTAGTAACTCGGATTTGCGAGGCTGTGATGTAAAAGGTGGAGTGGGAAGAATTGGTGAGTTTGCATGAAGTTTGGACATTGAGCTGGTCGAGCTGAATGTAAGAAACACAGTCAATTGTCGCTGATCCCCAGGAACTAGTTAACTTGATCGCCTGGTTGTGGGTGTTCGTTAAGGAGTAGGTGTTAGTGGGTTTGGTTTGTGTCTGGGCGATGGAGGTAACAATGGCTTGGGATTTGGTGGTTGTAATCGGACCCATGCGAGCGGATTTGAGGGCTTCTTCAATCTGACGAATTTTGGCCTTAGCTACTCCCTTGTCAAAGGCAGTGCGGGCTATGGCGTACTCTTGTTGTGCTTTGTATAGCTCGTCGGCCGGGTTGTAGTCACAGGAGGGCATGTAAAACTTTGGCCAGAACAGTGGTTGTAGCTAGTCGCTGGGCCGGGTTAATGGTAGTTAGGCGGATGTTTGGGTTAGTATTGAGGTGGGGTGAGTTGGGGTGAGGTGAGTTGAGTTGTATTGAGTTGGAGTAGGATAGGATAGGTTGGGTTGAGTTGAGTTGAGTTGAGTTGAGTAAGGAGTAAGTTAATGGTTGAAATAAAGCAGATTTGGTTTATTGTATCTATTCTGGCTGGGGGTTAGCCGGTTAGTCCGTGCTATTGCATAGTAGTTCGCCGAGGAGTAGAAGAAGGTCATTGTCGGAGACGGCTTGGTGCTTCTTGTGATGGTAGACCTGAGCAGCATTGGCTGATATGTTGCGCAGTCCAGTAAAGGTTGGCTGACCGCGTGTTTGGCATCGGCGCTGGGTAAAAGGGATGGTGGGAATCTCTACTTCTAGCTCGGGGGTTGTTAGCTGCAGACGCTCCTGTAGAGTTAGAGCGGGCGGGCTGAGTTGTGGTGAATGCGGAATAGGTGGTAAACAAGCCGGTGAGTGCTCAGGTGAATACTCCGCGGGATTATTAGCTAAAGTAGACTCAAGGGAGCGGAAAGGAACATAGCCGGCATTTGTGGCAATAAAGGTCTCTTGGGTTTGAGCATGCAGCTCCCACCAGAGCATTTCGTGAGCAAAGGCCTCTTTTGTCGCCCATATAGTAAGTGAGCGCTTAAGAAACGAAGGGATAGCGGATTGGAAAGGCAATGTTTGAAGGGAAGTAGGCGGGGGTGCTTGAATTGGGCGAGCGGGGATAGCTGGGTTAGTAAGCTCAGCGTGCGTGAGTGTGTCTGGTTGACTAAGAGGGTTAGTTGCCTTTGTTGCTTTGGTTACTTTGGTCAGCTTAGTTAGTGTAGGAGATTTAGTGGCCTTGGCTGGTTTGAGGGGTTTGGGTCTGGGGTCAACTGTGATGAACTTTACTCGTTTGATTGCTGGATTGGCGGGGGCATGACTGCTAAGAAGCCTTCTAGTTCGCTGTCTTGGTGCCATTGTGGTGAGGTTTAGTTGGGCCGAGCTGATTATATAAGCTGATGTTCTTATTCTATTGGAGCGGGTATTTGATCAGAGATGGTTGTATTTAAGGTATGGACGGCCTGGTCAATGGTCTTTTCTTCTTGCTCTAGACTGGCAAAGCGTTCGCCGAGGCGCTGGGTGATAGTTTGTTCTATTTCTTTGAGAAGTGCCTTGCCTTGGGCATCAAGAGTGGCCTTAGATGGATTTTCGTCCGGCGAAGTTTCTTTCCAGCGCATATAGTGCAATGCGGTGCTTCTTCGGAGGTCAATGAATGATCCGGTCATTAAAATGTGTGTTAGGGCTGGAAGGTCCGAGATTGCAGGGTCTTGTGCATTGATGATGCCCCACTGGTACTCACGTCCCCGCACAGTCCCACTATCGGTGTTGATCATAGTATTACTTGCTACAGTTGATAGCGGAAACGAAATGTTGTCAAATGGCATTTTGAATAGCAGTGACCGGCGCGGATCAATGTGCTGGGTGATTCTCTTCTTGTACGCCTCGAGTTCTGAGTGGGTAAACACATCACGTTTGGTAATGACTGGCAATGTACTTGAAAGTTCAGCTAAGGCTTTGAATAGGGCAGTGTCTTCAGGCCGGAATGAAAGTGGTGAAATTAGAAGAAGAGAGGCATGAATGCGCGGGTCTTCGGACCTTTCCCGATTGATGCCAATGTTGTTCTTGTAGTAGAAAGTGTTCTTAGCCGTTAAGAAATCTTCTATTTCTTTGGGATCCTTCCCGCGGTAGAGATAAATGGTGAGCTTAAAGGAAACATTAGCTGATTTCAAAGTGACGCAATGCTCACTGAGATATTCGGAGATCTTTTGCTTCTTAGGAGGAAAACTATTCAGTCCGTAGACCGAGTTAACGAGAGTTTTGGCTCCCGCGCCTTTTTCCGCAACCACCAGGAGATTGAAGTTAATTCCTCTCTGAAGGACCTTTTTAAGTACTTGGCTGGGAATATTAGAAATGCCGACCTCATTAGACACTGGGACAGGTAACTCAATTCGCTTTCCTTCAACACGCATAGGAACCAAACAGAGTTGCGATATATAGTGTCAAGGTCAATAAACATGCCGCCTATTTTCAATTTTTATGACGTCAAGCAACTGGAGTGTTGGAAAGACAGCTGAACCCATAAAAGAAAACCTTATGCAGTTGGCAAGCAAGGATTATCGCCAGTTTTGCCTAATGGCTTGCAAGGTTAAGTTTCCCCATTTGAAGAGACAAACTGGTAAGTTTAGATTTTCTGATGTCCATTCCTATAACTACCATGAGATCAAAGACCGATACAATTTAACCGACGAGGTCAATGCGTCCTTAATAGACGGATCGCCTGAGTTTATTGCTATGGAGTACCCAACTGACCACTCTTTAGTAAGCACGGCTGAGCTGGTGTTAAAATCCAAAACTTCGGTTATTATCTCATTGATTGGTATTCGGTACCATTGGGAGAGTGATTTCATGAGAGAACATCACGTGCTAGATCAGAAAATGGGTTTGTTGGAGTTCTTAGCCTGGGCTCAGGAGCAAGGTTTTGATACTAGCCAGCTGTCCTATTCTGACCTTCATACGGTCTTTACTGAAGAAGATGGCAACTTTGTTATTGAGAAGTATCACGAAAAAGACACGCCTAGTCAACTTGTATTTAGAATTAACTGTAACACATGGAAAGACAAAACACCTCCAACTGAAAACACTCTTAAGGTTCTGGACGCCGTGCATACCATGGGCCGGACTCTCACTAACACCGCCAGCCCAACTATTGTTCATTGCATGGCGGGCATAGGCCGAACAGGCAGCTTTATCTTCTACGCTATCTTTCGCCAGGCCCTTTTAAACCATCAAATTGCTGATGAATCTCGAATGTCGGCTTTTATCGATCTCTTTCTCTATTTAAGATCCAAGCGCACCTGGATGATTGAGGCGCCTAGCCAATTAGAACTATTATACAGAATGTTTATTGTTGATCATAGCTAGTGCTTTACTGAAGCAATGTGGTAGTAATCTCAGTTTGGATGGGCTGTTGTTTGCTCTTGGTTAAGTCGCTGCTTGTTGATCTTATCAATGATGCGCAGGAAGATATCATTGTCCGTTTGGGCCCAGTGCGTTTGGCGGTTTAGTAGGTTGATTAGATCTGGGATTATTACTTGTTTTGGTTTGGCATTTTCGACTTTGACTTTGAAATGTACTTCTGTGTAGATTTGCCGAGTTTGAGAAAGAGACAGCAGATGCTGTTGAATGGAAACTTCTGGGTGTTCTTGTTGAAATAAACGACAAATTATCTCACTATCAATCTCGTTAGCCGGCATAGGTAGGCCTTCTAACAAATCTCTTTTCTTTATCTCTTCTCGATATAACTGCACTAGTCTGGCTGCCTTTTTCGGGCCAATACCATTAATGCCCGGCGAATAGTCCGAGCCAAGCAACCAAGCCAGCAGTACTAACTCAATCCAGCTATACTCCAAAGGCCGGTTGCTTGTCTTATAGAGCTTGAGACTCTCTTCGCGCTTGAAAAAGTGCCTTAGAACCGGCTGTGCACTAAACAACAAAACATCACTATCATCTGTAATCACGCCCTCTGTTCCAAAGGCTTCTTCTAAGCCGCTATAAACCGGATCAGCTTCAGCTGGTGAAATAGCATACTTGATTCCCAACAAGTCCAAAATATCTGTTACTACGCGGTACCCAAACGGCATAGCTTGCTTGGCCACCGAGTCACCAGCTAAAAAGATGTCCTTCTTTGTAATATCGTAGGTCTCCATTTCTCGCTGCCATTCGCTCTTCTCAAACTGTGCCGGCACACTTAAGACTGTGCTAGGGTTGTTCGTGCGCTTAAACTCAGCAAATGCCCGCGTCTCTTCAGGGTGGGCTTTAGTCTTACTAGAGCAAATCCGATCGGCTTCAACTCCTTCTAAGTCAAAACCAACCAGTTCCTTTAGTTTGTCTAGTTCAGCCACTGTTTGGTGGTAGTCATTTCGTCCCCGCTTACTTCTTTCAGGCACTTGTCGATGGACTATTCGTTGCTGCAATTTGTACGTTAGATTGCTTTCTCCGTGCATTCGTTGCTGTGTCATTTGTCGTATATGCTTGTGTCTCTGCGCAATCTTATCTATTTGGTAGTTAGAAAACTCCTCTAGCTCCATTTCGGCATAGTTGGGCGGGTGCTCCGATTCTGGAAAGAGCATGCCTATAAATGGCGTCGGCCAGATTAGCATCATCTCTTGGCTTGGACTAGTTTCTGAAGATTCAAGTGTGTCAGTAGTTAAACGATCCCTTTCTACTTCTAGCTCGGCCTGGTTACTTCTTTTTCTTGGCAACGATCTTATCTCACGAGGCCGTTTGAACATAGGCCGCTGCCCATCAAAGACGAAAATTGGATCAATACCCAGTTGTAATAATACTCCAACCCGTTTAAGAGTATACTCTGAAATACGCTTCACATCAGTACTATGCAAACACCCAAAAAGAACGAAATTCGCATCAACACACAAAGACTGCTCAGCAACAGCCGAATGCAAGACTTCTTCCCCTTTAAGCATCTTCCATACACCTCTAATTCCCATGTATCCGCAAAATTTCCACACATTTAGTCACATCTATCCATTTATTCGCCTATTACAATCCATCTAACTACTTGCCCTAACTAATTTAGCTCTTTATTGTAGTATTTCTCTTATCTTATCACAAACCTCCGTTGTATCACTATTAAATAGACAAGAACCCAGCACAAAATCATCAGCAGAAATCACATCCACAATTGTTTCTAGATTTACGCCGCCGTCTACCCCAAATACAACATCTGCATACTTATCCTTTGCCTCTCTTAGTCGCTCGGTGGTACATGACAGCATTTTCTGTCCCCCACGACCGGGCACCACACCCATAATAAGAATCTTGCTAGCGGTTTCAGGAATGTATAGTTTATCAAGCACTTCACCCGGTGAAATAGCTACTCCCAGCTTACCTCCATGCATTTTCATATACTGAGCCACCTCCGCCATCTGGGGATTAGTATGTACAATTACGTGGCTCAATCGGCTTAATTCCAAGTTCTTAATGCAATTCAGTGGATTCTGAACCATCAAGTGGCACTCTATCTCCAGTTCTGGAAATCGCTCTCCTATCTGTTTAACTATCTCTTCGCCCAAAAAGATCTTCCCAGTCACGGCCCCATCCATCAAATCCAAGTGTAAGCGTTTTATCCCAGCCGCAACTAGTCTTTCTATTTCCGCCCCAATTGCCAACAAATCACAATTCAGAATACTAGCATAGATTCTCTTCATTGCAATTAAAACAAATATGTCTTATTATCATTATAGACCTTTTGTCTGATGCATTAAAGCTGGGTTTGTCGAGTGTTGTAGAATGTTAAATTGGTCTTTAGATCGTGTGTAGATGGTATTAAGGTGATATTATAGTATGAGGTTTAGGAGGAGAGACCAATGGTGAAACCCGATTAAAATTATTAGAACTGCACTATCAGTACAATACTAACTCAGTGCAATGCCAGCCCGGCCAATCTGATTGATGGTCAAGATTAGAATATTTCGCGATCTAGTTTTTTGGACTGGATTGGAATGTTAAACTCAGCACTCACTATAGAAGCAATTGCCCAGCTAACCCAATACATACAGGGCAATCATACTAAACCTTCAGACATGTCCGACCTTCAATGGACTCGACTGCAAGAGAAAGCAGGCAATTTTCTGGTTCATAATAACAGGCTATACTACGCTGGTAGTGAAGAGCATGATAATCTACTAGAAGCAATTGGCAATGATGACAGTGCGAAGTTAGAGAGCATTGCCAAGCCAGTGCATATCGAAAACGGGCATATGGGGCCAGAAAGGCTTTATCAAAAACTTCGATGTAATTATCTGGGCTTCACTCGCAAAGCCATTCGAGAGGTAGTTAGCAACTGCTCTACCTGCACAGCAAACAATCCCATGCAGCATGTTGAGTGCAACTATCCAATGATGCATCTGCAGATTGACTGTATTGATATGCGCCACTTGGCGCACAGCAATGATGGATACGGTTGGATCTTAATAGTTCTAGATGTCTGTTCTAAGTTTATTATGGCCGAGCCAATGATAAGAAAAACAGGCAAGACTGTTGCCAAAAAGTTAAGCCATCTCTTTGCCATAACCACTCGCCCGTGGATAGTTCAATGTGATAATGGCGAAGAGTTTGTCAATGATGATGTTATAGCTCTTATGAAGCGCTTGGGCATTGACTACAGACACAGCCAATCTCATCTACGCATTATGGGCCAAGTGAAGCGGGCTATTCAAAGCCTAGTTCGAGGTCTGTTTGGTTCTGCGACATGCAAGGACCCTGAGCGCTGGATTGATGACCTGGATATTGCCCTTGATTTCCACAACCGAGACCACCATCGAGCCATTAACCAAGTCCCTGTTGATGTATGTTACGGCTGGCCGGCATCTAGCCGCCGCCCAATCATCTTCGAGGACTGTCAAGAGGTTTATGAGCAAGAAGTAACCCGGATGTTCCAATGTGAGCCAGAGAACGTCACCGCTATTAATCCAATACCGAAATGTACTCCTTCCGTAGAAGACCCAAAAATAATGCTTATCCCTGTGAAGATAACTCCAGTCGACCAGCGAATAGATGCCAACCACCGACGGAAGTATCTGAAAGCAATGGACCGAAACCGCAACAACCGTATACGAAAAGCAAGAGCACCACAAGACACTTCTAGTTGAGCAAATCTTACAATGACCTCGCAGTGCATTATAATAACTGTTAAACTTAGATAAGATTATCTTGATATCAACGCAAACTGAACTAATAATAGATAGGATTTATTGCTATTCACTAATTAAAAGATACGTTACTATTTGAGTTAAATTGGGTTGAGTTAAGTAATTGTAGTGCTGGCCTACGACCACTACCCATTTGCCACCCGGTTAACCTAACTCCTGGCAGGTTACTCACTACTTAGTACTACTAAAATTAGCACTACTACTCTAACCCAATAACTAATTTAGTTTTGCAGATCTTATCTGTATTTCGATATGACGTCATCTTATCTCAACATACCCATATTTACTTAATAAAAGACACCACTCATTTCAGGGACTGCCTTTAATAGAGTATGTACTAGTTAAGAAGGACTTAGTATTGGGTGTGACACTAACCCAACTCAACTCAACTCAACTCAACTCAACTCAACCCAATCTAAACTCAACATAACCTATCCCAATTCAATCTCTAAAGATACACGCAATGAATTCTGTGATTTTCTCATCCTCCCATTCATATTGCTGTCTGGGCACGTAGAACTCAATTAACTTATCATGCACTCTATCATCAATCTTCTCTTGGCGCACTTTCTTCTCAGCTCTGGGCATAACTAAACGCATGCCGCTCTTGTAACAGAAATCCTTAGTACAGGCAACAATAAACGGCATATCATCATATTTGCTAACCATTCTTTTACTCTTCTCAGTAATTGCTTGCTTAATACGTTGCTTAATTGGCTTCTGCTTGTTTATCCGGCGCCAAGCCGAACCTTTCATATTTGTATCTGCCTCACTAAGTACTAGTCTAGTTTGAGCTTGTAACTCTTGCCAGGCCCCTTCTAGTCCCTGGCTAAACACCTCTAAGAAACCCACCACATTTGAATCAATTGTACCCTCAACTCCTGCCCTATGCATCAAAGCCAGTACTTTAACTAAGTCTTCAGTTTTATCTTGCTCTTCCAGTACTTCAGGAGTATCTACTACTTCAGCATTCATTTGTTCAATACGTAATAACTCTTCAATCTCATTGCCCGGCTCTAAATCACCTTCTATTCCTTGTGCTCCTACACGACCACTTTCATCGGACTCAGATTCTTCTTTTACTCCATCCATTTCTCTCTCGTATTTAGATAATAAACCGTTAAAGCTTTCATCGCTACTAGCCATTTTGCAATCTTTTGCAAAATTGAACTCTTATCTTACTAGTTTCAAACTCAGCAGGCTTTAATCTCATTTTATATTTCTTACAGAACTCACTAGATCTAATTGAATTATGTTTAAGTTAGGTTTAGATCAAGTTAGGTTTAAGTTAGGATAGGCTTAAGTTAGGATAGGTTTAGATTAGGATAGGTTTAAGTTAGGATAGGTTTAAGTTAGGTTACGTTTAAGTTAGGTTAGGCAACTCAAGTTAAGTCAGTACAAATCCAATCCAATACTAACACAATACTAACACAACCTAATACCAACTCTAGCGTAACCCAAGCCGAAGAGTCACTTTCAGTCGAGTGTACCAATAAAACAACGCAATCAGTTCTAAGATCAGTACCTTAACCTATAAATAGATAGGAATTACAGGAAAGAACATGTCCCCAAATCTAAAAGATGGTTTAGGTCCAGGCGTTGAACAAATAGATAGCAGTTCTTCTTCATTAGATCTAAGTCCACAAGCAATAGACTCAGCACCACTTAACTTAACTCCATTCAACGTAACGTATCCACAACCTCGTTCCAAGTTAAAACAACTTTCTTCCTTTCCAGGTGCTTCACTTATGGAGTACTGCAGCTCTAAAAAGACTCTTCCTCCTCGACACCATCCCATTGTCAATGGCCTACAGCAAAGCAGCCACTACCGCCAAACACATCTTGGGCCCATGAAAAGCTGCACACTAGAAGACTTACCCGAATGTCTAGTTCTTTTCAGCTCCAAAAGAAGAGCTACTCAGCCTATTCTCTTCTATGAATTTCCCAAGACCATTGACCTAATTCTAGAATGGTGCACTAGTTTCCGCCAATTCCTGGCCGATTTTGAAACCGAGCAAGATAAGCTCCAAGTTCTAAACCTCTTCCTCGTAGGCACAGGCCATGAGATATCCAAGCAACACTTAACTTTAGACAAAGCCCTTGACCAGCTAACTCAAATCAGTCTTCACAAACTCCTTACTACTTCACCCACCGCACCCCACCAAGCCCACCATCTACTGATCAGCGACTACGTCGAGGCCCTCACTCGGTTCAACTTCTTACAACAAGCCGAAGAACCCGAAGCCGCCGAAGAGATAAAACGTTCCCTCCGCCGCAGTTTCTTCAGCGGTCTTGGCACACACACTTCCGCCATGCTTGCCACGCGCAACATCAAAAGCCTGGACAAAGCCATCGCATACATCCAAACCCAAGAAAACCTCTGGATCCAAATGCTCTCAATCCATTCCGACAGTCTAGCTCAACTTGCCCCACGCCCACGCCCTCACCACCGCTCACTATCACGTCCAACCCGCCGCCTAAACTTCCACCGCCAATCCACCTACTCCAACCAAGCCAACCGCCACCACCAACCACCCAGCATCTACCAAACCCAATACTGCACCTACCATAAATCCTCCACCCATGACACCTCCACCTGCCGCCGTCTCCACCCTCCCAGACACACTCCAACCCAACACCATCCCAAAAATCATCCACACCCCCATCCGCCCTACTAACTACATACATACTACATACATACTACATACTACATACATACTATCAACTATATACTACACACTACCAACTATATACTATACACTACCAACTCTACATACAGACTACCAACTACAACTATATACTACCAACTCAATCCAGACTAGCCCAATAAACCATCACAACTTAATCTAATCTAATCAAAAACGAACTTAACACAACACAACCCAATCTAATCAAAAACCAACTTAACACAACACAATTTAATCTAATCTAATCAAAAACTAACACAATCTAATCAAAAACTAACACAAATAGAAAGAATCCCGTTTATTGTATCCTACTGCATACCACCCATTTGGGCCATAACCATCTCTTCCTTCTTCTTACGCAACTCTTCATTAGCAATGTACTCTTTCATCATTTTCCGGCTCTTAAAGCAACCAGCTTTAGCCTTTAAGTAAACAGCTCTGTACATTGCCCGATCAATGCGACCCTCGTCCCGGATACCCTTAAGATCCTTTCTAATCGCCCGAATTCTTAACATCCAGATCTTCTTCTCTGGGAAACGAGCATTCCTGGTTCCTCTACGGCGACCAAGACCTCTATGTCTACCCATAGATCTCTCCAGTCGGAACTGTCTCACTCGTCCTCTTGAGTTACCAATCGTTGGTCGTTGCACAATCAAACCGTCTTCTACCATCTTAGTCACTTGCTCTTCAGTCTTTCCTTCTGCTAAGGCTGTTGCTTCACTTGGGTCCAACCAGATCTTATTCTTACCACAATCTAAGACTTTAGCTGCCATTTTTCTTACCTTTGTTAAATCTGGCCGCTCATATTTAGGAGGCTTTTCGGTCCTTTCTGCCATTACTAGGGGCTAAAAATAATTAAAATATAACAATAGTTAGTAGTTAAGTTGATATTAACTTGAGATAAGATTAAGTTGGCATTGAGTTAGTATTGAGTTGAGTTAGAGTTGAGTTAGTATTGTGTAGGGATGGTAGTTGGTAGTAGTTGGTAGTTGAGTTGGTAGTTGGTAGTTGGTAGGGAGAGTTAAAATTTCCTAGTGGAGTAATGGTAGAGATGAGTTAAAATTTCCTTATTGGGTAAGTGATGTCATTGAGTTGGTAATGAGTTGGTAGTGAGTTGGTAGTGGTAGTGGTGGTGGTGGTGTAGCAAAGTAGCAAAGTAGCAAAGTGATTATTTGCAGCCACAATCCCAACGGTTGTCTAGACGAGTACAGTCGAAGACGGGCTTGTTGAGGCGTTTGTTAACGATGTTGTGGGCTTGGCAGAGCCAGGTGGCGAATTCTTCTTGGGTGTTGACTTGTGGGGGGAAGGATCGGACTAGGGCTTGGAAATGGGTGCGGCACTCGTCACAGGGGAACATTTTGGTAAGGAGGTCAATGAGTTTTATGGCGTTGGATTTCTCTTCGCGGGAGGGATAGGCGGGATATTTGGCAGCAATAGTATGGAGAAGAGTCCAGGTGGATCGGCCTAGTTCGTTGCGGCGTTCGGCTTTGGTGGGGGGCATGGTGTAGTACTGGTCATTTGGGGTGGTGAGTTTGGCTGGGAAAAGAGTGGGCGTATGGAAGTATTTACGAGTAACTTTGTAGCCGGTTAAGAGAATCCAAAGGGAAAGGAGACCAAGGCCGGCGCGTTGGAGAAGGACTTCTTTGCGCATGTTGTTTATTTACACGTGAGTAGTATATATGCGGGGTAGGACGGGTGGGATTATAGAGTTGGCCCGAACGAGTTTAGAGGTGGGGATGTTGCTGAACGTAGGCGGGTAGCTAAGAGCGTGGGAAACTATGTGGTTGAGTGCATCTGTATCGTCGGATTGGGGATTATAATGATCAAGTAAATGGCGGTCAAGATGGCGGTCGGCTAGATAGGACTCGATTTGGGTTTCATCAATAAAGGTAAAGAGATTGTTCATTTGTCCGGCTCGACAGAAGCCTAAGTTAACGAAGTAGTTTTTACTGCCGAGTGGTTGGCGGCGGTGGTGTGAATAAACACAAAGAGCTCGACATTCATGAATACGAACCATAACTTGCTGGGAATACGGCGTGACTTCTAAAAAGAGCTTAGCAGTAGCTAGTTTAGTCACTGAGCACATTTTGTACTTCTTAACAAAGGTAGAGCCTTGGGAGATAGGTACTTTGGCAATGCGAATGCAGTTGTCTGGATGGTGTTTAAGACAAATCTTGCCTTTACGTACTCTTTCTTGGATGAAGAGTTGGGCATGACTGTCCTGAGAAAGATGTTGTATCTCTAGTTCGCTTGCTCTAGTTAAGGCCAAAGCCATCACCGGGGCATCAATTGCTTGATTGCGCGGAATAAGGAAGAAGCCCATATCGAGGTCATTATAAGCACGGACAGCTAAAAAGCAACCAAGCAACAAAAGACCTTTCATGCGCCCGCTCCATAAGGCACCTAAATACCGTGAATTTGAAACTGTTTTACGTGGCCTATCTTAATTAGAAAACTAACCAATCACCGCCCAGGCAACCCACCAACCTCACGCCAAGTAAGTTACCGCATGTGTTTGAGTTAGTATTAAGCACGATTAAGCACGATTAACCCGGCCGGAATTGCTATGAACCGGTCTAGCGTAGTACTAAGTTGAGTTAAAATCAAGTATGCCAATAAGACAGATGCCAAGAAGATATTATATTATTAAGATAAACAAAGACGGGTTGCCAAGATAAACAATAGAGTCTTATTCAGATAGAGTAATATTACCCCAGTAAAAGTATATCAATAAGATAAACAGACCACCAGCCAGACTAAAACAATACAAAACCAATAGAATGTTATTAAAATAGAACAGTTAAGACCAGAAACAGAATGGACAAAGAGTACTAAGCCGGGTAAAGGTCAAAATCAAGCTAAGAGATAAGCAGAGAGTAAAACCAGCCGTGTTTGCTAAAAATTTACAGCAGATGGCGGCCATGCAACTCAAACGCACTGGTAAACAGAGTTGTCCAGATTGCAAGGAAGAAGAGAAGATCATTGAAGATTATAAAAATGGGTATAACGTTTGTGGGGCTTGTGGATGCACGATTGGAGGTAGAATTATTGATGAAAAAGGGGAATGGCGAACATTTAGTGATTCAGCTGAAAATCCAAGTCGAGTTGGAGGTCCCAGTAATCCATTCCTAGACTCAGAACAATTAGATACGCTTATCTCTTCAGGCGCAGGTCTTTCTTCCTACAGTCTAGCTAAGACTCAAATGAAAAGCAGTTTAAGAGGACCGGAAAGAGCACTTATTAATGGACTCAATCTAATCACTGCTTTTTGTGAGCGCAAGAATCTTTCTAAGACTATTTCTGATGCTGCTAAGTATATCTTTAAGACCGTAGAGAAGAAGAAGGTTCTGAAAGGGAAGAACTTAGAAGGAGTAGCTGCTGCTTGCATTTATATTGCCTGTCGTAAGGCCGGTTTTGTTCGTACTTTTAAGGAAGTGAGTGTTTTAACTGCTGTGCCTAAAAAGGAAATAGGTCGGTGTTATAAAGCTATCTTCCCGCATATAGAAAAGATGGCTGTTGTTTCGACTGAAGATATTGTGGCTAGATTCTGTTCTGATTTGACTTTAAGCATAGAAATTCAAAAGGTTGCTTTAGCTATCAGTAAAAGAGCGCAAGTTTTGGGATGTATTGCTGGTAAATCACCCGATTCAATTGCAGCTGCTATTATCTACTTAATTACTTACTTATTCCCGACCCAGAAGAAGATCCAAAAAGACATTCAAATAGTTACTAATGTGACCGATGTCACCATAAAGAACACCTATAAAGAACTCCTGCCCTATCGTTATGAGCTAGTCCCAGAAGGTCTAGTTCCTAAAAGCATTCTAGATACTCTTCCTAACTCCTAGTCAGCACCCAATACCAACCCAATACTAACCACCTTAACCCAACTCACCCAACCCAATACCAATCCTAGCAACTAGTAGGTCATTAGTAGATTGCAACCACTTATAGACAAAGACCTACTACCACTGCTACTAATCCAATACCAACACACTACTTAATTTCACTTCGCTTCACTCCACTCTACCCCACTCCACTCTACTCCACTCCACCCAATACTAACCTAACCAATTCAATTAGTCATTAAATTATGCTTAAGTTTCTCCCTCTGTTGGTCCTAAGCACCTTTCCTTTCTTCTGTTTTGGACTGTCAACTGTAGTTACTTCGCTGGTCTTTAGTATAGAAAAGGTTAGTGTTGGAATCTTTCCTTTAGTCCACTCTTTGCTCTATTTGCTAATCATTCTCTGTAGTAATATGCTGTCTGCCTTAATGATTGAAGGATACTTAGCAAATGATTACAGCCGGGTGACTCTTTCAGTTTGTCTTAAAGTCTTCTTTGGTCTCTTCCTTACTTCTTTAGGCTTGAACTTAGTCGATATAGGTATTCTACTCTTCTTGCGTAGTCATCCCATCTATCTTTCTGTTTGTCTGGGCCTGGTTTTCTTAGATACTTTACATCTTATTTGCATTAAGGAGGCCAAGCAAGAGTTAACACCCACTCTAGCTGAGATCCAAAAGAGCCTCAACATCTCGCGACCCCCAGCCAATACTAACCCCGACCCCGACCCCAATCACAATACAAACACCAATACTAATCCCATACCCTCTTCTCCTTCGAGTTCATCCTAATGCCATCTTAATGCCAGCATAGTATTATCTTAATATCAACATAGCCTATCTTAACATATAACTACAATAAAGGCAATAATACTTTAATATCCGATGGAATAAATAGTTGATATCTAGCTGAGTATAATTCACTGGTTGCTTAACTTCATGTCACATTATCCTACCCAATACAAACATGCTTTTCATTGGGGTTTTAATCAATAATACTAACCCAACCCAACTCAATTTTTAACTTAGAAAATTTCCTTTTATGGTAATCGGATACAGTCTAGTCTTATTTAGGGTTTTTTTGATTTTAATTACTAGCCCATGAGTAAACGATCAAAAAACTCTCTAACTAATCTAATTCTATCTTTCTTGATTGTCTTAGGCCTCTTTAAGCTATCATTTCAAAGTATGGCCACAAACGAGCAACAAAAAGACCATCCAAATTACATCTACACCAATTTAGCCAACGGGCTTCAGTATCTTATCCTTGTCCAGCCTGATAGTCCACACACCCAGGTTAGCATTTCTGTCAAGAAACGCTCTTGGGATGCCGGGGTCAGAGGCAATCCTTCAAGCCACCTTTTAGGAGCACTTCTCCGACATAAGCTACAACCCAGAAATAATCACCAGCCATATCAAGAATTTCTAACAAGACCCAATAGCCATACTATCACCGTTAGCCATAACTTCATCACACTCGAGTTCTTCTTAAATGATCCCCAATGCCTAATACCATTTGAACTCTTACAATCAGTTATTACTCCCCAACCCACTTCAGATATAATCGACCAAGTCAAGAGACACCACTTTTCAAACTCACAGAACAACACATCCGACCTTTGCCCTTCCACCGCCGAAATTGCTATGGAATGGGCTGAGACGTTCGATTTCCAAAATATCCGACTTGTAATTGTTTCCCCCAGCCAACCAATAGCTCTACTAAGTTTTCTGTACTGCCACTTTCACGAACACCACCGAGAAACCCTATGTCAAGCGGACAAAATACCCAAAATGTATTCGTTGAATGAAACAGCATCATCCCATCCGACGGTCAACCTACCCCAACTACTAATAGCTCCTAAAACACTCCATTCTTCAAGCTCATCCGAAAAGACAACAATCACTATTATTGTCCCACTTCTTGATAGAATCACACCAGGCACTAGGCCAGTACTAACCGACCTATACCACCTATTCTTCTGCTGCAATATCATATACAATAACTATCTTCAAGCACACCCCAACAATGGCCTTCGAATCAAAGCTATGCCTCTAACTGCTCTAGAAACCACACTAAGTCTTTATATCACCATAGAAGTAGATGACACGAAAACAATAGAGTTTACCGAGGCTCTAGATCTGTTGTCGGGTTTCTTTCAAGCTATCAAAGCCTCTTATAAGCGCCCAGACTCGGTTTTATACCAGTTATACAAAACGCATTTATGCCCCAACCCTGAAAGAGTCCCAAACGTATTGCTATGTACTCTTGCTAATCTGGCATCCGTCTACATGTTCTTTGATACACCAACCAACCTCCTTAATTTTGCCTTTGAACCGGTACCAGATCCTAATATGATTTCTGACTTGGCTGGTATACTCGAAACTGCAATGGATCGAGAGAAATGGAAGGTTAGTGCTGAACTCACTCATGTCCATTGGCAACAATTACCAGGACCGCCGCGGATTGCCCCGATTGTTGCCTCCATGCTAGCCGCAACTGCGAGAGTTGAACGAATCAAAGACATTATATGCATAAGCGAGCCCGATGCACAGTTAGGCCATGCTATTGCCGTCCTAACGAATCAACAGCCCAGCCTTGCTATTTCCAACACCAGTACCGAGGCCAGCCCCCAGTTGCCGAATAGCATTTCTAATCCTGAGCAACAACAGCAGCCACAACGACCTCTATTTGGTCTTCTACCCAACCCCGCCGACGCTTTTCAACAAGCTACTTCTAGCGCACTACCTGCTAATCCGCCCAACGCTAATCCCTCATCAATTGGCACTAGTCAGGTCCTATATCACACACACAACGAGCTGGGTCTTGAAGCATGTGTTGTCACTGATCCCCAAAGCCAGGAACTAGCAACAGCTAGTGTTGTGCTTACTAGCAACGACTATCTTATCGATATTAAAACCTACATCTGGCATGTTGCGCACGTACTAACAGTATTAGAAAGCACTAAAGCCTGTCTCCGGCAATGGATCGAAGATACCGATGTGTTTATCGATGCAGATATTAAAGAAAACGACAAGACTATCGTTATTGCTCGAGGACCAGAGACAGCAATCAAAGGTATATTTGAAGCGTTCTTTATAATCTACAAAAACACCACTATCAATCCTACTCAGGAAGCCACTGCCTTGCTTAAGGCATATGAATTCTTTTCGAACGCAGCCATACAAACACCACCAACTCTACAACAATACTTATTCGCTCGTGTCTGGCGATTGGCTCGATATACACCTAATGAGTGTTGTAGAGCTATCTTGGCAACGAACGCGTCCTTTAATAGCCCCATCGTTACCAAAGCACTAATCAACATAAGAGTAGAAAACACATCACTTGATATCTTCCATCTAATCATTAATACAGTCACAAGTTACATCACACCCCAGCCAATCACTAAGTACCAATTAGTTCGCAACTACGACACAGAGATCTATATGTCCTTAGAGACCGAGCTGATGTCTGCCTTCGTTGGATATTTCCATATCGATCCTATCCATACCCTAGACCGAACAAACTACCACATTCTAGCCTACTATTTATTGCTTACCCAATTCTCACCCAAAAATCTCGCCGACCATCCCAATCTCGTGGAAATAGAATACTGGCTAAACGCCCAGACCGCCACACCACCTTTGACTAGCTCAACAAACCCAGGCCATAGCATCATAAAGCTAAACTTTGATACAGAAATCCTCAAAAAGTTCGACCATTCCATTAATATCTTCGATGAAACTGTTATTGCGAGCTTTAGCTTAAGCGGGCGATACAGTCCTATTGCGGTTTTTAACTCAGCTATGGCATATCACAAATACCTAAGTTGGGCGATAGGGACCTGTACTCCCGAGCTGTTTGAGCTGTACAAGCAACAAGTACAGCTGACGTTTAGTATTGTCAACAGCATTAATCAGCCCTTCACCAAAATCACTCTACTTTTCAGCTGTGATGACTTTTGGAAAGAGCCTTGCTATCAGAAAAAGTTCACAAACGTTCTCCAGAACATAACCCTAGAGGATTTCCGCTTCTTTTTCCTCAACTACTGCAAAGTACCTCTTATCGTTATATATCCGGACGCTTACCAACCATCCTAGTCCCAACTGCCACCGCAAAACGAGCCCGATACATCGAAACAGCCTACTCTATCCAATTAATCATTGTCCTAACCCATATCTGCAGCAAAACGAACCTCAACCACTCCTCCGGATGAACTTAACCCTAATCAGCCCTCTAAAAGTCGCAAGCAAAGTAACCCAACCACGCAATAAAAGTGTCTAGTAAGTCCAGCAACAGCAATAGTAAGTTTAATATAATCAACTCCTCATCATACAAAGCCCATTCTATACCAACCTTATTGGATGTCTAACATAACTGAATTGGCAAATGCCAAACAAGTAGCGAGGCTATCTATTCGAGTAGGGCTGAGTTTGGATTGTGTAGAGTTATTCTAATCCAATACCAACTCAATACCAACCCAATGGTATACTTTCTGATCATCAAATTGAACCTAATATCAACCCAATACTAATTTAATTCGAAATTTGGATAATTTCCTTTTATGGTAATTTGCTGAGGTCAAGTCTTATTTAGGAAATTTCTTTTCATCTTTATTTCCCACCATGAGTAAACGACTAAAAATCACTCCAAACAATCTAGTTGGGCTTTTCTTGATTGTCTTATGCTTGCTCCAGATATCATTTCAAAGTCTGGATCCAGTCAATCAACCAGCTGATTCTTTTAATTCCGATCATTTTACTCTAGATAACGGCCTAAAGTGCCTTACTATTACATATCCTAAGAGCCAGGCCATTCATATTAGTATTGCTATCAAGAAACAACAATCATCTACATCAATCAGTGACAAATGCCTTAGTTTCATTTTACAAGCACTGATCAAATATAAGCTAAACCCGGCCAACAATTACGGGAAATACCAAGAATTCCTAGCTAAACCCAACATATATGACATCACTGATAGCGGTCATTTCATTATCATTGGGTTTTCCTTAAATGACCCCCAATGTCCAATACCATTTGAAATCTTACAAAGAGTTATTGTTCCCCGACCCAGCTTAGATGTAATTAAGCAAGTCAAAAACCAAGTCGATTTAAACCTTCTGCCCATTACACCTGCCGATTACCCTGCCGAAGCCAACATCGCCAAGAAATGGACTGAGATGTTCTCTTTTCCAAACATTCGGCTTGCAATTGCTACACCTAGCCAACCACTAGCTATAGTCGATTTACTAAAGACCCAGTTTTCCTGTCCCAAGCAACCAAACCAAGCTCCTATAATGTATTCCCCTGATGATATCACTCCAGAATTCCTTAACAACCGCCCGCGGTTACTAATACAGCCTAAGATCCCTAATTCCTTAACCCCAACTGAAAAAACAACATTCACTGTTTTTGTTCCACTTCTCAATGATATTCGCAACCAAACTGTGCACCCTCTATCCAGCCTACACTGTCTATTCCATCTCAGCTATAAAATCTACACCAAGCATTTCGAAACACGCCCAGATAAGATTATTTGCATCAAGAACATATCTTTGGCCACCCTAGGCACTAGACTGGGTCTGCACGTCATCATAGAAGAAGATTGCACTGGGCAAATAGAAATTACTGAGGCTCTAGATCTAGTGGAAGGCTTATGTTTAGCCATCAAGATGGCTTATAAGGACCCAGACTCGAATTTATACCAGGTCTACCAACAAGAGACATCCCTCGCCCCCAGTCCAATCCCAAACATGCCATCATTTTTCCTTGCCAACCTAGCATCAGTCCACATGTTCTTCGTTGAACCATCTGACATCATTAATTTTGTCTTCACCCCAACATCTCAACCCCAGGAGATTCACAATCTAGACGATATGCTTAAAAAGGCAATACAACGAGAGAATTGGTACATCAACGGCGATCTCACCTACACTCATTGGCAACAATTGGCAGGGCAACCACTCGCCAGGCCGCTCATTATCCCAATACCCCAAGCAACAAGAGCTAGCAAGCAAATCAAAAACATCATATTACGTAGCAGCCTAGAAGCTCGGCCGAAACGAGTCCGAGCCACTTTATCTAAAAAACAACCCAGAACCTCCAATTTCAACACCAGCGTCCAATCACAGGGCGACACTCCAGGTCCTCAACAAAACCAACGGCCACGACCAGTCCTAGAAACCATGCCATTCATTATGCCCACACCATCCACTAATCCCCAACAAGCCGAACCCGGTACATATCCTGATAACCTGTTAAATCTCAACTCCACGGGCCTCCCACCCATCCTGACAAGTATCGGCAAACATAATGTGCCCGGTCTTGAGGCGCATATTTTCAAAAGCTCTCAATATACAACGCAGGCGGCCATTGCTGTTGTGCTCATTACCAACGACTACCTTGCTAATATTAAAACCTACATCTGGCATGTTGCGCACGTACTAACAGTATTAGACATGGTCAAAGCCCACTATTGGCAGACTATCATGCTTAACAAACTGTTTATTGACGCCGAAGCCAATGACCGTGGCCGAATCACTATCACTATTCGTACATCGGACACAGCAATTAAGGATGTACTTCAACTGTTCCTTTCATACTACAAAAACGCCAGTATCAATCCTACTCAGGAAGTCACTGCCATGCTTAAAGCATACAACTTCTTTGCGAACGCAGCCATACAAACACCACCAACTCTACAACAATGCTTATTCGCTCGTATCTGGCGACTACACCTATACACACCTAATGAGTGTTGTAAAGCTATCTTGGAAAAGAAAGCGTCCTTTAATAGCCCCATCGTTACCACAGCACAAGTCAATATAAGAGTAGAAGACGCCTCACTTGATACCTTCCATCAAATCATTAATACAGTCACAAGTTACATCACACCCCAGGCAATCACTAAATACCAGGCAATTCGTAACTACGACACAGAGATCTATATGTCCTTAGAGCCTGAGCTGATGTCTGCTTTCGTTGGATATTTCCATATCGATCCGGCCAATACCCTAGACCGAACAAACTACCACATTCTAGCATACTATTTGTTACTAGCCCAATTTCCACCCAAAAGTCTCGCCGACCATCCCAATCCCGAGGAAATAGAATATTGGATAAACACCCAGGCCCCCACGCCACCCTCCAGCACATCAGCCGCATCCCCTCCAAGGTTCTTCAACCTAAGCTTTGATGTAGACATCCTCAGGAATCTCGAGTATTCCATTACTATCTTAGATGAGACTATTGCTTTGAATCTTATTTTAAAAGGACAATACACTGCTGCTGCTTTCTTAAACTCGTATATAAACTATAAGTCCTACCTAACGTGGGCCATTGATCAGATTACACCAAAACAGTTTGAGGAGTACAAAAACCTAGCACTAGTTAGGTTTATGCACATCACTAATAGCAAAAGCCCATCCGCAAAAAGATCTTGGCTTCTCAGTTGTAGCGACTTTTGGCAAGAACCCCACTACCAAAGAAAGTTCATAGAAACCCTCAACCAAATAACTTTAGCTGATTTCCAGTCCTTCTTCACCGACCACTGTCAACATCCTCACATCGTTATATATCAAGGCGTCCCAGACCAACTATCCCAAGAACCACCTCAACTACCCCCATTACATTCCCAACTACCAATGCAATATCAGCAACAGCTACTACTATTACAACAACAACAACTATTACAACAAATGGAATTGCAACCCCACCAATTACAACAACTAGCACAACAGCTACAACAGCAGCAGCAACAACTATTACAACAAATGGCATTGCAACCCCACCAACTACAACAACTAGCACAGCAACTACAACAACAGCAGCAACAACTATTGCAACAAATATCATCGAATCCCCAACTACAACAACTACAACAGCAGTTATTGCAACAGCAACTATTATCGCAACAAATATCATCGAATCCCCAACTACAACAACTACAACAGCAGTTATTGCAACAGCAACTATTATCGCAACCACAACCACCACAAAACCAGCCCACTACCTCTAACCAATCATTACCACCACAACCCAAACCTAGACCTACATCAAAGCGAAAACAACACCGACCCAGGTTTATACCTCAAGAAGAACAATCCACCACCCCAGATGAACTCGACTTCAGCCCTCCCAACAAACAACCCAAACAGAGCAATCCATCCCTACAATAAATCCTACCGTCATCTTCTAAAGTGGCAATACGCCGTTTTCAACCAATACTAACCCAACCAATACTAACTTCAACCAATACTAACTTCAACCAAAACATAACCAGATTAGACTAGACACTCTTCATATTTATTGAATAAAGTATTAACGTCAGTTATGCTGTGTATAACACCCACCCTAACATTCCGGGCCACAACATCAACTTAGTACCTTCTTAAACCAACTCCAATCTTTATTTATAGTTTGGAGGTGTACTACCAATCTCCAATCCAACTCAATCATCACCTTCACTCTTAGAACTACTGACTAAGTTCATAATACACCAACTCATCTAATTCCATGTGAAACCGACTACAACAAAACTGCCATAGCATCTAAAACATTCATTAGCCAAGCATGATAATAGATACTCTAAACACAACAACAATCCATCACAATATCATATCAACTTAATACAATCTAAATACAATACAATACAAACTAAATACCAACTAGATAGCATATCAACTTAACACAATCTAAATCCAATATCAACTCAACTTAATACCATACCAGATCAACTTAATACAATCTAAATACAAACTTAACTCAATCTAAATACAATACAATACAATACCAACTAGATACCATATCAACTTAACTCAATCTAAATACCAGATCAACTTAATACAATCTAAATACAATCTAAATACAACCCAATACCATACGATATCAACTTAACACAATCCAAATACAACACCACAACAACCCAACCCAACTCAATCTAAATCCAATATCAGCTCAATACCAACTCAATACTAATCCAAATTGATGTTTATTTCTTCTTGGAGACACCAACAGTCTTACCCTTTCGACCGTTAGATTTAGTCCTTTGTCCGTTGACCTTAAGACCCTTCAACAATCGCAATCCTCTGATATGCTTAACCCGCTTAGCCCTTTCTAAGTAAAGTCTGTAATCAGCCTCTACTTGGTTACCAATCAGTTGAATTGATTGACCAGTAATTACATCTCTTTGTCTGTTAAGGAACCAGAGAGGAATATCAAAGGCTTGAGGATTCTCTAAGATCTTAGAAATCATATTAAGCTTCTCCTGCTCAACTTGTCCTGCTCTTAAGCTAGTATCTATCTCTGCCTTCTTACAGATAAGAGTAGCCATTCTTAAACCTAAACCTTTAATACCTGTTAAAGAACGGACTACTGTTGAACGACCATCTATATTAGTATTGAAGATACGAATGATATCTTGCATTTGTGCTGCTTCAGTAAATCGGAGTGACATTTGCTAGGCTTAAAAAATAAAAAGTAAAATAGATATTGCATTGAGTTGGTATTGAGTTGGGTTGAGTTGGGGTGGGGTGGTAGTGGGGTTAGTAGTGGAGTTGGGTGGAGTTGGTGGGGTGGTGTTGAGTTGATGTTGGATGAGATAAGGAGATAGGTGGCAAGAAGAAATAAATTGTTAAATTTAGATAAGATATAAAATGTAAGATATAAAATGTAAGATATAAGATATTGAGATGTGTGATATAGAGTTGAGATCTGGGTTGAGATATAGGTTAGTATTGGGTGGTGGGTTTAGGTGGGATGGATGATTTGGCGGTTGAGTTGGGCGATGGCGAGTAGGGAGAGGGCGACATAGAGGAAAGATTGCGTATAGGTGGGGATTGAGAGGAATTGGAAGAGATGGGAAAGTAAAATTACAAAGAAGTTGCCTAGGGCCATATTGAGATACCAGAAAGAAAGAACGAGTGCCTTGGCTGAATCTGGGGCTGTGTTGTAGGAGAAAGAAAGACCGGTTGAGCCGACGAAGGCTTCGCCTAGAGTAAGAAATACGATTTGTGGGATTTGCATAAGGATGGTGATATTGGTGCTTAGTAGAAGGTAAATGTCTAGAAGGGAAGCGAGAACAAAGGAAAAGGAGAAGAAGCACATGCCGTAGAAAAGACGTCTTTGGGGAGTATCGGGTAGATGGAGGAATTTGAGGACCTTTTCGGTTGTTTTGGAGAAAACGGGTAGGATAAGCACTAGAATGATGGAGTTAAGAACTTGGAGTTGGGTTGGAGATAAGGTAAAACTAAAACCATGGATGGAGATAGTAGGAGTGAGCTTTCTTGCTTGGTCGACCCAAGTGGAACTTTGCTGGTCGTAGAGCATCCAGCCGATACTAACGGGCAAGAGGCTTTTGATGGTTTTAGTGAGACTAAAAGGTGGTACTTGGGTTGGATGGGGTAGTGTTGCGGTGGTAGTAGCCAGCTCAATAGTAGCTGAGTTGGTATTAATGGGAGTGGAGTTGGTATTAATGGGAGTGGAGGTGGGAGTGGGAGTGATCGACATATGGTTGTAATTGTAATTGTGAGCAATGAGTTGGGTTTTGGCGGAGTAGAGGTGCTTGATGATGGGCATGCCTAGGAAGACTACGAGGGAAAGAAGGAGGGAGAAGAAAGAGAAGGAATAGCCTAGGGGGTAGCAAGTGCTCTTTTGGAAACAAGGACGGTCTATGATAATGGGAATGCCGAAAATAGCGAGGGCACTGCTGATGTTCACTGAAAAGTAGAAGGAAGTAAAGAAGGCGGTAATGCTCTTCTTATCTTTTTGGTCAAACTGGTCGCCGCCGAGGGAAGAAATAGAAGGTTTGATACAGCCGGCACTGATTGAGATAAGAAGGAGGCCGCTGTGTAGAAGTTGCTTGCTTTTAACTATGGAGGAACCGAGTAGGAAGAAGACGCCAACAATGTATGTGCCTAGGAAGAGAATAATTGTAAGGAGCTTGCCAAAGATCCGATCAGAAGAAAGGCCGCCAAACAAAGTAAAGAAGTACGAAAGAAAGATAAAGATGTGAACATAAGCAATGGCTTCTTCACGAGTGTAATCAAAGTAGGAGACTAGGTAAATAAAGAGAATGCCCTTAATGCTGTAGTATGTAAACCGTTCAAAGAACTCGGCGGCTAAAAGGAAGAGAACATGAAGGGGCTTGGGGTTGGGTTTAGCCAGAGATTCTGTGATAGATTGGTGCTTGACTGCGATCGGAGTGTTATAGCTAGACATTGCGATCGGAGTAAGTTGGTGGTAGCTTAGGATTGGGTATTAATATCATGGGGTTTGTTGTGTTTCATGTTAATACTTACGGCTGTAGTCATAGTAGTAAGTGTTTGGCTGGTGCTAAAGTGGCGGCCAAAAGCTAATATATACAAAGACAAAACAGCTTTGGTGATTGGTGGGAGTAGTGGATTGGGGTTGGCTTTGGCTAAAGATCTTAGAAGACGAGGGGCGGTAGTGGCGGTAACTTCGCGTACGAAGGCAACACTAACTAAACTCAAGCGGTCGGAGGGCTTGGCAGGTGTTCTGGTTGACGTGACTGATGATGAGTCAGTTAGTCGCTTACCAACAGAATACGATTTAGTCTTTTGCTGTCCTGGGTTTGCTTTACCGGGTCTGGCCAAGGACTTATCGCTGGATATGGTGCAGCGGTGTATGGAAACAAACTTCTACGGGTGCGTGCGAGTAGTGCTACACTACTTGAAAGCGGCTTCACTCCAAAAAAGAACCCGCTTAGTGCTTGTCTCATCCACCTTAGGACTACATTCGTTTATTGGGTATGGCGCATACAGCCCAAGCAAGGCTGCTCTTCGCTCGTTTTATGAATCAGTCCATTTAGAAGCCGCCCAGGAAGGTCTTGATCTCTCTATTTATTACTGCTCAACCATTAAGTCGCCTGGGTTTGCTAAGGAGGAACTAACTAAGCCTGCTATTACTAAAGTGATTGAAGGCAGTAGTCTTGGTTCATCCGCTGAACCGGCTAATCGGGCCAAAGTTCTACTTGACTCTCTACCCAGCCAGCACGTGATATTTTCCGATCTAGTCACCCAACTATTTTCCCAAGCAACGGATATAACCAGCCTGTCTGACTACTTTGTTTGGCGCATTGCTCCTATCTTTTGGTTTATCTTCACCAGTCTAGTCAAGTACCGAGTAAATCGCTACTACAAACAGCACTCTAACTAGTACCACCACCATACCATACCACCCACTCCAATACCAACCCAATACTAACCCAATAAACATCATGTAATACCATCCCAATTCTTCTTCTATCCTATACCAATCCAACTAAACACAACCCAATACCAACTAAACACAACTCAATACCAACACAATCCAACACCAACTAAACACAATACCAACACAATTCAACTAAACATATCTTTTAAAGCAACGATTAGATATGACTATCTACCATTCGAATTTAATTTTCATGCAAGATCGTAAGAAGGATATCCTTAGATGCCTTAAGAATTGTGCCTTTCAAGAAGCTATTGATAGATGCCAAAGTTATCTTGATTGGGAGGACGATGACCCTAAGATCTTTTTCTACTGGGCCTATGCTTTATCCGAGCTACAGCGCCCAGAAGAGGCTCTACAGACCTACCAAAAGGCTCTCAAGTGTCCACAAAGCGAGAGTATTCGATCAGAAGTAACTTTAGGTATTGCCAAGATCCTTTTTAACGCCAAAAGTCACTTTACTAAATCACTATCTGATCAACAAGAAGAAGAGGCTTACATTACAGCCGCCATTCAAATATATCAGTCCCAGCAAAAGGAAGCCCAGTACAAAGAGTATCTCTTCTACTTACTTGAAATTCACGAGCACACTAATTATGAAAAGTACATTGCTGTAGCTGAAACACACTTAAATCTCCACCAAGTACCTAACTCATCCAAACTAGATATTACTCGTCCTGAAATTGAAGATATTCTATTTCGCTATCTCAAACAGTCCTTACTTCATGCCAATGCCAGTATTAGATCCTTAGTCGAAGAAGGTGTTTTTTCTCAATCAAGAGAGGCTATTATCATCCAGTTATCTACTATCTTTGCTAAACAAAATAAGTCTAACGACTACCAGGCTCTATTACGCACCACCCCAACTGGAAATCAGCGCTTTTTAACCGATCTTTTTGATTCTTATCTGCGCTACCTTCAAATGCAGGCTTATGCCAAACCAGTCGAACTAACAACTCTCCTTGATTTACTTAATCAGGCACTTACAGACCAAATATCATTACAGCCTTATCTTGCCCTACTCAAACTCTTAGCCTCTGACTTTCTGGACCTTCCCGGTTTACTTGGCACTCTGGCGGACTATAAAGGATACACCTACAACACTCTTTCGCCCACTATCTTTATGTTGCGATTTCCTACTAAAAGGGCCCAAGTTGCTACCATTTACCAGTCTTACGAAGCTCTAGGACTTAAGGCCTACCCACTTAAACGCGAGTACATTTCCGCCCATCTTTACTATGATGTCCTTAAGGAAAAACTAGCCCATGATTCCAATTACTCTAGCGCCAACGAACTAGCCCATTTCCAACAACTAGGCATTTCTTTTACTCATCCAGTCTCTTTATCTCTTCTCCTTGATGCCATACTACCAACGGCTAACTTTACTTGTCTTCGCACTATTCTTGCCACTACTTCTCTTCCTACTACTGATACGGATACCAACCACTACATAGACTCTCTAGTCATTACCCCACCACCACCCAATGCTATCTCAACTGAAAATATACTTATGCACTTACTAGCCACTACACCCGGCCTAGTACCCGTTCTTCAGTCTTTCAATCTTACTATTGAACTTGATGCCCTGCACGTACTAATGGTCCAGGCACACTTATGCCTCAGTCAAGGCTCTTTCCATCCAGCCTACTTGATTCTTAATAGTCAGAGCTCTCGTCTTGAACTTCTTCGCCAGCAAGTTCGTCTTCTTACTGACCCGGCATTTAGTTCCACTATTACTGCCAAAGTAGACACTCTTTATGCATATGGTAAGTTCCTGGTTGAGTACAACAACAAGATAGGATCAACTGCACCACCACAACCCAATACTAACCCAATACTAACTCGGGTACCACTGCTTACTACTACGTACCAAAGCCCGTACACTTATCAGACCCTAAATAAGCTACACTCCCCAGCCCATACGCAGCTAGACCTTTTTCCTTTTCCCGCAACTAATCCCAATCCTTTCCATCGGCATTTGATAGCCATTCATAACTTTGAAAACAACAATAGGTCCCTAGCCATCTCTTTACTTCGCGATCTCTACAAACACCGACCACTTGATTATTTCTTAGTCAGTGATCTTTCGCTGCTCTTAAGTGAAGCCGCCCAAGCAGCCCAGGCCCGACAGATTCTTGATCGGTACCTCCACGGCCGAGTCTACCGCCAAGAAGAACACCTGCTACTGCTGAGTCTTCAGCTACTTCGCGAAGTCAGAGAGTGGCAACAAGCCGAGCAAAGAGCCCATGATCTACTAGCTATCCTCCCATACCACTACAAAATCAAAATGGCCCTGGCCGAGTCGCTGGCTGAGCAGTGCAAATATGGATATGCTGATAAGATTGTCCAAGAAATCATTCAGACAGAAGAACAAAATCCATCGCCCAATCAAGACCAAGTTCTCTCGGCCAAAACCTTCTCCATCTATATCAAAATCAAAACCGGCCAACTTGATAATCTTACCACCACAATTCAGGCCGTACTAGCTACTATTCCTAGTCCAGACTCCAAATTCTTCCAAATCCTTATCAAGTACCAAAAACACGTCTATGCCAAAGAGCTTCAACAAACTATCAAAGCCGAAGGAATGACTAATACTCACAATCTTATCAAAAACTACACCAACCTACCAGCCACCACAAGTATCACCACTACTACTACTACAAATACAAGCACAAATACCACTACCGATAGTCCACCCGCCCCTATTTCAGCTCTCTCCTACACTATCTCCCTAATAGATAGCTACATAACCCTTCTCAGCCACCATTTAAGTAGTGCTCCCCTTCTCCACCCTCCTTCTCTACCAGACCCACTTCCTGTCCATCTTAAGGAAGCGGAAGAGCAGCAACTACTTATTACGACCGGAAAGCTCCTCTTCCTATTAGCCCGAGCCACCAACCGACTTACTAACCCTCAAATCCATCAAAATATTGCTTCTTATCTCAAACGAGCTGCTTTATTTGGTGAGACCAAGGAGGCCTTAGAAATCGAGTACATTCTGCGCATCTTCCGAGGTGAAGACGTCTCTACCTTCTATCAAGGCGAAAGAATCTCCGAAGAGAGTCCTTTTTCACGCACTGTTCATTCCCTTATCTACCGCCCCAGTACAATTGCCACCAACACGCGCGAGTACCTCAAACACTCTACCCTAGCCAGTGCTCCCTTCCTTATTTTGATCGCCAGAACGTTGATCAGCCAAAAAGACCAACCCTTATACGAAGATCTTGAAAATGTCTTCCTCCATCTTTCCCGTCGGTATTTACCTAATGATCCGATCGTATCAGATGTGTTTAACTACTTAAAAAATCAAAAATAATGCTCCCGGTGGGGATCGAACCCACGACCCCGGCATAACTCAGCCTTTTACAGCCTGTGTGCACAGGTGGCGCTCAACCCATAAGTGCCGTGCTCTACCGCTGAGCTACGGGAGCTACACCGAATCCAGCCAATGTACAGAGATAGGGAAATAAAGGTTATTCATTTAAATCAAGTGTTTCGTATTGCTGGGTATCCCCTAAACCACTATCTGACCCACCAGCTCCATCTTTTTCCTCGTCCTCCTCGTCCTCCTCGTCGTTGTCTTCAAGTTTTACCCGTTTAGTATTTGCGCCTTCCAAGTCAGATTCCTCCGAGGAAAGCGTTGGGTCGTCCAAGGAAGAGAGAAGTTGATGCAACGGAACATCCCTTTCATGGCTCATCGGAGCACTACTAGGTGTTGGATTGGAAGGAGGTGAGTTAGGCCGTGATGGTGTACTATGGTAGGGTGAGCTAGTCGGAGGAAGTGTAGGAGTAGGTAAGGTAGGTGTACTAGGTGTGGTGATAGGTTCGTCATCTGAATTGGTAGTAGTTTGTATTGAGTTGGTATTAGTCTGTATTGGGTTAGATAAAGTAGTCTGTGGATTGGCAGTAGTTGGTGAATCAGATAAAGTAGTCTGTGGATTAGATAAAGTAGTTGGTAAAGCATCCGTATTGTTATCAGTAGTAGCAGTTGAGTTGGTAGAAACTGAATTAGTAGCTGATGAATTGGTAGCAGGCAAACTGTCCGTGTTGTTAGGAGTAGCAGATTTAGTACTAGTCTGGGTTTTACTTGTAGTTGGCTTGGTAGGACTACTCTTAGTATTGCCGGGAGTAGTAGAGGTGGTCGTGGCCGCTGCCTTCTTATTCTTGCGTTTCAGATTATAAGATGAGATCTTCTTCCCAATGGAACCAACTGAACCGTAAGTAGAAGGGAAAAGTTCTTGCAGTTGCTGGAAAATAGCTTTCTTAACCGTATACTCTAAGACTCGTTTCTTATTGGACAAGTAAAGGTTTAAGTAAAAGAGTAAGTACTCCTTATCCGTATACTGTGATAATAACTCAATAAAACTATCATCAAAGACTAACTTAGCATACTTGGCCTCAGTCGGATCATTAGGCTCTTTCAAGTCAATCTCGGCTTTTTGGGCGGCAATAATCCCTTTAATTATATCCAGTAGTTCAGCACTCTCGGTCTTAGTTGTCTCGCCTATGGCCACCAGGTACTCCTCAGTAAAGATCCGAGTTAGTTCTGCCTCAATCATAGCTAGTCTTTCCTTACTCATTAGTGCCACTCCATTTTGGTCCTTTTGTTTTGACTGACTCTCTCTTACGTCAGCAAGCAGTCCGGATAAACTGGGCTCTTGTGCCGTCAGTATTTCCAGCACTAGTAATTGTCTGGCTTGCTCGGGTAAATCAGCCAGAGGTCTTTCACTCAGACTAGCTAGGAGGACTTCTTTATCGTCCATAAACCCTTGTCTAGTACTCTCTCTTTTCTCTTTCTTATTCTTTGTCTCCCCACCAAGCTCTTCTTTCTTCTTCTCCAGGCCTTGTACTGATTCGCCGGCTAAGCAGAAGAAGTGTTGGTACTCACAAGCCAAAACATCAGTACCTTTATCTTCATCTTCCTGGAAGAAAGGATCAGCTATATCATACTGATCGGCTGCTTTCTTTCTTTTGATGCTTTCAACCTTACGGACTTCTACTTCCTGGTCTTCTAAGTCAACCCAAATGATACGATTCATAGCCCAAAAAAATAAAGACTGTTTTACTTCCTTATCTTATTTTGATATCTATCTTTGTTTTTGAAAAGAATTAAAAACACTTTGGATACATTTACTGATTAGATAGCTCTATGATAGATAGCAAGGCTTTAAATAGCCTATTTAAGTATTTGTTTATTTAATTTTATGGCTAGAAGTAGTGACCTTCTCTTTAGTGAACGAATTCGGGTCTTGGAAGAATCGGGTCTCTTTAAAGAATTTAAGGTTGAAGTCCTTCGAAAGACTTCTTGCTTAGAACTTCGTTTGTATGACCAATTGGATATCTTTCATATTTTAATTAGCCGTATCGATGAAAATGAGTACTACCAACTCAAAGCAGTCCAGGGTATTCGAGTGGACTTCTTTGTCTTTCAAAGGAAGGTGGTGGAAATGCTGGAAAGAGTGCATAGATCGGAGTTAATCTTATCTCTAGTGGGTAGAACGGCGGTTATTTTAGAAAGAAACGATTTCAAAAACATTGTGCAGATTGAGTTACCTTTAGTAGATATGCCCGAAGGAGAGTTTAGAACTTACGTTTCCGAAATGGTTAATGAAATGGTAGCTAGTAGTAGTAAGTCCAAGCGAGAACAAGTCTTGCTTAAGGAAGAGATGAAGAGAAAAGAAGCCGTCTATGCCCAGAGACTTAGCCGGTTAGAAGCAGAGATTCAAGAGACAGCTGCTAAGTACCAGGACTTACTTAGTAAAGAGAAGGAAAGAGAAAGCGATTTAGAGCAGCAAATGGCTAAAAGTGAAACGGATAGAGCAGATGCCATAAAGTACAAGCAACTCTATGAAGAATTAGCTACTGAAACGGCTAAGAATGCCAGTCGACTTAGTCGGGTTGATAGTTTAGAAATCAGTTGGCGAGAGAAAGAAAGATCGTGTAAATTACTGGAAGAAGATCTTAAGAAGGCTAATGAGATCATTAAACGAAACTTTGAAGAGATAAAGGAAAGAAAACGAGCAGAGGCCCAAATAAGTGCTTATCTAGATGAAGCGCGATTAGAAAAGGAAGAAATAGAAAACCGAAACACGCAGCTAGAAGTAGATCTACTGGAAAAGAAGGAAGAGATTAAGGTTTTAGAAGAGATGGAAAGAGAAAGAAAAGAAGTCATTGATGCTCTCAAGCACTTAAATCGTTCACTAAATAAGAAACTAGAATCGGCCTATCGAGTCTACAGTCGATTGCACGGTCGGCTGCCACCCACTAGACCGGAAGAAGAAGAGACTTCCAAAACAGAAGACTCCTCGGGAACTTCTCTTGTAGCCCCAGAATCCATTCACTACTAGTTAGGTTAAGTTAGTCATTGATTTGTAGTGGTTTGTAGTGGTTAGTATTGTGCTTGGGTTGGTTTAGTATTAATATTGAGATTGTATCTAATTCTTATTTTATAACATCATCTTATGCCATTATCTTATAACGTCATCTTAATACCAAATAAACATCAACTCAATAGTATCTAATTTTGTCTGCTGATTGTCTACAACTAAACCTAAACTCAACTTAACTCAACCTAAACTCAACCCAAACCCAAACCCAATCTAAACCCAACCTAACTCAACTCAATACTAACTCAACCTAACCCAACCTAAACCCACCACAATACTAACTCAATGCATGGCAATAGCTTCTTTTCTTTTTTACGTGGATGTTAAGCAGTGTAAGCTATACGTTAGCTGGTGTTTGGGTGCTGGGACAAAATTCGGTTTTGTTGGTTGGTAAGCGAGTGGATAGGATTGTACTGACTAGTCCTGGAGTGTTAGTGCATGAAAACTTAGTGGTGTGTGAGAATAAGCAGATTTTAGCAGTAGTTGGCGATCAGTTGCAGGTAATGGGTTCGGTAGAGAAGCGACCGACTAAGTTGGCAAGTGAAGTAGTTGATGGTGAACAGTTGTTGTACATTGCTGATCGTGCTGGGAATGTTTATCGGATTAAACCGGGTCAAGAAGAGAAAGCAACTCTTCTGTTTGGATCTATTTCAACTATTACTGATTTGGTTATTACTAAGGATTATATTGTTACAGTTGATAAGGATAGTAAAATAAGAATTACGCATAAAGAATATCCCCATCGTATTGCTCATTTTGGACTGGTACATGCTAAGCCTATTTTAAGCACGGCAATTATTGCTGGTCGGTTTATTGTCTCTGGTGGGTATGATTGTTACTTATCTGTGTACGATTTAGAGAGTCAGCAGGCAAGTATCTTTGATTTGCGCAATTATACTAATTCAGAGTTCAATCCGCGCTTACTGCCAGGAATTGAATCTTCTGCTCGTATTCCTAATACGCAAGCTGTCTCAGAATCTCTAGTCAAGAAGGTTTTGGCAGTTGACGATTATTTGCTTCTTCTGACTGATGACAAACCTGTGCTTTTAAGTATTAGGCGTTTAGAAGCCTCTTTAGAACTAACGCATATTCCTACTCCAGCATTAAACTCCTTATCTGATATTCAAGATGGTGTGACTGCTGGTGGTAAAAATGCCTTTATTCTCATTAATGTTTCCGGCCAGCTCTACCAGTACTCTCCCAACGGCCCTCTTACTCATCTTGCCAAAATATCCGATTACACCCCCAATATAGATCTAAGTGTAGCCAGTAAGTGCTATTCTATCTAAAGCAGTTCGTTCGATTTCCACTTGGGTTAGTTCATTTTATCTCGCCATATCTTAACCCAATATTAACCCAATCAATAAACAGCTCTTAATTTAACACATTCAACTTATTCAACTTATTCAATCAAAAACAACATATTCAATCCAATTCAATCAAAAACAACTCTTAATTCAATCTAACCCAATACTAATCCACCCCAATACTAACTCAACCTAACTCTTAATTCACCCTAATGTCTTTTTATTGCTGGTTGAATCCGTACTAGGGCTTGCGGTTCTTGTAGTCGTACATCGCAAAGGCCCCGGCTACTCCTAAAGCTACTACTGCTACGCCCATGCCTATCATCACCATTGGCTCTTTGAATAAAGACTTAGCCGTAAACTCATGGCCAAACTTTTGATCTAATTTGGATGCACTATCTAAATACCCTTCCATCTGACTCTCGGCTAAAGGTGCTCCTTTGTAGTTGCTTTTCCGTTCCCGGGCCAGTGGCTGTAAAGCTAAGAAGAGCAAGAAAGACATACGCAAAGGACTCTTCAGTAAAAAGCCATAAACTTGCGCTAAGGAGCACAGGTCAAATATAGTTGTAAACCAAGGCAGAATAGCCCATGCTTCAATAGGATACTCCATCCAGTCGGCTTTTGGAATATCCGGAGATACCGGTCGATACCCAGGTAGCTGTTTCATAATAGACTCATACTTAACATACAAGGCTAACTCGTTTTTAGCTAGTGGCCAAATAAACCCTTCAATCACTGCTAAGCACTTATCAATTGTCTCTTCCTCACTCTTCTTTTGCTGCCAAAAGGCATAGACTATAGGCAAACAAGCATCAAGCATGCCTTGCCTATAAAACCCATTGCTTTCCAGGATAGCCCCAAGTTTAGTCAACCGAGTTGTTACTTCCATTTTCTTATACTCCGCCTCACTACTGTTAATATCGTGGTCTTGGCTTAAGTATAGATGGGTTCTGGGCACGTCATTATCAACTACCGACTTGTCCTTCTCAGATAATTTGCCTAATTCACGAGGAATAGTCCGGCAATACCCCGCCACCTCACCTTTTTGGGCCCGATCGTAGTACTCAGAAACAACTTGCACTATTGAAGCGCAGGCAGTAAGTAACTTCTTGTTATTCATCAGCTCTAATCCCATGAAATATATTTATTGCCTTGCCTAGTTACTTAACCAGCCACCACTTCCAAATGGATCAATAAAGGATTGGCTAGCTAAACTTGAGCTAAGATTGGTTGATAGCCGCATCCTAATCCAAGTTAAGATAATATGAGGCTTAGTTATGTATTGGGTTAGTATTAGATTGAGTTAAGATAGATTAAGATAGGATAAAATAAGATAAGATAAAGTTGAGTTATGTATTGTGTTGGGTTAGATAAATTAAGATAAGATAAGATAAAGTTGAGTTATGTTATTGTTATTATTAGATTGAGTTAAGATAGGATAAATTAAGATAAGATTGAGATAAGATTGGTGCTGGCCAATTAAACTACTTGAATGCCGAACTCCTGGTGAATAAACCGATCGACTTCTCGTAGAGTCGTATTAAGCTCATCGTTCTCAATGACTTTGTCGAAAGCCCCACTACATCCATAAACATTCTCTTCCAGGGCACGCATGAGCCGTTTGCTTAACTCATCCTCGGAAATAATAGCCCGGGCCGAAATGCGCTTGTGTAGTTGGGTTGTATCCGCATAGATGTATAAATAAACAGCTGGAATATCTAACTTCTTGACACTTTCAACTCCCTTCTTCTCTATCTCCAGAATAAGGATCTTCCCATCTCGTCGTGGTTTCAATGATTCATCGCCTGTGCCATAGTAATTGCCCGCATACTCAGCATACTCCAACAGCTCATTTTCCTCTATTTTAGCCCTAAACTCGTCCTTAGTTAGGAAATGGTACTCTCGACCGGGCTCTTCGTTCTCTCGAGGTGTCCTAGTTGTGTAAGAAACCGAAAGCGCAAAGGAGGAAGCGTATCTTTTAAGCAAGTATCGCACAATAGTCGACTTTCCCGAGCCACTTGCCCCGGCAATAACTAGAATCTTCTTCTTCTCACTATGCATGGGGCCTAAAATTTTCAAGAACTTATCTTAGTCTACTGATTGCCCAAATGTTTTGAAATCTCATGTAATCATTTATTTTACTCTCTGGTCAAAATAGCCGTTGACTTAACTTAAAACAACCTAATTATTCCAATTAAAAACAAAAATTAACTTACAACCCTTCCGTGTTTGAATTAAGCAGACTTCGTATTCCCTTTTATTTAAGGTAGTTTGACCGGTTGTGGCTACAACTAAGGCTTAGCTAAGTAATCACTGTGCTAAGACTTAGTTGTACAAACCGGCATCATCCATACTATCGGCAAAAGAGCCAAGACCGCCTCGGAACCGGTGCTGGAATCCCTCGTACTTACGTTCTTCCTCTTCACTCACACTACGCCGGGCTGTTTCCAGGGCCCGCGTGAAGTGCTCCGTACGCACAAAGGACGGAACTGAAGGTACAGCCGGGGCTGTTGGAGGCACTGAATCACCCTGAATTTCCATCTGGTCCTTCTTCCGGCGAATCTCTGCCTCAATTCGCTCCTTAATCGCCAGTTTACAAGCTGTTTGACAGATTTCGGTCAGGTCAGCCCCAGAGAAGCCGGCCGTACGAGTGGCAATTTCATCCAAGTTAACATCTTCATGAAGAGGCGATCGTTTAAGATTGGCCCGTAGAATACTCAGTCGACTCTTTTCATCCGGTAATGGAATGTAAATCAACTGGTCAAGTCGACCCGGACGTAATAAAGCAGGTTCAAGGACATCAGGACGATTAGTTGCCCCAATTACAAAGACGTTCTTCTTAGAGTTCATACCGTCCATTTCAATCAACATCTGGTTAAGAATCTGAGTCACACCTCCACTAGTCCGATCACCAGCCCCACCACGAGCCCGGGCAATCGAGTCAATTTCATCAAAGAAAAGAACACAAGGCGAAGCAGAACGGGCCTTATCAAAGATCTCACGTAAATTGGCTTCACTTTCACCCACCCACATAGTAAGAAGTTCTGGACCCTTAATGGAAATGAAATTAGCATTACACTGACTAGCAATAGCCTTAGCTAGTAAAGTCTTTCCACAACCGGGCGGCCCATAGAAAAGCACCCCCCGAGAAGGACTCATGCCGAATTCCCGGTATAATTCCGGGTACTCAACCGGGTACTGTACCATCTCCTGCAACTCAGCCTTGACCTGCTCCAAGCCACCAATATCACTCCAAGTTACATTAGGAGCTTCCAGAACAGTCTCTCTTAAAGAACTTGGATCGGTATGGCGCATAGCATACTCAAAGTTACTCTGAGTCACGGCTAAAGAGTTCAAGGCATTGATGTCCAACATATTGCTATCTAGATCAAACAAGTGCATTTTCTCCCGAATTTGCTGCATAGCTGCTTCTGAACATAGTGAAGCTAAATCACTACCCGTGTAACCATGAGTGTCCTTAGCTATTTTTTCAATGTCCGTATCTTCAGCTAGCAGAACGTTCTTGGTATGAATACGCATGATTTCCAAACGCCCGGCAAAGTCAGGAATACCTATTTCAATCTCACGATCAAATCGGCCAAACCTTCTTAGGGCCGGGTCTAAAGAATTGGGTCGGTTAGTTGCACCAATAACAATAATGGTTGCTCGGGGATTAAGTCCGTCCATTAGAGTTAGCAGCTGACTTACTACTCGTTTTTCAACCTCACCATGACTCTTATCCCGTTTAGGAGCAATTGCATCAATTTCATCAATAAAGATAATACTCGGACTATTCTTCTCGGCTTCTTTAAAGGCTTTCCGCAAGTTGTTCTCACTTTCTCCGGAGAGTTTAGACATAATCTCTGGACCGTTAATTAGGAAGAAGAAAGCACCCGATTCATTAGCTACTGCCCTGGCAATCATGGTCTTACCCGTACCCGGCGGACCGTGCATAAGAATACCTCGAGGCGGTCTTGCACCTAGTTTCTGGAACAGAATAGGATGACGTAGTGGTAGATCAACCAGCTCTCTGATTTTAGCCATCTGCTTACGGCAACCACCAATATCATCATAACCAATCATGTTCTTCTCAACTAACAATTCTTCCTCACTTATCTCGCCCTCACAAAAGATCTCTGTATCCTCACCAACCAAGCCATAATCAAATCCTTCCGCCTTAACTTGAGTTACCTTAAACCGGAATACTTTGTTTTTCTTGATAGTGATAGTATCATGCAAGTGAATGGGCCGAATAGCCGCTTCAAAGTACTCCTTAAGTAGGTCATATACGTGCAACTGAACGCCTTCCAAGTCCTCTCGAACGGGTAGAATGGTTGCTCGCTTGACAATTAAGGTATCTTCTGTTAAACGATAAAGCTTCACGAAATCACCTACTCTAACACACAGATTCTCACATCCTCCTCGGACTAGCACTATCTTATCTTCTGGAATGTCCATTCGCTTTACTACGAACAAAGATTCCTTGCGCTTTTTGCCTTTGATAAGAATAGCATCGCCTTGAAAGACATTGAGAACTTCCATCCGCTGCTTAGATAAACCAACTACTGTACTGTCTAACACCACGTCTTCTTTCACACAAATGTCTTGTGGATAGATAATTTGGTAACTATTGTCCCTACGATCGTCTAGAATAGCTGTAGCCGTATGACCCTCTTCCATATTGTTTGTTACGCAAAAAACTAATTAATACATCGATCTGGCCAAACAATATGGACCTGGACCCACACTTGGAAGATCAAGTCTTTGATTGGGTCGAAGTTAAGCAGCATACGAGTCGTGAGAGTTGTTGGATTGTTCTAGAAGGTCGTGTATACGATGTAACTGACTATTTAAGTGAGCATCCGGGTGGATCAAACGTTCTTTTAGAGAATGCTGGTCGGGACTGTACGGAGTTATTTAAGGCAGTGCATCCTTGGGTTAATGCACGTAAGATGTTGAAGAAGTGGTACTTAGGCCGGATAAGCAAATAAATCTTTGTTTATGCACTGGCGGGGGAGTATTTGGGCTAGTTTAGTAGGTTTTGTTCTCTTGGCCGGATTGGTGGGATTAAGTTGGTTGGAAATGAAGTTGAGTTGGAACGATTTTGGGCTGGGAGAGGTAGGGTATGGGTTGTTGGGGGTGAGTTGGATTGGTGTCTTGCTGGTGGGAGTGCCTTATGGGTACCAAGCCTGGGGATGCTCGGGAAGTTTGCCGGCCTTTGTGCTGGTGCGAATTAGGTGGCATTTATTGGTCTTTGGTGTGGTATTGGGTTGTCCAGGGGAGTTTGGACAGCGGGGAGTCTTGATTGTGGCTGTGGGAAGTTGGGTGGTTTTGGGTGGATGCATTCAAGGAATTATTGGTGTGACGCGGGTGAGTTTGTTCCGGACTTTGAATACGGGGCATAATTTGGAAGTGTTGCAGCTGGAGAAGTACTTGTTGTATGGAACGGGTGAAATAAGTAGGATGGAGTTGGCTCGGGAAATTGGACTGGAGAGGTTCTATGCCCGGGGGATGCCTAAGCCTTTGCCGCTGGCTAGTTTGTTCCGGAAATGGTGCCGTACGGAGCAAACAACTGGAAGTGTTTATACGGAGTACGGGTACGACCTAGGAGAAAGTATGCGGATTCCTAATCGACCGCGTTTAACTCCGGATCAGGATGCTGAGGAGGTTGAAGGGGCTATTTCGGTGGCCTCTTTGTTGGGGGAGTTTGACGACCGGGATGCAAATGCTTTGTTTGCGCTGATTTCCTACGGGGAAAGGAGTCGGATTAGGTACTCGACCTTTATGGAGACTTTCCGGCAAATTTCCTTGGAGCGCACCAATCTGTACTATGCCATTAAGGACTGTAAACGGTTGCTGCGGCACTTTAAGCGGTTTTTGGCGGTGTTTGAAGTTGTGCTGGTCTTTTGGGTCTTCAGTATTGCTTTAGGCATGCGGAACTTGTTCTTGCATACGTTTGTTTCCTTTGTGCTGGTGCATGCAGTTGTGCCTGGAAGTGTGAGTTTCTTGGAGAGTTTTGTCTTTCTCTTGGTGTCGCATCCCTATGATAATGGAGATCGAGTCCTGGTGCAAGGCGTGAATATGCTGGTGAAGAAGGTCGGACTGTTCTCTACGTGTTTCTGTACGTGGTCGGGTGAGTACATAGTGATTCAGAACAATGTAGTAAGTAAGTGCCCGATTGTGAATGTACGCCGGTCGATTTCCCAGTACTGGGCCATTGAAATCCCAGTGAGTTTTGAGTGCGATAATGAAGCTATTCTCAACCTGAAAAAACGGTTGCAGTGGTATGTACAGGAAGAGAAAATGCTAACTGGGCTGATTTTTGCGCCAACTTCAATTGATGCAGGCAACTGTGTGCGCATTCGATTGCTAGTCCGGAAGAACTCTAACTTTCAAAATGGCTTCTTTACTCTCACTAACTTTACTAAATGTCTGGCCTGTATCATTCGCATAGTTACAGAAGAAGGTCTTTACTACAAGCCGCCTATTGCCCGTACTCGAGTACCCGACCAGTTCCTTGATGAAATCTACCACAGTAACCAAGCTCTTTTCAATGAACTAGCAGCCAAGTCATAAATACTATCAAGACAAGATCCAGAAGAAGTTAAGCCACCTAACTTAACATATAGCTTAAGTTCTCTCTATCCCAATAAATGCAACACATATTGAATCGATCTAGATTTTTAGTAAGTTATCGCATTGATTTATGTTTTTAGTAAGTAAAGATGGATGTTTTTAGTAAGTAACTGAGTGGCTTTTGAATAAGTACTTGCTACGGATTTTAGTACATCTAAGTCTATTTAGTTGTTTTATCTATGTTTAACATACTTTCACCTACTTTTACATGTCATATGTTGACATAAAGTAAATGCAAATTTCAAAAGCAAATCAAAATCAAAATCAAAAGCATGACAGCAGATCTAGCTTTTAGAGAGGAGTGATTTTGCTCAAAATTTTTATGGACGAGAGCATCGAATACTCTAAACGTGCTAAAACAGAAGAGATCTACAGCGTTGGCTACTGCAAAGAGACTGGAATGGCCATTGCTGGTGGTGGTGATGACGCCATTACGCTTTATAAGTTTGTGAATGATCATTACGAGATAAGCGAAGTCATTGAGGGTTTAGATGACTCAGTTGTTTTTGTAGCATTCTTAGCTAAAGATTTGGCCGTCGCTGTGACTATGGATGGTAGTGTGGTCTATATTGAACTAAATTTAGCCGTGTCTAAACCAACCAGTGAGTTGCAGATCTGTGATTTACAAATCGACGTATCATATGTACATTTGGATGCAGCAATGGACTACCTCTATGTGGGAACGTCTGATGGGTTAGTGGAAAGAGTTCCAGCTCGAGCTGATCCACACATTACTCGTGACCAGAACAAAGTCTACCCCGGCCATCGCTCAGATATTCTTTACATCAGCACGGAGCAGCAAACCCTGTACACGGGATCGCACACTCAAGTTCTTCTCTACCACTGTGAAACAGCCCAAATAATAGCTCGGTACGAGTCACGGGAACAAGCTGAGATTACAGTAATGCGAGTGGTTGGCCAGGGTAAGGTTGTGGCCTTAGGTTTTTCTAATGGTACTTTATTGTTATTAGCATTATCAAATGATGGCAGCCTAACGGAAATTTATCGGCGGGAACAGGCTGAGTCGCAAAATTCAATTGAAGCACTGGCTAGTACGGCTACTTCTCTTCTTTATGGTGGGTTTGCTAAGTCGCTTAATGTGCTGGATATGAGGTATAAGGCTATGAAAGAGACGATGCTTTCTAATGAGGAGTACATGTGTGTGGTTAAGATTATTCCAGTAACGGACTTTATTGTGGTGGTGGTAGGAAGTACTGGGACGATTTACATTACTGACATTCGTGAGGCAGGTCGGATTATCAAGGAAGTGCCTACGGGGCAAACAGTCTTTGATGCGGCTCTTCATGGGCAGTACCTTTGTGTGGCTACAGCCACTGGTGCCGAGTTCATTGATCTTTCTAAATAACAGTAGTATAAGGTCACATTGTTATTAAAATGGTATTAAGTTGGTATTAAAAGGTATTAAAGGTATTATGTTAGTTTATGTTAGTTTATGTGTTGTGTGGATATTGTATGTGTTTTGGGTGGATAGTGTGTTGATATTGGGTGGGTTTTGTGTGGGATTGATTGTCTTAAGAGTATAGTAAACTCATATTGAATAGAACTAAATGTAGTGCTGTCATACCACTACCCAATATCAACACAATACCAACACAATATCAACACAATCACTACTTACTAATTAGCACACATTGCTACTAACCCAATCTAACCCAATAGGGTGTTTTAATCAAAGTAATTTTGCATATCTAATAACGCCATCTTATTTCAACTCAGCCATATTTATCTAATAAAAGGTACCGCTGTTCTTATCAAGGAAGGTCTTTAATTGAGTAGGTGTTAGTTAGTCTTGAGTTGGTATTGGATTAGTATACTAACTAAATCTTAGATCAAATTATGATATGGTAATGGCAAATGCTGATAGGTTAAGTACAAGCTAAGTATACTTACGTGGTAGCAGAAATTTGCCCATGTCTGGTCACCATCCAATTCGTGTTCTTGAGAAAACATTCATGCACACTGATTTGCCGGCTCAAATCACTAAAGAAACGGCAGAACAGTATGCTATTTCTAAAAGAACTCTTCACTTGTCCGCATCTACTTTGAAGTCAGAAATAGATGTTTATCTCTTTGCTGGTGGATTTCTTTATATTCCTTCGCCTCTTAAGTCAGTGGCTAAGAAACAAATCGTGTCTTCTGTTTTGACCCAAGTGCTTTATCCGCCATATCGTAACAGTCTTGATCGAGCTCTGGATTTGACGGACATAGATCTTTATGCTGAATTCCAGAAAAAGACGCCATCTTTGGCTGTGCAGATGCTTAATGACCCGGTGGCTAATGTAAAGCTTAAGCAAGATCCTTATGCTCCGCCTGAAATCAAAGAAGCTGCCGCTAATGGTATATTTATTATTGATCCTATTTCGCTGATCAAAAAGATTCGTTGGAGTAGTCTTGGCATTTACTATGATTGGGAAAGGAAAATGTACGACCGGACTATTAACAATCCTTTCCCAGAGATTCTTCTGCAAGCTTGCCAGGACATTTCTACTTTCATTTGTCAAGTTCCTGATTTTGTCCCTGAAACGGCTGTTGTAAACTACTACCAAAAGAAGGACAGGATTATGAGCCATATTGATCGCTATGAAGAAGATATGACTAAGCCTCTTATCTCTTTCAGCTTTGGGGCCTCCTGTATCTTTGTTTTGGGCAAGAAAGAGAAAGAAAGCTCTGAGGTTTCTTCCTTCCTCCTTCAGGATGGTGACATTGCCATCTTAATTGGTGACTCGCGTGAATACCTCCATGGTGTCCCTAAAATCCTCACTGAAAATACCGGACTTTCTGAGTACGCCGACGAGCCGTATTTCCCTCTTATCAACGAATCCCGCATCAACATCAGCATTCGCCAAGCTTTCAAACATCCTAGCCCGCCCCCATCAAAGATCTAATCAAAGACTAAACACCAAATAGATTGAGTTACGTTTGAGTTGAGTTTAAGTTGAGTTGGGTTAAGTTTAAGTTAAGTTGAGTTGAGTTGAATTTAAGTTAATAAATAGATCGAATGATGAGATAATCAAAAGCCATATCAATAACTAATAAAGTTAATTCAACGAATACAATACCAAATCAATAACCAATAAAGCCACCCCAACCAAACCAACACCAATACAATACCAATACAACACCAACCCAATACCAATACAACACCAACCCAATACCAAACTAACACAATCTCAGACTATCCTAGGCTCTTTTTTAGTTTGCTTCTTTTCATCCCGAATGGACATTCAGATGAAAGCTGGTTGTGAATTACGCGTTGAGATGCCACCCGATGCCAAAGCTAAGTTCGTGGTTGTTGAGAACACAGCTGAAGAAAATGGCCAAGAGCTCTTACTTGGTAAATGGTATACAGTAAAAGACGATCTCTTCTTTATCTTCACCTATACCGGCTGTAAGCTTAAACTAGCTATTGAAGGCGGTTCTTACTACATCTCAGAAGACTCTAATATGCCCTATATATTCAATATGTTTACGGCTTTTTGGCGGCTGCATAAGAAACGTCTCTTAATTGTTGGTAATGGCCGCACTACTCTATCCAGTATCTTATCTAACTACTTCATTCGTAAAGGCGAGAAGGTTCTTTGTCTTGATTTAGATGTGTATAGTGGAAGTCTTCTCTTCCCAGGCACTATTACTTCTGCCGTGGTGCAAGACGTTTTCAGCCATGTTGAGCCTCTTTCTACTACTGAGAAGCTTTCCTTCTTTTATGGATCGGCTTCGGCTACTGATAATACTGACTTGTACACGCTCTTACAAGGAGAAATGCTTGCTGCTTGCCGTAAGAAGAACTTCACTGGGCCAACTATCATCACTACCCCTAAAGGGGCTAGCAAGCAGGAAATAGAAGCTATCCTTGCCCAGTATCCAGTAGACTATCTTATTGTGGTTGGGAATGAAAAGCTCTGTCACCAGATCACTGCTGAGAACAAAGTCTATATTCCGGCCTTCCCTGGACTTGTCCGTCGTGAAACCGAACGAAGACATATTCAAATCTCAGCTCGTATTAAGAAGTACTTCTATGGCGAACAAGCTGAATATAATCCTTGCATTATTACTATTCCAATTACTACGGAAGACGATCCAGAGACCAAAGGCAACGAGCATCAATATCGTATTGTTCAGGTTGGCGATGAGTTCATGGCCCCAATGTCCGCTCTTCCCCTGGGATCATCTCGTCGGAAGAACTCCACTGCAGTTATTGATGTTGAACCTATTGAAGGGGCCGTTCTTGCTATTTCATCGGCCAAAATCATTGATGAAGTTCCTAGCTCGCCGGCCATGGGATTCCTTCTGGTTCTTAAAGTCCAAGATAATGAGGTCAAAGTTCTCTGTCCCCAACCTAAATGTCCTCTTAAACCCTTCTTGGTTCAAGGCAAGATCCGCTTCCTAGAGTAATCAATCAGTAAAGTATCTTTTGTTTGTGTGCATTCATTTATTCAGTTCTTGTTCACTCTTTATTGACTTGCTCTCTTATCTACTTCTGTTTATCTAATGCGGAAGAGCCGTCCTTCCATTAGACTTATTGATCTGGGTGGGGTGGCCAGCTGAAGAACAACTAAGCCTAAGTTGATTAGAATTAAACCGTACTCTGCTATCTCAATAATATAGACTGGCCTTGTTATCAAACTACCTAATTGGTATTGTGCTGGTCACTTTAAGTATTAACCAGATAAGATATCCGAGATAATCATGCACTGTTGAGTGGTACGATAATCTTATAATCTACAATGTTATTTTGATTATTGAATAGATAGGTTAAGTTAAATATCTAGACATATTATGAGAGTATAAAATAAAGTAAAAACGAAACTATCTTGAGTTTAGTTTGAAATTAAGTAGGGTTTATTTCAGTATTTAAATTGAATTGTGGTAGAATTGAGATATGACTGAGATGGCTTGAATTAGCACAGACAGGAGTGTGGAGATGATAAACACATCAATCGAAGAGGAAGCTATTCAAATATGCATATTAACATCGAAAATCGACCAAATAAACAAACCACCCATTCCAAACAGGTATTCAGTTTCTGTCTTAAGCATACATTATTAGTCATCCCAATACAATAAAGCGGTTTAATATTGTCATGCCCATGGGGGGAAAGGTCCCTCTTAGATCAGCAGTACTCATTCAAAGACAAAGAAAGGTGCCGAACTCTCTATTATTTATTCATGTATGAGCTTCTTGGGTGCCACGGTTGGCGATCAAGAAGGTGTAACGTCTCGGACGCTTCCCTTTAGATTCCTCAGTTAGAGACTCGCCTCTTTCCGTCAGATATCTAACGCTCGTTTATCTAGGTGAGGCTTAGATGATTCCCATGGAGGGACCTCTAGAACCTCCGTATCGCAATAACTAATCTCTATATCGTTGAGACCTAGATGTATCTCTGCGGAAGATTCCTAGAATCTCAATATCGCTACGTTGATCTCGGTCTCGTTGAGATCTAGATGAATCTTGTGGAAGACCTCTAGAATCTCGGTATCGCTCTCTTCTTATCTCCATCCGAATTCCTAATCCTAATCCTAATCTTAATCTAGATAGCAAAACTTGCTACTCTTTATAGATCTAATGCTGATCTAATAGTTGTAGATTCACGACTAACTAATTGCTTATCTCAGATCTCCCAGGATTGGGATTGAAACATCATGTAACTTAGATGATATCGAACAATAAAGGTTAATCTCCTAACGCTTTACTATTCCTTACTCCTCGTCCGCTAATTAAATAGTGTTGGGAATTCTCATGCACAACAGTAACCCAAATATTAAGCCTGGTTTAAGACTAAACCAGGCAAGTCATAATAAATGTAATAGGACCTAACTAATCCCTAACTTAATAATATCTAACGAAAATATACAATTTAACCTTCCATACTAAAGACCAAGCATCCATTCGACTCAACTACTCGCCATTGATACTAAACAACACCTAATTTAACCCAATACTAGCCCATATCTATTTAATTTTATTTCCAATTCCGAATATGGATGACATTAGCGAACTTCTAAATACTTCTAAAGGGTTAAAAGAAGAGATTAAAGCCATTGAAGAGTTAAATAAGAAAATAGCCCAAACTAAAGCCGAAATTGAAGAATTGACTAAACATGAAGCTGATCTTTTAAATACCCCTGACCGAGTCTCAGTCTATACAAAGCGACTAGAGAAGATTCACCAAGAGTTAGAGAAGCAGACCCTTTTAGATTCTCCTTTAAAATGTCCAAGTGATATATCAAAAGCTAGTGAAGTACTTACTCGTAAGCAACTATTAGGAAAGATCTTTGAATACTTCCCACAACTATATCATGAGGAAGAACTTAAAGCAAGTATTGGTGAAGCTAAAGCCCGAATTAGTCTCTTGCAAGTTGATAAGGAGTATAACGAGTTTATCAATCAGGTACAAACTAAGTATCCAGATGAAGCCCATTTACTTATCTCACCAATTAGAGATATGATTGTTCGATCTTTGTTTTCATCAGCCAAAGTCTATTCTGGTCTGACTTCCTCAACAGTGCTTATTTATACTTACTCGTTGAATCGGAAGGTTGAAATTGATGAGGAGAAAATACTTCAGACAATTCACCAGAGAATAAAGATGCCGGTAAAAAAGGAGGATATTGAGAAGCAGCCGTTGTACGTATCACTTTCTAAGCTAGCTATTTACGAAGAGATTCTAGCTGAGGTCAAAAAAGCTATTCTACAACGCCTTCCCAAACTAACTCTAGCCCAACTGGAACAATACAACCAGGATGTTTTCTATGGCACCGTTTACTATATCTCTGAAGTGGATAAATGGATGGCAGATAATCTCGTTCAGTGTATGAAACCAACGACCGGATTTTATAGTGCGCTGTCTCCGGAAGAGCAGCGAGAGATAGAGCATGGTGCTTCATCTGCCAAGGAGACTTCAGCACTAACTCTTCAGGATGCCTTGCATATATCAATCAAATCACAAGAAACAAAAACTATCTCTAAAGAACTCTACCAACAGCTGAAGATAGTCACTAGTATTGCCAAAACTAAAAGATCAACCGATCCTAAGATAAAACTGGCTATTGCCGAACAACTCCAAGCACATTTCCAGCCAAATTCTACGACCACTAATAGTCCTACGATCATCATGATCTGTCGACGACTAGCCGATGCGAAAGTCCTTTTGAATATCATTTTACTAGCCAGTACAGGTACGCCCGAACATTCCCTTAGTCTTATTAATAGTAACGAAGAGTCTATTCAAGATGCTATGGAAGAGTCCTTTACTAACCTTATTCGGCAGTCCGGCAGTCAAACCATTAATCTTTCTGAAACAGGAGCACCTACTACATTAACTCGGACAATCCAGCACTTTCTAGCCACGACTGCTTCTTTCTTTACTGGTCACTTCCTGGCCCATATTCAAGCTGAGTTTTTCAACTCCCTCTTCCAAATTGCCTATCGTGTTATTACTTCTACCTCCCTCTTCCAACAGCCCACTACGCACTGGCTCGCCATTACTTCCCAACTCCAACAACTTGCTGAGCCTCAGGCCCATATGATTACCCTCTACCCACAAATATCCAATATCAACACAATCTTATCCCAAGGCACGCCGACGGAATTCCTTCATTTGGACATAAACTCCCTCGAAATTCCCAAGCAAGCAATTCTTCATATTCTTCCTCTCCTCTTCTCTGACCAAGCCCTCCAAACAGTCCTTGCTCACCTTGAGAAAGAGAACAAGAACGACTAACGCAATGTGTAGTAGGATAGGATTAGGGTTGTGACCAAATAGGATATATCAGTAGTGCCACGACCCAGCACAATCAACTATGATCGGGCATAACTGAACTGCCCAGTTCGTGTATGCTTATAATAAATATGCCCAATCTCTCCACCATAATCCAATACTAACACAATACTAACCCAACCACACGTGTTGCTTGCATAGTAAATTGCCGAAGTACTATCCATGAATGTCCAACTTAATCTTCTAAAACCCGCCCGCCCAACTACAATCTACACAAACTCAACTCCTACAAATTCAACTCCTACAAACTCAATTCATAGCTATCTCAAAAAGTTTAAGTTGGGAATCTCTAAGTCAGAGATAAATATGGCCAGAATAAAGCAACAAACAGTTTTATTAACTTTAGCTCATCTTACTATGTCAAGGTCAGTTCAGTTCAGTTCAGAACAGTACAAGCCAAGACAATGTAAGGAAATAGAGATGTATTGGGTTTCCGAACCCCCATATATTGAGAATGTGCTAGCAAACCAGTTTGTCCCAGTTAGGAAGGGATTGGGTTGGGGTGGTTTATGTGCTGCCAAACGATCACTATCCATTGTTCAGGCGACCAACCGGATTACTACTTAGTAGTCACTACTCAGTACTAGCAACACGTACCTTTAGTAGAACCAGAGGACTTTGTCCGCTTTATTTTGCATATCTTATCTACATTTGATATGACGTCATCTCTCGCTCAGACCCTTATTTGCTTAATAAATTGCACCCGCACTAGTCTCATGGAATCTCTTTAATAGAGTATGTATTAGTTAAGTATTAGTTAAGTATTAGTTAAGATGGTATTAAGATGGTATTAGGATGGTATTAGATTAGCATTGGGCACTGCAGTTCAATTTATTGATTATAAGGGCAAAAGCCAGAAGTTTAGTATTGAGATAGTAAGGCAAGGGAGTATATAGGTACAGAGTTTGCCATTTGAAAGGAGTGTAGATTAGCTAGCCGGCCAACAATTATTGTAATATTCTGGAGATATAAGCCACTAGAACATCGCCATAGGTCAATTGTATGGGCTTAACGCCTCAGTTTGCACTTCTTTGTTTCCTGGGTTTGGCAGTGGATTAGATAACGAATCATTTAGAGCACCATTCAATAATTTAGGCGTTTCAACAGAGTCTTTATCCACGTCATCTCCTATTTCAGGCTCTTTCTTGGATCCAACAAGGTTCTTTACAAGGCCGACAAGCAATTTCACAAGAAAGCACCCACACATACACATACACTCTAATAATTCGTCCCCATCGTTGTCACAGCGAACAAAACCCAATCCAACTAGCAACCAAAATATTCGGCCCAAACCCAACGCACATCCATTAAAACACACCCTCATTCTCCAATTTACCATCTGGTCATCTATTTATAACCAATCTATTCCAAATAATAATCACAAAGCACATGATTATCCATACGCATACGTATACATGACTATCTACAACCAATAAAACCGAGACCATTTATTTTAACCCAAACCAAACTCAATCCACCACTATAACTGTGGTGTTCGGAGTGTCTATCATTTTCAAGTGCGTTATCTAAAAGGGACATAGTTCTGTAATACTTATCGATCTGGCCGTGATTGCAACCAGTGCGATTAAAATCTCGAATTAGAAATCACGATCTCATATTAGTATTTATATTATAAGTTTGTGAACTATCTCAAGATCTTATACAATACCGAAAACTTAACCTAGACCAACCCAATACTAATCCGTCCAGATCAAAATCAGTCTTTAATTGAGTATGTTTAGTTGAAAGGTACTATTCCGACCCCGGAACACAACATAAAGTATCTACCATTTGAAGCAATTCCAAGTAAATCCAACAACCCCAACAAATCCAGCAAACCAAACCAAAACAACTCAACATCCATCCACTCCAAAACCTCTACTTAGTAAATCTAAAATACAACTTAATTCAATTCAATTCAATATCATAACATAACCCCACTAAAACCCAATCCCATCGCAATATAACATACCCCCACCCAACCCCACTCAATTCACACCTATACCACCCCTTCCCTACCCCTATCCCCACCTAAAACCCCCTCAATTCAACCCAAATTTAACCCAAAACCCATTAAAATCGGATTTTACACTTTATTTATTCTTCTAAATATTTCACCCCTGTAATGTCGTTCGAAATAGCCAGAGAACATAAATCTCGAATGAAGCGATTAAGACTTCCTATGCGACGAAGAAGGGAGGGCAAAACTGACTACCGACAGAGACACAACTTAATCCGACACAGTAAGAGGAATTATGGTGAAGTTAAATCAAGATTAGTAGTAAGACTTACTAATAACAAAGTAATTTGTCAAATCGTTCAAGCTTATCAAGTAGGTGATAAAGTCATCTGTTCAGCCGAATCAACTGAACTGGCTAAGTATGGAGTGACTTTTGGTCTGAAGAACTATTCAGCTGCCTATGCAACTGGATTCCTTTGTGCGCGTAAGTTACTTTCTAAACTCGGACTTGCTGAGGAGTATACTGGTAAGGAAGAGATCGATGGCGAGGACTACCTAGAATCCGATAATGAAGAGGGTCCACAAGCCTTCCGTTGTTATCTGGACTTAGGATTAGCTCGATCAAGTAATGGAGCTAAGGTCTTTGCTGCTATGAAAGGTGCCTGTGATGGAGGTTTACATATTCCCCACTCGCCTAGTAAGTTTACTGGGTATGATAAGGAATCAGAGGAGGTAGATGCAGAAGTCTTTAGGAAGCGAATCTTTGGACAACATGTGGCTGAGTATATGACGCTTATGAAGGAAGAGAACCCTGAGAAGTACGAGGTACATTTTAGTGAGTACATCAAGCAAAACATTACTCCAGATATGATAGAGGGTATTTATGAGTCGGCCTTTGAGAAGATCAGAGCTGATACCTTTGTGGAGAAGAGTGAAAAGAAGACTTACGACCGCAGCCAGTACAAACTCAAGAATGAGAAGCGACTTTCAGGTGAGGAGAAGAAGCTTCGGGCGTTGGCTAAACTCCAAACCCTAACTGGCACCAACCAGGCCTAATAAATGACTATTGGTATATCAAGTAGACGAGATTGTATGTAAAAGCTGCGGACGGCCAGGATGGCGTTGGTTATTTCTTTATGGAAGAGTTGGAAGAGGAGGGTATTATGTTCTTTGATGAGGTTTTCAATGTAGGATTGTTTAAGGAGGGTGATCATGGCTTCATGGGAGTAGACGAGGAATTGGAGGTTTAAAACGCGTTGGATAAGATGGTTGGCAGTGGTGGCGGTGGCAGTGGCAGTGGCGGAAGTTTGGCTAAGAAGGGCGGGGAGACCTGTTTGGGCGGTGCAGTGGGCGGCGGCGGCTTGAATGATATGGGGGAGGTTTTCACCACGAGTAGCAAGGGATTTAAGTGCTTGGGCGGCGAGATGTTCTAGGCGTTGGAGTTGTTCGAGATTGATGGAGTTGGGGTTAATGAATAAAGCCCGGGATTCTATTTTGAGTTGGGTATCGGTGATGAAAGTGTACATTTCAGGGCTGTTCATGAACTTGGCACTAAATTGGGACTGGCCAAAGACTTTGATATTGCCAAGGGTTGAAGAGACGAGATCAGCAAAGAAGTTCTTGATACTCCCAGAAAGGAAGATCTTATCAAGTTGGTAACTACTAATAATACTGAGGAGAATAGCTAGAATATAAAGAAAGTTGATAATAGTATTAGTACTAGGAGTAAGTCGGTGAATACACCTTTTAGCTAGACTAATACTAACACGGGCTAGAACTTTAGTCTTCTCTGTCATTGCCGCAACAAGGGAAGGTTCTTCTGGCTGCTTAGGTGGATCTAAACTACTTATTATTTGTTCGGACGTACTGGTTATTTCTTTAACTGCTAGATGGGATGGATTCATTAATAAGATACCAGAGAATTGAGCGGTCAGAACAGAAGGACTGATTGCCATGACTAGCAGAAGCCGCCAAAGAAGTCGCATGTTTAAATGACAAATTGTAGAGTTAAATCTAGGTACAGCCTTTATTTAAGATGAATGGGTTTAAATGGAATTGTGTCTACATATAGCCATTTTTTAATATGCCCCGGCAATATGATGATACTCTGACGGGCGGACTGAAGGTAGTGTGGAGCGTCAAAGGCTGATTGTCCAAATACTTAATTGTTAATTTCATCGTTGTGTTATGTTGGTTTGGGTTGAGTTAGGTTGTGTTATATTGGTGTTAGTATTAGGTTGTGTTAAGTTGGTATTAAGTTGTGTTAATAAAGTATTAGATTGAGTTATGTTAAGTTGAGTTAAGTTAGTATTGGATTGCGAAAAGAGAAATGGAGTTGTGTTGAGTTGATTTGGGTTTTAGGTGGTGGTAGATGGCGGGCTAAACTTGGTTAAGGTGGACTGGGGTTGGGATATAGGAAGAGTGATAGAGTAAGACTCTCTATTTGAGTCTTATGATTTAATTGATTCTAAGACTCGGATAAGCTAAAAAGGATATTGTTACTGCGGGGTTCACTCTGACCACCACCATTCTATTGGGTTAGTATAAGTTATGTATTGCATTACAGTGTGGCTCACAGGAGCTACACACAGATTAACATATCTTTATTCTTCATCAGCAGTTCCATTGAGTTAGTAGTGGGTTGGGTTGAGTTAGAGATTGGTTAAGTACAACACCAAACTATAAATACAGGATGTGTTGGGTTTAAAAAGATACCAATCCAATTGGGTGTTGTACACGTCATATCCAGTTGATACTTTATTCAATAAATCCTACGAGTGTCCAGTCTGACTATGTCTTAGTTTAGTATTAGTTGAAAACGGCGTTTAGCCACTCAGCAACACAACATTAACCCCAGTCCATCTTAGTCAACACATACTCTATTACAGACATACCTTGTGGCGAGAGGGAAGTCCCAACCCCAATACGCTCTTGGAACTAGTTATAGCACCAACGCCAAATCAATTAGATAAATAAAGAACGGCGAGCCTGGCTTGTCTTTAATTGAGTACTACTGATTGAAAGGAGTATTTCCCTTCCAGGGATCTGATAATGCGCTGCTCAATAATATCCTTAGACAGGCTCCAAAAACCTAGTGCTTAAAGCCGCGACAATGGCATTTGATTTTATTCCTATTTCTATTTCACTATCTTATCTTTGTGAGTTGTTATGGTGAGCCAACAATTTGTTCAAAAGGCTACTTGTGCTCTAACTTAACTGGTAGGCGAGTTGGATAAACTCTTACCAAGTGTGCCGACTTCCGACATCAAACCCAATGCCTTCATAAATGGAGAAGAATGTCTTATGCTTAAATCCGAGACTCTTTAAGAGATAATATCCCCAGACTAAAGCCACAATCATGAGCGCTGTTACGGCAAGTAGAAGGAAGATCTTCAAGAATAATACTCTAATTCTTGTTGAAGGCCGAAGATTGATAAAGAGCTTAGCAATCATGAACAAATATCCGAAGGCACCTAAACCACCAAGGAAGCTTAAAATAATCCAGAACCCAGTTTCGGCTCCAGTAACATTGATAAAAGCGGTTCTAAGCAAGCATAGTCCAGTCGATATAAGTATGGTTGAAATTACAGTGCCAGAAATCAAAACTAGATACTTCTTCACTCGATACTTTACAGAATGCCCCTCATTCTCGATCGACAGTTGCCGTAGCATATAGAAGAGACCAACAAGCAGAGCGGTCAAGAAAAGGACAAAGAGAACACTAAGCTTTATCGTTGCCGCAATTAGTTGAGCATTTGTGATTTCTCTATCAAGTAGTACATAGGAATGGTGCACTCCAACTATACTTGCTAGCACTATAACCAAAACCATTGATAAACTAGTGCACCAAGCAACAGTTGCCAAATACGCCGCCTTCCTATGGTTGGATAATTCTTTGATCATCTGTCTGAGCGATTCATCTCTTCTTTTCTTATTCCCATTCCCACCATCATTATCATCTGAAGAATCATCCATCATTTCGATAAACACATCTTGTGATTCACTAGCGAGAAGAGGAATCTTCTCCCAGTCCTCTGATGTTGTAGTTGCCTTGGACTTCTTCGTTAATGGTTCGTCTGTATAATCTACAGGTTTCTTGTTATCTGAATCTGAAAGAAGATGTGTCTTATCTGAATCTCTTTTTGACATATTCTGCAAAAAAGTGATCTATTTGAGCGTATTTCCTAATAGGGAAAGAAATACACAAAAAATTGTCGGTGATGAAGTCACCAATTAACAACTAATTTAACAATTTCCTTTTATGGCCATCTTATTCAAAATTTTGTAGATATGGCTAGATGTAAATTGAGCAGTAAATATAGGAATTTATTAATAAACTATTGTGCTCAGTTATTATGACTTGCCTAATTTAGTCTTAAACCCGGTTTAATATTTGGGTTACATCCAATTACCATAACTCAACCCACTTCCTCCACCTCTTCCCGCAGACTCCAAAAAGATATCCCATAATGACTTTTCCTTTGGTTTAGGCTTAGGCTTAGGTAGTTCTGGTTTTGGTTCTGGTTTTGGTAGTGCTGGAGCTTGAGGAGGAACGTAAACAGTGCTTCCTATGCCGTTGGTTGCATCAAAGATCATCTTGTAACTGATTCCCGAGCTGCTCAAGAGAATGTATGCCCAAATCAGAACACCGGCCAGGGCGAGAAACATCAAAAAGGGTAGTAATAGCTTCCAGACGGCTGGCCGGTACTCTTTTTCGCGTCTGTGCTTCTTGGTCATTAGTGAGACTAGTCCCAAGAAAGCCATGAATCCTAGTCCAATCAATGCCCCAACCGCAACACAAAAGATCGTGGCCGGCCCACAGAACATCGCCAGCCCGTACTTAAGTCCGTACAATCCCAAACAAACAGCCAAAGCCGGCCCGATCACTAGAAGAGAAACAATAGCCCACTTGCCAATCTTATAAGATCTCTTATGTCCTTTGTTCTCAGCATTCAGCTCATTAATCATATAAGCTAAACCAGCTAGCCCGATTGCGGCCACCAGTCCAGTTATAACCATCAATTGGGTTGATATCCCCGTGATCTGCTCGGTGGTTAGATCTACGCCCAATAGTAATCCCTTTGAATTATTAGATATGGTCCTCTGAGTCTGCACCAATAACCAAACCAACACAATTATACCACTAGTCCAAGCACTTACACCCATAAATGCTCTTTTCCCACACCTCTTCAGCTCATTAGATAATTCCTTTGTACTATCCTCTTTAGGTCCCGTGAAAAAGCTCGTATCATCCCTTTCGTTTGTATTTACCTCTTCAAGTCTTACATCTTCAAATACAAACATATCTGTATCCGTATCCGTGTCTCTACTCCGACCCATCATTCTGCAAAAAACCGTTGAATTTATCTCTTAAATCGGAGATCCCAAGGTCACATTTAATTGGCCAATTACATCCAATCCGAACATCCCCCTATCCAAATACTAAGTAATACTTTATTTATCTATCTAACCCAATACTAACCCAATCTAAAACCCAATACTAACCCACCTCCACCCAATTCACTCCGCTCCATCGCCCAACTCAATGTCAACCCAACTCTACACAATCCAACTCAACCCAATACGAACTCAATACTACACAACTCAACCCAACTCAACTCAATTCTACACTACAGCAATGATCATAAAGCAGATATATACAAGAAAAATAGGATATCCCAACAAAAGAACTTGATTACTAATCGCATATCTATTGATAACCTCTAAAGTAGAAACAGTCGTTGACCATAAAGCAAACCCTATTCCAAAGAACAGTTTTAAACCCTTCCCACATGGTATTATTACACTCAAAAGTGCAAAGAGCAAAATCGGCACAAAAGCATAACCCAGAATATTAATGATACTCAGTAAAGTAATCGGCTTCTTCTGCATAGTTGAAATTAACCCACAGATAAAGAAAGAACACACTGCAAACAAAGAATACATATAAGTAAAATGCACTCGTCCTCTAATCGCCAGAATCAAGGCAAAGACTACCAGAAACAAAGCCGGACCAGTCACATCGTTTGTACGTCGCTCAGCTTCGCGCTTAACAAAGAAGACACGTAATGTATCGCGTTGAATAGTATAAAAATCAACCCCTAAATCGTCCAGTAATGGCATATCGCCAGGCAAGTATCCAGAGAGTGCATTAGCAATGCTTACGTCATAATTCTGGTCAAGTTCCTGCATATATGAAAAAGAATAGCAAAAGAAATATGCGTACCGATGAAGATGACCCACGCGATACTGAAGAAGAGACTTCAGAAGAGATCCAGCAAGAAGACCCCATAATGAACGATGTTTCTGCTTTGACCGAAGATGAATTAGTGCGATATGGGACTTTTAGACGGACTGGATTTAACAAGCCTGGTATCAGAAAGTTTGTTAGTCAAGTTCTAGGCCAAACTTGCAATCCTAACTTTGCTATTGTGCTTAGTGGGATAGCTAAAGTCTTTGTTTCTGAGTTGGTTGAGGAGGCCAAGAAAGTTCAGTCTGAATGGGAAGAGCCCGGGGAGCTAATGCCTTCGCAAATACACGAAGCGTATCGCCGGCTATACCACCGCATGCCTAATATGGGTGCACCGCTAAGAAGATAAGTAAAGATAGTATATTGCATGGGTTTGGTTTAGTTTAGTATTGGGTTAGATTGTGTTGATGTTGGTGTTGGATTGACTTAGTATTTAGTTAGATTAGATTGTGTTGATGTTGAGTTTGGGTTAGTATTAGATTGGTTTGGGTTAAGTGCGAGACTAATATCTAGAGGTAAGTGTTAGTTGTGATAAATAAACTGGTTTTAGTTAGTATTAAGTTAGTATTAAGTTAGTATTAAGTTAGTAGGATGGCTTATTGGGTTGGTATGGGAAACTAAAGTTGGTCCTTAGGCTAAAACACTCACAACTAGTCAAAGATCAAAGAAAATACGAACAACACGGAGGAAACGGTCATACTCAGACAGACACAAGCTTTATTTCTAAATTAGATTCCAAAGTATACCCCAATCGTAGCCTAGCTTACTGCAACTTATTACAACATATTGTACTGAACTCGATTTGTGTGCCTATATGGTTATGAGTGCTTGGTAAAGAATGCGATGAATGTCTCTGGATTAATATTTGGGTTGGTATTTGAGTTGATCTGATATTAAAATTAAGATAAAGCTTGTAGATCAATGTTGATAAACATAGGAGTATATTAGTTTAGAACGACAAAAGAGATATGAAATTATACTTTGGACTGATAGCAGCTAGTCTAATTTGGTTAGCATTATGGGGCCGTAGTCTGTTTGTTAAGGAAACTACAACACCGATGTCGTGGAAGAGTCAGTGTATTAAAAGTCGCAAGGGGACAATGCTTCTTAATGAGGCGATTGAATACAATGCCAATCCAAACTGTTTGCATTCAGATTATGGAAGTGCAAATGCGACAGCTAGTGATGTTAAAATACCTAAACAGTATCTAAAGTTCTGGGAAAACGCTCTGAAAGTCGGTTTAGCAAATGATTCTGACTTAGCCCAACTATTTGCAATGCTAGATAATTGCCTGCCAATTGATAATCCTGCCGTTGAAGCTTGTTCTTCTGATATTGAGAAAGATTCTTTGTCTTATGCCATGGTCAATGCTATAAAGGAACTTGAATATCGCTGTCTGGTTATTAATGACTATATTGAAAAGCTAGAAGGTGTAACTGAGAGTACTGCGGGGGTCGATCTTGCTTCTTTGCTTAAAACATCAGATGAGGATGATATTGAAGATAAGATCATAATAGTTACAGATGGGTTTCTTGTGGATTATGATAACATAGTGCATGAGACTAATCCACTCAGTCCTTGGGTGGTGCCTCCGGGTAATATCAAAGCAATGGTTAAAGCTTGGAAGACGATTATCGACAACCCATCGGCACTCAGCTCAACTCTTTGTGCTCAGCAGCAACTCAGGCATTTCTTGTATGGCTTGCTAAGAGCACGGTTACTGGGCGCGAACCTTTTAAAGGCTCCTGATACAGCAGTAGGCACCTATGCCGATATTATCATCGAAAATGACATACAGGACCTTATCGATTCTGTTTCAAAAATAGATATTGTTGATATCATAAAAACCACGCCAACAGATGAAGCAGTCAAAAAGATGCATGCTGAGATCTGGCGTATTCTTTCAGTAGAGAGCTGGCATGCATGGACTTTTAGAATGGCTGATCTTTGGGATCGGCTTAAAGATGCTCGTCGTTTTTGCAATCCTTCCTTAGCAGAAGCATATGTAGAAATCCCAGTGGAACAGATTAAACAATGGGCTGAAGATCTGAAGATTCTATCAGAGCATTTTCAAAATCTCGCGGAAAAGACAAAACAACTGCAAACTAAACTTAAACCATACTTAACAAATAACAAGAAGGCCACCAGTATTCACGAGTGTCTAGAATATGTCTCCGCTACTCCACAATCTGCTTCTACTCTTGAACCTTAATGAGCACTCAATCCTTCTATCTTCCCGGATCTATAGATGGTCTTTTCAGAACTCGCTTTACTCATCTACTCGGGTTATTATATTCCTGATATCCTACTCTACTCTAATAACTCATTCAAACACGACGAGGTTTATTTCATACACCTCAAACTACCCCAATCCTAACACCATCCCATCCTAACTCAACCCCAACTCAATCCTAACTCAATCAAATACCACCACAAACCTAACCTAACCCAACTCAACTCAACTCAACTCAACCCAAACCTAACCAACTCAAACCTAACTCAATCAAATACCACCACAATCCACCTCAACTCAATCCCAACTCAACCCAATCCAACTCAACTCAATCTTAATTCAATTCAATAAATCTAATTGTGGTAATTTAGCAGTCGAATTGGATTAGTATTTCGGTAAAACTTAAACCAACCCAATCTGAATTTCAAAATAGAAGACTTGTATTCTGTTCTGAATAAATGGATTAGTAGTGAATACAAACATAGTAGGAACAAACACCCTCAATAAATTGGGCTAGTATTGGGTTAGTATATGTAAACAGGACAGATATAAAAGTGCTGGTTGTTGAACAGATTGAATCAAAGGGGCTTATTTATTTCCTAGCTTAACCCGACAAATTAATATGTGGATTTGTATCTATGCTGAGAGTGGCTACCGGGTGGAGAAACGAATGACCGAAGAGATGGATAATGAAGTGGATGACGAGGGAAAGAGCATAGTGTATCCTAATGTTGAGGCTTATGTAGCTGATAGGTGTCTAGGCAGATATCGCTTGCTTAGTTCTAGTGGGCAGGTTGTGGGTGGTAGTCCGCTCTTTAAGCGAATCCTGGAATGGATTGCTGGTGAGCCCCCAGGGCTTATGCAGAGTGCAATTGAGCCCCTTGGGATTGGGGCTTACATTAAAGAGTACCGCTCAGATAGAATTATAGTGCTGGCCACCGAAGGCTTTGCTTTATATAGCAACAGCGAGTATTGGGTTAGCTCATACTCAGCAGTTATCGGTATTAATCGGAAGGATTACTTAATTGAGCTGCAACTGGAAAATGGATCTGTTTTAGCATTAGGAGTAATAGATAGTCTTGAGAAAGAACTAATGACCTTGTGCCTGCACAAATTAGAAGACGTAAATGATCCTGCTAAAGAACTTGCTTGGCAATGTATTGCTGAAGGTCTTTCCGAGCGAATTCCTCTTTATGACCAGAAGCCGAGCTGTGTTTTTGGCGTGGTTAACAATGGTAGCTTTGGCTGGGTAGGAGGATTATTGAGTGGGGCTTTTGGCGGAGCTCCTTCCGAGTACTTGGCAATCACTCAGGACTTTTTGGTGTTTAGTCGAGCTGGGTCCTACTTCGCCATTCCTTTGGATATGGTACGGCGTGTAGAAGTGGCGCATGAAGGTTTTATGGCGCGACGATCATCAACTCGGCTTAAAATCCGAGATGCCAACCAGCGCGAGTTTGTGGCGCAATTGGCTGGTGCGGTTGGTCTGGAAGAGGTCCGGTCTAAAATTGGCCGACCCGAGAAGACCTTCAAAGCCGAGTATATTAGCGTGGTTTTAGATATGGCAGCTGTTCAAGCCCAAGGAGGTGATGATATAGACATTGCCTACCAAATGTACATAGAACAAAACGAACAGGTTGAGGTTCTTAATATTAACCACAAACAGAGACCTTTCAAATGGGTCTCTTGGTTTTGTATTTGCGGTATGGCCAGCCACCCTCGCTTCTATGAGCAAACTTTAACTCGACACAATTGGGTAGATACAGACACCACCGAGCAAATAGACAAAGACCTCTCCCGGGCCTCGTACACTCCCAGCACGAACGAAGCCGGCCTCCGCCGCGCTCTACTCGGCTTTGCCCTGGAGAATAACAGCGAGTATCTACAGACCCATTCACTAATTGGCGAAGTTCTTTATCGCACGTTAGGCGAACACGGAACCTTCTTAGGCCTACACCATATCTTCAAAAGAATCATGCCAGGGTACACCGGCCCTAATATTTATGGTTTACAAAGAGATGTCCATGTTCTACTTGTCTTTATTAAGGAAAGGTTCTTAGGTCTCTATGAAAACCTAACCGGCAAATCAATTGAGCTCGAAATTCTAGTAACTCCCTGGCTAGTTGGTCTTTTCACAACTGTTTTTGGCAGGTCCTACATTGAGCGAGTCTTTGACCACATTGGCTGTTATGGCGCAGTCTTTGTTTTCCGATTATCTTTAGGTCTTCTCGAGCGAATGTACCGCAAGCTCTCCTGGTCCGATAAGAACAGTTCTATGCTCAAAGCCGCCAAAGACTATTTATTCAAAGGCGGATCAGTTCCAAGCATTGACGAAAAAGAGTTCTCTATTCTCCTAGAAACCGCCGTCAACACCAAGTTCATCACCCCCGAACGAGTCTCACACGAAAGAAACAAGTACGAAATCAGCCATCGCCAACAATGCACCAGCACCTAGATAGCACCACTACATCCAATTACGTCATCACAATACAATACTATACCATACTAACACACTACCAACTCAACACACTATACCACACCAACACACTACCAACCCAATACCACACCAACACACTACTAACCCATACCAACTCAACTCAATCTTCGCTTATGGTTGCTTTCCATTGGGGAGTCTGAAAGATCTCGTCACAGATATCCTGAATACTTCGGGGCTCCTTCCCATCAGTGGTACAAACTCGAACTATCTTCTTCTCTTCTTCCGGCGAGGAGCAAATATGGTCCAGAACCTCATTGTATACAACCTCCATTATCTCCACTTCCAAGTTTTCCTCGGTCTTTAACGCGTTGTACCCCCTTGCCTCGTACCGATTCCCTAAGACACTTAAATCAGCACTCAGCACTATTATAAGATTAAAATCAACAAAACTTACTGTTTCCGGATCATGTGTATCGATGATATAATTATTTTTGTCTTTGATTTTCCTTTTTAGGTAATTTTTGACTTTTTGTGGCGAATACTCTAACGTATCATAAGTTGAACATCTTTTTTTATAGAGATGCTTCTTTTCGATAAGATCGCTAAGATTAATTATTTTGAAATCTAACTTTTGAGCCAAATACCCAGATAAGGTTGTTTTACCAACGGCTGGTGTGCCAGTAACTAGAATACGAACAGTCATTGGTCCCATCTGAAACTAAAAATAGAAAAGAATTGGAATTTTAGCTGGATATGGAGAAAGAAACCAAAGAAACTTATCTAGATACGATCAAGACTTCTATTATGCAGTTAATGTCTTCTCCGGCCGATAGAGATTGCACCAGCACCTTTATGGCCGGTTACAACGCAATATACAGCTATTGTACTGAAGATGTTGAAGATAAGTATTCAATTGAAGGGGGCGAAATCTACCATCTTTACAACCGAGTGCTGCTGAAGTACTTAGAAGGCTTTCCCTGTGACTATACATTAGAGAAACTCGTGAGTTTCTTAGCAGGTTACCGACGGGCCAATGAGCGAATCGGTAAAATGCTGGCTTTCTTATCTAGATACTTCATTCGAGTAAATCTAGAAGTGTCCAACAACAACGTACAGGACTTGAAGAAGGTCTATTTTAGTCAAGTCTTTGCCGTTATCATTCAACCACAGGAAACAAAGTTGCACAACCTGTTCTTAGATAAGATACAGCAGTACATTAGATTGCGCGAAGTCAAGCAGCCAACCGAAGAGGAGAGAACGCATCGTAATAAGTTGCTCAAAACCCTAAGAATATTCCTTAGAGAGTACATCAAGATAGCCGAGTCGAGCAGCCAAAAGAAATCATTGAAGAAGCTGTGCACCAAGATGGCCAAAATAGTAACTAGTGCTAAGGACGAGAGTCATCTAGCCATCTATGCCAACATCTCGGCCATCAATGCTCTCTTTGCCCAGAAGGAGCGCACGAAGAAGATCTTCTATTCAATGCTGGAAGAGAAGATAGAAGAGCCCAGACTAAGAGGGTTTATTAGTACGTTTGTAGCAGGAATGCTTAGCAAGAGTATTAACAAACAAACTTATACTTGGCTCTCTTCCTTCTACTCATTTGTGGACTACTCCGAGAAGAGCCGTGAAATCTTCATGAATGTCTTGCTAGCAGCCTTATTAGAACTCTTGCCCAAGCACCAGGACTGTTTATCACTAGTTCGCATGCTTGTCTTTGTAAACAAGCACTTACGGCAAATGCCACGAACTTTGAAGCTAGTAAGGAAACCAATGGAGTTAGTGTTCAGTCGCAAGTTACGCGAAGTCTTTGCCAGAGAATCGACAGATGAGTTTGAAAACAACCTATTAGAACTCATTGAAACTTATGCGAAAAAGACCAAACAACCAATCCAAGAATTATCACTGTTTATTGCTAATGTACCGGCCGATCGCAAATCGTTTTGGAGTCAGTTCCTGGCCGGAATTAAGAGCCGCTTGATTCTGCTTAATACCTCTTCCGTTGAGAAGAGTTTAGTCCAGATGACTATGCGGCGTATTGAGAAGTTTAAAGAGATCAAGCTCCACCACAGCTTACCGATAAGCAAAGAAAATGCGGACTACATTGATATGCCGACTCTTTGCCACAACTTTCAGTTCTTTGAATTATCTAACTTTGAAGAGATTCAGCTCTGCTTGCGGGACATAACTATTAGTGAAATGTACTTTCGACGCGAAGGACCGGGACTTACAACTGACTGTCGTTTATTGGCCTATACAAGATGGTCCTGTCCTAAGCTTGAGATCAATATTCCGTGTGAGATAGAGAAGGCCTGGGAAGAGATCATTCAGTACTGTCGTGAAAAGGGTCGGAAGTTCCTTTTAGGACTCTGTCCAACGGTTTCCTGTGCCGTAGTGGAGATAGGCAATACTGAAGTGGTTTGTGATCTGGTGCAGGCAGCTGTGCTTATTCTACTTGGTAAAACAGGAGATCTAACTAGCGAAGCGATTTGTAAAGCCATTTTAGTCGAGCCCAAAGAGGAAAACAACGCCGTTGTGCTCGATCGCATTGACGTTCTGAAAAAGGCCCATTTACTGGAGGACAAGGACTCAGTTCTTTCTCTAACTGCCGTAAATCTACCCGCACAAATTGATCTCTTCCATTACACCGGACAGACAACCAAACTAACCCAGTGCAGTCGCGCTCATTCGCACTCCAAGGGCGCAATTGAGGCCTTTATAGTTCGAATTGCCAAGCGCAATACAGGAATTGAGATGGCAGTTGTTGAAGAGAAGGCCAAAGGCGTCTTTTCTATTTCCGACCAAGAGTTTGCCCTCTATATTGAATCCCTGCAGGAGAAAGGCCTTATTTCTCGCTCGGGATCTCTTCTATACTTTGTGCCTTAATACGTCTTTTCATTAACCCAATTAGGAAACAACTAGGCTGTATTTATCTGGAATAATAAAGCATCCGCATGCATAAGCGTTTAGTAGTATTAGTACTTGTTGGTTTAGGTATTGGTGGGGGTATGGCCATCCATCAGATTAATGATGAGGTCCGATCAATCGATTTGTTCGAGGTAGACCTGAATGAGCCGGTGCAGCCGCATTTGCCCTACTCGCCCCGTCGCGTATTAAGGAAGACCATTGATGGTGAGCGTATCATAATAATGGCCTTTGGTGCTCTGGCCTGTTTTGCTATCGGGGTAGGATTAGCCTATTTGGTAGCCCAGTACATGAAGTAGTATATCAAGTTGAGTTCGGGTTAGTATTGGGTTAGTATTGTGCTAGTGATATGATTAGTGGGGTGGCTGCTGGCGATGTGCCAATGCGGGGAAATCGGTGCATCACAATTGGTCCGGCCTAACTGCTCAATTAATCGGCCCGGTTGAATTAGGAGAACAAGCCATGGACCCCAAAGAAACGAACCAGACCGATTCCCACGAGAACATCAAGCAGAACGAGACCCTAGTTGATATAGACACCGAAGATACAGAACTCGACTTAGAGGAAATTAACGAAGAAAACACCTGGCTAGACAAGCTATTTAAAGCCTCAATGGTTCTAGGCGCAGCCACAATAGTTATACTAGCTATTCTCTATCTGGTATTCATTGTGATGACCATTATTAGAGCTAAAAATAACTCGAAATCAGATGATACTTTTGGTTAGAACAGTACAGAGTAACCAGCTCCATTGCAAATAAAGCCAATGTTTCCATTATCCATCAAACTACAACTAGTCCAATTATTGAAAGCTCATCGCCGAGACAAAAACAGAAGATCACTTCTTTCGACCAACTAGTAAACCCACAGCTGAATATACTATGCTGTACTACCAAATCAGACAAGTTAACCAACAATCAGACTAGAATTGATTTTGATATGAGAGCTAGAGATAGCCAGCCGTTCTAAAATTTTCATGACTAACAGAAGTCGAGACTATGTTGGCTGTTTTTGCCGTAAGCATTTGCGTCATTGGATTGAAAATACCCAGTTAATTGAAGATAAACTCTGGGCCGGACATTTATACTATTCTAGATCTAATCAAGAGATCAAATGTCCACTTAAAGAGACAAATAAGTGTAATGATCAGATTGAAACACTACCTACTAATGCACTAGACTTAGCAGTACTGGTTAAAGGTCAACTTACTAGTGGGCTAGATGCCCATACAACCCTTGCCAGTCTTACTCAAAGCATCTTGAGTATGGAGAGATTGGGCGATTTGCGAGTTGGGTTTGAGACTCTTCTGATGGCTATTCAACAAATCAGCACTAGCCAAACCACCAACCCAGCACATTATAATGACGTTTTATTACCATATTTAGAAAATATTAAGGACCAACTTATCATTCTACTAGATAAGAAAATAGCCGGTACACATTATGTTATTAGAACACTAATCAAAAGTGTGACCAAAGAGTTAGCTACTCATTTTGGTCCATCCTTTTTAGCGAGTGTTCATTGGTCTGATCAAGCTAAGCTAGAGATGGCTTTATTCTTTGAAGGCAGTTTCGCAGTGGTCAAGCAAGAAGATATAGACTTAATCAATAGCAAAGGAAAGGGCGACGTTGTGCTGAAAATACTTCGGCGTTTAGACCCCAGAGACTATGCCGATCTATTAGCTAACATAGTACCTAACTGTGTTGGCAGTCGCAATCTACGAGTATTAGCTGCTAGACTGCCACCCACTCACCAGCAAGCGATCATGCACGTGCTGTTTGGTTTAAAGTCATTCATTGTCCTCTACTTCATAAGCAACCAGACGGACCTGCCCAGCTACTTATTATCCGGGGCAGTTATTCATCGGAATGAAGAGATTCGAACGGAGTATTTTGACCTTCTAACTAGGCGACTAGAATGTTCTGAGGATACAGTTCGGCTAGTAAGTGGATGGCTTCAGCTTAATCAAGTTCTTCAGGCCAAAGAGAATCAGACTAGAGCAGCATCAGCCTTTGCCTTCTTCATAACTAAGCTCCGGAACAAGTTCTTAAAACGCTATAAGTACATACAAGCCAAAGGCTGGTCTGAGCCTACTCTAACCGCCCCCATTGCTTATTTCACAATGATAGTGAAGATTGTATTGGGAATGTGTGAAAGTCAAAACATCATTCGCCAACTCCAGGGCCTGCATTACTTGCAAGCACTCTGTTCCAATCCCGAGTCGGCTTCTTTTGTCCCGACAGCTGATAAAGAAAGGATTGCGCTTAGCACCATAGGCTCGCCCTATAAGATTATTCGCCAAGCAGCGGCCCAACTGCCTTTAGCTCTTCCTTTCACCACCGTACAGTCGGCCTACACTGCCGCGGACACAGCTCTTTTCTATGGAGCCACTCTACTTTTCACTACCCAATCACTTTCTGACGCCCAAACCCAGCAGGCCATTACTTTTGCCACTGACCAACTAGCCAGTCCTTCTATTTCTATCCTGCAAACCCACAAGATGGTTCATTTACTTTGGTCTATCTTCAACTCAGCCAGTGGTCGGCCCATCATTATTGAGGCCGAAAGAATCAATCCCGAGGTTATGGTCGAAACACACAAGCGCCAAGCCCTTAAACACACTCCTTTATCTCTCTACCCACAAGTTAACTTAAACTCCAACCAAACGATTGAGCACCTTTATCAGCACCTCATTACTCCTTTATTCGAATCTTCCCTAGCTATTATCCAGTCCAGAGACATCTACCTCTCCTCTTATCTCAATGAGCAACCTTTAAGTCAAGTTACTACTAAAACCGCCAATAATACAAACACCACTACCAAAAACACCGACTCCCCACCCGTTTTCGCAGATAACAGTGAGTACGTCCACCATTGGTATGTTCTTCGTGAAACTCTACTATTTATTCAGCTGTACGCGATTATTACCAAAGATACCACCTGTTTAGATCGATTTTGCTTTGCCCTTCTAACGGCTGGAGGCCATTTAGGCAATATTATGGTCTCTTCACTCTGTATCAAGAACTTGCTTTTATTCTTCAACTCCCCTACCCAGACCACATCCCTCGCCCAAACTTATCTCACCGAAATTGAGCATAAGACTTTCAAAACCGTTCGAAGAGATGGTGGTATTCCCTATCTTTTCAAAGCCATCTGTGCCTCCGAAACTAATCTTAAACAGAAACCAGCCACTCATCTCATTCTAACTACCTGTATCCAAAAAGCCTTCTCGCTCATCACTAATGCTCTTACTCTTCCACCCATCAAGAACAATACAGCCTGCCTCCCTGATCCCGATGCGTTCCTTCTTACTCAGCTTTCAATCACGTCAGTCCCTCCTTCTACTCCCTTAGAAGCCTGTATCCGCCAACCCGATCTTCTCATTCACTACCTCTGCTTACTCAAAGGAGTAGCAGGTGATAGTATTTTCCGCTACGGCATCAAACAATACGAGCCAGCATTATTCTTACTTTCAACTATTCTAATATCTCACTCTAACTGGAAGATCAGAAATGCCGCGTTAATGCTCTACACCACTCTTATCAAAAAGATGTGCAAAGAAACACTCAACGGATTCCTATCTTCCTCTATCTCACCCAAGTATACCAAAATTGCAGTACTCAAAGAATCCCGCCAAGTCCTACTGAGCTGTCTTACCTTTTTTACTGATACCAATGATTACAACGGCATTTTCTCAACTCTAGTCTTCTTCTGCCGTCTTCCCGATCTCACTGCCACCGAGTCTTCTTTCTTAACTTCTCTTCTACCCAATACTTCCTCTAAGTCCTATCCAGCCCGCATCATTCAGAAACTCCAACTCATTATAACAGCACACCATTCACAGCCCCAATCACCACAACCCCAAGCAGACTCAAACCAACTTATCCGTAATGCCCATCTCCAAATCCCCCCTACTATTTCCGAGGCCCTAGACAAACTCCCACCAACTATTCTTACTGATCTTCTTCCTAGCACCACCCCACCCAACCCAATTCCATCCAACACCACCCCACCCAATCCAATTCCAAACTCTTTCACTACTTGTCAAGGCCCTCACATCTGCATGCAAGCAACAGCCACACTTCTTTCGCTACTAAGCCATGAAGACCCCCGGATTAAAACCTACATTCTCAACCGACTCAATTTCCCCTATACCCATGAGTATGCCCAGTATCTTCTTATCACGCAAGCCAAATGCAAGTCCTGTCTCCTCAAAGCCATTCAAGCCTCCACCACACCATCTCCCATTCACACCTCCGAATCTTCTTTATTCCCACCCGATGCCGAGCACTTCTTCCGAGACTCCGTCTATGAATCCATCCTTATCCATACCCCACCAACCCCATCAATCCTACCAACCCAATAAACAACTTAATATCCTATATAAATACTATCCAAATACTATCTAACTACGCTATCTAAATACGCTATCTAACTCAAATTTATTCCAACCTATCTCATCTAAACATAACATACCTCTATTTTATCTCATCTTATCTAAACACACCTTTATCTTATCTCATCTCATCTAAACATAACAGACCTCTATTTTATCTTATCTAAACATAACACAACTCAATTCTATACTAACCCAAACTAAACGGGTTGTTCTAGTTTATTTCTACTCTTGCACCCGATAGAGAATACCGTACGGATACCCCGTTGAAACAGCCTCTTGCACCGACGACTTAGTAATTGTACTGTCATTGCAGTGGTACCATACATCACCTCTTTTAGTAAAGGCCACGTAATGACCACCAATGCCAAAATTATGATGAACTAAAATACCAACTAAAGAGTAAGCCTTCCCATCTAAGATCAAGCCGTCTTTCTCCACCTGCAACTTATGCTTCTCAAAGAGTCTTTCACCCGTATAGTAAGACCCAAGACCTAAAGGCAGCTGTACACAGAAGTACTTAGCAAAACAACAGAAACTAGTAAACTCCAGTACACTAGCTGCCCCGGCAATTGGCTCCTTCTTCTCATTCCTATCCTTCTTCCTATCTACTTGCCGTACATGATTGTTCTCCCAATTAGTTAGCACACATTGTACATGCAAAGTCTCTTTGGCCTTGTTCTTCCGTTCCTTAAGACTTTCTATGTACTCCGTTGCCTGCCAGTGCTTGTGCGAGATAACCACGACCATGGAAGAGAAGTACATTGGACTTTCAGCTACTGTATCTTTTATCTCCAATAAAGTATCTGATTCTTCAGGTTTTCTAATGATTTTCAAGTTACTTTTGAAAAACTCAGCAATATCTCTTTCTTTTTTCATGATAAATGGCATTTCAATAATGTTTTTATCATTATTACCAAAAAGGGAAGTAAAAAAGTTTTGATTTTCCTTTTGCGGTAAATATTTTAAAAAAACAAACTCAATCTCTGACGTCATAATTTGTTCGGCAATATAAAAAATAGGTTGGCCAAATAAGGCTTTTTTCGGCATAAACCGATAAGAATCTTCTCTTTTAAGTACCATCCGACCTTCACCAGCCATTTCCCCTACTAAAACCTGTTCAACCGGTACTTGAAAGTCCCGACTAATCTTCTCCTTCACTGCCCCCACCAATAACTCCCCAGAACTCTCCTGATACACACATAAAGAAGTAATCAGTAGCTGGCACTGATGAACTACTAAGACATGAGCATGTGGCCCCTTTTCCGAACCAAAAGAGCCATTAAGCACAAAAGACTTATAAAGATTCTTCCTCTCCCGATGTACTTCCTGGCCAGACTCAGTCTTATATACTCGGACTAGATCAGCATTGTACATAAATAGATTAGAAACAAGCTTTTCATAAGCCGTTCTTTCAAAAAGATAGCTAAAATTGGTCAAAATCAAAGAAAAGACTTCCCCGGCATCTTCTTCCGTACACCGGCCGTATCTAGGATCAATATTTCCTAAAGCGCGTTTCATTTCCCGCAGGCGCCCACTACAATCTTCACCTTTAGCCGCACTTTTAGCTAAGCCACGATAAGCCAGCAGTAATTGGGCACTCTTCTCCTTACTGTACCCCTTCTTAGTATTCTTACGCTGACTCAGTTCCCGAATGGTTTCACTTCTAATCCCGAGGATTTTCTGGGATAGTTCAGAGACGCCTAGTAAAACTTGAAGAGCCGTATTCATATAACAACTTAAACCAACATTTCTAAACTCAACAGGCTTAGTCCCACTATCTTTTTTTAAATCTTTTGAATTTTTGTTATCTTGATAGGATAAATTGTTATTTCGACTGAGATTATTATGAGTATTTACCTCTCCTATCTTATCTCTCTTTTTAAGACCAGATAAACTATCGTTTAAACCTAAATCATTACTTAAACTATCGCGCAAACTTATCTCAATATTAACTTCATCACTATTACATTTAATCAATTGGGCAGATAGATCTACTCCATTGGTTATCTGGTAGTCGTATTGCTGGTTAAATTGTGATTTGGTCATTTTATGGCTAAATAGAACTACTTGGATAACTTCAAAGATCTCTTGACTGGCGGCGGCTTGAAAATGCTTATCTATAGGTGAAGTGTCTTTGTTTTGCAGACGCATGCTTATATTTACAACTCCTACTGGGACTTCAATATCAAAATTATACGTTTGTCTTATCTTCTCCCATTCGCTACAGGAGATCACTTGATAATCGGACTGCGCGGTTAGTTCGGTGATTTTTGATCTAATTGGACGGTTGATCAACTTAGGAAGGTTTGTTTCCCCACTCTTATACTTGATGTACCAGTCCTTTGCTATGGCATAGCCTGGACGGTCTTTTCCATCTAGTATGTTATTACTCTCCATAAGGACCTTCATAAACAAAAAGAAAATAAAGAGTCTAGCCGGCAGTTGGTTTAGTTTAGATTAGATTAGATTGGGTTGAGTTGAGTTAAGTTGGGTTTAGAGTGAGTTAAGTTAAGTGGGTTAGATTAAGTTGAGTTATGTTTAGAGTGAGTTAAGTTAATACTAATTTAATAATGACGTCATAGAGTAACTTAATGGTATAATTGGGTTAGGATTGACTTGTGTATGGTGTTTATGGTAGTGACTGTATTAGAATGACATTAAGTTGTGATGGGGTGGGTTTGAGTTAGGTTGTGGTGGGTATTGAGTTGGGGTTGTGGTGATTTTGAATTGGGTTGATGGAATGAATAAATTACTTAATGGAGTAAATTGGAAAATTTGGTACTGGTGGAGATAAATTTCCTTTTTAGGAAAATTATGATGCACGTTCTAATACTGTTTAAAAATTTGGGATAAATTATACAATTAATGGATGATAATTCACTTAATAATGATAGTTATGATTGGATGCTTAAACGGCTTGAGAGTGTCTATGCGATAAAGATAGAACCATTGACTAAGAATATGTATGCTAGTGCGGTGGTGGCGGATGAATATGATGTTGATGCTGAACTGGCTTTGATTAAGAAGGCGATTACACAAATACTAACTAGAGTTTTACAGAGTAATAAGAGTAAGGAGATTAAAGATTATTTAGAACGTCGATTTGCTCAACCAGACCCAATTAATCCGAAGACTGAATTGGCTAACTTACAAAAGTACTTGCCGTTAGAAACTAGAGAGGTCTGTACATCTATCTCTGAAGCAAAGCTTGAGAGAATAATTGCTGGTATAGAAGAAGAGAGTCCAGAAGATACTGAAGATAATACTGAAAACGAACTAGCACCAACTAGTGACGAGACAGATAAGCTTATACCGGCTAAAACCCGAGCTGAAAAGAGAGCTATCAAGGCAGCCAAAGCTTTAGCACTTAAAGAACAAGCTAAAAATGATAAAGATGCTCTAGTTAGAGATTATCTATCCAAACTTATGCAAATGGCTAAGTTCTGCCATATCATCAAACTCACTCAACCCAAAAGGCTTCTTAGCGAAATGAAAAGCGTCCAAGCCGAATTGGCCCTAGCCATCGAACGCCGCAAAGCAGATACAATCCGAGAAGTAGTTGCCGAGAATATACAAGAATACTCTAACGAGATCGAATTTATATCTGTGGCCGATAAACGGTTTATTAAAGATAAAGTTAAAGAAGTACTTGATAAGGTTATCAATGACCATATCAACACAAACTTAATCGACATAAACCCGGCCAATGTTAAGTCCGACAATGACGGTCGTACGATCTACACCAAACCCTTTCTTTGCGAGGCCCGTCGAATGAATGAACTACAGGCCATTGGCCTGGCCGCCAATAGTCCCCAATTAAAACTATCCAAGCAGGGATTTACCAACCCAAAGGCCATCCAGAAGATAATCACCAAATCAGCCCTTGAAGTTCGCTCCCGCTGGGCAGAAGAAGCCACAGAAATCTATCGCAGCACAGCCCAGTTATATTTATCCCCCGGGGAATTAGCCACGCAGGCCAATCCCTCATCCACAGCGAGTGTTGCAGTTGTTATCACTCCTCCTACCCCCACTAATTCAAATCCAACTACTCCTACTTCCATTGCTGCTACCTCTACAGATACTTCTACTACCCCCAATCCAACCACTTCTACAGACACATCAACTGCTTCTACTTCAACTACCCCCGATCCAACCACAACCAATCCAACCACACCTACTACACCCGCCTATACTGTTATCCAACCCACCTATACTGGCAATGTCAATCCAGCTCTTACTCAAATCAAAAATCTTAACCAGAAACTGAACCGGCTCTACTTTAGCTTTGCTAATACCTTCCACCACCACGCAAGTTCTATCGATATGTCCCTAATTGATGCCCGAGCCCTTCATTATGGAAAGATCAACGATATCAAAGACAGACTATTCAGCATTCGTGCTTGCAAACATCCCTACCTCCGGCCTATCATTATCTGGTACAAAAAACGAGCTTTCGAAATCACTAGTTGTGGATGTGTCCAACGGATAAAACTCCTCTACTACGAATTCTACGGCTCCCTACTATCCCTCCTCCGCTACCCCCACACCCGCGAGCACATTGAAGATCAAGCCCATAGCAACCAACCTTTTAACACCACTACAACCACCCCCAAGGTCCAAGAGATTCATCTTACTCCCGGGGCAACTGGGTTCGATGTCCCCGTCGATTTCAGCAAGGATACACCCGGTCTTAAATTTAACCAAACAACTCAATCCGATAGTTCGCCCCTTGAAACTCGTCTTGTCTATACACACAAAGGCATAAAATACTGTGTTCCTATTTCCATCACTCCCTCAACCATTCCCCAAGCAACCCAAGGCACATTCCACCGCATGCTGGCCAATATCGGTTTAGTAGCCGATGTTATTTTCTACAGCACATCCATCTTAACTCTACTATTCTTCCTTCTGGTTGACGAATTCGACCTTCACAGCAAACTCACATCTTTAACCTCAGCAGGTATTCTCACTAATATTGGTCTTATTTTCGCCATTATAATCATTACTACTCTCCTTTCATTCATTCTTACCCACTTCTTTATATTTACTTGCCAAGTCACTGAACTAGCCCATCCCAAGCACCAAAAGAACGTCCGGTTCCTAGTCTATGTCACAGTCCTATCTATTCTTTGTCTAGCCGTTCTTCTATTTTCCTACTATTATTCCCTCTCCATCACTGTCTATCTCTTCCTTTCCTTCTTCTTCCTAGCCACCCCCACTATCTTCATCAGTCACCGACTCGGCACACTCCTTCCTTCTTTCACACAAGCCTACTACAACCGCCATACCCACCAACAAACAACCCTCCAAGCCATTTACAGTTGGATAAAGCAGCACATTGCCCAATCCCTCATCCGCCACATTATTCAATTCCTCCTAACTCTACTAGCTCTTTTCCTTATCTTCCAAGCCGTCGACTTCTTCCAACAAGCCACCAACCAAATCTCAACCCTAGCCCTAACCCAATCCTAACCACCCCCATCATACCACTAAATACACCACAATCCAGTATCTTTCATTAAATATGTATTACCATAGTGTATTGCTATAGTATAATTACTACTAATTAAGTATCTACTGTCAACTAAGTTTCTACTACTACCACCAACTAAGATGTATTTCATTACTACTACTACTACTACCAGCTAAGCTTCTACTACTACTAACTAAGATGTATTTCATTACCACTACTAGTACTACCAACTAAGTCTACACTACTACTACTATTACCAGCCAAGACAACTTACTTTATTACTACTACTACTAACTAAGTCTATACTACTACTACTAACTAAGTCTATACTACTAATACAACTACTACTACTATTACCAACTAAGTCTATACTACTACTACTAACTAAGATGACTTACTTTATTACTACTACAACAACAACAACTACTAACTAAGATGACCTACTTTATTACTACTAACTACATCTACATAACCCAATACCAACCCCACCCAACTCCACCCCATACTAACTCAACAGTAACTTAGAGGCGATAATAAGCATATAAACACTTTTTTTTAGCTAACCCATGGCAGACACCAAAGAGCAATACATTAACGTATGTTTCTTAGGACACGTTGATAGTGGTAAAAGTACTACTATTGGACACTTGTGCTTTAAATTAGGAGCAATCGATAAACGAACAGTTGAAAAGTTAGAAGAAGCAGCCAGAGACCATGGAAAAGGTTCCTTTGGTTTTGCCTTCTACTGTGATAACAACAAGGCCGAAAGAGAGTCCGGTATTACTATTCAAGTCTCAATGAAAGTCGTAAAGACAGCTAAACATACCGTTAATATCCTTGACTGTCCCGGGCACAGAGGATTCTTAAAGAATATGATTACTGGTACAGCCCAAGCAGATGTAGCCGTTATTATTGTTCCAGCAGCCCAAGGAGAGTTTGAAAGAGCTATTACTGAGACTGGTACTTTATACGAGCATATTATTCTAGCCCATACTCTAGGTGTATCTAAGGCTATTGTAGCTGTTAACAAATTAGATACTTTACCTTCACCAGCTGAGGCCGAGAAGAGATTCCAAGAAATCACTGAGAACATTAAGGCTAAGATGAAGAAGATGTACGATATGAAGAATACTCCTATCGTTCCTATCTCTGGATTCAAAGGTATTGGTTTAACTCGTGATTCAGATAAGTTTGAGTGGTTTAAGGGTTGGAAGCCAGAAGATAAGCCAGATGCTGAACCAATTAGATCTTTAGAAGAGGCTATTGACTTCTATCCTTTACCTAAACGATTGATTGAAGCTCCTTTAAGATTCCCTTTAACAAGTATTTTTGATATCAAAGGTATAGGTAAGGTATATACTGGTCGAGTAGAGTACGGTACTTGTACTCAGAACATGAAAGTCTTGATTTCTCCTGGGAATATTAAGGCTGAAGTGAAGACTTTGGAAATTCACAAGAAAGCTCGTAAATCAGTTGAGGCGGGAGAGAATTGTGGAATTACTTTAAAGGTATCTAGTGATGACGTCAATAAGATTAAGCAAGGTTCAGTCTTATCTGAACAGGCTAGATCTCCTTGTGCTGATGCTTATGCTGCTCATTGTACGGTTATTTTCTTATCTGTTAAATCATCGGCTGGTGAGAAGAAGGAAGCTTTTATTAAGGCTGGATATGCTCCAATGATGGATATCTCTACTACGCACGTTAATGTTGTTTTTGCTAAGTTGTGCGATATTGGTACTAAGAAGGGTAAGGAGTACATTGTAACCGAAGAGTCGCCTAGTCGGATTACTATTGCTCCTCGCGTTTGTGCTCGGGTTGTGCTTGTTCCTACTAAATCGACTGTGATGGAGCCGTTTGCTACTGCCCAGTGTTTAGGCCGATTTGCGCTTAGAGAGCAGAGTAGGACTATTGCCGTTGGTATCATTAACAAGATCTTCCATACTAAGGATGAGTTTGAGAGTGCGTGTCCTGAGTTCGTTAAGGACTTTGGTCGTAAGGGAGCGCTAGCTACCAAGAAGAAGTAAGTGGGATGAGATTTGGAGATAAGGAGATGGAATTTGGTTTTTGGACGTTGGGTTATTTTAAAAATCAAAATCACTATCTTATCTTAATTTAATCTTAGTTACTGCCAAAGAAATAAAGCTTGAGCGTTAGTCTTTGTTTTTTATGTCTCATGAAGAGTTAGGGAGTTCCTATATGGTCTTACCAGAAGAAAGTAAAGTTAGTAATGGTATTGAGAGGGTATCTATAGGTGGTGGTGAGATAGTGTTGGGTGGTAGTAATGAATTAGTGTTGGGTGATGGTGAGGAAGATGACGTCATAAGTAGTAAAGTTAGTAGTGTAATTAGTAGTAAAGTTAGTAGTGGTGAGAAAGATGAAGACGATGACGATGACGTCATAATTAGTAAAGTTAGTAGTGGAGAGAAAGATGACAAAGACAAAGACGATGGCGATGACGAAGACGTCATAATTAGTAGTAAAATAACTCATGGAACGCATGGAAGTGGTAGGAAGAGGAAGATGGATGGAGAGGAGGTGGTGGATGAACGGTTTGTGACTATTTTGACTCCGAAAAGATCACGGGCTGAAGTGTTCTTGACTCCGGTTAAACGGACGAGACGAACGGTGATTAATGGCTTGAAATCGGGACAGATAAAGGTTTTTGATGGGACAATGGCTGTTAAGCCGGAAAAGAGTCCTTATGTCTCTTTGGTGGAGTGTTTTAAACGGTTGGAACGATTGGAGACAGAAGGACGGTTGGAAAGAAGACAAAGTATTGATTTTATCGTGCGTAAGCATTTGGAACGGGAGAAGAATAAATGAGTTCGTATTTAGTTGGTATTGTGTTGTGTTTAGTTGGTGTTGTGTTGTGTTTAGTTGGTGTTGTGTTGTGTACTTAGTTAGTTGCTATCTATTGGGTTGTTTAAATAAGATGTTGATGGTTTTGGCTAGTTCTTGAAGGATTCTTATGGTATTTCTGTACATGGTATTTCTGTAGACTGAGAACTCTTACAACGGTATTACTTATTTTGGATTCTATTGTCTAAATGGATGCTTATTTTGGATTCTATTGTCTGAATCATGGTTTAGATCGGAAAACAGTGGATGTATGCTGTCTACTTGTTGCTATCTCTTCTGGTCGGCTCTCTGGGTGTATAATACTCTTCACACATCGATAGTTCCTGGGTCAAATCTTATTGCTTTGGTGACTTAGTATTGGGTTGGTATTGGGTTGGGTTTCTATATTGTTGATTGCTTGATCTGGGGTTAGTATTGGGTTAGTATTGATTAGTGATGGTAATTAAGAAGATTCTAGAGATAAGAGAGTATTATTGTTGTGTGTCAAACTAAATATATAAGTCTATTTTGTGGATAAGCTATTGTTTGTTTATTGGATTGAGTTGGTTGATCTCACTATCTCAATATCAAAAGAAATGGGCTAGTAGTGTGTAGATGGGTTGTTTCTAAGTCTCTATTTGGCTTGGGACTTGTTGGCTTCTGCTCGTACACGGATAAACTCGCTTGGTTTGAGATTACTATCTTTATCTAATTTGCCCTTGGTTTGTGCTTGAGCTCTTTCCTGTTGGATAAGTGCAACATGGCGGTGGTATTCGGCCATAAGCTCTTGGTACTTTTTATCGAAGGCGACCTTTGCTGCGGTCAATTCTGGATCACTTTCTTGTGGTACGTGGCTGATCTTACATGCTTCCTTGGACTTGGATGGTCCTGCTGGGTTGGCCTGGGCAATAATTATATGATGTTGGGGTTTGCTTGGGGTAGCTGAATTGCCGGGTGCTCCTCCTTCTCCTCCTTTACCGCCTTGGCCCGAGTTGCCCGGACTACCTGGTGCACCTCCTTGTCCACCCTGTCCTTGTTTTCCTTGGTCTGGGTTACTAGAATTGCCTGAATTGCCTCCATTGCCGTTTTGGCCCGGTTTTCCTCCCTCGCCTCCGTTACCTCCTACTCCAGGACTGCCTGGCCTGCTTCCATTTCCTCCATTGCCGCCTTGGCCCGGGCTGCCTGGTGCACCTCCATTACCTCCTACTCCTGGACTACCTGGTTTGCCTGGTTTACCTTCATTACCGTTTTGGCCTGAATTACCCGGTTTGCCGCCCTCACCTCCTTTACCGCCTTGTCCCGGACTACCTGGTGCACCTCCATTGCCACCCTGTCCTGAATTACCTGAACTACCTGGTTTTCCTCCCTCGCCACCTTTACCTCCTACTCCTGGACTACCTGGTGCACCTCCATTGCCGCCTTGACCTGGACTGCCCGAACTACCCGGCTTGCCCCCGCTACCACCCTGCCCCGGACTACCTGGTGCACCTCCATCGCCGCCTTGACCCGGGCTACCTGGTTTGCCTGGTGCACCTCCATTACCTCCTTGTCCTGAATTACCTGAACTACCTGGTTTACCTCCCTCGCCACCTTTACCTCCTACCCCTGAACTACCCGAACTACCTGAACTACCCGAACCACCTGGACTACCTGGTTTTCCGGGCTCGCCTCCTTTACCGCCCTTGCCTCCTTTACCGGGAGTGTTAATGGCCAGGTTAGATTGGTTAGTCTTAGCTTCGATAGCATTAATCCTTTCCCTAACCGAAGCCTGGACTTGTGTAAGAAGGAAAAGCATGGATATCATAGATAGTGCTGTGCAATAAAGAAACCGACTCGATATTTCCATGGAATAAGTATCGAGTTAAGAACCTATTTATACCTGTGCATTGATTGTAACGGGACCTGACATTAGTTTTGGAAGTAATTAATTACCAACGTCAAACGAAACAATTTGTCTTATTGGTTTGGTAGAGGAATGCTTACTCGTCACTATCTTTACAATCAAACTCTTCAAACACAAAAAGTCCTCTAATTTCAATTCAACCAATACACAACGAAGTTGGTTAAGAATATGCTTTAAGTGTTGCTAATTAAATGCGTTGGTAGTTGTTTTGATTTGGTTAGTATGGGTTTTGAATGGGTTTTAAGTTAACGTGGAGTGGGGTAGTATGAAGTAGGTGGGGTGGATTTAGGTGGTAAATAATAATATGACAGCCTTTATTGCTTCTTTGATAGATAGGTTTGGGTTATCACATGAGATCAGCAATATTGACAGGTTGGGAAAGTAAAGAAAGAACTCCGCCACGAGCTAGGACTTTTTCGCCTAAGGGTGTGTGCTGGGAAAGAATGAAGGTCTCAGCATTGGCTTGTTTGGCTAGACCCATAATTTGTGCAACTATCTCTCGTTCTTCCGGCTTCTCAGACTTAATGACTGAGTCTACTATAATGAGTTTTTTGATAAGATAGTTCTCGGCAGCACAAAGTGTTTCTTTTTGGCCACTAGTAGTTCCTTTCGTGCCTTTCTCTTCTTGGTTGAAGAACTCGGTGGTGGCTAGGATTTCTTTGCCATATCTTTGGGCGGATATTTGCTTGAGGACATCTGGGAGTTTAAGTAAAGCACTAATGGCTTCGGAATCGCCTTTGTACGTATTCTCAGTTACGACTGGTCGTTTACAGAAGAAGATTCGACCTTTTAGTTCTGGGATCTTCTTGAAGTGTTCGGGTACGTCTTTGTCATCACTGACGATAATAAAGAGCTTAACGCCTTCTTTGATTTCTTTGACTATTTGGGCAATGGTTTTGTCTTTGCTTCCTTTGTTCTTCTCTTTCGGGTAAGTTTTGATTCGTTTCGTGGTGTATTGTGAAGATAAGATAAGGGCATAGGTGTCTTTGCGGCAGAGTAGGTAGGCAGTCTCTGCTTTGTTTTCAATAGTAAGGTCCTTAAGCATGGTTAGTGTTCCGGCTGATATGTTCTCTTTAACAATGGAAAAGCGTTGATGTACTGGAATGTCTAATGTGTGGAAAGTGCCTACTTTGGTGTATTTGGTTTCATTAAGAATCTTTCCTTTGATAAAGAGTATGCCGACGGCTAGATCAACTGAAATATGATCGACTTCTACCTCTAGTAGTAGAGTGATTCGTGACTTAGACTTATTTTCATCTGCGGAAATACTTCTGGATGTGGTTGTTTTGACTCTGTCTTTCTTTTCTAATACTCGATAAAGAGCATAGATATCATCTATATCCTCGGGAATGATGTCTAAGAATGTCTCTTGTTTAGTGCTACTTTTACTTAGGATTTTCATACAACTCAGAGTAACTGTATATTTATGACGTATTGGGTTGACTAGAAATCATTTTCATAACTGGTGGTATTGTTTGTTGTTTATCATCTGTTTGTTTGTTTTGGATGGCATGTTGTTGGGGCTAGGCGTGTTGTGGTAAAGTATATTTGGCTTATCTAGTTTAGATAAAGTAAAACAAAGATAGACTCTTTCAGTTTTAAAATGTAGCTGAGTTTCTGGCTTTTTATTTGAATTGCTGATTTATCATAAACCGAATCAATAAATTGAGTTAAGTTAAGTTGAGTTAGTATTGAGTTGTGTTAAGTTAGGTTGGTATTCAGTTAGCTTAAATAGTATCTAGAATGATTAGGATGTGATCATTTGTTGCGCTCTTGAGTTCCAAACAGACTTGCCAAGATATTAGTTTGGTTTGGGTTACAAGAAATCAGCATACCACTATAACATAACACCATTATATTACTCAACTCATCACATTACTCAACACAACTTAATGCAATACTCAACTCAACCCATCATAATACTCACTTAACCCAATACCCACTCAACTTAATACTAACTCAACTCAACACAATAGGTAGTGGTTGTTTTTATTACATAGCAGTCACAATACACGATGTTTTGGGGATGGATGTGTCTGAGCGCACTTCTAATGCTGCCCTTAAGCTGGCAGAAAGAGAATGCATGCCTATTCATTCTTTGTCGCAACACAGACATTCAGGATTTAGAACCAACTATTAGACGATTTGAAGAAATGTTTAACGGTAAGTTCCAATATCCTTACGTACTACTAAACAATGAAGAGTTTACGCCGGAGTTCAAAGATAGATTTAAAAAGCTTACATCAGCTGCTGTAGAGTTTGGACTGATTCCTAAAGAACACTGGAGTTACCCGGCTTGGATCGATCAAGAAAGGGCTAAACGAGAAAGAGAGCGAATGAAGCGCAAGAAAATCATCTACGGTGAAGTTGAGTCCTATCGGCACATGTGCCGCTTCTTCTCAGGGTTCTTTTACAAGCACCCTCTCCTGACCAAATACGAATACTACTGGCGGATTGAACCGGGCACTACTATTCACTGTCCAATCAAATACGACCCATTTGCCTTCATGAAAGAGAACAAGAAGAAGTACGGGTTTGTAATTACTCTTCATGAGTATCCTGAAACTATTGCTTCCCTTTGGAAAAGCCTTCAAGGCTTTGTCTCGGCCTACAATACCAAGTACCAACCCGGACAAATCTGGAGTCTTTTTGATCCTAATAATCTGCACCGATTTATTACCGATGAAATGTACACTCAATATAACATGTGCCATTTTTGGTCTAACTTTGAGATAGCTGATTTTTCCGTCTTTAGAAACCCTTCCTATCAAATGCTTTTTGATTACCTAGATAGAACTGGTGGCTTCTTTTATGAAAGATGGGGAGATGCACCCGTCCATACTATTGCTCTGGCCCTCTTTTTACCCAGCAGTGCCATGCACTATTTCGAAGACATTGGGTATACCCATCCGCCTTTCACCCACTGTCCTGCACCTGCTTTAAACTGGCCCGCTTGTGATTGTGATCCTAAACAATCTGTTGATCTGGAAATGTTCAGTTGTATCAATCTTTACAAACGATTGATGTGGATTAAGAAGTCTTCGGCCCCGCAAGTAGCCAAAGCGGCACCAAAAACAACGCCACCAAGTAAACCAAGTTTGCCGCATGAGCCTCCCAAACAGAAAGTCTCAACCAGTTGAAACATAGATTCCCAATCAGAACATAAGCATTACTTAGTAAGAACAAAGGACCAAATAACTGGCTCAGCCGTGGGAAAGGACAGACCATAGGCACGTCCCAAATAGAACCAGCTAAGTAATGAGCAGACATCGGCAGTACCATTGCCGCACAGACAAAAGATGAAAAGGCCAGTGAACACAACCTTCTAGAAGGTCCCAAGTACATGCCACTTACCCAGTGCACACCCAGCAGACCAAAAGCAAGTGTACCTAAAACCAAACTCTTCCGACTACCACTCAATCTCTTATCAAAGATCACTTCACCTACACCTTTCCCCAGGAACAACATACCCGTGTACGGTACAATTGAAAGTAAGCCTTCGCGATTAGACTGCCACCATCCATCCCGCGCACCATAAAAGACAAACTGAACAACTCCCGGCCGCCAAACCAGCCACTCATGTCCCAATAGTAATACCCCGGCAACCACCCATGAATTAATCCAGCGCAAGCACATACCAAGTACCTCACAGGCCAAGTAGATAAAATAGAAGTTCAGCTCAGTCCCATATTCCGTCGGCTCAGCATGGTACCCACTCTTCAACACTCCCAAACGCATCAAGCCCATAACCAGCAGGTATACTCCTTTCAACGGCCTAAACCGATGCCGAATAGCAGCCAGAACCCCAGCATTCACCATAAATGCCGCCACTCCAAAGTCCATCAAAGATATACCAAATTCCAACGACTTCTTCTTCCATTCAGGATAGATCGCAAAATCACAAGTAAAGATCGAGATACACACCAAAGAACAAATAGTAAACCGCAAAGAATTAACTAACTCACGTGCATCTACTTCCACTACCTTCCGTTTCTTCCCCGGCCTTATTCCCTGCCGTACTATCCCCAACCCACATGTTCCTACAGCCAGTCCAAATAACCCCCATAATAAACTATTATCCCGACTAATTGTAACCAAATAATGCACTAAAACCCATCCTATTAGTAAAATCCACCGATTACGTATCCCTAAGCCATGGGCCAAGTACATCCAGTACCCGGCACTACATGTACTATGCAATAATTCAGTACGAGAGATAAGATTAGAATGTATCATAAGGATCAACAAGAAAAAATTCCATGAAAGACAGAAATTCGAATGAAAGATCCAATCTAACTACAAATGCTATAATTAGTCCGGAAGAACGAAAAGCGGCCAAACTAGAAAAGAAAGCAGCCAAATTGGCTAAATTCTTATCTAAGACTAAAATATCACAAAATACGACCCAATCTACGCCTAAGCGTAAGATCGAGTTTGCCGCAGCCACCGAAATAGTTGAGGGCGAGAAGAAAGTAGTTAATCGTTTAGAAGGTCAATTTAATCCATTGCAAGTTGAAGCCGGCTGGTTTGCCTGGTGGGAGAGACAGGGATTCTTTAAACCCGAGTATACGACTAAGAAGAAGAACGGTCAGTGTTTTACTATTGTCTTACCACCACCTAATGTAACTGGTTCCCTTCATCTTGGCCATGCTATGATGGTTGCAATTGAAGATTCAATTGTGCGACGTAAGCGTATGCAAGGATATGAGACTCTCTTCCTACCCGGTACAGATCATGCCGGTATAGCTACTCAGGTCGTAGTAGAACGTTCTTTAGCTAAGGAAGGCCTAACCAGACAAGGTATTGGTAGAGGTGCTTTTTTAGACAGAGTCTGGGAGTGGAAAGATGCTTATGGCAGTCAAATAGGCCGGCAATTCCGACGGTTAGGTGCTAGTTTAGACTTTAGTCGAGAGAAGTTCACGATGGATCCTGACATTAGTGCGGGTGTAACTGAAGCTTTTGTTCGGTTTTATGAGAAGGGTTTGATTTACCGTGGGGAGAGGATTGTTAATTGGTGTGCTAAGATTCAGACGACTTTAAGTGATTTAGAAGTTGAGTATGTTTCAGTTGAACCGTATCAAGAGGTTAAGACTGATGGTAGTAAGCATGTGTTTGGTAAGTTATTTACGGTAGTTTATGTAGTTGAGTTAGCAGATGGCCGGCAAGAAAAGGTTAATGTTTCAACTACCCGACCGGAAACAATTATAGGAGATGCAGCTCTTTGTGCCAATCCAGCTGATCCGCGTTATAGTCATTTTAAGGGTGCTAAAGCCATTAATCCTATGAGTGGGGCTAAGATACCTTTCTTGTTTGATGAGGCGGCTGAGATTGAGTTTGGGACGGGTGTGTTAAAGATCACTCCAGCCCATGATGCCGTTGATTTTGCCGTAGGTAAAAAGCACAACTTACCGATCGTATCAGTACTAGATAAGGACAACCGTCTTACACAAGGTCCATTTGCCGGACAGCTAAGATTTACAGCTCGATTGCAAACAGTGGAGTTACTGCGTAAGAACGGACAACTAGTTGCTGAAGAAGGACATGCAGGAAGTATTCCTATTTGTTCACGAACGGGTGAAGTAGTTGAGCCACGAGTTGTCCCACAATGGTGGATGAAATGTTCTGGTCTGGCTAGTGAAGCATTAGCTGCTACACAAGCAGGTAAGCTACAGATTGCCCCGGCAGAAATGGAGAAGACTTGGGCCAACTGGCTATCAGATACGCGGGACTGGTGCTTATCCCGGCAATTATGGTGGGGACACCGTATTCCAGCGTATACGGCTAATGGCCAGTGGTATGTAGCTCGGACTCAGGCGGAAGCAGAAGCCGCTGCGGGTGGTCCGGTCGTGCAGGAAGAAGATGTGCTGGATACCTGGTTTTCATCTGGTCTATGGCCTTTTATAACTCTAGGCTGGCCGGCGGAAACAAGTGATTTCCTTAAGCGGTATCCAACTACTATTCTGGAAACGGGTAAAGATATTATCTTCTTTTGGGTGGCTCGAATGGTTATGATGGGCATTGCTTTAACGGGTAAGTTACCATTTGATACGGCACTTTTCCATAGTATTGTTAGAGATGCCCATGGCGAGAAGATGAGTAAAAGTAAGGGTAATGTCATTGATCCGGTTGACGTCATTACGGGCACAGATTTAGCTAGTCTGATTGATCGGTTAAAATCTGGTAATTTATCGCAATCTGAAGTTGTTAAGGCGGAGAAGAACTTAGCTAAAGAGTATCCCCATGGCATTGAGGCATGTGGTAGTGATGCTTTACGTTTTGCTTTACTATCTAGTGCTTCGCTTGGTCGGGATGTTAACTTAAGTATTGAGAAGGTTGTTAGTTGCCGGCGGTTTGTCAACAAGTTATGGAATGCCATGAAGTTTGCTTTAGCTCAACGTGGTACTCAGCCTAATGATACGCCTCGTGCTCAGTTCAATACGGCACTAGATACTTGGATTACGGCTCGATTTGCGCAAACTGCCCAACGAGTAAACGCGCAGATGGAAGTGTATGGGTTTATGAAAGCTACAGTTGAGCTACACCAATTCCTCCTTCATGATTTCTGTGACTTTTACGTTGAGATGTACAAAGGCCGGCAAGATTCTGCTGGTCTAGCTACTCTTCAGAAGATTGTTCGATCCTATCTTATCCTTTTGCATCCTTTTATGCCCTTTGTGACTGAGGAGATCTACCAGGCCATGCAAGTGCAGTGGCCCAGTTCAGATGACCCTTGGATGGAATCTATTTGCATAGAAGCCTATCCAGAGCCGACTGACCTTCCAGAAACATCTGAGGCTATTGAGCAAGCCATTACTCTGATCAAAGATATTCGATCAACGGCTAGTACATTGACTAATCCGCAAGTAGCCACGATTGTTCTTTCGGGACCGACGCAAATCCTGCAGGGTGCCCCGGAAACACTCACTCGTCTCACTGGTCTTGAAATCCAGTACGCCACTACTCTTCCTGATGGCACGCCCTCTGGCTCGGCCTCTTTCCTTGTCCAAGCTCAACCTACTTCTACCGACTAGTTCAGTCTATCTAATCTCATTTCTTATTTCTACCTCCTAGACATAATTAGACCGTAGACAGAGCATCCTCTTCAATAAATGATTCAGGACCTACTCAGCATCTTATCTTTATAGCACTAGGTTTAGATTGTAGTAATCTATTGCCATACTTCTAAATGGGGTTGGGGTTAGTTGGGGCGGCTACTGGGAAGGCGACTCGGGTTTGGTTGAGTTGTTCACTTAATGCCTGGGCGTTTTCTTGACTTCTGAGATGTTCCATTACTTCGGCATTGCCGTGCTTATTGATTTCTCTTTGTAGCTGGTTGGGCGATAGGACACTTATTCTTTGGGCCGCTGCTCTCTTATTCATGATGGCTCTCTGAGTGTTCAGAAACCGGCATTCTTCTGTTGTATGTGTAGCTGATTGGTGGTGTGTGCAGTACTTTCGGGTAGTTTGGGTGAAGTTAGGCCATAGTTTCTTACTGGTTTGACTTTGATACGAATTTGTTTCGGCCAAGTGACTGTCCCTGGCATTCCGATCCCACATCTCGCGCATGGCTTGCCTTTCAAACTGAATTTCCAGGCTTAGTAAGATTCGTCCTTCTAGGTTTTGAATGTGGTTAATTGCCTCTTCCATTGTTTCAATATGGTGGGTTGCCATTTCGTTGGCGGTGAGTCTAGATAATCCAGCAAAGAAGGCATACTTGATTTCTTGTTTTATCCACTCATCAGATTGGCCTCTACGAATTCCTTCGTGCTGTTTGTCTTTCTTAATTAACTGAACGTACTCCTCAATCAGTGGATATTCTCCCTGTAGCACGACTGGCGTTTTCTCTACCCTGACCTCCTTCATAGCGGCAGTCATGAATACACGCAATGCCTCTCGCAGTGACATTTCTCCAGCTACTTCCATTCTCCAATCAACGGGAACAAAGCGTTTCGCTAGTTCTACCCTCGCTTTTTCTCCGGCGATATGTTCATGCTTACATAATACCGTAAACCGTCGATTCCAAACCAGAATCTCTTCCAGTGTTTTAGGGTAGGGATAGAAGCTTATAACTTTCTCTCCCTTCTTATGTTCGATGGTGATTTCCACCACTCTCTTACCCATTAAGAGACCAACTCGCTTTGGCTTTGGCTTCCTCTCCTGAAACTGACCGTCAGCCAATAGTCTTAAGACTATCTTATGTTCAAGAGAAGGGTAGTAACCCTTCAGCCAGTAGTACTCTACCAAAGACATTGTTAAGTCCGGAAACTCTTCTTGTTCTTCATTCAAATCAAAAGGCTCTTGTGATTCAGCCATCGATCGCCAAGTGTTTCTTGGTTCACGCAGATTCCTAAGCCTTTTCTTATAGAAGCCCAAGCTGTTTCTTCTTTCTTGTATTTGTTCTTCGTAATTCTGTCTATCTCCGTTCATCTTTAGATCTTAGATCTCCTTTAATTCCCAGCACTATTTATACTCTGAAATTAGACGATCAAATCCGAAGTTTGATTGTTGATTGGTGCTTATCTTTTTCAGAGTGTCCAACCAGTAAGAAAGCTTCTTCTTTTTATCGTTATCTCATACCAACCCCATCCTGATACATTTACCACAGTTTCACTATCTCACTACCACCAACCAAACCCAAACCAAACCCCCCAATCACCACACCCACCTTCCAGCATCAACAATCAATTACTCACACTAGCTCATCTCATCTCATCCCACCTCAATTAAATCCAACTCAATACTAACTCAATACTAATCCAACTCAATATTAACACAATCTAATCTAATCTAAACTAAACTCAACTCAATACCAATACCAATACCAAACCCAACTCAATCTAATCCAAATCCAAACTAAACCCAATCCCAACCCAATCTAAATACAACATTAACCTAATCCATTTATTGAGCCAAACTACTCAGTACGTTGAGTAACTTGGCTAGTTCAAGTAAGTCGATTAACTTGCTTTAGCTTTAGCCGGTTCAGAACCCGCCGCCGGTACAGCCGGTGAATAAGCCGCCACATACCTCTTCAACTGCCCGTACTTACTTTGCACTAGAGGAGGCACTCCCGGCGTCCCAATTATCCGATCCAAACTCCCTACTAACTCCCGGACAGCCCTTTGCATACAAGGATTACTCCCATACTCAAACCAAGCCATACTAGCATAACTCACTACACTAAACATATCAGCATTACCCGTCAGTAAGTGCAAGACCAATAAAGGCACCGAAATCACTTCTACCTTCAATGCAAAAAGAGTCACTTCATCCCGTCTACTCGTCAACCGCAAAGATGCATCCAATAATGATGTTTTCGCAAACTTCTTTCTCTCCTTCACCACCTGCTCCGCCACCGATAATGTCGTCATCAACATAAAAGGAAACATAGGTATCAAAGCACTATTCATCCCTAAAAAGGACCCAGCCACTAATAAACACCTAAAATTACCATCCTTCAATAACTTCTGCAAGTTAATCGCATTAGTCCGGAAGAATACACAAGATCCATAAGTAACTAGTAAACATAAACAAGATAAAACATGTAAAACCCGCTTATTTAGACCTATTCCCAAGAAGGTCTTAATCACCAACATACTATAAACTAAAACAAAACCCATACTACACCATAACCAAATTCTCTTAATCAAAGCTTCCTTATACAGAGATTGGAGTGTTGACTTCTTCATTAGCAGAAAAGAATCCAAGAAATTTAAGCCCATGAAAGGTAAGAAGAAAGGTAGTGGTGGTAAACGTAAGAAGAATTCGGCTAATGAACCGATGGTATTCATGGAAGAAGGTAAAACCATTTATGGTCAAATTATAGCAGCTTTGGGTTCATCAAGATTTGATGTACTTTGTACCGATGCTATTACCAGAAAGTGTCAACTCAGAGGAAGTATGTATAAGTCCGTTTGGGTGCAACCTAATGATATAGTTTTAGTCTCATTAAGACATGATGCTAAAGATACTGGTGATATTTGCAAGAAGTACTATCCGGCTGAAGTAAAGATCTTAAGAGATCATAACTTGATTGCTGAAAACTTCAAGCAAGAGGCCGAAGATAATCAAGCTGAGTTTGAGTTCCATCGGATATAGAATAAATTGAGTTTAGTTTGAGTTGGGTATTGGGGTGGGGTTGAGTTAAGATTGGGGTGGGGTTTAGATTGAGTTGGGTGGGTTTGGTATTGGATAAGTATTTAGTTGAGTTGAGTCTAGTATTCAGTTGAGTTGGTTTAATATTGGTTTAGTATTCAGTTGAGTTAGTTTGGTATAGTGTTTGGTTTGGATTAGTTAAGTATTAGATAAGTATTGAATTGAGTTGAGTTTATATTAGATAAGTATTAGATAAGTATTAGATTAAGTTGAGTTTAATTGTAGTAAAATGCATCATAACTCAACTTAACATTCTTAAGCTATTCTTTGCCAAGACTTCTATACTAATTGAGTTAGTAGTAGATAGTAAGTAGATAGTAAGTAGATAGTAGTAGATAACAATAGATAGTAAGTAGATAAGAATATGATAGTAAGTAGATAACAACAAGATAACAATAGGATAGTAGTAGATAGTAAGTAGATAGTAATAGATAGTAAGTAGATAACAATAAGATAGTAAGTAGATAAGAATAAGATAACAATATAGTAGTAGATAACAACAAGATAACAATAAGTGTGACGTCGTTACACAACCACTATTCCTTCTTCAGACCAAATCGTTTATTTACTGACTGATCAGATACGTATTAGATTATTAGTGGGCTAGTAAAGAATTCAAATCATAGCAAATACTAACTCAATTATGACGTCATATCATCATCTACATTAAATACCAACTCAATACCAACTCATATTGAGATATGCCAACGATGGACTTTACTTATTGGGATAGTATAATAAGATAACTTAAGATAAGATAACTTAAGATAAGATAACAAAATAAGATGATAGAAATTAGATAAAACTTAATAAATTGTTATTTAAATGATAGCCAATAGCAATACTATTTAGTAAATAAGTAGATAGCAAATAAGTAGATAACAAGTTAAGTTGTTAATTACTTGTAATTTTGCAAAAGCTGATATACACACTCCTGGACTTCTTTTTGGATATAAAAGCCCTCACTCACCTCATAAAGATCATCAGTGATAAGATGGAGGTTTTTAGAACTTTCTAAGATCCAATCAGTAATAAAGTGTTTAGGATCATTAATGAACTTATTAAGACTCTTAATCTTTTCTTCTTGTTTATCAAGTCTCACCAAAATATCACTTATTTTCTTATCTAAGATAGCAAGTTTAGTCGGATCAGAATAAGCATACTCCTTACGTACTGGATCTAGTTCTACTGTAATATCATATGCCGATTGAGCTTTCTGACCCGGATGAGGAGGAATAGTAAACTCAATACAAATAAGTTCTAATGGCGATAAGTATTCATCTAAGCGATTGATTATCTCTTCAAATGAAATCTCAGGCGCCCCAAAAAGTCTTTGAAACAAATCATTACAGATTATTATCTTCGGCCGTTTAGGATCTTTCATCTTCTGAGCCGTAATGTACTTCCAGATAGCCAAAAAGATAACCGGACGAGATCCAGCTGGAATTCCAACTGCTTCAGCTAAAGGCTGGCATAATTGATACTTACCCGTATAACTAATCAAATCTAAAAAAACCTTTCCTTTTTCGGCCATTGTTTTTGTTTTGATTTCAAATTCCGAGATATGCTCATTCAAATCACTATTATGCCACTCAAAAAATGAACTATCCTCACTCGATTGCAAACTAGTCCGTATTAAGTTGGTATTACTTACGTTATCTCCTTTAGTACTACTTAGTCCACTCATATCTCTATCTCTACTATCTCCATTAGTACTACCAATATCTCTATTACTACTACCAATACTATCTACTCTACTACTAATATCTCTATCTACTTTACTACTACTACCAATACCAATACTAATACTTACTCCACTCTTATCTGAATCACTAGAGATAGACGTACTACTACTAATAGATAAACAACTAGATAGACCTGATACTAGTCTAGGACGGCCTATCTCAACAAAAAGCTTTTTAATTACTGATCCTATCGCTCTTGGCTCAACTTCACTCTCTCCCTCTTCTACTGACTCTCCTCTAATCTTCCCTCCTATCAGAATAAACAGACCTTCTTCAGATACTCTTTCTGCTACTATATTTAGCCTAATAATTCCAGCTTTCTTTATCTTCTTAAAATGAGCCTCTTCAACTCTCATTTTCTTTTTAGTAATAGCTTGATCTAGTCTTTTCTCAGTCAGTAAAAGAGATTCAAAAAGGGACTTAAGTCTGTCGCTTCTAAGCATGCTAATTAAAAAATCAAAAGTTTAAAAATGGGCTAAGACTCTGGGTATCCTTTTAGTCGGTAGATATGGTTTTCTGGAGTTGAGATTTGGTTTAGAACGTAGAAGAATCTTTCATCAGGGTCTGAGATCTCTTGAAAGGAAAGTTTGAGGTATCCTTTATCTTTTTGCAATCTTGCAATAATTTTGATATAGATAACGGAAAGGTCGTTGTAAAAGTAAGGTTTAAGAATAAATCTACCAAGTAAGGGTGTAGTGAGTTGGTTTAAGGTTTCTGATATTTGTTGAGGGGATAAGTCTGGGAAGAGAGTTTGTAAAGTAGAAAGGTTGACGACTCGGGCGTTGTAAATAGTGCGCTTAAGGTCATCAAGAAGAGGTGATGTTAAGTTGGAGTTAGTTGAGTTAGTTGTTGTGGTAGTAGTTAAGTTAGTTGAGTTAGTTGAGGTGGTGGTAGTAGTAGTAGTTGAGTTAGTAGTAGTTGAGTTAGTAGTAGTAGTTGAGTTAGTAGTAGTTGAGTTAGTAGTAGTAGTTGGGTTGGGGATGTTAAGGATGTGGTGGGTGGTCCAGGGTTCTTTGGAGAGTTTTTCGATGATGTAGTTGGGGTTTTTGAGTTTGTTCTCTAGTTCTTCTTGGGTTTCACCGAGAGTGAAAGTTCGGGTGGGCTCTTTGCGTTCGGCTTTTTTGAGTGTATCTGGGGTTTCTGGGAGGATGGGACGGAGTTGGAAGATATCTTGGATCTTTTCGCCAAAAAGTATTGGGGTGGTACTTGGATTAGTATTAGTACTTGTATTGGTGGGGTGGTGGGTTGAGGTGGGGAGGGAAAGAGTGTAGTACTGGTTGAGGTACTTGGTGGCTGTGCCGGTGAGAGTAATGGGTGAAGTGGAGTGTAGGGCAGTTGCTTCGATTAGTTGGTTGTTGTTTTTTGTTTTGATTTCAGTTAAGGTTGGTGCTTGAGTGAATAAAGGGTACTGGAAAAGGGAAAGATGTGTAGTAGAATCAAGAATGACGTTGTATTCAATAGGCATTCAAAAGAAAAAATGAACGGATTGAGTTGAGTTTGAGATAGTATTGGGTTGTGTTGAGTTGAGTTGAGTTGAGTTGGTGTTAGTGTTGGTGTTAGTGTTAGTATTGTATTGAGATAGTATTATATTGAGATAGTATTAAGTTGTATTATATTGATGTTGACTTTAATGAATGTTTGACTTAAATTGGATGACGTAATTTGATGAGTTAGAATGGTAGTAGTTAAAGTGAATTAAGATGATAGTAAATAAAAGTTGGTTGACGTAAATTGTATCTTGTTTATTGTTGGGTGGGTAGTTAATTGGCTTGGTGGGACTTGATAAAGGCATGGATTTTGGCTTTGAGGTCTGGATCGGCGGTGATATCGGCTTCAGTGAGAGGACCTCGGGTGAATGGATCGATGGCATCGTTCATAAGAATCATTTCGGCGGTAGATCGGTCGACACGAGTACTGCTTGGGGCTAAGATAACAGGATCTATCATTGGCGCAAAAGTTAATGGATCAATAAACTCATCTGGGAATTCGATTTCTTCTTGGTGTGCTTGGACTTGGGCGCGAATAGTACGAATACTTTGGAGGAGGAATTTACATCGAATGATTTCACTTTGAATGATCTGATGGTGGTGGGCACAAATATCAATGGCTTTTTCAAAGAGGGCTTCTTTAAACATATCATTATCGGCAATGATAGCTAAGATAAAGTCTTTGGCTCGAATAGATATGTACATTCTTAAGCGGAAGGTTAAATGGTGAACTGGATTGAATCCTCGTGTTTGCTTGTTCCGAATATTCAAGTCTTTAGCCCGATTGCCAACTAGGGAAATAATGGAAGAGTTAAGCATAGATGCTAAACGGGAAGTAACTACGGGAATAAGGAAAGAACGAGGAGAAAGAAGAAGTAATTGGTGTAGGAAAGTTTCTAAATAAGTTGTATTGGCAAAGAATGCCCGGGCATTTTCAATCGAAGTATCAAGTGCAATTTGTAGATCTTTCTTCTCCTCTTCTACGGCATTATCCAGAGCTGTTTCAGTCATAGACGTCTTCTTAAGCTCTTCAAAGCCTCTTTCCTGCGCATCTACTAGAGATGAGATCGTATGCAGTAGAAACATAGTTCTTTTGTCCGTATGTAAGGGCTGGCCTGGTGAACTGGCCCCTAAGAACTTAGCCATTTCACTAGCATAGACTGCATTCTTCAGTAAATGTGAAAGTAGAAGGGCTAGTCCTCCTCTTTCTTGCGTCCTTTCCATATTGTTCTTAATGACTTTCTGTAAGTCAATATGGTAGTTGATTAAAGAGATAAGTAAACTAGGAATAAACGATCTAATTGTCTGACTAAACGTATGCAATAAATGAACAGCTAACTGCTTATAATTGATATTAATCTGAGGATGGGCTAAAGTTGCCGCACAAAACCCAACAATTGTAGCTACATTCTCCTCAACAAAGACAGTACCAGCCGTACGGGCCGGATCAAGTGCCGGATGGACAAACCCAGAAACTAGTAAGATTAAGTCCTCCACAAAAACCACCGGAATTTCAGCAAACTCAGGAGTCGACATAGCCCGTTTTAAAAAGTTCATCATTCCGTTCGCTATACCTATCTCTAGTGCGACTATCTCTGGTGAACTCAAAATCACTTTGTGATAATCTAAAGCAGAATTGAACAGACTAATATACCTCTGAATAGCTAATCTCGTGCGCGGATGTGTAGCTGGTACATCCTGTCTCGTAAGACTCTCCACTTCCTTCTGGTAGTCCTTAAACTGTGCACACAGCGGTATGTAGGTCAGTTGGTTCATCAAAAACTTGGCATAAAGTAACTTAGCCCGAAATGTATCCTCTATAACTGAAGGGGCTTTTGGAGTAAGTAAACCGGTCGTACTACTCATTTCCTGGCAGTTTATAAATGAACTTCGGCGTAGTACGTCCAGACGTAAAGTAGGACCAGGAATAAGACCCTGACTAATTGGTTCCAAAAACTTAGCTAGAATTAGAGAGATAAAGAAGGCATACCCGTCCGAAATACATTCCCGTCGCTCAAACTGACTCTTCCGCCGGTTCTTACTCGTTTCATAAACCCGCATAATCCATTCAATAAACAACTGCTTAGCCACCGTATTCCTAAGTATAATCGCCCGTAAAATAACAAATAACCCATTACCCAACCCCATTATCCGGTTCTGTAAGGCCGAAACTAACCGTTCTTTTTCCACCGCACTAGTCTTCTCCAGGAAGTCCTTAGCCACACTACCCATATACCCCGGCTGTAACTCTAAATCCACATAAGATGGAAATGTGTTCATAAACCCCGCAAAAACACACTTCTCCGGCCATCCTACTCCTAAACTCGTCTCTCCCTCTCCCATTTCCAATCCCCAAATCCGACGCTCACCAAACAAAGCTAAACCTTCGGGACGTTCCACTATTACATTCAATAATTTCAAGTCCGCCTGTGATATACTCATAGCAACTAAACCCACTCCACTCCATCCACCTCCTAAACTCCTTAGTAGGACTTCCAAACTCTCCTCTAAACTCTCCGGGGGCAAGTAAGTAACTATCATGCTTAGTGTTTCTACACCCACTTTCCGTACTTCTCTAATCACTACCTGTCCATTCTCCCACTTATCCCCACTCAGACCAAAAGTCTCTGGATTACTCATTAAAAGTCCCAAGTACCCCACTACTGTTTTTATCCCATTCTTATCAGCAGATCCACCTTTTTTAACCATTCCCGCACATACCCGTACTAAACTACTTAAAATCCGGCCACAATCACCCTCTCCTTCAATACACTCAATCAGTAATTCATCCGTATATTCAGTCGCCCGTGCCAATCGCTCTTCTATCATGAAATAAACACTAAAAATTCACTATTACTATCACCCACCATCTACTCCATACTACCCCAATAGATCTAAATAGTCCTAATCTCCTCCTAATACTAATCCCACCCCTTACTTTTTCCCTCTAAATCTTATCTTATCGCTAGACAACCCAATAGTAGCCCAAGCAGTATAATGACCGGCTTTATTTTTAATTGCAATGGATCACCGTGAACTAGATGATCTTTGGGACTATGCTGTTTTCCGGGGTACAGAACCTCGTTATGCCCGGGTTAAGCAGGTTAAGAAGCCCGTTGAAAGATTTGCCGTTCTAGAACGACCGCGTGCCTTAGGATTTGCTTCACCTATTGTTTATACGGGCCAACTCAGTCGGGAAACTCGACGGGAACGTTTGGCCAAACGACCTTTAGCTAAGAGTCCTTTTCGTGTCTTAGATGCCCCTTCTGTTTTGAATGATTATTATCTAAATGTTCTAGATTGGAGTAGTGAAGACATTATTGCTTTGGGTCTAAGCGATCATTTGTATCTTTGGAATGCCAGAACTAGATCGGTACAAAGACTAACGGGAACGAGTGAATCTAATTATGTGGCTGGTTTAGCCTTCTCTCCTGAAGGTTTACTAGCGATGGGGACTTCTGAAGGTCGAGTTGAGATTTTTGATTTAGATAAGAAAAAGATCATGGATTTACCCCAACGTAATTGTCGGGTGCCTAGTTTAGCTTGGGGTCCTGGTATTCTTTCAGTTGGTGCTAAGGATGGGAGTATTTTTAACTATGATATCAGGAGTGGTGAACATGTTTCTAGTTTCTTACATCATACTCAGGAAGTGTGTGGTTTAAGATGGGATGGAGATATGAACTATTTAGCAAGTGGATCTAATGATAATAATGTATGTGTATGGCGTAATGGATGTACTAGGCCTCGGGCTCGTTTGGAGAAGCATACGGCAGCAGTAAGGGCTTTAGCTTGGTGTCCTTGGAAGAAGGGAGTGCTGGCCACGGGGGGAGGGACTGATGATCGGACGATTAGAAGTTGGGATGTAGAGAAGGAAGTTTGTTTAAGTAGTGTAGATACGGGATCGCAAGTCTGTAGTTTAGCTTTTAGTGAGAAGTATAAGGAGATAATCAGTACGCATGGGTATAGTGATAATTCGGTTGGAGTTTGGAAGTTTTGTACGATGCGCAAGATTGGGGTTATGGAAGGACATACGGATCGAGTGCTTTATAGTGCTTTATCACCCGATGGGAATGTATTAGCTACTTGTGCTGCTGATGAGAATCTTAACTTTTGGCAGTTGTTTGAATCACCTACTGAGAGTAAAGGATCGGAATCTTCTGTTTCTATGCGCTAGTAAGTCTATCTTGTTTTTATCTTATCTTAAGTTAAGTTAGTATTGAGTTGAGTTAGTATTGAGTTAGGTTGTTATCTTAAGTTGTTATCTTAAATTGTTATCTTAAATTGTTGTTTTAAGTATGTATTGAGTTAAGTTGAGTTGTTATCTTAAGGTGATATCTTAAGTTGTTGTTTTACGATATCAATCTTAAGTTGTTGTTTTTATTTAGTATGTTCAATCGGATTGATAGCTAATGCGTTATATTGTTTATTACTTTGGATTTATTCGTTGCTTATCAACTATAAAATCAATACTTATCTAAATGCTTATCTAAATACTTATCTAAATGCTTACTTAAGGATTAGGGAGACTGTGGTTATTAGGGAGTCGGCTTTGTTTTGGAGCCAGTCGCCGAGCTGAGTTAGGGCATCTGGGTTGCGGCAGTGCTTAATGGCTAGATCTAGTAGGACTCGGAAGAGGTAGCACTCAATAAGTGTCATTAAAGATATACGTAGACAACGACTTATAAGTACTATGATTTCCCATGGACCTTGTTTTTGTGCTTCAGCTAGGGATTGCTGCTGAATTACGTCGTAAGCTAGTATGCCTGTATGCATGACAAAGCAAAGGTAAAGTATGTTGCATATATAGATACCAGCCTGGTAAGGACAGACAAAAGATAAACCAAAATCAATTGATTCTTTGATAAGACCTAACGTAAATGGCAGCATAGTTGTTAAATTCAAAATATCAGCTGATACAGCTAAGATAAAATTACTAGACGAATCTTCTTGGTATCTTCTTTCTGGCTTATAAACCAGTAAGGCATTTACTAAGAAGATAGTTGCGTAAGATAAGGAAATGAGGAAAACGCCCCAAGTAAGTACTTGATAGGCTAAAGTACTTGGCCAGGAAGTTAAGTAGTTCTTTAAAATCATATCAAGATTTGGACTAATTGTTACACCTTTTTCAAACATCATAATCATTTGTAGTCCCACTAAAGAGAAAAGAGCTGTCCAGAGTATTTTGCTGGTTAAGCCGGTGATTAGCCCCCAGACTACTGTGCCGAATTGAGCTAAAACCTTACGAATAGATGTCTTTTTGGGGGTAGTGTTCATTGGGGCGGCTGATTGGCAGGATATGCTATCTAAAGGTGACTTTAGGTCCGTATCTGCTATCTTTTTATCTACTATAAATGCTTTTGTAAATGATTGTTTTTGATTTGATATAGTTGGATTAAGAGATTGACTTGTTAGTGGTGTAATATGTGGTGTAGGTGGTAGAGTAATGGGTGGTGTAATAGTAGTAGGTGCTGCAGTAGTAGTAGGTGTAGTAGTAGTAATAGGTGTTGCAGTAGTAGTAATAGGTGTGGGTGTAGTTCTGATTGAAGCATTAAGTACGGGTGAGATAAGAGTCTCTATTGAGTTGGTTGGCTTAAGTGTAGTAATGGTGGGTGTTGGCTTGGCTGAGGTAAAGGTGGGTGTTGGTGGTTTTGGTTTTGGCTTGCTCTGTTCTACTTCAGTGCTTACTTCTAAGGTGGCTGGCTGACTAGTTAGGGTTGGGTTAGGAGTAGGAGTAGGAGTTGAAGTGGAAGTAATAAACGAGATTGTTTGATGTTCTTGTGTTGGTCTTAGAGTATGATCCTCTGGATGATCTACTTCTTTGTTTACTCCTTCGGGCTGGTTAGTAATAAGAACTTGCTTATGATCCTCTTCTAACTCAACACACACTTCACTCTCTAACTCAACACACACCTCACTCTCTAACTCAACACACACTTCATTCTCCAACTCAACCTTCGCTTCATTCACTTCATTCTCCAACTCAACACATACTTCACTCTCTAACTCAACACACACTTCATTCTCCAACTCAACCTTCGCTTCATCCACTTTACTTTCTAACTCAACACACACTTCACTCTCTAACTCGGCACACATGCCATCCATGCTCTCATCTAACTCTGCATTTGCTTCCCCATCTAACTCTTCTACTAAATTGTTCGCTGGCTCTTCATCCAAACCCGTAAGAAGATCTTGAAGGTAGTCGGGAAGATGCTCTTCCCTTTGGTCCGGGCTTTCTGAACTCTCTACTTGGGGCGGTGCCTCTTCTTTCCCTTCGAGGTCATCAGGGGACCCTTCTGCTGCCATGACTAAACACTCCTGACTGTTTAAGACTAACTCATCAATGTTAAGAGTAAGTGCTTCTACTTTAGGAGAATCAGCACAACTTTGTTGCATCAAGTCTTGGTTACGTAAGAGAAACTCATCAAGCTTTGATAGTTTCTTTTTCTCCTTACCGTTCTCCGATAAGTCGCTTCCCTTTCTATTCTTCTCCGACATGATCATTCCTTCCATCGTTTGTTGTAAATATTGTGATCTATTTAGCCTTTGTTTCTAAGGATATCAAACAATGTTTTGTTTTGAATCGTAACTAGTAGTCCAAACAAAATCTCAATAACATCAAAACATCATCAAACAATAATTCAGCTTAACCCAATCCTAAATCAACACCAACTCAACCCAATCCTTACCTAATACTAACTCAACCCTCCCCCACCTAACTCAACACTATCTAAATACTATCTAAATACTATCTAAACTTAACTAAATACCAACCCGATCTAACCCAATTTTTTATGACATTTCAGTCTTTAACCATTAGACTTCATAAACTAGCTGTTATTCTGCTCCTTGTTCTAATTATTCTCTTTCTACTAGTGGTGGAAATCTGTCTCTTCCCGGTTTTCTTGTTTAACCGAACTCTTATTGAACGTATTATGGGTCTGTACGCTAAACTCATCACCAATACAATCCTCTACAGTCTTAGAATCGGCAATCCACATGCTATTCGTTTCTGTGATAACCAAGGCCAAACACAAACTAACTTAGCCCAATACAATGATCAAAAATCATCCTATATTCTGGTTAGCAACCATATCTGTGCTCTAGATACAGTTTTAGTCCGGTATATTGGTTTTGAGCTTCTGCAAGTTGATACTAAGTACATCTCTAAAGAAAGTATGAAGTGGGTTCCTATTGTTGGCTGGGCCATGTACATGTCTGGATTCCTTTTCATTAAACGGTCCTGGGAGAAAGATGCCCAGAATATCAAAGACTGGTGTGCCGTCCGCCAACGCCAGCCTCGTCAAGCCCTTGCCATCTACCCCGAAGGCACTCGTTTTACTCCAGCCAAGCACAAGCTTTCCCTTACCTACGCCAAGCAACACGGTCTTCCCCATCTTAGCAATCTCCTTCTACCACGCACTAAAGGCTTCCAACTCTTCACAACCGCCCTAGCCAATACCAAGTTCACCCAAATTCTCAACCTCACCATTGTCTACACCGAAAATAACCAACGCACTACTGCTCCTTCTCTTCTCCAAGCCCTTCTCCATCCCCTACCCGGCACATTCAACATCCACATCCAACCCGACCAACTCGCCACCATCAATGATCCCAATCAGTACCTTCTCTCCACCTTCACCAAAAAAGATGCCCTTATCACCAATCTCTTCACCAAATAACAACTATAAACACCAATTTACTCATCTACCACTACTATTACTTCTTTCTCAACTCAATCCTAACCCACCCCACCCCAACCCACCTCAATTTAACACCCATTTTAATCTTTCATTAACACTCACTTAATTCATTATCTTAATAACAGCTAATAGACCCATTCTAACATCACCATAGCCCACCCTAGCAATAAATACGTTATTAACTAAGTACTAACTAAGTCCTTGCCCTAACGCATCTAAACCCACTTAAACTTAACTCATCTCACACCACATAAACCCACATAAACCCACCTAAACTTACCCCACACCACACCACACACCACCTAAACACACCACACACATCACACCACACAACCACACTTAAACTTAACTTAACTTAAACTAGTTTATTCCCTTACCCATCAGTAGTTGCATTACCCATCAGTAGTTGCATTACCACTAGGATCAGTACTGCTGGTTTCAGCAGCTACTTGTCGGGCCCGACCACTATCATCAAGAACTTTAATCCCATCCATAGCCGTAACTTCTTTACCTTCCTCCTCCTCATTCCAATCCAAAGGACAAATATCACCATGTTCTTCATTGAACTTAAGTGCCTTAACCACTCGTAGTATTTCCTTAGTCGATCGACCAATTGGATCAGCATGAACTAACTCATAAACAACTACTCCATTCTTAAGAATAATAGTAGCTCGATAAGACCTACCCTCATCTTCCTTGTAAATCCCAAAAGCTCGAGATAAGCCACCATTACAATCAGATAACATAGGCAGACCATGCCCATAAATACCACCATCTTTCCTCTCAGCCCAAGCCTTATGGGAATAAACACTATCACAAGAAACCAACAAAACTTCAGCCCCTACCTTACTAAATTCAGATCTAGCTTTACTAAATCCAATGATCTCAGTCGGACAAACAAAGGTAAAATCCAAAGGATAGAAGACTAAAATCAACGTTTGTCCCAAATAATCTTCCAAATTAACTTGTTTAAACTCACCACAACAATAAGCAGATAAAGATAAGCGAGGAAGTGCCAAACCAAGTACAGACATACATAAAAAAAATGGCCGGTTTAAATACTCCATCTATGTCCCCACCCAGTCGTCTTTATCTAGCCGAAGATGATAGACCTCCCAATCCACTTAAAGACATTCTTATCTTTGAGAAGTATCTTAATAAGAGATATAACAAAGAGACTAGAAGAAGAGTCTTATATTCAGCTATTTTAATCAATACAGCTATTGCTTATATTTATTACGTCACCAAACAAGTCTTTGATACACTTTGTGAATTAGAAAGAGATAGACCTATTCTTCTCTCTGCCTTCTTATGGCGTATTTATATGAAGATGCTTGGTATTGTTCTACTACTTTCTTATATCTTTATTCGACTCTTCCGTAAATCATCTAAACTAACTCAAGCTCTAACTAGTCAACTAAAACTCCTCAATATCTACTTCCGCAACCAAAAGATCAACTTATGCCGTATCAAAACCCCCTACAACATCAAAAAGGCCCTTATTCTCTTCCGAGAAGAAGAACAGAAACGTCGTGTCCATTGGCTCAAAGAAGACTAACTAGTTCAGTTACTCATCATTCACCTAAATACTATATTATCTTATATCTACTTGATTAGATACTATCTCATATCTACTTATCTCTACTTAACTAAATGCTATCTTATCTCTACTTATCTTTACTTAACTAGATTAGTATCTTATCTCTACTTATCTTTACTTAACTGAATACTATCTTATCTTTGCTTGTCTTTATTTAACTTAACTAGATACTATCTTATATCTATCTTTACTTATCTTTACTCACCTAAATACTATCTTATCTCTACTTATCTCTACTCACCCAATATCAAACCCAACCACCCGAACCAAACTCAATACCAATACCACCCCAATCTAAACCAACCCAATACCAACCCACTACTTAACCCACTACTAAACCAATACCACCCCAATACTAAACTAATACTAAACCCACTAGAAGTATATTTAGTCTTTTTTTTGCTACCCCATGGATTGCGTACAACAGGGAGAAACTACTATGTCTTCAGCAGAAGCGATGACTCAGATGTGTTTTGAGAGTATTAAAGGTGGTGTATTAGTTAAAGGATTAAGGCAGGTGACTAAATCTATTATCAGTAAAAGAGCTAAAGTAGTTCTTATGTCTAAGAAGATTAACGAGCCTAAGATAGTTGGTGTAATTGAAGGACTCGCTCGAGAGTATCAAGTTCCTATCTTTAAAGTTGAAACTCACGAAGATTTAGGAGAGTATGTCCGTATCAGTAAGTTAGATGAGACTGGGAAGGTAATTAAGCCGGCTAAGTGTGCTGTAGCTGCTATTGAAGACTTTGGAGCTATTAGTGAGGGTCAGAAGCAATTGTTTGCCTCGGCTACTCTTCAGTAAGTTATGGTTTAGATAAGATTTTGATTTTGATTTTAATCTAATCTCTTAATTTAATCTAATCTAATCTATTTGCATCTCCAGATATACTAATAAAGTACTAAATGGTTTAATATGTTTTGGTTTGATTGGGTTATATGATATCTGATTCTTAGATTGTTTGATTCTGATTCTTAGATTGTCTGGTGGAAGATAAAGACTTGTTTAGATAGGATACTCTAGTGCTTAACTAATACTCAATTAATACTAACTTAACATAACATAATACTTATCTTAAGGAGTGTCTGTTATTGAGTAGGTATTGGTTAAGATGAAATAAGATGACGTCATATTGGTATTGAGTTGGTTTGGTGTTTTGTTGGATAGTGGTACTACTAAGTAGTGAGTTAGTAAGTAGTAATCAGGGTGATCGTGTTGGATGGTGGTATTGGTATTGGATGGTGGTATTGAGTTGGTATTGAGATATTGCAATTGGCTATCTCTTTAGAGGTAGTTAACAATAGTATTATGATGTGGTTTGTTAAAATCAAAATTATGCTGACTATCAAAATTCAAGGATCTAATAAATGGTTTGGGTTAGCTTAGTATTTAAAGATCCGTTGAGTTGGTGTTTAGATGGTATTGAGTTAGTGTTTAGATGGTATTGAGTTGGTGTTTAGATAGTTGAAATTGCTAATAAAATAGTGGTGTTGGGATGAGATAGAATGGGATAGAATAGAATGAGATAGGATGGGGTGAAATGAAATGGATAGTGGAGTGAATTAAGTGGGTTGGTAGATATTGTGGTGATTTTCCTAATCGGGTAATATTTAGATGGGTTGAATCGGCAAAATTTGCATGCGTGTGGTAGTTAAGAATTTGCCTTCTTTAGTAACAGAAACTGAGATAAGAAATCACTTTTCTGTTAAAGGACCTATTACTGATGTAAGATTGTTAACTAGTGCTACTGGTGAAAGTAGGAGGGTGGCTTTCTTAGGATATAAAACAGAAGAGATATCTAGAGAAAGTGTTGTGTATTATAACAAGTCATATTATAAAGGACACAGACTAGTTATGGAACCTGTCTTAGAACGAAGAAAGTTAATGGAAGAAGATGAACTAAGAAGTAAGAGAAGAAATCGAGCTATGGAACTATCTGGAGTGGGGATAGCTGAAATGAAAGAGATTGTCCAGCTCATTAGTAAGAAGAAAGAAGGAAGTTGGGAGAATGAAGTAGGTTTAAAAGAAGACGACTTAAAAGAAGGTATAACTGAAGGCAGTAGTCAAGATAAAGTAGAAGAAGTTATTCAGAAGTACAAGTTAAAGGTAGAATCTGAGGCTAAAATGAAGGTTTTAGATACGGGTGAAATCTTTGTGACTGGTTTACCCTATACGGCAACTGAAGAAGAAGTTGAAGTTGAGTTTGCTAAGTATGGAGCAGTTTCAGAGGTATACTTAAAGCACAAGGAAAGAGAGAATGCCTGGGGAGAGGGAGAAACTTTGAACTGTGGCCATGCTTTGATTACTTATGCCTTTCCTCAAGATGCCTATGCCTTACTAGGTAGGGAGTTAGTCTTTCAAGGCCGGAACTTAACAATCCTGCCCAGTAGAGGAAAGCCTAAAGAAGAAGTAAGTTTGAAGAATCGATCTAATCAATCACGTGGTAAGTATACGGCTTTGTTCTTTAACTTTACAGCTATTCTAGGAATTGCGGCTAAGGAGAAGCGTGTTTCTAAATCTGAAATACTTAGGGATAAAGGAGTTGGAATTGGTGGGAGAATAGCTCTACTAGAGAGTGAGTTAGTAGAAAGAACTAAGAAGTTCTTAGAAGTTGAAGGAATTGCTGAAGGTTGTACTTGTCATAAGAAAGGATGTACGTGTATGTTTATCTCTAAAAAGTCACTACTAATCAAAAACATTCCTTATAATACTACTGAAGTTGAGATTAGGAAGTATTTCAGCACTTATATTAGAGCAGTCTTCTCGCCTTCTAAAACTCTAGTGGTTCTTGAGTATGCTACTAAGTCAGATGCAGCTAATGAGCTTAAAAAGAACAACTTTGCTAAGATTAGAGACCATCCGGTTTATGTTGAGTACCTTCAAGTAACTCAAGCCAGGTACACTCGTGAATTGGCTGGAACACCACCACCTACTACTACGCCTGATAATTCAGCTACTCTTCCTCCTAGTACAACTACTAAACCCAATCAATCCGGTGCTAACCACTCTATTCAACATCAGAAGATTATTCTTAAGAACATTCCCTTCCAAGCCGGTCGACCTGAAGTTTCCGAAATACTTGACGGTCTGATTGGCAAAGAGTACAAACTACGTTTCCCTAAGAAAGCCGATGGTACTCACCGTGGGTTCTGCTTTGTTGAACCCCAAAACCAAGAACAAGTCGCCCTTCTGCTTAGCAAGATAAAGCATCTGCATCTCTATGGCCGGCATATTGTGGCTGAAAGAGCTAATCTCTAATCTCTAATTGAAATTAGGATGGGTTAGTATTAAGTTAGTATTACATAAATAGTAAGTAGATTACCTAAATTATCTAATTGTTTAACTCATCAAATCAACTTTGACTTAGCTTAACTTTACAACAACTTAATTCTAGTCCCTCTATGAGATCTTTAGACATCTTCAATTTCGCCCGTGGTGAGTACTCTAAAGGTATTTCTCGCCGCCGTAAATGTTCCCATTGGATTCTTCAATTTGTACCTGTTGTAGCTCTAATACAACTTATCTATCATACGTTTCCACCTTTTGGTCTTTTCTTTATACCACCTATTCTAGCTTTAGCTTACTTAGCTTATGTTACCTTTCGACGTATTCTTAATATCTTACATGAATATGATACAGGATCTACTTGTCAAACAGCTGTTTATTGTGCACTTACTAAATACTTCCTTCTTTCTTTACTAACTCTAACGGTCTTCTCACCCTTTTCTCTTTGTTTCATACTTAATCTGATCATTCCTGATAAGTATTACAGTCAAACTACTGTTCTTCTTCTACTAACTTTTACTGCCTATATAGTTACTAACCAAACTCTTCCTTTCCTACAAGTCTATCCTCTTTTACTTGTCTTACTCAGTAGTATCCATCTCCTCATTCTAAACACCCGCCATAACTCTCCCACCACTAACAAACCCTCTATCATTCTCCGACTAATCAAAGACCTTAACTTTATTACTGCCGCCATCAATATTCTTCTCTGGACCTACATCATCTATACTACTATTCAACCAACTACCCATTCAACTTTCCCCATCTACCCCAACCCAATCCCAACTCAACCCAATCCAACTCCCTTCATCTAATCCCCTCTTACAATAACCCAATACCAACCAACCCAATACATACTGATTTATCATATATCTTATTTATTATCTCATTGCTTATCTCAATACTTATCTCTCTACTTACTACTTACTACTTACTACTATCTTAACTCTCTACTTACTACTATCTCACTGCCAATTCAATACTATCTCAGCCCTCTACTTACTACTATCTCACTACCAACCCAATACTTAACTCTTTACTATCTTAACTCTTTACTTACTACTATCTTAACTCAATACTTAACTTACTACCAACTCAACCCAATACCAACCCAATACCATCCTCATATCCAACCACTCACCAATATGTAATGTAACCCAATGTAACCCAATATTAAGTTGAGATAAGATAGGCTTAAATCAATATCTAATCTAATCAAAATCAAAACACAACCAAAACACCACCCCATCTAATCTAATCTAAATCAAAACATAACTTATCCTAATTTATTCGCACTGTAAGAGATCAGCTTCACCACCATCTAAAATAGAGATAACTCCCATTCTAAACTCAGCCCCACATAAATTAGCCAAATCACGGTTTGAACCATCAAACATATAAACGGGAACCTTACCAGCTAAGGAAGCATAGTACTCCAACTGCATCTTCTTAAGAATTGGGTAGTTTTTAGTGAGTACAATGTACTTACATGATTCACTAATTAAAGAACTAATTGTCTGTCTAAATCCTACGTAATACTTACCAGTCTTAATAACTAAAGGTAATTGGGCTGCTACTGTATTAGTATTAGTCTTAACTTTCTTACTCATACTAGGGAGATAAAAAAAATAGAATAATATGACTAAATCTTATGGCGAAATAGAACGTATCTTTATATCTAAGTTGATTAGAGTTGGTGGAGTAGAGTTGGATTGTTATAGACATAATAATGGAGTAATTGTTGTTTTAAGTACAGTTGATAATTTAAGGAAGCTTAAAGAAGTATCTTTAGGGGAGATAAGGAAGAGTTATCGGATTATTGAAATGGGGTTGGATTTAGAGTTAGAGAAGAGTTTGGATTTAGAGAAGAGTTTGGCTAAGTTTCCTAAGGAGTACTTGGTTGGGTTGATGCTTTTGAAGGAGTAGATGGGGTGGAGTTAGTATTGGGTGGGGTGGAGTGGAGTGGAGTTTGAGTTGAGTGGAGTTAGAAGAATTAGTTTGGTATTCAGTCTACAATGCTCTTAGCTAGTGAAGTATTTGGTTACTTTAGTTGAATTTTAGACGTTGTACACGTCATAATCAACTATGACGTTTTATTCAATAAATCTGAAGAGTGTCTAATTGGTTTTGATTGAGAATGACGGGTTGCCTCTTAGTAACACGATAAGCATAGAATATAATTGGTTTTAATTGTGTTAGTCTGTCTCTTCTAATAAATTGTCAGAGATTGAGTTATTATAATTGTTGTGAATTTTTCCAAATATTTCAATCCAATCCCTACTAATATTGTAAATAGTATGCTTTCTGATTTTCTTTTGGGAATTTCACTTAGTGTTTGTTTATTATCTTGTAAATCTAGATCTACATCAGTCTATTAGAATGTTAATTAGTAGACCGGTGGAGAACGAATCTATTTAAGAGAAGTAGTGTATTTAGATATGTTTAGGATACAGATATACCAGGACGCAATAGTAAGATAAGCAATGTAGTCTGATTTTATTAGGGTAGGATTGGGTTATGTGCCGACGAGCCAGAGTACCTGATACGTCACCTAATACAAACACTGACTTGTTTAAGAGTCAAGGATTGTACTATCTACAACCATCAAATAGACAAGAAAGTTAAACCTATCTAGATATCCACTCAGATATAATGATGATCATATGTGTTTTTATCTAGATAAGTTCATTATTGCTAATAAAAGCCTTTGATTAACTACTAATACAACTTGATTCAACTTTATTCAATCTAACTCAACTCAACTCAACACTAATACCAACTCAATACTAACTCAACTAAATAGACAACTAGTCTTCTTATATTTCAATAAAGACACTCTACAGTATCTAAATCATTTAAGAACACAATGAGAATCTAAATGATTATCTAATGGAGTGTTTTGATTTTAAAGTAAGTTAAGATGAAGTTAAGATGAAGTTGAGATTAAGATAAGGCAAATGTTATCTAAATCTAACCCAATACTAGCAAGAGAGTACGCAATTTTTTAATGTCATTTGCTTCTCTGTCAGATCGTACTAAGATAGCTATTCTAGCCGATGAAGCAACTATTACTGGATTTAAGCTTACGGGGATAAATGGATCGGAATGGAGTACTCAATCAACTTATGGAGTGTTTAACTATTTACATCCAATTTATGAGGATACAGATGAAGATGAATTACAAACTAAGTTTAAAATGCTAATGGAAAGAAAAGAGATAGCGATTGTTTTGTTGGGAAGAAAAGCCAAAGAGATTCTTAAGGAAGAGATAGCTAAGAAAATAGATATGTTTCCTTTGATTTTAGAAATACCTGAAAAGTCAGCTGAACCTTCAGCCGCCGAGATAGCCCTCATGACTAGATTAAGAGAATTAACTGGCAGTAAGTAGTTCAGATTGAGTTGGTTTGAGTTGGTATTGAGTTAGATTGAGTTAGATTGAGTTAACTAGTTAATAGAGATAGGTGTTTAGTTAAATAATTAGTTAAGTAATACAAGTAGTTAAGTTGATATTCTGTTATTATGTTATTATATTATTGTTAAGTTTGTATTAAGTTTGTATTAAGTTGTTATCAAATTAAGTATTAAGTTGCTATCATGTTGGTCTTAAGTTTGTATTAAGTTAATCTTAAGTTAATCACACGTGTAATTTAGATTAAAGAGGTTTAAGTTGAATGGGTGCTTATTTTAACGTTATCTAGTAATTGAAAACCATCTTTATTCGTTATGATTAACATTCAGTTGGTGTCCTGGTTTAGGACTTGGTGAATGTGTGCGTGTTTTGGACAAGTTAGTTAAGTAAGTAGTTGAGTAAGTAGTTAAGTAAGTAGTTGCACTGTTAGTTAAGTCGGCTCTTATCAAGATTATCGATAGGAATATCAAGGATGCTTTGAATACCGTTCTCATCAAGACGAGTTAGTAAGTCTGGATTAGGATGGATAGGGTTAGGGTGGATAGGGTTAGGATGAGTGCTGGTTTGGTCGGGAGGAGGAATAATGGCTGGATTGGGGGTAGTGGTGGGTGTAGGAGGAGTAGGAGTAGATGAAATAAGAGGATTAGATGGTGTTTCTGATCGGGTATGTAGGGGTTTAATGAGTTGGGTAAGGATAGAGTCATTAGGATCGGAGATTTCAGCTAGGGCAAGGACTTCTTGACTGGGGAAGTAGTAGTAATCGCCTAGTTGTTGAATGATCCATTCAAGTACGAGAATACGTCGTTCTTTTTCATCTGGAGATAAGGATTTAGTTTGTTTGAGACGGCGGATTTGAACGGCACATTTACGTTCTAGTTGACGATTGGATAATTCTTGTCTTTTGATCTTCTTTTCTGCTGCTCTTAAGTCACTTGTAGTGTTATCTAGAATTTTAGTTAGTTCGCCAATTCTAGTGGTTAATTCTAAGACTTTTACTCGTTGTAATCTTTCTAATTCTAAGACTTCTGTAATCTTTTGGTCTTTAGCATGCAACTCTTGCACTAACAAGTCATGAGTATCCATTAAAAATTAAAAAGGCCCATCTCTTCTACTTCTCTTCCTTATCTATTTCCTTATCTATTTCCTTATCTTATTTCCTTATCTTACTTATAAGTCTTAGAAATATTCATGGGTTATTTGTGTGTGGGAGATAATTTAGATAAAATGACTGTTGCTTGGGTTAGTAGTGATAACTGGGTTAAGTAAGAGTAGGTAAGAGTAGGGTAGGTAAGGGTAGTGCTGTCATACGATCACTAGCTAATACTAAGACAATACTAAGACAATACTAACACAATCAACCTGATTAATGGTAAGTTACTTACTAATAGCTATCAATTGATATTGCTACTAGCATGTGACTTTAATATAACCTGAATGCTCTAACCAATTTAGTTTTGCAGACCTACGATATACTTTGATATGACGTCATCCTTACACCATATTTATTGAATAAATGGCATCTGCACTTAACTCAAGGCATGTCTTTAATAGAGTATGTACTGGTTAAGATGGAGTTGAGTTGGTATTGAGTTGGGTTAGTTAATGATTGCTTTTATTAAGATATGGCAAATTGGGGTGGGGGAGATGTTTCTGATGCCTCGGCAAGGTCGTTGATAAGTTGTCTGAGGGATGTTATGCTGTCGGTTGAGTTGGATTTAGACGGGTTTCGATTGGATTGGCAAAGGGAGAGTCCAACTGAGCCGTCCTCGTTTGGCTCGGCAGAAGTATCGGTGATTTGAAGTGTAAAAAGAGGAATTAAGGTGGGGTGGGCAGCTAGTAGTCGAGCTTCAATATCTAGGGCATCCTTATGGACATATTGGGAAAGTGGGCAGAGTAGTGAAATGCACTGGACCGCATGGTGGTAGTTATAGCCAAAGATAAGATAGGATATGAAAACATCAAAGGAAAAGGTTACAGCTAAGGCAGTGGGTTGAATGTTGGGGTTGGGGTTGGAGTTGTTGTTTGGTATATATCCAGTAAGATCAGCGACAACAACACTTGAGGGCGGGCCTGGAGGGTCCGTTTCTTTGAAAGGCTTAGTACTAATAAATAGCAACTTGCAAGTTGGGACTGGTTTATCTTTCTGAGTCAGGGGTGGTAGATATAGAACTGCATTGGAGTATGGAAGAACCAGTCTAATACTATAATTGTTCTGCCAGTTCATATTGGTAAGAAAGTCGATCTTATCGAGTGTAGGAGAATAGAGGCCTAAAATAATCAGTGGCAGGCGGGATAATAAGGGCCAAATAACCTGCTGAATAGTTGCGGTAAGATAGCAAATATACAATGTAATAGAGTATGTTAATTGTTCGGCAGTTGGGAAATAACCTTGTATCGCCTGTTCTAGCTGCTCAATTTCATATAGGGAAGGGTTTGTGATTAAGCCGGTCGTTTTCTGGAATGGAGATATACTAATCACAAGTGATGGACTCTCATTATCCGTTGGATAAAAATCAACCAGAGATAAGAGTTTGCCTAAGATAGGAAGACTGTAGATTACATCAGGAGTTAGAATAATAATATGGGTGACATGGAATTTGAATAGGCTGAAATTAGATAGCACACTGTGTAATTCTCTTAAAGAATCTCTAGTCCAGTTTTTAGATAACCGAACCATATATTTCTTTTGAGGGTTATAACTAACCAGTTCAAACCTATTGGCAACCATAGTACTTGTTGACAAATATAAGTTGGTTCGGAAACATTCCATTTCTGTCTTGTTGCTTCTATTAGACTTCCGCAACAGAATCTCATAAAGGCACTTAATCTCATTACTTAAAATAGACTCGAGTATATCATCATCGTTCTCCACAGCATTCCAACGATCTTCATCTTCACCATACAAACCAGACATGCACTGATTTCTACTTTGATTGTCATTTCCATTTACAACCCACTCACCATCCCTATCCCTATCCCCTTCATCAACATCATCTTCTTCTTCATCTTCATCATCTTCATCACTAACAACAACATCATCGCCAACACTACTACTATCATCAACAACAACAACTTCTTCTTCTACTTCACCAACAAAAACAGTATCGCCAGCACTACTATTATCATCAACAACAACAACATCATCGTCAACACTACTACTATCATCAACAACAACAACTTCTGCTTCACCAACAACAACAGCATCATCATCACTAACAACCACAATAACATCCTCATCGCCAACAACAGCAACATCATCATCATCACCAACAACATCATCTCCTATGAGTGCATCCATTGACTCATCCGCCATTATTAGCCCACTTGCTTGGAAAGTTTGAGTTTCCTCGGGGTTTGATATTGAGTTGGTTTTGGGTCCAGGCAGATCAATAAAGGTATCCGGAGTAGTATTATTTAGACTATTATGCCCGGCAGGCTTCGGCGGCTTTAAATTAGGTTTATTTTGGACGGGCATTAACTTGATCTGGTTTACTACATCTTCCAACTCATTCATTTCAGACATATGTTCTGGCTCCATTTGTCTAGTCTCTAAAGAATGATTGAGATTCTTGAGGCCATCTAACAATCTCTGTATCTCTTTTTGCCAAGCTTGTAAATAATCCGGCCGGCTTGTTAGTTTTGAGACTAATTCAGGTATTTGCTTAACTATCTCTTCTTTTTGAATACCAATAAACTTCAACTCATTCAGTTTTGTTTGGGCCGCTTGCAAACTAATCGATATCTGTTCGTTTTGCCGGGCTAGCTCATCACATAAAGCACGTGTTTCTATCTCCTCTGTAACCCATTGAGTAATTGTTTCTGTATTAGCTCGGTGCAACTTCCACAAGACCTCTACCACCCGTTTAGATAAGTCACGTTGTTGCATAAACTTCTCATAAACACAATGTCTTGTACCCCAACAACCCATCACCAATCCAACACAACCCAAGACAACAATCCGATAAATCCACAAACAGCGGCTAAAACTTCCAACCATTCACCAACCACTATCTTTTTATTCTATTTATACTCTACTTTTTGATATACGTCATCTTAACTTAACTCAACTTAATACTCAACTCAACTTAATACTCAACTCAACTTAATACCATCACTAGTACCTTTATTAGTTCTATATAACTGTCCTATTGAGTTGGTATAGTATAGTGTGATGTAGTATAGTATAAGTTAGTGTAGTATAGTATAAGTTAGTGTAGTATAGTGTAGTATAGTGTAGTATAGGTAGTGAGCAAGTTAATCATGTAGTAAGTGACTAGTACTTGTTTGTCAACTTAACCCAACCTAAACTTAACACAATACTAATCTAATCTAAACTCAACCCAATACCAAACTCAATACTACTCAACACCAAACACAATCTAATCTAATCTAAACTCAACCCACCCCACCTAATCAAAACCCAACCCCACCTAATCTAATCTAAACTAATAAGTAACCTTTATTCGCTTATCGGTACGACTTCTGGTATCTCGCACGAGCACCAGGTCCTCCCGCCTTCTTTGGCTCCTTACGCCTTGAATCGGCCACCAACATAAACCGGTCGTACTTAGCAATCACTGCCTTAAGCTCACTTTGCACTTGCTCATCAATAAACTTACCATAAAAGGCTAATAAACCCTTAGCAATAGATTGTCTAATAGCGTACATTCTAGTGACGTCACCACCACCACGTACTGATACTTTAAAGGCTAAGTTCTCATAATACTTCCGGTCTAATAACATAAAGACTTCCATAACTTTAGATCGCAACATTTGTGGCTGCATTAAAGCAAAAGGCCTATTATTAACGATTACTTCGTGCTTATCTGACTTAGTACAGATACATTGGGCAATGGCTCTTTTTTTAGATCCTTTAGCAACTACACTAGCAATACTCATGACGGGGGGAGTAAAAAATTAAAAAATAAGCATATCTAAGCCGAGTAGATAGATATTAGAGGATAAAGTAGGAGTAGTATTTAAGTTAAATAGATGTATAGTTTGGAAATAAAGTAAAGATAAAGATTACCTAAAAAGGAAATAATTGCGTTCTTATAATTGTGAAATTTAAAATTACCATATCGGGTAATTTTTGGAAAATTAACTATGACATTATAATTGGTTTTTTTATTTTAGCCACCCAGGGAGATGAAACATAATCACGCATTATCTACTGGACATTTTAGAAAGACTTCTTTGCGTTATAAGACTTGGTTTAAACAACCGATTCAAAAGCGAATTAGACGGGAGCGAAGATTGGAAAAGGCAAAAAAGATAGCACCTATGAATGTTGAGCAATTAAGACCGGTTGTACGTTGTAATTCACGTCGTTATAATATCAAGGAGAGATTAGGACGTGGTTTTTCTTTTGCGGAAGTGTCTGCTGCTGGTTTAACGGCTACTCAGGCTAGAGAGTTAGGTATTGCTGTTGATGGCCGGCGGTACAGTTACTCTGAGGAGGGAGTAGCACGTAATGTAGCTCGGATTAAGGAGTACTTAAGTAAGACGACTGTGTTTGCTTCAATGAAGGAGGCTCGTGAATCTGGTATGGAGCAACATCGTGGAGTTATTATGCCGGCTGTTCGGGCTAAGCCAGTGATTGAGTTTGTGCCGCGTAGTGAGGTAGTGGCGGAAGCAACTGCTTGTGCTACTATGAATGCCTTGCGTAATGAGTGTATTTCTCGACGGGCCTCTAAGGAGAAGTCAGGATTGCTCCGAGAGTTCCCCATGACGAAGAAGTAAGACCTTGCGTATCTTAATCACTATCAATAAATCGTATTGGGTTATTTTGAGTTAAGTATTGAGTTGAGTTAGTATTAGGTAGGTTGATGTGAGTATTAGGTAGGTTTATGTAAGTATTGAGTTGGTATTAGCTAAGTAGGTACTAAGTTAAGTTTATGTAAGTATTGAGTTAAGTATGTAGTAAGTTAAGTTTATGTAAGTATTAGTTAAGTATGTACTAAGTTAAGTTTATGTAAGTAAGTAGTAAGTTGAGTTTATGTAAGTATTAAGTGTTGCACGCCAATCTTGTAACTCGCCGAACTTGAAACTTCAAAACTATTTGCCGAAAGCGAAGCTCGTCATATTCCATTATAACCTGCTATTCAGGACCATAGACATGCTTGCCCTCTTTTACAGTCGATGCTATTGGAGAACAGATAAGATATAAAGGTTTGACATATACTCCTTGTAAATATTGAGTTATTTGTGTGGTCTCTGCTACAGCTAGTGTTGCTCTTAACATATCCAGCCCAACCACTAATCCAATACCAATCCAATACGACCACTACTAACCCAACCCAAAGATCTACCTGATGTTTTGCCAGCTAATTACGCCTTGCAACTTTAATAGAGTCAATCTGATTCAACCAATTTAGTTTTACATATCTACCCTACAATTCAATATGACGTCATCCACACACAACCATATTTATTTAACAAATCACATCGATACTCGTCTCAAGAAATGTCTTTAATAGAGTCGGTGTTGGCCAATGAACCCTATCCAACTCATGGTCATGGGAATACTAAAATGCCATCGGACACCTCTAATGAAGTGCCTAAGAGCTTGCCATCCTATTGGGTTGAAGGTATTCAGTAAGGCCTGTAACATAAACCTTTGCGGGGCTGTTAGACGGTCGTTTGCATTTTGGAAGGTTAGTATTAATAGCTAGGCATTCACAAAACGGGAGATCTTTGCCTTTCGCGGTCCTGGCTCTGCAAATCAACATTGTTGAATGATGACTCCAAAGAAGGGCAAGTTATATACGGCAAAATGATAAGAATCTCAAGAGGTTCCTTCATAGCATTCAACTTTGAGTTTTCGAACAGTGTTAAGAGCTGGGTTAGGACTAATAAACCAGCAGGGCCGCGAGGATTCGATATCTCAACACTTTCCGCATTGAGTATGATTTTACTGAACTTCTTTAAGACATCTAGTAACTTCATCAGTTCACTTTCTTCCCAATCAAGGTTCAGACAAACCCAATCTTTATCTTGCAACGCAATGCCAGATAGTCCATACTCTCTGGGTTGATTAGCTTCGTTGATATCAAACATTCTCCAAACAGGAGTGGATCTGAATCCATAGTTGCTTCTGCTACTTATAAACTTCCAGAGAAGCTTTTCTTGCTCTGAGTCTAACTTAGTATACAACCCTGTTGATCCAACTCGGATAGTTGAATTATATCGTCATCAGAAGACGATGTAGAATCTTGATAAACAAATTCACTAGTGAGTGAAGTTTACCGTCCATGCCTGCTTCGTTAGTTTGGGGATTGCTTGATTAAGCTCTTGAATTAGAGGGTTCGGGATCTGTGGGCTTCTGTTTACTTTCACTTTCACTTTTGACTTCCGTGTTTTTAGATGTACCATCAAGTTGAGCTAGCGTTTTTTCAATTATCGTAGATATGATGTCGGGGCTTTTGAGTTTATCATTTATCAATACTTGATCTATCACTGAATCCACAACTTGAGTTATATTGTCCCGGTCTAACGTATTAATATTAGGTCTTATTTTGATTAGTTCTGTTACCATGATCGTAACGAATCGGCGTTTTAATTCATGGGAATCGCATAAGGCGCCTATTGCGATTAGATCAATTTCAATTCTGCTTATTTTTGGATTGGGGAATTGATTTTGTGGGCCCGTTAAGTCACTCGTAATTTGCTGTATTGGTTCTATCATCATTGCTAGCTTACCTATGCTCTCCCTTCGCGATTTCTCTGGCATCTGGATATTCTCGCATTTAGATAACCATTGTTCCATTTGTTGGATAGCTATATTAAGACTTTCCTGTATTAATTCTTCTTTAACTAGTTCAGATATCACCTTAATCTTCTTCTGTTTGAACATATCCTCTAATTTGTCAAGGCCGCTGGGATTGCTTTGGATTGACTCCAAGCCCGTATAAAGCTGTTGTTCTTGTTCCATGAGGCCCTGTTGGCCCAGCTTTATTCGATCTATTCGCATTGCTCGTTTATTCTTTAAGTCTTTCAGCTCGTTTATTGCATTGGTTATCTCATCATAAACCGATGCTAGTTGACTATCTATATATAACATGTCTTCTTTAGATGGACCAAACAACCCCATCTCATCTAAATCCTCACCAGCACTACACCAGACACAACACAAACCAATAACCAAGCAAACTACTTGATAAACATTCAAAGAGTATTCATTTAACCTTTTGTTCATTTTACAATTTGCTATCTCACATTTTATTTATAATCTATACTATATCAATATCAAAAATATTCTAGTCTTAGCCAAGCAAATTCTCTAAATTAGTAGAATATCAAAAAGACTTACTTTCTAAGTATGTCTATTCAATACCAACTGTGGTGTTTGTACGATTCCCTACACATCTTTAATGAGATTCTCAACTCATTTCTACTTTTAGACGAGTAAGTACATATAATGTAGATATTTATTCCTTACTACTTTAGATAAGCTAAGATATTCCAAAACCAACTCAATCTTGTTATCACTTGTTTCAGGGTATAAATATACGACGAAGATTGATAAGGGACTTTCTCAGACTTCCAGGAGATACATGAAGGATTCGCACAGAACTATATCAGGTCTAGAAACGACTCAGACTCGCATACCAACTCAATACTAACCCAATTTGTCTTTCGTTGAGTATATTTGGATGAGAGGTCCTATACCTCCGCTGGGGCACAACAGTAGGTATTAGTTAAGTTTATGTGCGTGTTAAGTAAGCACTAAGTTAAGTTAAGTAAGTACTAAGTTAAGTTTATGTGTGTATTAAGTAAGTACTAAGTTATATAAATGGTAAGACAAATTAGCTTAACTTAACTCAATCTAAGTAGTTGAGTAAGAACGGGTAGTAAACTAAACCAGCTAATAAAGAAGAGACCTACATAATTACGGCCTAACTTAACTTAATCCTAACTTAATACTCTATTAAAGATAGTACTTGAGATAAGTCTGGGTACCATTTATTGAGTATGTATTGGGTGAGTTGAAATAAAATGACGTCATATTAAGTTAGTATTAGTTTAGTATGTAGTGAGTACTACTAAGTTAGTATGTAGTGAGTACTAAGTAGTGAGTAAGTAGGTCATAAACCAACTCAACGTAATACTTATCTTATCTTAATAAAGTGTTAATGAGTATGCTTTTATTGGGTTATACGCACTAATGAGTGATAGACAACTATCACTTGTTTTCATGCTCAGTAGAGATAGGTAGATATAAGTGGACTACTTAAGAGTCAGTGATTTACGGGCTAGAACATCCCGGCCAAAGAACTTACAGGAAATCAACCGAATGTCAATGATAACTCTCTTCTGAGTAGATAGAGTTTGTAAGGCAGGTAGTTTAAAAAGGACTTCTGTATCACAAGGACCAGGAGTAAATGGTGGTGAGTTAGCTAGAGGTACACCATTTACTTCAACTACAACTGCCCAGTCGTAAGTCTGAGGTACTCGACATAAGGGAGCATGAACTGGTAAACAAGTTGTATGTCGTAATAGAACAGGAGCCTTCTCCAACTCAACCGGATTAAGTTCAGGACAGAGATCTGTTTCCAGTAAAGAAAGATCACCAAAATCTATCTCTTCCCGGCGCAATCTCTTATGCACAGGCGCCTTATACCCCGTCTGACTACCTTCTTTCGTAATAACCACCCGAAGATTAGGATTAAGACTACCAGTAATGTACTCTTCCTTAGTAATGGGACCTTCAACAGTCGTATACAAATCAATAGCTGTAATTTTAGCCTTAAACATACTTTGATCTACTCTTTGATCAGCAGCTGATTTAACTAACTCTTCTTTTTTACCTTCAAAACAATTGATAAACGTATCAGTAAATGAAATATCAGGATACTGCATCTCCCAATACTTCACATCAGGTACAGATTGAACTACAGCTCTTTCTAAATCGTACCCTAAATAGTAAATCTCCTTCTGTTTCAATACTAAACTAATCATCCGAATAGCTTTAGCCCCTTTTAACAAGATATCCTGAGCATACCCAATATCATCCTGATGTAAACTAGCTAAGACTTGTTCATTACGTAAACATAACATACTAAATCCAATAACTACTCCCATCCTCTCCTCATTACTACTTAAAGGAATAGTACATTCACTCACTAGAATACTTACTAAGTGCTTAAGATTACTACTAGGCGTCCGCCACTTATACTCACTCAGTTCAAAACAGTCTTCAGCCAGCCATTCCACTAATGTATTCAAGGTAAAACACTTCTTGACTCCTTTCATGCGCTGGTAAAGTCTTTCAGTACTCCGATACTCTAAACCCACCGCCGCATAGTTAAAGGATATCTTCCAAATAGCCGAAACTACTCGGGGCAGAATTACGCCTAGTAAGACCAAATAAACAGCCAACATAAACCCAGCTGAACTCTTCTTCATTGCCCAAGCCGGAATAGCCACTACATGACTTTCCTTCTTCTCACCTTCCCCAAAGTTATCCCAATTCTCCCGCAACTTAGCATCACTTAGGGTCTGGTGGGCCCGAATGACTTCCTGTAAGACTTCTTTACTCTTACGTCTATCTCTGACTTTAAACTTCGTCTCCCGCAGTTTCTCGCGATAAGCCTTCTCAATACCAGCTGCTCCCACTGCCTTAGCTACTCCCAGGACCTTATACGGATCAAAAGTCCCACTACGACCATACTCCCTAACTATGATATTTCGCAAAGGTAAAACTAACAAACAACAAGCACTCCAAAAGATAATCTGCCACCAATTGAGTCCCCGACTACGTTTAACTCCTCTCTGACACTCACTACAACCACAGATAAGAGATTTTATCTCTTTCTTGCTAAAAGCCCGGGAATAAGTCCCAAGGACTATAGGAACTAATAAACCAACTGCTAGAAGGGAAGAAGAGACCCCACTACTATCGTACTCGTACTTACTATGCATAATTAGACCAAGTAAATTAAATAATTTATAGATGTCAGAAACACTCAAGAAGTCATTTGGCCAACATCTATTAAAGAATCCAGGTATCGTATCAGTTTTAGTAGATAAAGCCCGAATTAGACCTTCAGATACAGTTTTAGAGATAGGACCAGGAAGTGGAAATTTAACACTTAAATTATTAGAAAGATCTAAAAGAGTAGTAGCTATCGAAACGGATAAAAAGATAGCAAGTGATTTACTTAAACGGGTGGGACAAAGACGGCAAAAATTACAGTTGGTGATTGGTGATGCAATTGAAGTTGATTTTCCGGAATTTGATTTATGTGTGGCCAATACGCCCTATCAGATAAGCAGTCCTTTGACTTTTAAGTTGTTAAAATGTCGGTTTAGAGCGGCTGTTCTAATGTTTCAACGTGAATTTGCTTTACGTTTATGTGCTTCGGTAGGAGATTCTTATTACTGTCGCTTATCTGTTTCTGTGCAGATAAGGGCTAATGTGCAACATGTTATGAAAGTATCTAAGAAGAGTTTTAGGCCGCCTCCTAAGGTAGAGTCAAGTATTGTCCGGATTGAGCCTAAACGGGAACAGCCTAATATAGACTTGAATGAATTTGATGGACTAGTTAAGATCTGTTTTAGCCGGAAGAACAAAACAATCGGATCAATCTTTAAGCAGAATGCTATTCGTAATCTCTTATTCAAACGTAGTTCTACTACTACTGCTAATTTACTAGTCAGTCCAACTGAAGATATGGAAGTAGAACTACTAGAAGAACCAGAATTACCAGAAGAAGAGTCCAAACTAACTCCTGAACAAGAAAATGCCCTAACTCAAGCCCTAACCAGCAGTCAACTAGAGAAAGAACGAGCGGCTAAAATGACTCCTGAAGACTTTCTCTTCCTACTTATCAAGTTCAAAGAGAATGGCATATCTTTTGCCGCCTAATTAAATCAAGCATTACTTTACTTATCTTATCTTATCTTTACTTATCTTATCTTATCTTTACTTATCTTATCTTATCTTTACTGTAGTACTGTCATACGGCCACTACTCAACTCAATACTAACTCAATACTAAACTAATACTAACTTAATATGACGTCATCTTATTCCAACACACCCTTATTTATCTAATAAATGGTACCAGCATTTATATCAAGGAATGTCTTTAATAGAGTTAAGTATTATGTTGGTATTCGGTTGGTATACTTACTTATCTTTACTACTCAATTCAATACTTAACTTAACTTAACTTAGTCCATTTATTAACACCATCCAATACTCAACTTATACTTAACTTAACTCAATACTCAACTTATACTCTACTCAATACTAAACTTTACTCAACTCAATACTCAACTCAATGCTAAACTTAACTCTACTCAATCTAAACCCAACCCAATACTTAACTCTACTCAATACCCAACCCCACTCAATACCATACCATACCATACTTAACTCAATACTCAACTTATACTTAACTTATACCCAACTTAACTCTACTCTACTCAATACTTAACATCAACTTAACTCAACTCAACTCTACTCTACCCAATACCATACCACCCAATACATCACACCACCCAATACCAACTCAACCCCACTTAATACTTAATTCAGAAGAATCCTCCGATCAACTCAACCTAAAATTTCAGTATAGTCTTCAACCCAATGAACCAACTAAATCCAACTATTAACCAAGTCTAAATATTTACTTATCTACCTCTTATCAACATAATACAATCTTAACTACTATTTTAACTTTTATTTTTTAGCCCTGTAATGGTTAACTATCCCAAAACAAGAAGAACTCATTGCCAAAGCTGTAATAAGCATGTAGTGCATAAAGTATCTCTATATAAGAAGAGTAAAGAAAGACCTTTAGCTCAAGGGGCTAGAAGGTATAAGCGTAAACAGAAAGGTTTTGGAGGTCAAACTAAGCCTATTCTACACCGAAAGGCTAAGACTACTAAGAAAGTAGTTCTGAAGATGGAATGTTCTACTTGCAAGCGTAAGCAGTGCAAAGTCTTTAAGAGGGCTAAACACGTTGAAATTGGTGCCCAGAAGAAGGCTAAGGGTGAAGCTCTTAACTACTAATGATAATAAATGAGTTAGTCTTTAGATTAGATTGTGTTGGTGTTTTGATTAGATATGGGTTGTGTTGGTGTTTTGATTAGATAGTCTTGGTGTTTTGTTGTGTTTTGATTAGATTAGATATGGGTTGTTATTGTATTGTGTATGTATATGTAAGCAACTTATCTTATCTTAACTTAACTCAATACCACATCATACCACACCATACTTAACCCAATACCAGACTCAACACCACATCATACTCAACATCATACTTAACATAACTCAATACCACACCACACCACACCATACTCAACTTAACTCAATCCAATGTGATATAGGAGGGAGTGATGGATGGGGGATGAATTTTTCACCGGTGGTTGTGGGTGGCGAAAGGGTGGAATATCCTTTGGAATGGATGTATGGAGAGTTGATGGTTTCGGCTGAAAGTGTGTTTCAATTAGTGCGGGGGATAAAGGATCCGGAACATGATTATAGTTTAGAAGAATTACGGGTGGTTGAGTTGGAAAGAGTAGTAGTTGATGGTTTAGAGGTGAAAATTGGGATTGTACCAACTATTCCTCATTGTTCAATGGTTGGTTTGATTGGATTAAGTATTCTCTTTAAGTTAAGTCGGATTCTTAACAGTCGGTACTTAGTGAAAGTTCAGATAGAACCGGGTACACATATGCTAGAAGAAGAAGTTAATAAGCAGTTATTGGATATAGAAAGGACTTTCTCAGCCTTTATTAATCCGGCTATTCAAGCGACTTTATTAGAGTTAATTAGTGCGAGTTAAGATGGCATCAATTTATTAAATGGTATTAGGATTGAACTGGATTTAAATTTGGTTGGGTTTGTTTTAAGATTAAGTTAAGTTTGGGTTGTGTTTTGTTTTGATTTGATTTGATTGAGTTAAGATAAGATTGAGTTAAGTTTGGGTTAGATTGAGTTAAGTTGTGTTATGTGAAGCTATGTGAAGTTAAGAAGGTAGATATAGATAAGTAAGTAGACAAGTAAGTATATAAACACCAACTAACATAATACTTAACTCAATCTAATCAAAACCCAACACAATCTAATCTTATCTTAAGTGAATTGGTAGTTATTTGCGGGAGTTGTACCGGATGAATGAATAGCGGCGGTTCTTGAATAGGAAGTAGAACGGGATGAGAAGAAGACATAGGAAAAGGATAAGAATTAGACCATCATAAATGATGGAGTTGTATGTGTGATTGGAGTTAATAGTTGGGAAGAGTGAACTTTGGTGGGGAAGAGGTGTGATTTGATTGGGAATTGATTGGAAGAAGGTTTTGAGTGCTTGGGATGTATAGTTGGTTCTTTCAATAAGTTGGGAGATGTACCCGGCTGTGTAGGCAGCAGAAAGACTTGTGCCTTCTTCTTGGCGGTAATGAGGAGTTGTACTGGTGGTTGTTGAGGAATTAGTTTGAGTTTGACCAACTGTAACTAAACCTGGTGAGTAAGCATCAGTACAAGTACCTTGGTTAGACCAACTAGATACTTGGTAAGTATCGGTTAAACTACTAACTGTTAAGGCATAAGCCGACCGACCAGGACTAAATTGGCAAGAATTACTACTATCATTACCAGCTGCAGCTACTACATGAACATTCCGATCAAAGAAGTGTTTAAGAGCTCCATCCAAAATATCCGAAACTTCACCAGAGAAGGGTAAGAGTACAACTGAAACCCAAGGAACTACTTCACTAGCAACTCTTTCTAACCCCCAAAGAATATCACTTAAGTATCCCAAAGACCGATCAAAGACCGGATAAACATAAACTTGAGCTTCTTTCCCTAATCCCGTTGTCTGACCAGCCGCCGCCGTAACAACCGAAACCACATGTGCATCCAATGGCAAGTTCCTACCTAGTACTTTCTTCACTCGTACTCTTCCTTCTATTTCCGGATGGTTAAACACTCCATTAGTATCCAGCACATGAATACTAACTCCACTACCAGTCTCTAAACTAGCAGCATAAACATACATATCTCGGTACCACTTAAACCAAAAAGACTTCCGCACCAAGTAACTATTCCGTACGTACTTACTAACTACTCTATTCCACCAACCACTACCCAACCAACTAGACTCAGCCATTCTACTGACATAGAAGTTATCAGGAATACCTTTCTGTAAGTAACTACTCCGATACTTCTTATCCGGTTCTATCCCCACCACCTCCACTCCTAATTCAAGCATAACCTTCTGCCACCGATTTAACTCACCCCCACAAATACTGATCCCCCGCATTATCCGGTCATAAACATAAACCAACCGACCACCATTACTCTGTACCTTTCTTCTCACCTCCTCAACTTTCAACCCATCCATCCGACTCCCCACTTCTATCACCCAACACCCCCGCCGTTCACCATCTCTATCTCTATTTCTACTACTATTTCTACTACTACTATTTCTATTACTACTATCTCTATTACCATTTCTATTAGTAGTATTGCCACCAGTTAGTTGAGTAGTATTCCTACTTGTCTTACCATTACTTACTTGATTACTACCATCTCTAATACTATTAACATTACTATTACTATCTCTAGTATTAATATTACCATTACCTACTTGAATACTACTATCTCTACTACTACTACCATTACTATCTCTAGTACTACTACCAGCACCATTACTATCTCTAACATTAATACTACCATTACCCACTTGAACACCAATATCTCTAGTAGTACTATCTCTACCAGTACCATTACCATTACCAGTACCAGTACTATCTCTAATACCATTAACATTACCAGTACCCACTTGATTACTAGCTAAGGTACTAGATACATTATTACCCACCTGAATACTACTATCTCGACTATCACCACCACTCACACCACCACCACTCCTATCATAATGAATGATTTTCTTAATACCCTTATCGCTTAAAATTACCGTTATCTCATCCCCAAAGAATCTAACTGCTATAACACTACTGACATAAAGCAACCAAGACTTCCTCATGCCATCAACACCGCTACTTGTTTTAAAGAGACTGATCATTTATTGGCTTATTTCCTTGACGTGTTTCTTCTCCTCCTGGAAGAACGACTTAAGAATCCTTCCTTCTACACACTTAGCACAAATACTACCACCATGCACTCGGTTAACAGTCCTTTGAGACTTAGTCTGTCGGGCAAAGTCTACTGGTCTCATAGGAAGAATACCTTGTAATCTTTCCTTGCAATCTCCACACTTTTGATAACTACCAGCCTTCTTCTGTTTAACATGAATTAACTTTCCTTTTTTGTTCTTCACTAACTTCATAATATTACTTGGTGTAACATAAGGATTGTATCCTGCTCTAACTACTCTTTCAGCCATTTACAAGGCCTAAAAAATATAAAAATATACATTGAGTTAGTATTGGCTTATTATTTAGATAGTAGTTGGTGAAGGAGATAAGATTTAGATGGATAGTTGTGATTGTTAAAAAATAAGATAGACTTAGGGGTTAAGGTTGTTTTTTGTTTCAAAATTATCTTATCTTTAGGTTAGTAGATTAAAATATATAATTGATATTAGAATTGGTGTTGAGTTGGTTTGGGATGGGGTTGGTGTTGGGTTGGGTTGGTGTTGGGTTTAGGTTAGGTTAGGGTGGTGTTTAGATTAGATTAGTAGTAAGTTGAGTTTAGATTATATTAGATTAGTAGTAAGTTGAGTTGAGATTATATTAGTAGTAAGTTGGGTTGAGATTAGTAGTAAGTTGAGATTATATTAGTAGTAAGTTGAGATTGTGTTGATTTGAAGTATAGAGTTGATTTGAAGTGGTGGTGGGTTTAGTAGAATAGGATATTAGGGTGTTCTATTGGGTTAGTGCGTAGTCAGTAGTTATGTTCTGGGCTGGTAGATCTTGGAATAGATCTAAGATTTAGTATAGGATTTGGGTTTAGATAAACTAATAGATACGGCTGATACAGAAAGATCAGTGGTTGACTCTGGGTTCGTTTTACTCACGAGCTTAGACTGTCTTCGCAATAACCTACTCTATCCACTACTAAATACTAACTAAATACTAACTCAAGCTAAGCTAATAAATCTGTTGGTATTGGGTTTGTACCCGTATCGTAAGACGTATCGTAATACGTATGTAATATATAAATAGATAGATCAAGTATGGTGTGGTTGCCTTCTAAGTTAGAATAAGTCGTGTTTATGGGGTGAGTATTGAGTTAGAAGAGTAGTTAAGTGAATTGGTGGGATTGCTTTTATGAAGTACTTGATGGAACAGTGGCGGGTGGAGAAGGAGTTAGTTGAGGTAGTGGGATTAGAGTTGTTTCAAGAATTAGAGTTGGTTGAAAGAGTTGGAGATAAGTGGCAACTAATCTATACGTACAGTAGTACATTAGCCGTTCTGCTTTGGATTAGTACTGAATGCTTATACGATAAACTCGGACTGAATGATAATGAATGTGCCCATAAAACCCAACTGTATCTAGAAGAGATGCATAAATACAATCGGATCAAAGACACGGCAGAAGAAATCATTGGATTACTAGCCGATCGAGCTGGAGTTAGTTTGGCCGAAATGAGACAGAAGTACGCTATAGAGGCAGTCGATGGAGAAGAAGAGGAGGAGATTGGATTAAGATAAATAGGATTGAGGTGGTGTAGACTAGAAGGTAACGGATGTATCCGCTTTGGTCCAGTGGCTAGGATCTCGCCCTCTCACGGCGATGGCCGGGGTTCGATTCCCCGAAGCGGAAATCCTTTTTGCAATTTTAGCTGGCTTGTTGCTATCAATGTTCGTATACGATGAATTAACTGCACTAGACTTACTTGATGTCAATTTGGTGAACTTAGATGCTATGACAGCCTCTTTTTCCTTGGAGTTCTATACGAGCTACTTTGAATCGCATAATCAGCACTGTATGGCTGTTAAGACAGATGGTAGTGTGGTGGGATATCTCTTTGGGTCGACGGGTAAGTATATGAAGAGTGAGACTAAGTATGCACATGTAACGGCTTTAAGTATTGCGCCAACAGTAAGGAAGTGTTGTTTAGGCAGTGGGTTAATGGAGTTGTTTGAAAGGAATGCCAGTGAGGAAGAATCGGTGTTTATTGATCTGTTTGTGCGCTGTTCTAATAAGAGTGCAATTGCTTTCTATACCAAACACGGGTATGGGGTGCATAAGCAAGTGCCTGGGTACTATATTGAACCGGCTGAAGATGGTTATGATATGAGGAAGTATCTTAAAGGGCAAGTTGAGGTGGGTTGAGGTGGGTTGATAATAAAGATTAAGTTTGGAATGGATTTATTTGAAGATAGGCTGATAGCTACATGTTGGGCTGGGTTAAGTGGTTGCGGTAGTGGTAGATGGCGTAGGTGTTGGAGGATTAGTGGTGGTTGTGGTGGTAGTGGTTGGGCCAGGTGGAGGAGGAGTAGTGGTAGTATCTGAGCTAGCTGGTGGAGGAGTAGTGGTAGTATCTGGGGTAGCTGACGGAGGAGGCTTGGTAGTATCTGAACTGGGTGGTGGAGGAGTAGTAGTATCTGAACTGGGTGGTGGAGGAGTAGTGGTAGTATCTGAGCTGGGTGGTGGAGTATTGATACTTGGGTTTGAGTCGTTAGCTTCAGGGGGGTTTTTAATAAGGTCATTGATGATAGTGGCATTTATAATATGATTAATTACCTCTTCGTTTAGCTCAAGCGTGGTGGGTCGAATGATTTTGAAGATAAACATGGGATCAGCACGGGAGTCCTGTTTGCGATGGGCGAAAATCAAAAGAAGAACACCAACACCCAGAGTAATGAGACTAGCGAATAAACATACCTTGTGGTAAAAAGGCCCTTTGGCCTGGATAAGGACTTTGAGCTGCTCGAGTTTGGTGGTGTACTTGGTAATGCTAATACCAAAGGAAACCCATAAGGCGGCAGTGATTAACAAGTAAGCAAGGACAAAGGGCAGAACACACAACAGTTGCCAAAAGATAGATCCTTGTCGAGAGAGAGCGCGGGCTAGGCCAATAAGAATGGTTGTAAGAAGAACCAAGGTTAGTGACAGACCAAAAAGACATCTTTGGCCGAAACTTCGGGACTCTTTAAAGATACTATCGTTGAGGCATGTATGGATGGCATAAATACTGGTGACCGCAAAGGAAACCGCCATAGCCGAGAATGATATTTCCTCGCGAATCGTGAACTTGAAGAAGAGCGAAATCACAATGAGCAAGGCCGAAGGAATAAGAGTAACCAGAAAACAAAGGAAAGTTTCCTGGATGGCCAAGACCTCAGGCGCCTCATTAAGTCCGTCAAGCGCATAGGAGAAGATAAAGTTAAGAATGACCGAGTAAAGACACACAATTAAGAAAGTTGAAACTATGATTTCCATCCCAATGCTTTTGTAGTAGACAAGGACAATACAGTTGACGAATGCGAGAGAGGCAACAAAAGCAATAAGTCTAGAGATAAGATTGCTATTCGACCAAACCAAGTTCATAATAATTGATACCACTAAGGCTAAAACAAAGATACCGCATGGCAAGTAGGGAAACAGTTTGTTTTTGGTGTAATATTCAAAGATAGCTAGAATAAAACTACAGATCAACCCGATACCAAGCACAACAATTCCTTTCGTCTTTTCTCTCTCCTTAGGAGTAGATACTGAGTCGCTGGGGGACTTTGTGTCCGTTTTATGAACACTCTCCATTTTAATGATCGTTAGAACGAAGAGCCAATATACCTCTATTTATTTCATTGGCCTATCTAAACGTAGTTGTAAATTGGTGGCTTAAGGCGGCCTTTGATTGGCTGATCTGGTTATGCACAAGGCAAGTCCCATTCATTTCAACTACACTCTACTTCACTATATTACTCATCCAATCCATGTCTTAATTATCTCTAACCAGCTAGCCAGCCAGATACAGCTTGGAAACAAAGCCCCTTCAAGCCATACTCACCCGGACAATTAAGACACCCTGTGCTAGCCCAACCGAATCACTTCAAAACACTGCCCTAATTCCTATCAAGACCCGCAATAAATCTAATTCACGTTGTCATAGACTTGACCATATCTATCATAGTTTGTGATTTTCATCTAACCCCTACCAAACCAGAATCACAGATCCTCATCAGACCAAACAACCCTAAGTACAACACCACTAATGATATAGATACCTAAAACAAGTAGATAAATCACACACATAATACATTCAAATAAATCGGTTATTCCCATTAAGAATGACATCGACCCGACTATCTAACACCAATACTAACACTAACTGTTGGGCCCCAGGGGAGGATAAAGATATCTCGACCAAGCGTACTCCATGAGAGACAAGTTGGGTTAGTATTGTGTTGCTATTATGTTGGTATACGAGTCTGGACAGTTTCTGGATCTGGTATAGTTCTCTGTAAATCCTTCATGTATGCCATAGAGAGTCGTAGAAAGTCCTAGAACATCTTTATCAATCTTCGTCGTACAGTTATGCTCTTATTGAGTTGGATTGCTTAAAGTAGTAAGGAATCAATATCTAAGTTATTTACCCAAGCACTTACTCGTTTTAAAGTAGAGATATCTCGAGATCCTCTTTAAGATGCGTGGTTGATACAAACACACATACGTATAAAGAAACTATTCAACGTTTATTAACAAGTTACAACAGATTGTGTTTGTTTATAAACAAACATAACCATTAAACAAAGCAAATCAGTACTAATTGTTTGTAAATATCATCATCTAACCCAATATTCTCTTAAAACTCACAGGCCAAAAAGGCTGCCAAGACTAGCCCAATTAGTGGTCAGTCTCTTATGCCAAAGCCAGCTGAGTGTTTAGCCAAGCCTATTGGCTTCTTTTCTTATTTGTCTCTCCTCTTATCCCCGAGAATGATAAACGTTTACATTCCGATCGGACTTCTGCTACTAGTTATTATATTAACAGTTCTGATTCTTTACTACCGCCGGCGGAATAACTCAATTGATTTTAACAACAAACTTGAAGATATGCACTGGCGTGGCATTCATACAGCCCCAGCCATTACCAAGCCCCAAAAGTTGTGCTGCTGATCCCCACTTAGTTGTAATAAACTCGTATTTAGATCACTTATTTAGAACATTTCTCTTATTCAACTTAATCTAATCTAAATCAACTCAACTCAAACCAAACACAAACCCAGGCTAAATAAACATTGGCTGTTTTCGCTAAAAAATGGACATGCAACTCAAACTACTCTCTTACGGATGCTCTGTACTTGATAAGAATGAGTGTGGTGAATGGTGGTGGGATGGCGCCCCTGTTCTTAGCACAGAGCATCAGATCAAAATCTACTATAATGGAAGTCGCATTCCTTTTTCAGAACAAACTGGAGAGTTTAACATCCATCTTGATTCACAACAAGATCTTAAAATGGGTATCCTTGAGATATCTATTTTTGTGAAAGGTCTTTTCTCCAATGATTTGATTGGTTATGCCTTTAAAAGAATTGAAGAATTCACTAGCAATACTAAAGAGCCCGTTTACTATCTTAAGATCCTTCCCAATCGAGATCCGATCTCAGGCTGGCTCTGCTGCCGTGAATGCAAAAAGCCCGGGTTTAAGCCACCTAGTATGGCCATGTTTTTAGCCATTTCCGCGCGAGTGAAGAAAAGTACTTTGGTGCCCTATAAGGCCAATGCCTACACTGTTTCGATTGCCAAGTTTCTTACTGGGGAAGAAGTAACTGGCCAGCTCTTAACTCTTAAAGAGATATATATCTTTCTGTTTCGTGACATTCGCGACCTTTCAGAACTTATCTATAGCGGCCGTGAGTTACTGGGGTACTACAAGTACATGGACAATCTAGATTTCAAAAAACTACCACCCTATCCTTACTTGGAACAGAAGCCAATGCTTTGGGAGCGACTGAAAAGACAGCTATTCCGTCCGGATGAACTTGATCCAGATAAACGTTCAATTTATGCCAAGTATCTACTGGACGTACTGCCAACTAGTCCCTATGCCTGGCATGTGGAGTCAGAGGAGTTTTATCTCCATCATTTGAAAAACTACCGTTATGCCATTGCACCGTACGGTCAAGCCTTTCTAAGTGTGCATGCTATGCTCAATGTTATTCAAAAGAAGATAGCCAAATGCATCTGTAGTCCCTGTAAAAACAAAACAATCGGAGCTGAAGCCAAGTTCTTCCATGCTTTTACAGGCATTCCGTATCATGATATTTTACACGACGATAGTAAATATCTGGAATACGTTATGTTTGTGGAGAAAGAGACCCAAACACTCTACATCACTTTCAAGGGCACCATGTATAGTCGCGAGGCCTTGATTGATGTAGATTGTAAATATCACAAGTACAAAAATGGCCTCTACCACAAAGGTATCTTCCAGGAGTCCCAGCAGTTCTTTAACAACAAACGAGCAGCTATTCTAGCCCATATGCAGACCTACCAGCTAACTAAAATCCGAACAGTCGGCCAATCACTAGGAGCCGCCTTAGCTACACTTGTTTGCATGTTTATGAAAGAATCAACTGAGTTCACAGCCTATCAAACCAGTAGTATTGGCTACTCGCCGCCGCCCGTTGTCAATAAACCCTCTATCTTCAAAAAGTGGGATACAGATGATTGGGACAATTCAATTTCCAGTGTTGTTTACGGCAATGACATTGTGCCCACGCTTTGTCTCGGCAAGATCTTTGAACTACGCCTTTTGATCACCCATCTTTACACTATCAGCATTCATAGATATAAAAACAAAACGGTCTACCTGCGCCAGATCCTCAAACGGATCAAGAAAACCGGCAAGTCTAAACTACTCATTCCCGGTCGGATTTACAAAATCAGGCACACCAGAACCTCACCAGGTGTTTTTCTGGTCAAAAGAACGCACTGGTCCGAGTACAGTGCCATCCGTCTCTCCTCCAAAGCCATTATTCATCATACACCCGGAGTGATGCTCAATGCCCTCAAAAAGTCGCTCAAGTACTTCTATGGACACAACAATCCCGAGGAGGATCTTACTGCATTCAGCGATGCCGGCTAATACTCTCATCATTCGGCTACTCATCAGTCCAGTCGTTCAATAAAGCCAGTTGTTAAGTTAGTATTAGATTGAGTTGAGTTGAGTTGAGTTGAGTTGAGTTGAGTTGAGTTAGATTGGATTAGGATTAGGATTTGTGTATAGTGAGATTGGCATTAGAATGGCGTAGAGTGTGTAGAATCAATGCAGTATAACTCTTGATTCACCAACACCCTGACAATGAGATATCTACTAAGTGCATATTAACTCTACCAACTCAATAGTTATTTCCTTCTATGATCCTTTCCAAGTACAAAGATCTAGCACCGTATATTCTAACACCAACTCAATACTAACCCGTCTTTATTTAGGCACACTAACTACTAGCCATTATTTATCTTATTGCAATTACCAATCTTTACTCTATCTACTATAAACTTCTGCAAGCCAATTAGTCTATTACCAGTCTCCAAATACTAACCCCTCCTATTCTCATTACAATTCCTATTCAATCCATCATATTTACAAAGTCCCGATGTCTATTTATACCCAGTTAACTAAATGGCCATGCATTTGTTATGTAAACATTTCAAATCTAAACAATCCTACTATCATCTATTTGTTTATAGCCACTGATAAACCAAAACCTGTTTATTACCCCGTCTAATCTTCTACTATCTTCTTTTTGAAACTCTTCCCTACCAGCACCAAACCCACTACTATTACCCTACTATCACCATACTATTACCATATACTATCATCATATACTATCACTACACTACCAAATTAACCCACTACTATCACCATACGATCATCAAATACAATCCCAAATTAACCCACTACTATCACTACACTACCAAATACAATACCAACTAACCCAACACAACCAAATACAATACCAAACTAACTCAATACCAAACACAACCCACCTCAATACTAACTCAATACCACCTCATTTATTACTTCTCTTTACGTCCTACCCAATCAACATCTACTGCTAATGGCAAAGTCACTTCAATCTCAGCTACATTCTGCAGACTCTTCTCAAACAAAAACCCAAACTCAAACTCATCTAAGACCGTCTCAATATCCACATGTCTACTCTCCATAAAAACACAAAACCAGCCTCTTCTTTATACCCCCACACTCTCTCTAGTCAACTGCTTATTTGAGGGCTCGGTGGCGCAAAGGTAGCGCTTTCGACTCCAGATCGAATGGTTGGGAGTTCGAGTCTCTCCCGGGTCACTCTTTTTCTCTTTTTTCTTACAGCCTAGTTATGCAGCTGATTGTCCCGCCTACTAAGTTCAAACAAAGGACTAATAGTGTTAAAACCACTAGACATACAATTTATACCTTTTTACCTATTCGTCTCTTTAAAGAGTTCACAAAGTCATTTAACTTGTTCTTTCTGTTCCTCTGTTGTGTTGTGCTAATTCCTAACTTTACTCCTTTCTCTAGTGTTTCTTACATTGCTTGTGTTGCTATGGTCATTTCTGTTAATATTGTTAAACATGCCTTATCTGAACTAAAAAGATACAGAGCAGATAAGGAAGTAAATAATGAATTATTTCCTGTGATAAGAAAAGGAGTTAGTTTAGATATTAGACGGGCTGATATCAATTTAGGAGAGATTTTGATTGTTAAACCTGGAGTAGTTCTACCCATGGATGTGCTAGTATTAGGAGTGTATACCAGGAGTGGGACACAAAGACATGTTTATATTGAGACGAGTTCATTGGATGGTGAGAATGCTCTGAAGAAGAAGAGGCCTTTACTGGAGTTGGGTCGGTCTGGTGAGTTAGCAGAGGAAGATTTAGAGGTGCTCAGTGGAGTACAGGTAGTGAGGAGAGAAGGAATGGAGGGAGAGTTAGAGGTAAGGTTGAGTAGAGAGGGTGGTAGAGAGGGAGAGTCGGGGGTAGAAGTGCTGGGGTTTAGTGAGGAGAGTATGGTTTGGAAAGGGTGCTCGGTGTATGGAGAGTACGAGGTGGTGGGGA